GTTAGGGAGTTGGGAAATATTGTCAAATCATCAACTTCCCCAGCAGACATGGTTAGGCACTATAGTGATTTACGCATATTCTTTGATGCTGCTGAAAACAAACATGTGTTTGATGCACGTTTCAAAAGAACTAACAGCTACATGTCCCCGTTTATTTTTGGAGCCCACAAGCTAACGGCTATGGTAAGTAATTCTTTATGATGCTCTAGTGTTTTCTTTTGTCTTTACTGACCTGTATCTTATCTAGGGCACTTTGGAAAATCTTTGCTCTCGAACTGAATATGCGCACTCATCCGGCCTGTTCACCTATGCTGTAGAAAAGAACAACTTGGTCGCGCTGAAATTTATTATGGAACAACTTCAGAAGTATCAAGGGCCTACGGACGAAGACGCACCGCTGTTTCTTCCTGTTGCAAGTAGAGAATTTGAGAGGCCAATGGAAAATGGCTACACGGAGATTTTGGAGCATATTATTTCACAAACAGGAGCCGAATTCCCTCTCCAGGCGTTGATAAAGAAAGCCGGCGTAAAACTTGATTCAAAACCAAAGGCGAGTAAAGGGAGATCACTTACCTGTTGTATCTATGTCTAACATAAACTGCAGTATTACCAAGGTCTCACGGTTTATGGAAGCAAACGAGAGGACTGGGCAGCCGAGGATGGCCGTCATCGTTATCGCCAGTTCGAGGCGGAAGAAAATCTGCTTTTGCGTGCGGCCTTTACCACGAATCTTGAGTCTATTAAATGGTTCCTGAGTGACATCCCTGAACAAAAGTATAAAGAATTCGCATCCATGTACGCAGACGATAAGCGTATCAAAGCGTTTACGGATGTCCCTGGCGGCTTTGAAGGAGCTTTGTCGTCATGGCTAAATGCTCGACGTAAGTTATTATTGTGTTTTCTAGAAAATAGAATGCTTGCTAACATCATTTTTTTAGGCGACATGGCGCTTCACTGCGCGGTGCTTGGTAACGCTACCAAGGAGACAGGCGTTGCTCATGTCAAACTCATTCTTGAGGCCATTCCAACCTCTTTAAATGCTAAGAATAAGACAGGCATGACAGCATTGCAGGTTGCCTTTATAAAACGAAGGATAATGGCTGCCAAAACCATTGTGGAGGCTGGGGCAGATCAAACCGTCCGTGATGAGACAGGCCGCAATTTACTCCACACAATCCTTACCCCTTCCATGGGAGAGGGTGTCATTAAGTCCCCCAACTTGTTTAGGGCTCTTTCCGGACTTCTGGACAAAGAAGTGCTTCGTTCATTGGCAACACAGAGATCGCACGTAGGGCGAGGAACTCATCAGTATAACTCCTGGGGTATGCTGACTCCACTGGCAGAATGGCTAGCCACAGCTCAGAACCCACACCCGGATATGCTTCAGACAATTTTGGAAATTACTGGTGGACAGGAACTTTACGTTCTCGACGGTGAAGGGAACTATCCAATCCATCAAGTCGTTCGGAAGAACTTCATCGATTTGGCGCGTGTCATGCTCGAGAGGGATCCAAGCCTTGCCCTCCTCGAAAATGCAACGGGCATAACCCCCTTGGAACTGGTCGAAAATAAAATTTTCGATGCGGTTCTCTCATGGTTGAGGAACAGTCCACGGAGGATCCATTGTAGGATGAATGATGTTGATTGGAGGGGAAATCCTGTGGTATACGAGCCACTCAATGTGCAGCATACGTTTGGTTCACGCACTCAGAAAATAACTGATCCTAATGAGTTATACAAAAAGGATGGTATGGATACACCTCGCTTCTGGCCGACTGATCGTGTTGAAGGCAAACTGTACCATTTGCTTCACGAGACGGCGTCGAGGAATGGAATCAAAAGGAGATTGGCTAGTCTACGGGATGCTAACCAGCTTGTTAAGCGATTGGAGTCAAGGAAGAACCTCCAACAGAATGGGCAGGAGAACAACGCTAGTGAGCGTGATGAGGTTTCTCACTTTATGTCCCGTAGTCAGCTCCAGATGTGGGAACTTGACGAGATTTTGGAGAAGGTGAAAGATGATGCAGATGAGAGCGAATTTTAGTTTGGTCTTGAAAAGGCTGGAAGAGAATAAAGCTCAATTTGTAGCTAGTATGTAGATGGCAAGGCGGCGAATTTATGTGAGAGTCTTCCCACGGTGTTAGGGTATGTAATACCATCCTGTTGTTACTTGTTTCTAATCTGGAGCAAAGCATGTGCCTCGAGGCTGACTTTAGTAATGTGTTTAGTCGGCAAAGGAATACGGTGTGCCAAAGGTATTGTTTTATCTATCACTGGAAATCCATTTTATACTATTCCTTTGTTCAAAGCTTTATTCTTTCATAAAAAGAAGATTGGAAAGGCGGTCAATGTCCCCTCCAGTCTATTAAGGTGACCAGGCTTTTAATATTCATCCTCGTCCTCTCCAGCAATGATTACGTTGTTCACCTAGAGAGATGGTCAGAAAGCAGGGCTTAAATTAGTGATGGCTACGAGAACATGCTTTACCTTTAGGACAAGTCTGCATAACTGGGTTGCAAGAAGTAATTGCGCACGCTTTCCGATGAGTGGATCAATGACAAAATGCTCTCTCATATCTGGACAAAAGGGAAACAAGGTTAGTGCTTATTCAACAAGGTATATCAGGAAGAGATAACAACAGAAGACATACCGTTACTGCCAGTTTGCATGCAATCAACTCCCAGTCTTGAGTTGTGCTCCTTGACTTGTCGCGATTTGATTGTGGCTAGGGTTTCAATAGGGCTCCATCCGGAGTTCTCGGCAAGGGCCATGGGTACGGCATCCAATGCGTCTGCAAAAGCGCGCATGGCATACTGAGCCAATCCAGGACACTGGATGATTCAATAAATGATTAGCGCTTTTTTCTTTCTTTTACCTGAAGACTTGGAGAAGGTGCCTATCCTACCTTTTCAGCAGCCTCTTGCACGGCAAGTGAACAAGAAATTTCTGCTGCACCACCACCATATACAATGCGGTTATCCCGCACTAGGTTCCTGACAACACACAGAGCATCATGCAGTGACCGCTTCGCTTCATCAATAATCTGATAAAATTAACGGTCAGCATTGGTTGTCATCAAAAGTATCCTTGTGATAAATGACATACCATCTTATTACTTCCGCGAACAAAGACAGTGACAGCTCTGCTGTTTGCACACTCCTCGATAACCAGCATTTTCTCTCTCGTGGTACCAAAGGTCATTTCTCTAACCAGGCCAGCAGTCCCTAATTTTTCTGGGCTTAGGTCCTCAAATCGGGGAACAATTCGGCCGTTGGTGGCGATAGCAATCAATTCAATTTCGGGACCACCGACCCATCGAACTGCCGGCAAATCATTCTGGAGAAGAAGGTGGTTGGCTTCGTCATCAAAGCCCCATTGACAGATGACGAGATTTGCTCCAGTATCTTTTAGCTGTTGAATCATTTCAGTAAATTTATCCTTCTCATATTGTTGTAGCTTTTTGAATTCTTCGACGCTCGTAATATCGAGCTTGTGCTTGGTTTTCGGTTTTGGAGGTTCAAATGCACAGGTCAAAATTGCAAGTTTTGCATCCCTAACTTCGTCTGGCATTTGTGGATGCGAAAAATCCTTGTCGACGATAACTCCCTTTACGAGAAGCGACTGTTCCAAGGATCCTCCAACTTTACCGTCGACCTTAATCAGTTCGAAATCGACGTCCTTTCTTTCCAGATCAGCAACGGAAAGCACTGCGTCGACTGCGATCTTTGCAAAATGATCATGTGCTTTGGAAACGCTGCATATATCGATCAGCGATACCATCTTCCCAAGGTGGAACGAGAGACCCACATCTTGCTGCCTAGAGAAGTCTTTGCGACTTTCAAGAGGTTTTCCTGGTTATCACGGGAGAATTTAACCTCATCACTGATTTTGTCAAGATGTGAAACTGCGATTTCGCAAGCCTGGTCGAATCCATCCGCAATGCGGATCGGGTGAATACCCTTATCAATGAGGTCCGCAGCTTGTTCCAGCAGGGCACCAGCAAGTACGACGACACCAGTTGTTCCGTCCCCAATTTCATCATCCTGCGATTTGGAGAGCTCGACTAACAATTTGGCAACATTATTTGAAATTTCCATCTAGTTAGGATGTTTAGCCAGGCGACGGACTGGAACGGGGCAGGCGAACGAGCACACACCTGGGATAGAATGGTAGCTCCGTCGTTTGTGACGGTGATATCTCCGTCTGGCGAAATTAATATCTTGTCAAGCCCTCGGGGCCCCTAGATGATGCAAAAGGAGCGATTAGGACATGGCTCGCGTCCATCTGAAAGGAGAGGATGTAATACCAGTGATGTCTTGACAATATTGGATACTGTTCTTGCAGCTAAGATGTGTGATTTGACAGCATCTGTTCCATGTTGTCTCTTCTTCTTCCCTTGACTATAAGAAGAATATTAGACGTACCCGTGGATATTTCCTTGATGGAGCCATGGGTTCATATAACGTACTCTCGAACGACAATAAAGGGTCTGCCTTGTTCATCTTTCATAACAGAAGCTACCGTGGAAACCAATTAGATCTAGGGAGCATTGTAAATGCATAGGTTCGAAATAGCGAAACAATACCTTGTGACATATCAATCTCTGTTCCGCCGAGTTGTTAGCAGGGTTCAACCAGGGGAGGGGCACTGTGAGCATACTCATCGCCATGTTGAAAATCGTACCGCTGAGCGGCCAAGGCTATCGACAGAGCTGGTGACTCCCGGAGAGAAAAAATTACAACCCTCAGGAACAATGCGGTAAAGATACGATTGGAAACTCGAGACTGCAGCACAAAGTCAATCGTCGGCGCGGCCTTGGTGATGGTTTGTCATTGTCCAGATAAATTTGGGTGGAAGAGCTGTTTGCCAGAAGGAGTTTAGCCCCATCCCCACGGCATGCTGAGTCATCATTCCTCTGCAAAACGCGAACTTTCCGCGAACTTCAAAATAAGAGAGCTTGCGCCAGTCGTCATCCAACCGCCGTACCCAAGCAGCCAGCAGCGTTTCAATTCGGCTTATCGCCCTCAACCTGGTCGGAACCGTTCCCGCTACTTTGTCGTCTACAATGCCTCGTGAGCCGCCCTATCCTTGTCTCTCCCCACCCACAAAGCTCCAGCTACATGCTGCGGACGAGAATGGTGAATGCTAACAGTTCACTTAGCGCCGCTTGAATCTTCGAGCGAAGACGAATCCGGCGGCGAATCAATCCCTTTTAAAGATCCCACTCAAGGCACCCAAGAACCTGATAGAAGCGCCGATGATAACGAAAGTGAATCTGGGAGTGAGGGCGAAGGCGACGATGTGTAAGTTTAGGAGAAGCACCTCAAAATATTAAATCTAACTCTTTGCGCTAGCTACGTCGTGGAGAAGATTGTAAACCATGAATTCGGCAAAGGCGTGAGCATACCTTCCTTGGTTCGTGATTTTCCCTCTTTGGCCAGTGTCTGAGTTCGGTCTTTAGGGAAAACTATTATTTCAGGTCAAATGGAAAGGATACGATAATCCCGAGGACTTGACGTTAGAGCCTGAAGAAAACCTGTATTTATTTCCCACTTCCTGCTGCATATTGCGCACGTATTGACCGAGATGGACAGGAGCGGTGCACCGGACGCTCTACAAGAATACTTTACAATAATAGGCGGACGCCCAGAGAAACCGACGCGGAAACGGAAGTCGATGGGAGGGGGCACGACACCTAAGGTGGCGACTAAGAAGGCCAAGAAGTCGCTTGCGTCTATGAACGGAACTCCAGACATTGTAGAAGGCGCCGATTGGGTTCCAAAATCAAACAACTGGGACAAGGAGGTCAGGTCGGTCGAAACTATTATTCGCGACGGCGACAATTTATACGTGCTTTTACACTGGAACAATGAGAAGAAAGCAAAGGTGTCATTAAAGCAATGTTACGAGAAATGCCCACAGAAGGTACTGTTCCAATGTTGAAGGCTTATATATAAAATAGGATGCGCTGACAGGAAATCCGTTAGATGTTGAAGTTCTACGAAAATCATCTGTATGCCAATCTTGATGAAGAGCGATCCTTGATAAGACATGCTAACGTCGGGGTCCTTTAGTGTTTTCAGGGATGAATAGAGTTCGAACCACGCCAATTGAACTTTATACGGTGATATGTTTCCATCCCGAGATGTCTCACTTCATAAGGAGTTTGAATGATGAAGCCGAAGCCATCGGTTGTCGGGGCACTCAAGCCGTACCCCCGCGGTGTCGCCGCACCTAAAGCAGTTGTGAAGGCCGGAATTTCCCTTGCGATGTCATAGGCCCCTGGCAAGAAGCTGACAGAAAGCTTGTGTTATTGGCGTGATTGATTCGCTTCGTCGCTTTGTCGCTTCGATCTTTCTCATCTTCTTTTAATCAGCTTGCAACCCGACTTCAGGATGTTTATTTCCTTTCTAAATTTAAGGGTGATATTCGTTATGGGAGAGCGTTAAACGAAGGTAAAATCCTTCGTATATTTTTGTTTTGTATCGTTTTACGCAGTCATCGCCAATGATTTTGTATTTATAGTTGAGCCTTTTAATCTGAGGCGAATAGGACGTTTATGACCTTGTCAACTTTCTCCTTCCTTCGTGGGTGTTATTTCGCAACACATACTTTGGAGCGAAGCCGAGAAACATACCCATACGGGCTATCGATTATGGATGTATGTACACGGATTTCGCTTGCCAACGTCAAAATACCAGCTAAAGGTTATGGGTCTTTTTCTTCTGACATGAGCTGTCGCACCGTATTCAGGTATTTCCCACGAATATCGAAATTTTCTGTACCATGTTTCTCCTCTAATTTCTTTATGTCGATGGAATCGCTTGAGTCATGAAGGCTATCATCTTCCTCCGTCCATATTCCAGGAATATTGTTCGGGATGCCTTCGCCATTGTTCAGATGATCAAGTACCTTATCAGCCAAATAGGGATTCATGGATGTACACGAAAGAGCTTGGATGATCTGCCCTTTGTCTTTGGCCCTTCCGGTGTGGAGCCTTGATTCAATCCATTGATCAAGCTCTTGGATTTCTTCTTTCTCCTTTTCGGTTATTTCTTCGGAATTGGATAGTTCCTCTTCCTCCTCCGAGACGCGTGGGAGCGTTGGATAGAGAAGGCTGTTGACGTCGTTCACATGTTGCTGCAGATTGGCAAAGATATCTTGGGTGGATTGTTCTTGCGGTGCTGTTTCGTAATCCCCGTTGGACTGTGAGATGCTTTCACTTATTTCTAGAGGCGCCGACGCGCCCGAGGCCATAGGAATTGGTTCGATAGGGGATGGGGAAGTTTGGACAATGTCACCAAGGGCTGATATATGGACGGAAGGCTCCCGGATATAGTCGGTGGCTCGTCTTCTAGCCCCGTCGACCCTATCGTAGGTTGACGCTGACGGTAAGTCCGTGGCTGTTTCCATTCCTATTGTACGTCGCCGTTTTATGACGCTCTCCGCTGACTGCTCCTCTGCAGAATCTTGGGCATCCGAGATGATCCGCTTTAGAGATGTCGTTGTGGATGCAGTGATGTTAGTTTCTGTTACTGGGGCTATCTCTTCATTGGAATGGGGTGGTTGATGATCACTTTTGGCTGGTGAGATGGACGGCGACTTTCTTATAGCCCCCTTTGTCATCCTCATTTTCATAATATGCTTGGGACGGATAAATGTATGGAAATAGTTTTTCCATTCGATTGGTGTATGACGATCCTACAATAGCTCATGTTAGATGTGACAATTACATGTAGGCAAATGCAGATATGCCGTACGTGATCTTGGGCAAACTCAGCCCAGAAGTCATTCTCTAGGGCTGGGTCGACCTCTAGAATCTTGGATGCGAAACGAAGGAGCTCATCTTCTTCGGAGCTCAGGAATGGAGCGGACATTTGTTCAATGGATTGCGAGTCCGACCGCTCCGTCCGCGCTCTCGGCGCTGAATTTTCCCCATCGGAGCCTGTGGGCTCAGGTGGGATAGTAGATTCTGTGGTTCGCGTGTTATCTTCTCTTGTAACCGGTCGTGGGCGATCCTTCACTACCTTAAGATAACGGTCTCGCCACGATTGATAAGTATGCTGCGGATGCTAGTATATGGATGAGTTATGTACTGATGGCTATATCATTTGGTAGACGGGCGCATACCTTTTCTTCGAGCTGTTGATAAATCTTATTTCCCCTAATTGGCCCGCCTTGCCTCTCAATTGGCTTCACCCAATCGTAGAGAATTTGGTCATCTTCTGCCGTAAAGCCCACCCTGTGTCCTCTGGCGGGTATAGATACAGATCCTACTGGGCGGGCGTTGCCAGGTGCTGGTCCGGCCCGGAATTCCTCCAGATCCAGAAGCTTCCCGGCTCGTAAGCAGCGATCAATAAACTTGAATGAGTAGCTATGAATGATGCTACATCAATGACCTGTGTGTGCAGCGTTGGAGAGTACTGACGAACCTGCCAGGGGGAAGGTCCTTCTTCATGTGATCAACAAGGAGAATATCAGCGTTTTTCTCCAGGGGCACAACCTTCCCGCCATGATTCTGGCATCCAATGGACTATTCAGCTTTTATGTACATATTATCACTTCTGCAATCTCGTGAACTCACTTTGATGAGGTCTGCGCACCAAGACCGCTGTGGTACGGTAGCTGACAAGAAGAATTTTAGGTCGTTAAACAACGCAGGGGGTTCAGCATCCGGAGACGTCATTGTCACGACTGAATAGAGTCAGCAGGCATTTGCATGGTGAGAGCTTCTTCGTCGCACCCCAGCACCTCGATTTGCCAGCCGCTGAGCTCCATCCACCGTGACGCGCTGAGGTCCTGGCTGACTGGAAATCACGTGCGCTATCTTACTTATCTGACCTCGAACCAACCACGGCCTGACTCAGCCACTCTGTTGAATGCGGATATATTCAAAGTCCTTCACACTGATCCTCGGACGGCCCTCAGGTCGCCTGAAGGATGAATTCTCATCGAGTTTGCAAGCCTTAATCGTGTTTGCTGCCTCCACTCCTTTGCCTCTTGCCGGAAATGGGCCTTCTTAGGGAGATTGTACTAGTGATCTTAGGCATATCCCTTCTCGCATTCCTTGTGCTCTTTGGTAGAATCCCAGCCTTCAGGTACGACTCCCGGTGTTGAGCCTTTCTCATGTTCTTTTAAAGATTTTATCAAACTGAGTACAAGCAGAAAGACACCGATCGGTTATATCTATCGCCTTGTTTGGGTCCGTCTCCCTAGGTTATTCATATCGCTCGACTCAATTGTTTGTGGAGGACGGTTCATGCGTTACACCACCAAAACTGGGCAGTACTTGTTTCACGAAAACCACCCGCTTGTCCTAGTATGCGGCTCGCAAGACATTCCTTGATTCCTTCTTGACATTGACTTGGCATCAGATCTTCTTCCTAACGTTGTTGGTTTGCTCCGAGATATTATTTATCCCAGCCGTATGGAATAGACTCGGACCGGTACACCGTCTTTTCGTGCCGATAGTTGTCGTTCAACCTTACATCTTTCTTTACTTGAGCGTGTATACCACATCGTCAATCACGCCTGAAAACCATGCCTGGCATATGCGTCTATATCCATATGACCGAACCATCTTTCACCCGGGAAACATATGCCGCACATGCAACTTCTTGAAACCAGCCCGGAGTAAGCATTGCGGACTTTGCAATGTCTGTGTTGCACGGCATGATCATCATTGTATCTGGCTACGTAACTGCGTTGGCAGAAACAACTATGCCTATTTTCTTGCGCTCCTGCTCTCAATGTCAGTTCTACTTGGATATGGCTCCTTCTTGGGCTATACGATCTTGGACGATAGCTTGCGGAAGGCACTAACTCCAAATGTGCCTCTATCGTCAGCTCTAAATCACTGGAGTAAAGGTATTCCCTGGTCGATGTATATCGAGATGTGGTCTCTGGCTATTGCGGATGATATCCGCGTTGGTTCAGTGTTTCTCTTAGCTGCATTGACAACCCCCCTAGCTGTAGCAATGTTTTGCTACCATATGTACCTGATATGGGCGGGAATGACTACCAACGAAAGTGCTAAGTGGTCAGACTGGCGCGATGATGTCGCCGATGGTGTTGCTTTTAAAGCACAATATAGTCACATTTATGGAAACTTGTTTGATGATATGGTTGAGCCTGAAGTTCCTTGGCCAAAGGAAAATGACCAGACACTGGTCTTTACGGATGGACACCCCCCAAAGGAAGGCCATCTTTTGACAAGCGACCGCTTCTCGATTATACAGCCGGATAATCCCGATGCCAAGGATGATCCAAGATGGAATAGAGTCCGAAGCATGAAGGAAGTTGTGAATATCTATGATCGCGGCCTCTGGGTCAATCTGTTTGATTCTTTGGGGATTGTGACCCATCCTTCAGCAAAGCATTACGCATCTTGTACATAATAGGGAGTAGCACTCTAGTAATCCTGTTGGTACGATAGGCTATCATCACATGTATTGCTCGTGGTGCAAAGCTTTATTTTATTTTATTTTTTTTAAAAATTTTTTATCCGATTTCCTTGTGACCAAGCCATGAGAACCTATCATGGAGTAGTGTAACTTTTCTGTAGTTATAATATAACAAAGCTCATTCAATAAATCTACTCCACGTTGTGGACGTGAGCGCAGTCGGTGAAACTATTGTCCATTCCGCTAACTAGTTATCAAAAATCAACTCGAGCAACACCAACAATCCAATTCTCTCCATCGCTTCTTTTAACACCTGGACTGTTCATCTTTTTCTCTTCACCTAGCCATAATGGCTTCTACAGCAAATCAAGGGGCAATAGACCAGTCAGCAAATCATGATAGGGCTAAATGTACTGCACCAGAGCTTCTTTTGAAAGTCGTTCTGGCGGGGACATTGAGCCACTATGAGACGCGTGGGATGATTGATGATAAGAGACTAGAGCATATGTTACTGGCAGGAAAGCAGATTCTCTACAAGAGTCACCAAGAGAGCGATGTTAGGTGTGATATATATATTTCCCGCGATTAATCACTCTCTCTACCGATCCGGTTTGATTCGATTGTATGCGTTGCTGATTGCTCCGTCAATAGACAAAACCTCGGTTTCTCTCCTGCGATATGGCAGGGGCTCACGGATGTCTTAACAAAAGCTATCCCTGTCCTCGAGTCGCAATCTTTTGCTTGGAAGAATCCTGCGACTGCGAATTATGATGGGTCTTCCGCTAATTTAATCGCTTATAATTACTTCTCTCTGGTTAAAGATATCGAACGTCTCAATGACCTGTGCACGATCGCGCGAAACTTGCTTGCCACAACGAAAAGAGCCCAGAACTTGGCTGCCGAAAAGGGCTTCGACCAACGCATCTTAATGCTGATTGATACTTGTGTGAGAGTCACAGCAAGAGGATATGATGGGGAGAGCAACCCAAGAAATGAAGAACGATGGCAGAAAGTTGTTAGTCTCTATAAGAGATTATTGATAACTTGCTTGCAGTTTCTTCACAACTTCATTATGCACAATGAGCACCGAAAACTAGTGTTATGGCTAGATTTGTTTGGCTATCACCAAAATGGGGAGTCCAGTATAATCACACACATGGAGCCACTAGATCAATCTCATGCTACCGCACAAGGTGTAGCTCCTATTGTCAGAGCTGGTGAGAGATTGGTCAATCCGCCGTTAAGGACACTTTACGACCAAACTGCTGAAGACCTCTTGTTGGAAACAATATCCACATTCCCTCGAGAGCCAGCTACCATTAAGGAAGAAGCTGCCATGCTGTTGCTGGCAAATATCAAGGATCATATGGAGAAGCTACTTGGGAGAAATTTGAAGGAGATTCAGCAAATGGGTAAGGACCCAGAACGAGTTAAAGAAATCCGTGCCGCGCTTACTGCGATTCTGGGTGCCAAAGTGGACGGTTGGGCAGACCTGAACGAGCGCCAAGGTGGACCCAGCAGAGAGGAGGAAGAAGCGCGCAAAAAGCCCATTCTGAGCATCGATCGAACTGCCACCACCGGATACCCACGTACTTGTTGGACAGATTTGCCAGATTTAGATGAATACGGTGCAATCGCAGCAGTCGATGCGCCTGTCACTGCTGAAGACAGAATGATGACTCGCTCGGCTCAGTCGGCTGCCGAGACTTTGCAGGAGGCTAAGGACGAACTGATGGCTCGTTTGCAAGAAACCTCTCCTGATATGGTTGAAGGGGATAGCCAGTATGATTCTTCAGAGAGACGTGGTATGCGAGGTGATGACGATTCGCGTGGTACTGACGGATTGGCGGATGCGAGTGGCGAGGAGGATGAAGACGAGGAAGATGACGACGATGATTACCGAGGCCGACCGGGCGACCAGCAGCGCGGTTTGTTAACTGACATTCCACTTGTTCTTGGCCCCTCGGAAATTGAAGCCTTGCCTATGATTATCCAGGCCGGTATCGTGGATAGTTTCGGCCCAAAGGGGCCTCAGAAGCCTGGTACCAAGAACATGCAAGCTGTTAGATGCCATATTCTGCTGGCACAGGATACGGGTCGAAATCTCCTAAGGGAACTTCTCATATTCATTGCGGCATGGGACCTTCCAGACGATGAGCTTTACTTTAAGATGATGGTGCAAATCATGGAAGCCGTTCTCAAAAATGGGTTAATGTCTCACGCTTATTCCGACTTTGGCCAAGCTAAAGACATCATCTCACCGGCACAAGCTGTGGTTATCAAGATCCTTACGCATATTTTCAGGGCCAAATACTCTCCTCCCAATATTACTTCCGCCACAGAAACACCAACAGGTCGGAGTTCTGTCCCCGTTACCAAGGTTGACGTGTTGACCGTCCGCTATATCTTTACCATCTTTCGTGGAAATATCATTCCGGAAACATGTGCCCTCATCTACCTTCAAGGTCAGATTCGCGCCGGCCATGCTCTTCCAGAAGACTTCCCGTTAAATTTGTGGGACATGGAACGTGTGTACGAAGGTGTATACCAGTTCTTGGAATTCTTCGCCGTTCTTACCGAGAACACTGAATGGAAGAATCTTCTGGTACAATGGGAGATTGTATATGACTTGGTCACATTAATCAAAGAGTTGGAGGCGAGTATTCCGAAGGGAAGCCTTAGCTCCCTCACTGCTGCTGCGTCAAGAGCTCCCCAAACACCCAAGGAATCAGCACAGCCCGGAAGTGCCGCTCCGGTCGCCGTAGAACGCCCATATGAGCCCAATGATCCTGAGCCAACGGATGCAGTTACCGTCAGCGCTGAATCAAGAGCACCATCTCCTCCAATGGGTAACGAAGATCCTTCTGAATTTGAATGGCGCAACCTCAAGAAGCTTGTCATTCTCGTGCTTTCTTCGCTTGTTTGGAAGTGCCCAGAAGTTCAAAACCAGATTCGCAAGTATGGTGGGGTCGAAACAATTTTATCGTGCACCAGTTTTGATGCGCATAATCCTTACATTAAAGAGCACGCCGTCATGTGTCTGAAGTTTCTGCTCGAGGGCAATAGAGAGAATCAAAGAGTGGTTGAGGAGTTGGAGGCGCGGGAGGTGATGAAGGATGAGGGTGGACTGCTGGAAAGGAGTGGCTATGAGGCTGTTCTCGATGAAGTTGGGAAGCTGTCTATCCGGAAGAAAGACGCAAATGCTGCTGTTGCGGGCCCCTCGGGGATCGACAGAAGACAATAATAGGCAGGAAGTTTTCGCCTGTGTGAGTCGGTTTTGAATGTATTTGATATACTGATATCTTTTGTCTTTTGACCTTTGATATTCGTAGTTAGAGCATGCATCTGAATATGAACAAGACCCACTATCATGTGCAGCTACGTGGTTCCTAGGGAGGCCAAGCACTAAGACTTTACTGGATTTTAAGTTTGTATCACTGCCTGCTAAACTGCTTTATTATGGATAGGAATAAAGACATCTACACTGATCGAGACTAACCACTGACTCTTCTGGTAAGAAAAGGATCATTGCCTATGCATCCTAGTTTCACTCAGGCGCCCATATTCTTGACTTTAGTCCCTTATGTTGACTTCGAAATTGGGCCTTTCTTTTTTAATATTTCCATGACCGAAGCTGAAACAATGTGCCAGTTCAACCTTTGCACGATGAGATACAGGTGAGAGTCTGCTTCATACCGAGGAAAGACAAGCCTCCATGTGGCAAAGAGTGCCCGGGTACATACATCTCAAAATATAATCGTGGAGGCTATTACAAGCCCCAGGTTTATGAGTTAAACTCTGGTTATGCGGGATGCAATCATGCCGTTTGCTTAAGTCTCTGTTTAAGGTATTACCGATTTCTCCTTCATGGCTTTGTGAAGCCCGTCGGTTCTCGTCTCGACAACTTCCAGAAGGCGCGATTTCACTGCTTAGACTTGCACTGGCTTCTTTCCGTCAGTGTTTTTGCAGAATGGTTGTCATCAGGCTCTATCTTTGCAATGCTTCGAGTCACGCGTGTATTTGCAAAGATGAGTTGAGTCCGTTGCAATTCTCCGAGATACACTCTCGCGGCTAGATCTCCATCAGAAATCTGGTCTTCACGGCCCTTGCCCTTTCTGCGGTTCTCTTCCTTTTGCCAAATCTCCCTTCTAGAGGTTGACTATGAAAGCACCAGCCGTAGCATCAATATTCTTATGTGGTAAGTCCAACGTCATGGAACTCGAAAAGATTTGTGAAATAAATAAGAGGTTTGACCAAAGGAAAGGAATAATTCGGGAATAGGTGATAATATGGGTATATATCAATGGGATCTTACCATGAATATATGCTATGAAATGGTAGGGAATAAGTTGAAAAGAGCGAACAAACCGTGGAAGGGTATGCAAGTAAGGATCTGGTGAGATATAGATGGTATGGTACCAATATATGAATCAACAAGAATCTCCCCCAAGGCATTGCTGTAAATGTTAAGGGTTTGCGGACTATTTCAGATTCACACAACGGGCTGTATTACCCGTACATGCCATCCCAATCTTCATCTTGATCGTCCTCAGTGGCTGTTCCTCTCTTCATCATCCTCTCTATTCTCTCTCGCTCCTTGTCCCGCTCTTTCTGCCCAAAATCAAACCTATCCAGGGGACATGTGCCTCGCAAGCGGAGCCAAGGTCTCACACATTCGAGATCGAAAAGATGCGATGTATGACAAGGCAAACGGACGACAAGCGGGTACGGATCATCTAGAAAAGAGGTGTTGCAGATAGGACACGATTGAGAAGGCTTTAGCGAAGAAGCTGGAACACGATCCAGAGCTGCGGGTTCATGTTAATCATAAAGTCCTTGTAGAAGTGTAGATTCCGGGTATTATACCATCAACAAACACCTCGCTAACGCCTTCCACTTCCCGTGGAGGGGCTTCCGCATCCTGCAGCAACGTCCTTATCATCTGGCCAATTAAGCCTCCGTCGGCGCCTTCTGCCAGTCCCTCTGGCTCCCGCCCGTCATACACAGGGAGCGGCGCATCGCCTCCGCTTTCTGTCTCCCGCCGAATCACATCGAGCGCCTCCGCAAGGGAACGAAACGCAGCGCTCACGTCGCCCGGTACAGGCACGGCATAGGGCCGTGTTCGCGGTTCAGATGGGTTATGGCTTATTTCGTTGAGTGTTGCAAAAAAAGTCGACAGGTCGGGGCGGCGGTGTCGTGGGTTGGGTCGCGATTCACTAGTGGATCGAGTATTGGTGTCGGGAGTGGTCGAATGTTCGACTTTACGGAGCAGATAATTAAAAGACCTGTTAGCTCTCCAGATGCTTAGACAATATGGATGCCACTCTACTCCGTAGAAGCAGCCCATAAGACCGTTACGGAGTGGAGGCAACGCTACCTTCATATGAAGTCATGGTGAAGGAGGTGTTAAAATTTCTCGAACCGGTATTAGCGGGGAATCTGAACCGAATGCAAGATACTAAGGCGGAGAAAAAACAAAAATTATAAAAAGATGGAATGAGCCGTGGAGATATAGCTAGGTAAATATCTCAATTCGGAGAGCGGAGAGCTGCGGTGAGGCAGAAAGACTGGCGCGTCCACTCCGCCCTTGATGGTTGTGATTAATGACGTCTCCAGATATACAAGGTATTTTATTGCTTAATTATCCGATGGCTTCAATGCTAAAGCCAATCTTCTTGAACTCAAGGGTGATTACTCTGTCGTGAGCATGTCATTTCTCGGACTTAAAGAATATCAACGTATCAATAATCAAAATCCTCACATATAACCCTCTTTCCACGAAGCCAATCCGTCACACTCTTTCTTAATCTAGGGCTGCCACAAAGATACCACTCCTCTGTTCCATCGAGAACTAAGTCTTTAACATCCAGCCGTCGATGCTCTATCCGGGCGTTAGACTTGGCCACTGATTCTAGCATGCCTTTATCCGCTTCCCCAAGCATGGCTTCCACTCCCTGTAAGCCCGTGAGGAAGAGAACCGTGGAGTTCGGGAGCTCGGGGAATTGCTCAAAAGTGTCGTGTACAATACCAATGTCCCGTACAGCTACCGACCAGTACAGATGGATTCGAGAAATATCGATGGTATGTAGCAGTGCAATTATCGGTGTGATGCCTATTCCGCCTGCAATGCAAGGGAGGATTCTATTCGCAGCGCCAGAGCTTTCAAACCGAAAACTTCCATCAAAACCACGCAGTGAAACTTCCATTCCACTTCGCTCGTTAGCTCTGAATAGGTGGTTTGTGACTCTACCCTTCTTCCGCATTGTGATTTCAAACTCGTCTTGCGATAGATTACGGCCTGGGTGTGACGAGACTGTAAAAGTGCGGATATAATCATCATTGATGCTCGTTGGGTCATCGTCCTGCATATGGCTGTACCCCATATCCAGTTCATCCTTAAAAGAAAGAGTAGCATACTGCCCTGGATCCCACTTCCCTACAATTGAAGGATTCATTATTTGGAAGCGGAACCGGTAGATGGTTGGTGTGATCACTTCCTTTTTTATTAACCTTGCTGGGACTTCTTTTTCTTCTGGTATTTGTGTACCAGGCGTGACTCTCTCGATGGGAAGATATCGCATGGATGGGTTGTAGGGAGAAGGATCTCCGGATATTCCACGAAATGGGAGCCCATTTTTAACGTATCTTGCGGCTGTTAATTTGATTTTAACGACGAGATTTGATCGAGGCAAGAGGGTAGCGGCATCTTTGCCAACGAAAATTTCCGTGTCTCCAGTCGCATAAAGTACGTTTCCATTTTCGAAATCCGGGAAGACAAAGCCGGCACACGGTGTAGTCTGAAGGTTCCCGAGAGACTGATATAGTCGATTTCCCGAGTACTCTGGGTATACAAGGACAGCTCCACTTGGTTCGTTTGACAAAATTCGGACAAAACCGCGGGGCCCACCCCTGATGTTAGTGTCCATAGATTCTTGACGATGGGTTGTTGATAGAAATAGAGTATCTGCCCGATTAAGTAGATCGATTGCACCCCGAGGCAGCTGGGGCGAGTTAGATATCAATGTAGGCTCTGGCTGAGCTGGAACAATGTGTTTCTTGTTTATATATTTGGGGCAATTGCCTTTTTCCGTGTCAGCAACTGATACAGTCTATCCCACTGCCTACGATACGCACCTAGACTGGCGGTGACCTTGAAGACAAGCTGAGCCATCCCAGTATGTTCGGATTTGCTTCGATCTGAATCACCCTTACTCACACAGGCCGCAATCATTCGTCCCATCAGCTTCACTCGTCTCCTATTCTCGAGATCAATAGGCAAAGCGGCCATTAACCTCCCAGAATCCTCGAACTTGACTATTTCCCCATCATTTTTACCATCAACCAACGCTTCTAGGACCGGATTATATTTGAAATCAACGGTATTTCTGGCGGCGATGATCGACGGCGCAATCTCGCCGGCAAAGCCAGGATCACCACCTAACACAGTCGTCCATGGGCGGCCTTCTTTATCGAGTGTTCCTATTGCCATCAAGGGCGATGTTTGCACAAAATAACCACCACCAGGTCTGAGGTTGAGAACCGTGGGGTTGTCTTCGTATGGCACACGCATCAACTTGTGCATCTTCTCTTCGCCCTCGTGCCATGATGCGCTCTCTGCAAGCAGAAAAGCTGCCATGGCAAAATAGTGCAAGTAAAAGAAAGGTGCCTTGGATGTTTTAAGAGGATGTTTTGAGAAAGAATATATGGGCGGTATGCTACGAGCAATCGTGGGATTTGACTTAAGAATGGGAGCCAAACCGTTGATTTAGTTATGCGTCTGAAACTGTTCCAACTTTGCAAACTTGGATAACGATATTCTAAGGTCCCTAGGGGTATCAGAAATGTTGACAAATGTCAATGGGTTTCTCTCCAACCAACACGACCATTCCAAGAGTAAACTCGCAGCGTAACTGCTTTGGTCTCGGCCATTTGGAAACTTTGAAACTTAGGATTTGTCATCAGATTTCAACGACTTGTCCACACCCCGAGGCACCTGGTTCCGCCTCGAGATCCTTGAATCCATTGCGCACGGAGTACTCCATACACTATATAACTAGAGTAAAAGCATTATTAATGAGGTAGATTAAAAATAAACGTCTTCATATTTTCTTTTGCATTGCTAGAGTTACACAAGCGGCCGTCACACATAAATGGACAACATCCACGCACAGATGGCTTTCCAAGACTATCGTGACTCCGACCTTGATTATACAGTTTCTCGAGTTTAGAAACGTCTTTCGACTCTGCTTTTGTTCCTGATGCCGGCTGTCGGCATTTGGCCGAGAACAGCCTGGAGAGGCCGAACCAATAGGATGAGGCCATCGAGTTAAATCCTGACCAATCGGAGGCTTTAGCTCATCGGATGAGCTAAACTATAATAGGATTAGCTTCCGCGTTTGTCTCAAGGTTTCGGATCGGAGAGCGGAACCACAGCATTGCCAAGCGGGGCGGACTAATTAAGATGCGCACCAACCGTCATGGCGTGTCCAGCGGGAGATTTGGGGCCGAAGTACGATAACGAAAGACATTCGGGGTGTGACGAAACTCTTTGCCGGGTTGCAATGCTAACGGCTAGTTTCACGCTGATGGCGTCTTTGGACTTCTTCCTTTTGGTAGATCTGATAAGTCTCCGGCTTGGAGAACGTTCAGAGTTCCTGAATCCTATCAATCTTCGAACCAAACCTACCTACCTAACCACATAGAGTGCTTGGTTGATTAAGATGCCGTTGTTAGATTATTCGCCGCTGCATGAGACGCAGCGCATCTTCGACTTGCTCTGCGGGTTGAAAGATGAACTCTGCTTACCATCAGACACTGAAGCAATCGCTAAAGATGTAGTGTTTACCTCAGAGAAGGACACTGTCTACTTCCCCATTCCGCTCAAAGAAACCGAAACTTCATCCGCACTCAAGGGAATTGAAGCTCTCGTCGCCGCCTCATTGGCGAACTTGAAGTATGGAACCCGTGCTCGCAAAATCGATATCAACTTGGAGCACGCGACGTGCTTCCTCTTCCAAGCATATGTTTCCACCATCGATGGCCTCGGAAAGTACGATGAGGGGGTGAGGGCAAAGCTAAAGGGCATGTAAGCTAAGCTGCTTCCCACTTGTTTCCAGCTAACAACGTTATGCGCGAATAGACACCGACTTGCTTGAGGCGCAGTCTAACCCGTACCGCCGGATGTCGGCGAACCTTTATGCGACGAAAACTCCCGGCGCATACTATCACATCCACGGTTCGTTGGAAGCGACGAAGACGCTGGGAATGATCGGATTGCCGCCATATAGACCGGATTTGAAGACAATAGACGATATAGCACAAGAAATCGAGTCTCATGTGCAGCAGTTTACCATCGAGGAGCTGGAACAAAAGAACAAGGAACTCGGACAGGCCGGAGTTATTGCATTAAAACACGAGGACTTCATCGCAACACCACATGTAGGTTCCGATAAACCGCAACCCTTTCTTCGATAGAGCGACTGACATATTTTTCAAAAGGGCAAAGCCAATGTTGGCCGGCCACCGTGGTCGTTGAAAAATTTAGAGAGTACTACTCCACCGGTTCCTCTTCCCACAGACCCTGCTGGCACGAAACCTCGTGTTTTACAGGGTATCAAGGTCATAGAACTCTGCCGTGTCATTGCCGGCCCGGTCATGGGAAGAATTCTTGCAGAATACGGAGCTGAAGTGCTGAAAGTCACGGGTCCCAATCTTCCGGATGTCCCATTTTTCCAAATTGACGTAAACATGGGAAAGCGCACCACAGACATTGACCTCAAGAGCGAGGAAGGGCGGGCAAAGTTTGAAGAGTTGCTGGCTGACGCGGATATTATTCTGGATGGTTACCGACCCGGGACTTTTGAGAAGTTGGGCTATGGGCCAGAAGCTCTTTCACGACTCGCTGTCAAGCGAAGGAAGGGTTACGTATACGTGAACGAGAACTGTTTTGGATACGACGGAGAATGGGCTTATAGACCGGGATGGCAGCAGATTGCGGATTGCGTAAGTGCCCCAGAGACATCCAGAGGTTTCTAGGCTGCGTTCACTAACGACCCCGTAGGTAAGTGGTGTAGCTTGGGCACAGGGTAAATTTATGGGATTGAATGAGCCCGTTGTTCCGCCGTTTCCCATCTCCGATTATGGTACCGGAGCCATGGGGGCGATTGCTGCATTGACTGGGCTTTACCATCGTGCGACAAAAGGAGGCTCATGGCATGGCCGTGCCTCGCTGATGCAATATGATCTGCTCCTATTCAGCGTTGGCCAATACGACGAGAAAATCCAGGACGAGTTGCGATCCCGGCAAGAGGAGAGTTTCTTTGCCCTGCGCCACCAACACAGCGTCGACCAAATCTCTGGCACAGTTATGAAGACTATGCAAAAGCAGCATCCACACCTGTTTACGCAGCATCGCGAGACCTGGCGCTCGCATGGCTTTAACGCCGACGTGTCAGTCATTACTCCCGTGGCGAAGATTGAGGGCGTTGAGGTCAGTTTCCAAAGGGCCAGTGCACCCAACGGCACGTACGCGCCCGCGTGGGAGTTTCATAAGAATGAGGATGTCAAACTGAGCGATAGCTGATGCTGGAGATATTGAACATGATACTGGAACATTTCAAACGTGATATGTCACTTTTCTTGCTCGCATCTGAGATAGACCCGAAAGTACTCCCATAGATGGTTAATATACACTTGCATTTCTAGCGACCTGGAGTGTTATTTCCTGTAAAGCAAAATGTGAATCTCGCCGCGTGACTGCCAACACTCCCGTGGCACTGTGTTAGGGGCCCGCCTTTGTGTGTGTTTGATGTTTCGGTCTGAGTTGCGTCCCCGGTAAACGCCAGTGTCACTAGCGCTAACTGGCGTGTTTTGCCCTGTGGGGGAATCTGTGCGTCGCAGCCAATGGAACAACGCGGATCTGCAATCCTGTGTGTTCTTCCTCGACGCCATTCCTGCGCCCTTCCAGCAAACGAGAGCCCTGACTGCGATGAATCCGTGATTGTCGACGTCCTCTGAAAATGCTATCGACCTCCAGGCATAGAACTAGGGTCGCATGCTTGTCATGTCGGCGGAAGAAGCTCAAGGTACATAATCCCCGCTTTCGTCCCAACTTTTCGCGACTCGGCCGCTCCGTATACTCTTTGCTGATCTGGTACTCTTGGGGATAGTGCAATGGGCTCCAACCGTGCGCGACGTGTTCCGCAAAGTCATTACCATGTCTGTACGCGAGCGTGTCGTCTGAGCCTCGACGGCACACGCTGAATGAACAACGACCGCTACCGCCTTTTTCACTGGGTGCCTCAGGCGTGGGAACCGCTGCCGCAAACCATTACGCCTCCCGAACTCTTTCCGGCTATCCCGCAATCACACCAAGGCCATATGGGGAGGCCCAAGGTGCGCCTATCCAGGCAAACAGCAGCCTTTTCTATAGTGCGCCGCTCCAAGACCCTAATGAGGAGGAACACCTGAGCGAAGCATCTCGGATGCTCCAGGATGGAAGAGGAAGACTGCGTACGTTCTGTCAATCGCCCTGAGCGCCCCGAAAATGCCTTTGTTTTCCCGGGTATAGCTTGACGACTGCCAGGTTGTTGATTATGGAGCTTTGCTAAAACGAAGTCTGTTGTAGTCTACCTTGGTGACTCGGCGTCTCTATCGTATCTTGACACGATCCGAAGGCTTGTTGAGAAGACAGTCGGAGTGTCAGATTTCACCAGTGATCCTCACAAGCATAGCCTCCTTGAGCTCCCGATATCCACAGGGTTGAAACCGACGCATGTCCTTCCCGATAGAGAAGCGGCCGAATTTCTTCTTGATTCATTCTTCTCCAACGTGAGATTGGCTCTACTGCTTCTGTGGCATTTGATGACGCATTTCCTAACAAGCCCTTAGACGGTAGGGGTTATACAAGTCCTCGACAGAGACGCTTTCATAAATGAGGTTGCTACGATATATTCGAATCCTTTGTCCGTGGAGCAGTCCCGACTTTGCCTTTTAAACTTGGTGTTCGCAGTCGGATTGCAAATGTCCCAGAGCTCGGTAGCGCATAATTTTCGCGAGAGCCAGATCCTAAAAAGACTCGGGTCTGACCTCACGGAGCGAGCGAAAATATTTTACCTAAATGCCGCCCACCTCAATGACCCTGTTTCGGGATTTGAAGATGGAGACATCACTTCTATCCAAGCACTTTTGCTTATCACTCTATTTATGCTTACTATTGCGAAGCGAAATGCAGCATGGGCTTATTTCGGTATGTCTAGATACCTTTGCATATAACCCCGTTCCTCATTATCATTGGCTCGTTTGTCTAACTACATTTAAGGTATGGCGGTTCGATCTGCTTATGCACTTGGATTACATAGAAAAACTACTGCTACCGCATTTACACCCGCAGACCAACGCTTGCGGTTAGTTTTGACCAGTGGTTCCTTGAGAGTTAATGAATTTAAGTCGTTAATAATTGCCTCTTTTTTACTAGGAAAAACATTTGGAGAAGCATGTACATTTTGGACTGTTACCTGTCGGCATCTCTGGGAAGACCGAATGGTATTAGTAGTCGTGACGCAGCAGATTTGTTCACTGATGATGCGGACGATGACCAACATATGTCAGAATTGGAGGTCCTCGAAACCGCTGCACTGAGGGCGTCTGTGCGCGCAGCTCGCTTACTTGGAGAAATCCTCAGCTCTGTGTACGCCGAACGGAAAATATCGGTGAAGTTTGTCCAGAAATCTTCCAAACAGTTTCAAGAATGGAAAGACGTCTTGCCAACTTCTCTCCATTGGCGAAATATTTCCCTCCCAAATGAAGACCCGCGAGCAACTCTAGCCCAGCTACATGTTAACTTGTATTATTTCCATGGGGTAATTTTGCTTACAAGACCATTCCTTTTACAAAAGATCTTAAACCAAGCTAGGCTCCCAAGGGGTAATGGGGAGAATATGAGGTCACCTGAGGCCACAAAATCAGGACCCGGAAGCCCATCCGCGCAGACGGATTCATTCTCGGCGGCCTGTGTGCGAGCTTCGCTATATAGCATTGATATCGTCCAGTCCGCCATTCTCAAGCGGGCGCTTCCTCGTCGAGATCCTTTCGTCATGTGAGTACTCTCGCCATAAACTAGTTGCAAGCAATTGAACTGATCAACGCAACAGTTACTGGCTCTTCTCTGCGAGCTTGATAGTTTTCTCCAACGCATTCTGTAATGTTTACGGGGACACTGATAGCAATCGCGCTATGCAGACATCTCTGGACTTGCATCGCTATCTTGCGGAAACTGATCCATTGGCGCAACGGTACCTTCAAATCCTGACCTCGTTCCATGAGACCATTAGCGGCGACTCGGGCTCTCGAATAGCGCCTTCATCGTCGAGAAATACAAACCAGGCGTTGTTTGCCAACTTTTTTGGCGATAAGCCTCGATTGCAGGGGACTGATGCCGCCGGTTCGCACACCAGCTCCCACACCAGCCCGATGCAACCCATGGACGCCGTAAATCGACGCCCGTCAAGGGATGACCAGGCTTTGCAAGCTACCCCAGCGACTACTGAGACACAAGCTGGAAATGGTAATCGTGAACCAATTCATATGAGTCCCAATTTGACTATCGCGGAAATCTCTCCCCCGGATTACTCGTTGGACTTTGATAATTTCCTGAGCCTGGTCAGCCAGAGCGAGACGGCGTACCAACTAAACACCCAATGAATCATAAGATCGGATAATGGGCTTGGGTGCGAATCGTGCCACTTTATTTTGAGTCGGGTTATGTCACTGCCACCAGAACCCTCGACATTATCCCGGCTGGTAGGTATCCCTGGAATGACTGGCATTCGGCATTTCCATTTTGCCGCACGAGCCACCGGTGGACTTACCGGCTGGGAGTCGGACTATCATTTCCCACCAATGGATAACCATCCTCGGGTGTGTAGGCCCACATGTTCGGACCGACATGGTCGGTTCTTGGCGCGACCGAATATCAAAGGCAGTTCACACCACGCCTCCAGTCTGTTGTTATTTGCGACTGCTCTGCATTTCTAGCACCATCCGAAACTTCGAGAAACAACAATAGACATCATGACCGACATTAGTGACTTCTTCAAAGCCTTTTTCGCGACCTCAGACGACGGTACAGCACATGAGAAGTATCCTACATTTTTCGCCGAAGATGCGAAATTGATCATGGGCGACAAAGTCGCCGTTGGACGTGCGGGTAAGAGCACCCTTTTTATGACGTAATTACCGTACATGGTTCAACTTTCATCCATCCTTCTCTATCCCTGATGAGCTTAGCATTGCGCCTCTACCGCTACGGATGTGTGATTGTTCAACCTGGTTACTGACCAATTCACAGATATTCTGACAGTTCGCCAAGGAATGTGGTCAGCAGTATGCTCGCGACACCATACCTACACATGCTTCACATCTCCAGAGAGTCCAAATACGGTCATGCTTGCAGGAAATGTGAAATATGGCATGAAAGATGGAAGCCAGAAAGAGACCGATTGGGTCGCGAAAGCAGTATTTGAAGGCGAGGGGAGTGATAGAAAACTTGGATTTTATCAGGTTTTCTTGGTAAGTACTGGTCATGATAGGATGTTGTCACGAAGTCTAACGGCTCTTTATAGAATGCAGGGAGAAAATGAACGTCGCCATGAAAGATTACGATCTTAAATGTGATATAGGTTATATTATCCTATTTACCTAATTTTTTGTGGCTTCCTGTCACCGGCTTGATAGCCCTCTTTAAAACTGCAATCTATGATAACTCGCTCAAAAATGCGCCAACCACCTTCTGGACTTCTTCCGGAGCTTCCAGTACATGCCAATGGCCAACACCACTCAACACATTCAAAGTCTTTATCTCACTCTTATATCCTTCCAAAATCTTCTCGCATCCGGAGAGCGGAGCGGATTTGTCCTCTTCGCCAGCCAAAAGCAGGACGGGAACTTTGATACTTGCGTAATCTGGGACTGGTGCCTCTGCAATGGTACGACACAGGGAATTGTATCCATCGGGATTTGTGCCGATGAGTAATTGTCGAATGAAAGCACGAACCAGTGCGCTGCAGCGCGTCCCCGTTGCAGCTTGTGGGATTGTAGTAGCCATAGCTTCCATGCCCTCTGGAAAGATAACAAAATTAGCGTGCTCTACAGTTTGTTTTGGTTGCTTGTTTATCTTTTTGAATTGTTCAAGTATATGCATTGAGATTGAACTTACGCTCTTCAACGATCTTTATTCTCTTTCCAAATACTTCTGCGGCAGCGGGATTCGGATTCACCGGCCCGATCAAGACGACGGCTTTGACTCTCCCGTTCACATCGGAAGCGGCGAGCTGGGATGCAACGATGCCGCCCATGCTGTGACCAAGCACCACCACATCCTTCTCAATTTGTAATGCATCCAAAAGGCTGGTTGCATCAGATGCTATGCTGGAAATGCTATTGCCGGCCTCGGCGTTGTAGATCGATGCTCCACTGCCATGGGTGTCAAGAGTGATGCAGCGATGGCCTAGGGATGAGATGTATGGGATGATAGGGAAGTAGAAGGAAGACGAAGATCCAAGACCATGGATGAAGAGAAGGGTGAGTGGGTTGGAGCTGCTGGTGGAGGTAGAGGACGGGGGGGTAAGGGTGTAGTAGAGGGACTTGGAGTTTATTGTTTTGAAAGGCATTCTGATAAAACTTGTTCTATGGAATGTCTTGCGCTACTAGATTGATGGATGCATCTAACGCGATACTGGGCGCTGAAGGGCGGCTTATGCGATAGTTTCTGGGGAACTCCCGCAGGCAAGCGGGAAATTCACGGAAAGCCGGAAACTCCATCGATGAGTTATTCCAACCTTCCCCCGAACTCCCGAAGTAACACTACGTTTACCCGGGGATAGAAACTGGCACGGAGCTGTCGGGTGACGAAATTGTTAGTTCTCGGGAATGGCGTCCCGGGCTCGCGGGACGCTCACCAGACCGAACCAATTGGAAGTTGAAACCCAGCCTGGCATCGGAAAGGCCCGACATAATCTCCGAACCAATCAGGGTGAATCTATTGCAATCGTTACCCGACTCGCGTGGCTGAGGTGGAAGTGGCGGGGCATGAGCAATTCTCAGCGCATTTGGAAGATCGAAGCCTCTTTGTTGTTACCCCGTGGGGAAAGAAGATGCTATGTAGGACAGCTCCGCTTTGACTGTAGACGTCCCCACTGCGCGCAGACAAAGACTAGTTAGCATTCTATTCTAGTCTATTGTTATATCAATAATTATGAAGTCCAATACTCCGTAGAGGAATGATGTTTCTTCTAAACTGATCTGTACACACACATATAACACAATCATCCCTTAGCTTATTTTCTCCAGCTCGGCGTTACGGCGTGTACTTGTAGCTGGGATGGTTATGTCCCAACGCAGCCTGCTCTTCCTCATTGAGCCCTTGTAACAAATAGTCGTAGTGACCCCTTGCCTTCAGCTTGTTCTGCCATCTGAGATATATTGTTGCAATAGTCATCAGAACACAGCACACCACTGCTGCCCCGAAGTTGATTGCATGGCCAGAAATATACCTGGGCGCATCCGGAAGCAGATATGTCCATGTGGCCACGATTCCTCCGAGATTTGCAATGCTGACCACATAAGCGGAACTCACAGCACGGACGTTGGAGCCAGCAGTGTTATCGACAGCCCAAGCCACAAGCATTGGTGCACAAGTGAATGATCCAGTGAGCGTAAGGAAGGTAGCAAAGTAGAGGATGGCCGGCTTGGTCGCCAGGATCAGTACCAGGAAGCCAGCGGCGGTGAAGGGCATGATTGTCAGAAGCCAGAGACCACGAGACTTTGTTCGATCAGAGATATACGCGATGGCGAGGCAGATAGCGGCAGACCACGCGAATGGGGGCACAGACATCAGCTGTGACTGGACAGGGCTGTATCCCATGCTGTTCAGAATGGATGGAAGGAAAATGGACAGTGAAGTCATGGTAAGGAATGTGCAGGTACAAGCAAATGCCATTATATTGACATTGATGTTGAACACAGCCATTTTAAAGTGTTTCGATGAAGTCTTTTGCGGAACATGAGATCTGCTCTCTTCGGCGATGCGCCATGCGGCGTAAGATCGCTCTTCCGGTGTAAGACCTGATGCTGTAGCCGGCGATTTCGGTAACATGGTGTATGATATCACGCTGAGAATGATGGAGAGCAGGCCCTCGAAGAAGAAAATATTCCTCCAACCATGGACCATTCCCCATTTAGGGACTTTATTAAGGCCAGTGGCCAGGAGCCCGCCGAATGCACCGCTGCAAACGTCAGCACGCGATGCCTTTCCGGGGTCATATGTAGAGGTGCTTACCTGAGAGGCGCAACGCTGGAGTAAAATCCTATCCTGGTTGCAAGCTCATGTCGGCGATAACTTTGCATAACATTAGCACCTACAGTTAAGGAATTTTGGGGGAAAAAAAAACTTACAATTGAGAGAGGGTGAAGCTGATTCCAGGCATGATCCCAGATTCAAGTGCCCCAAGGAATACTCTCCCGACGACAAGGCCTTCATATGATGTGATGAACGCCGTGCACATCGTAACTATACCGAACCCAAAGCTAAGAAAGGAGAGCCAAATCTTGGGTCCCAACCATTTGCACATCATATTTGCTGGTCTTCCAATTGCTTAGAGTCAATCCAGACGGGTTTCTAGGATTCGAGCTTACATCTCAAGAACGATGTAGCTACAGTAGAAGCCGGTCATTGCAATATTAAACCGGTATCCGCTAAGATCCAAGTCCTTAGCCATACCAAGGATTCGTGCATTGCCAGCATTCGCCCTGTATTGCTAGATCAGTATCTCAACCTGCTTTTAGAGGGACTTGGATATTTCACACCTATCAATAAAAGCGAGTAGGAATATTCCAGTGACAATAGGCAGGATCATCAGATCGAATTTCCTCCGAAGTTTTGCTTCAAGGGCTGGGTCGTCTCCATATGTTTCAACTTTATCCTCCTCAACACCTGAGGTGATGCTCGCCTTCGAAATCTTCTCCGACATTGTTAAAAATCAACACGTTCCTACCTCCAACTAGTGCAGCGCTTTTGATGCAGACAGGGAGTATCAGTTGCTGGCGCGTCGTTTCGAGCGCTTGTTCTCCATCCGGGCCCTTTTCTCCAGGGGAGTGATGGGGTCTCGTTTGTATATATGTGAATTTCCCCGCTGGATATCCACAACTCCTGCTTTAGTAGCTTTAACCCCGGATCTCGAAAAAGTTCGAACACTAATTGCCAACCTCTCTAAGCTCGGTCCCATGAATGCCAGAAAGTGCCCTGGTGGTTGCTAGGAATGTCATCTAGTGGCCAGCCAAGGCACGAGAGCCGGTCTAGCGTGGACAAAGCCAGAGCCAATCGCCTAGCCTGACACCCCCGTGAACTCATATGAAGTACGAGTTCATATTCAAACGGCTGAGAGAAACGAAACGTTTTGTAATGCGGATCGGCTCAAGCTCGCAATTCTTCATGATACATAGCAGAGTTGACCAATTTTTAGATCGCTATCGACGCGCGAAGAACGCGCTCCCTGTAAGGCAGAAGGGGCGCGTCTCCTCTTGTGGATAGGGTCTACGGAGTCAACTAGAATGCGAGAGTTTGTGGCCCCATCCTCCGCCATGCGTCTGGGGTTCTCCATTCAAAGTTGCCCACCCCACCGAGCCCACAAGTCGTAGTGCCTAGAGCTCTTCGAGCCGTGGTCCCCTGGTTTCATGGCTGGCCCAATTAAACGACTTTCCGATCCGGTCGGATGCGCCAAAGCTGTGATGGAGAACTTGGCCACGCGAAGTCCGGGTAACGGGCAAACTGAGGCAGCGGACGAGCTCAACTGAACGGGTGACCAGGGTGTCATAGTCGGCTGCCCGCTTGGTGCGATGGAGAGCGAAATCCGAGTGGTCTTCGCTGAATTGTCCATGGGCATGCAAGGTTCCCGAGCCAGATTTACCTGACTTTGGTCTGAAGCTGACTGTGCGCGTTACCTTCGAAGTCCGTTTTATGAAGTTTTGTCGTATGAGCGTGATGACTTGGGATGAGAGCCATATAACCTGGCTTGGTAAAGATTTTAAGGTCTCGGAACATGTATTCAGTGGTTGTCTATACGACTTGAGATTTTGGCATGGAAGATTATTTTCACATTCCAAGAATGAATATAGTTCTGTAGTTGGTGATGATATGTAGTTATGTACAGTACATCAGATGGAGACCAACCAACCCCAGTTCATAGACTCATATACAACATTTCCCGTTGGAAGTATGACAAGATAGTGGAGAGAAGAGAAAGATAGTCAAAAATATCAAGATAGATCTGTCATTATTTTTTCTTTTTCGTTATTTTTGCCTTTTTAACCTTGTTTCTTGAGTTTCAAGTCGTACTGAACTTCTCTGGTTGCCTTGTCATCTCCTTGCAGAGGCTTGAATTCAACCACAAGAGAGTGCTTGACAGCAAATACGGAGTCATTGGCAAGGTATTTGTCCTCGCTATCAAAGATCTGCGTGGTAATTGGTTTATAGTCCTTGTGTTGGGCCTGCATTCCAAGTCAGCCAATGCCACTTTTCTAGGACTTGTAGCGTGGTTGTTTGACTTACAATCAAGTGAATGTGAGCTGGACGCATTGGGTGTCTATCAAGGAGTTGAAGTATCTTTCCAGCCGGGCCTTTGCGTTTGACAAGTTAGTAATGTTCATACGCGCTGATTACGAACCAAGGAAGAGCCTACCGTCGTAAGGAATTGGGTATGGGGTTGGCCTTAGGCAGTAGAGGGAGTATTTTCCGTCCTTGTCTGTGGTGAATCTTCCTCGAAGGTTGCAATCTGCCTGCTCTGGATCTTGTTGCTCGTACAATCCGTTGGTGGATGCCTCCCAGACATCGATCACCACTCCCTCAATTGGCTCTCCGGTAACAGAGTCAACGACTCTGCCGTGCATATAGGTGACCTCGCCGCCCTCGGCAGGAGGGGTTTTGATAATGCTCGAGCCATTAGGATAGTGAGGAGCGTCGGTTCTGAAGAAAGGGCCGAGAATAGCGGTGGCTGTAGCGGCATCGGGTGCGTTAGCAGCGCGAGAGAAAGTAATTTCATCAACGAGACTGTACTGGAGTTAGCTATTTTGTATCCAATCGGGGCCCGGAGGCGGACAGGAATGGGAAAGAGCAAACATACGATTCAAGACCCAAAACGTCGCATACTAGCTGTCCCTCATTTCTCTTGTCATTGCTCATCTGGCCGGCCCAGTTGACTAGGTTCACACCGGCCATCCATTCGTCAACGGTAAGTTCGACCTCGCGAGCGAAGTCATGGAGATGGCGGATGAGCGAGGTAATCACCTCTCGCATACGAGGGTCTGTCTTTGGACCTGTGGCATTGATGACATTTTGGGTGAAGTTGGGATCGAACTTGTCAACCATTTTGAACGGCTTTATTCGTATGAGTTGAAAGAGCGGCGGAAAGGAGTATTTCTCAAAAGACTGACGGAAGGAATTCAAGAAAGTTGAGACGATGAAGATTTGAAGGATGCAACCTTCGCAGTGAGGAAGATATATGACCAGTCAGCCCTCATGTTCAAAAGGGCAGACGGAAGCGTCTTCTGCCGTTTGGGATCATGATGGCCTGAGATATCCTGGCGGCCGAAATTTCTCCCCTGCCCGGAACCCCACCATGCCTACCCCACAGTTCTCCAACACGACGGCGCGACTAGCTCCCGGGTGCCAAGATGAACTCGGGCCGGAATGCATTCTCATTGGCGGGTATGTATCAGAGAGAGCTTTGGTACCTTGGCGTTAGCTCCGGGAAGCGGATTGGACTCTGATTGGCTCCGCTATTAGAGTTCCGTTTTCCTCCACATGGCGGATCCACACACCCGCCGGTTTCCGCTGATGGGAGAACTGGAGCAAAGGGGCGATGCGCCAAATGCGGGGAGACACAACATGGCGGGGTAATGCGGATGGAGTAGGATCGGCAGTATTGATTCCGTCGGGTAATATGTACTCTGTATTTATTCTCTGAAAGACACTTTGATGTCTTTGAGCTCCATCTGTCATCGCCCAACCTATTCTCGCCCTCTCCATTGAATCTTTCTCTTGAGACTTCCTTGAACCCGTCATAATGCTCGGAAAGATCACTCTTGAAGACCACTTCAATACCCCAGAATTTGCCGAGAAGGCAAGATGGTGGGCTGGATTCTTCGCTACAGATCCTGATCGCCACGTTCGCGAAATTTGCGATCTCAACAACATTCGACTTCAGTATGCCGATGAGTACGGTGTTGGATACCATATCTTAAGCTATACTGCTCCTGGTATCCAGGACATCACCGATCCTGCCGAAGCACTGAGGGTCGCCAAATTTGTGAATGACTGGGCGTATGAACAGATCAAGGACAAGCCAGACCGCTTTGGCTCTTTTGCCTGCCTTTCTATGCACGACCCCGCCACCGCAGCCGCTGAATTGAGACGATGCGTTGAGAAATATGGCTTCAAGGGTGCCCTCGTGAACGATAATCAGATTGCTTCAGACGGAAAGTCGCTTATCTTCTATGATAAACCAGAGTGGGATGTCTTCTGGCAAACCTGCGTCGAGCTAGATGTTCCCTTCTATCTCCACCCCAAGCAGCCCACCGGCGTCGTCTATGATACCCTTTGGGCAGACCGCAAATGGCTCGTCGGTCCACCGCTTAGTTTCGCACAGGGCGTATCCCTCCACCTCATGGGAATGGTGTCTAATGGCGTCTTCGACCGCAATCCTAAACTGCAGGTGATCATCGGTCATTTGGGAGAACATCTTCCTTTCGATCTGTGGCGTATTAACCACTGGTTCGAAGATATTAAGAAGCCGATTGGTATGCCTATTGAGAAGACCATCCGCGACTACTTCCGCGAAAACATCTGGATCACAACTTCCGGCCACTTCTCGACTCCAACTCTAAAATATTGCATCGAAGAGTTTGGCAATGCGGATAGGATTCTATTCAGTACGGATTATCCGTTTGAGAACTATAAAGACGCCTGCACGTGGTTTGATAATATCAAAGGCTTAGAAAAAGGACAGAAAGCTGCAATTGGAAGGGAGAATGCGAAGAAGCTCTTTAAATTGGGAGCGTATAAGGATAGTGAAGCGATAGTCGAGGATTGAATTGCTGCCCATGTAGTTATATGATAGAACATTATGATCTTAATGTATTAATCTGCTACCATTTAAGTGATTCTTTGTGAGGAGGGCAAGTTGGGTTAAATTCACTAATGCATGGTATAAAGTATGCAAAAGAATAAGGAATCCAAGGTCAAAAATAGGAAACAGAAAGATATAATCATGTAACTTTCCGGTAGTCATAAATCATTGGATCGTAAGTCATTTTTCAGTGAATAAGCTCAGAACCCCGAACCGCACCCATACCTTGGATATGCAAAAAGAATTAGACGACCGAACTGCCCCTTGACACGCCGTCGCATAAACACAACATCCAACGAAAAGATATATACCACGGGAAGAGTAAGCTGCTCATATTTGTGTGCTAGAATACCACCGCTCCCAGATTGGCGTTCCATCGGCGGTGTTTACTCTTAGCAGCGGTGGTCTTGGCTTGTTCTTTAACTGTTTTCCAAAAACATAGTGAGCACTCTGAGTATGGCCCAGCCACAAAACAGATGCACTTGCTTCGAAGAGGAATAGATGACAAGAACTCACATTCTTCCCAGGTCAGGGGCTCCTTTGTAATTTCCTTGGCTTCCCTCCAATTATGCATGCACCATACAGCTACCAGGAAGTCCAGATATTCTTTATCCACGTTGGATCCGACCCTCAGTTCTATTTTTGGTGGTGATAATTCCACCTTTTTCTCTTTATCCCAAAGCCGCCGTGTTTCCATACCAATATTGTGATCACTGTTCTTGTCTCGCCATTCGTAAAGCTGGGTGTCAGAATCAGGGGGGCTAGTGGGACGAAGTATAAAGGAAGGCAAACCCCGCCCGCCAGCTGCCCAGCCCTGTCCGTTCCTGGTGATTTTCCTACTCATATATCCTTTCTTACCTGATATATACCGCAGCCCATCAATTTCGTATTTTGCCGGTCCGATATGTAATGACGGTGCATCTCGAAGAGCGAATACATCTCGCTTTACAACGGGACGAGAAAGGCGAGCAGGGTTGCGATCAATTCGGGTCAGGAGGACCCCAGTGAGGTTCAGCTCATGGCCATCTAGTGCATGACTAAGACTATAGACTGGTTCTGGCCTTGAGAGCGAAGAGTAAATGAACTTTCCTTCAATAGTAAGCGTTATCGGCTCGTGATTCGTGATAGCATGCTCGGACGACTCTGTTGATAGATTAACCCCAATCGCTGTGTCATAGTCCGGGGGCGGCGCCAATGGGGCGGATGGCACATTGTATGCGGGTGGGATCTCTCTCGCCGCAGAATTACCCTGATTTTCATTCCAATGTGAAGTGGGGTCCATCGCGTGGGTCCTGCTTGCATGTAAACTTCAAGGCATAGAGCTGCGTTCGAGGAATCAGCCGCGGCTGGCACAAGGCAAAGCGATCTTGCAGCGTGACCTTGATGTAACTCACGGGTATAGAGCACGGTGACCGGGATGTCTGGTTTTGGAGAGGAAGGAGAAAGCCCTTTGTAGGAGAGAGACGGTATCGGATCGTCGTGGAACGTTGAGAATGCAGAATAATGTCGCACAAACACGCGACGAGCTCAGACCGTAGAAAGACGGTGATGTGGCTGACTTATGACGTCACGTTGCTTTGGATGTTTTTTCAGCGCAATGGGCGCGATCTCTCGGAGGGACATGCGCTCTGCAGCATGGACAGTTGCATCGTGAGAGGTTGCCTAAGACCCCAGAAACGAAATGTGGGGATAATGTGGTAAGTAAGTGTCGCGAGGCGGCGTGTGGGCCGAAGTCGGCGCCATAGCGAGTTAGTTATATACGGAGTATATAACTTACTTAGTGAACGAAGTACTCCGTAGTTTAGTCTATTTTTAGAATAGATGAGTAACTTAACTAAGCTTAAACTCACCACCGAGGCATGTATGCGTTGACAAACCACTCGTTGACATCGAGGAGCAGAACCTCGATTCTCTCCAGCAACCTCTGCCCACCTTGCTTGAGCCATTAACAGGGCCTTGAGTTTACAAACATCCTAACGCTGCCATGACACTCTGGGAACCAACGACACGTTCTCTTGACAAGGATGCACTGCTCGCATGGACCTTTTTTCCCGCTGTCTTCGTATTTTAAGACATTTTTCGATCTATCAGGCGAACAATGATAGCTAACCCACAAAGACCGCTCCAGCCTGTCCAACCAATAGCGCGATGCTAGAGAACCCTGATCTTTTGACAGCATGGAATCAAATCAACCGGATAGGCGGATGAGAGAGATCGACGGTAGCAGACACTTTCCTCCGCAGGCTCGGATATATCTCCGGGCGGTCTATGAACGATTCGAGCAGGGTCCTCCCAGCGGAGTACTCCGCTTGGGCAAGTCTGCTTTGGGTTGATTCGGGATAAGATATGCAGGTCTCAGACCTGATCACGCTGCCGCTAATCAGGCACCCATCTGGCACATTGAGTGCCCGATAGAGTCCCAGCCGCACATTCCATGTTCACAGGCCAGAATGGGATGGACTACACGGATACTGTCAACTGCATTCAGGCCTGGAGGGAAAAATCTGATCATTCAAACTTCGCAACGATCTCGTGCTGAAATTGCGCAGAGAAATGATCTCTTTTTTGTTGAGCTCCCAATATTGGGCCTCGTCTCAATGGTGGAACTGCTATTATGATATCCTATATTATTTTGTTTAACTTTGCTTAGACTTTCTTTCAATCGAGCCAGGACAGCGGACTCGGATCATTTCCACGGCAGGCTCTTCGACATCTATTGGCTGGGGATATGGCCTTGCCTTGCTTTGCAGGACGCACTTTGGGCTCAGTGAAGTCCTGAGAGAGGACAAAGACAAGCGACACCTGCTACATTGCTTGGTATTACGGAGTCTGGATAGTGTACAACGCGGGCACACATGCATTCCGGAGATATTAACCTCACCTCCAATCGGAGGGATATGGAATCCCGCCGAAGTACTCCGTACAAAGCTAGGAAAAGCATCGTAGTCCGCTGTAGAGCTGAGAGGCAAACTCAAAATCACTAGCCGTGGCCATACTCAGGAAAGTGAGACATCCTGTGTCAAGTGGGTTAATATCACCGGTTCAAAAGATATAAAGATGGCCTGAATCCCACATTTCCCTACTGCTTTTTCCTATCAGGCCCCGAGAACCTTAGCATCGCTCTATTTCTATCTACTCATACACGACAGGCAAAGCTTTAGCCAGTTTTAATACATAATGCATCTCAAAACGCTCCTTCTCGCTGCCTTCGCGGCCACAACTGCCCTTGCAGGCTCTGCCGGCAACGCTATTGTTGAAAACCATTGCCCATTCACAGTCTTTCTTTGGTCTGTTGGTGGCTCTATCGGTCCCAAGCATGTTCTGAAGCAAGGTGGCGTCTACAGCGAAAAAATTCACCGCGATCCCCAGAGCGGCGGTATTGCCATCAAGATTACCCGTGTTGACGATGGAATTTTCAACAACTCCCCACAGACCAACTTTGCATACAGCTTAACCGACACGAGGGTCTTTTACGATCTGTCCGACGTCTTTGGCGATCCGTTCTCCGGCAGCAAAGTCCTCCTTGACCCAAGCGATCCCAATTGCGCGGACATCTGTTGGCCAAATGGCATTCCGCCTTCGGGAAGCCAGGTCCGCGACTGCAATGCGGGCACCGATCTGAAACTCACACTTTGTGCCTGAAGTTGTGAAGACTTCACTCCGTGACCAATGAGATCGGTTATCAAGGTATGTTTCGATCAGAGATACAGAGTACTCGCTTTGGTTATGGTTCTAAGTTGTCTTAGTGATTGGTTTTCACGATGAGATGTGTTTCTGGCCTTTATATTAGTAGTCGAGGTGCAGGGGGATGTGGCCTTGTGTGTCACCGTGGTTTTAATGTCAAATGTCAGTGTATCCATGTATATGTTGCGATTCCTTGCAGTAAATATATGGGTCTCTCTTTCACAGCGCTATTACATCTATATCTAGTAATATTTAGGGTTTATTTTAATTTATTTGAATATATTGCCATTCTCTATATCGTTCTGGATACGACTTCTTGCCTGCTGTGGACGTTAAAGTTATGCTGATACGTATAGATGTAGTCGGTAAGCCGAAGGGTTGGGATTTCGTGGGGAATGATGTAGTGACCGTGGAACGAACTACCGTTTGTCCATGTTCCGAAAATCTGTGCTCGTATTCTCAGTCTAACGTCCATGCATGAAGGGTAAACAAAACACCCAACGCCGCCAAAACTCCCTCGAGGAATTGCGGGTCAAAGAAAAGTAAAAGAAACGAGAACCAAAGGTGCCACGCCCGCTCATTCGAGCGGCGGTGGGTAAATGGGTCGCACAAGACTTCCTCCGTGCATACGGAGTAGTCCGGATGGTAAATAGGCGACAAATTCGTATCCAACTTCCCTCGGGGTTCAAGAGATCTCGGTTTGACATGATCGGGTCAACTTTCGGAGCAGGTTAAATTTATTATTTCTGTGGGACAGATTGACGCCTGACTTGACTGCGCCATTTTCGGAGTTGGGGTTTCTTTCCAATCAAGTGCGTTGAAGAGAAGAAAAAATATCCTGCTAACAAATGTAAATGAAGATAATGAGCTTAAGATTCATAATGGGTCTTAGTACTACGTAAATGGTTATTGACGTGGTATATAAATCAGCCATGGATTATATGGGTATCCTGCTCCCTCTTCATTCAATAAGTTTGGTCAGATATTGAAATCCGAACTTTTTACATAATAACTTCATTGGCGACGTCCTATAACCCCAAATTAGCATATTGTAGGGTATTAATCGGAGAAACGGCGGATGATAGATACATACCCGCTTCAGCTCTTTGTAAGGAAGGCAGACGCAATTCTGCACTCGGACTTCATCACCAACACCGCATTCCTTGCCAAGAATTGTAATGCTCTGCACCTTGACCCCATTTTTTATAATGGAGGTGGAATGGCTGCCAGTTGGAATGGGTGTGCCTTCAACACGTGCCCATGCCCCAACTCGACTGCTCCATCCAATGATCGAATACAAAACGCACGCATCATGTTTGATTTCGGCATCTTCAAGAACAATGGATTCCTTAATTCGTGCACCTGCTCCAACCACGGCACGAGCACCAACGGAGACATTTGGTCCGAGTTTTGCGGTTGGATCGACGGTAGCAGTGGGGTGAATATAAACTGGTGGGACAATTGTAGCTGATGGGGCCGCTAGCTCCTCCGATCCGGACTGGAAAGCCTTTTGGAGGTAGAGAGCATTAGCTGGTACAGCGGAGCCGGCGGTCTTGATTTGACGCCAGAAATCTTTGGTTTCATGGACGAAGAAACGGTTGCTGTCTGCTAGATCGGGAAGAATATCCTGCTCAAGACGGAGGACCTCGCTCTTCTCGCCCTCGTCATCCTGCTCGGCGCCATAGGAGGATTCCAGGTGCTCAGAAGATGGGTAAGAGAACAAGCGGGGCCGGGCGGTGCGACGCTTAATCGCGCTTTTAATTGAAGGAAAGATGCATTCCGTGGCAAATAGGTAGACACCACAATTGATCAAGTTTGAGATATGAGACTCAGGCTTCTCGACATAATGCAGGACACGCTTTGTATGGGCATCAGAGACGATGCAGCCAAAGTTTGTTGCCGTCTCGTTGCTGACTCGAGTACCCAGGATAACCGCCTCAGCATCCTTTTCTACAAACAACTTGAGCATTTCGACCAACGGGAACGAGCAGCAAACGTCTGCATTCAAGACGAAGAATCGTTCTGGACGGCCCTTGAGGATCGCATCACGGAAGTGGTAGAGGCCACCCGCAGTACCCAATGCTCGGTATTCCCTCAAGTATTGAATTTTGAATTGTGGGAACTCCTTGAGAGAGTCCTTGATAAAATCACGGAAGACAGTCTCGTCGTAATATCCGATCAGAATAACTTCGCGGATATCGGGAATCTTGGTCACAGCCTTTAGAGCATGCCAGATGATCGGGTGGCCAGCAACTTCGAAGAGGGGCTGAAAAGACGCATTGCACAAAACATTAGCCAAACGAAAGGGCCAGGACACCCCCTGGGAAGCGTGATTGTTTGTTTACGGTACCTTTGGCACGTCGAGAGAGAGGGGTCGAAATCTGGTTCCTCGGGATGGTCCTCCAACCTGCCAATTGAATTGTCAGTGGCTGTGAATATATAGGGCTTAGAGAGAGGGGAATATTATCCCACCAAGATGACAGCTTTTGTTGTTGAAGCCATATCTGTGTTGCGCTCTCGAAGGGGAACTTGCAGCATGGAAGTCGATCTGGAGGCGGAAAAAAGTGGTGACCGGTTTTTCTTTTCTTTCTTTCTTTCTTTCTTTCTTTCTTTTGCCTTCAATTACCTGTTGTCTTGTAATCGCAATGAATTAGCACTTGGTTTCCACTCGGTCCTTGATTGTTTATGCACGATGGGTGGGGGCTGCGCTGGCAGCGAGAGGGCTCGACTGTTCCGTACCGCGATAGAAGGAGGGAAGGTTGAGGGCAGCTTGGGACCAATTCGCAATGCGATTTCAACTGTAAAGGAGCTCAACAGAGTCAGGACGGGAAGAGTTTACAAGCCGAGCAGCGAGAAGGTCCCAGTGAAGGTTTTCCACCCCTTGTTTTGAAGCGGGCGATGGAGCTGCTGTTGAGTTACCCCCTGGCGAGCTGACGAACCTTCGTCTGACGCCAGGACCACGTGTTCCGCCCACACAACAGCGGTCATCAACTCCACAGCGCCGCCATTGCCATCGACATCCGCCTCGCTGGCGGCTGCTCCAGCTACTGTTCTCCTCTGTCTTCTTCCAGCAACATGGAAAATGTGGGCAGCTGGCAGACACCAGGTTTTACTTTAGTTAGTGTACTCTGACATAATTCTGGTTCTGAATTCTTCTGTGAATGTCATTTTATCCCTCTGGTTGCGCGTTCTGCTTGCTGCATGGACCCGGGCCTGAGCGAATCTGATGCCTGATGGTACCGCTTATCAGTAAGAGTTGACATGAAAGAACATCATGAAGGCTGCAGGCTCCGCAGGATGGAAGAATGCCCGGAAATCTCCGGATTTCCAGGTTCCTTGATGTGTTCCTTTTCGGGCTGGAAACATAACACAGCCTAAACAAACACATCCTACCTCCCCTCTCAATTTTCTTTCTTTTTTTCTTTCTTCCTTTCCCCCCTCCCTTCTCTGCACACATATATTGTCTTCCGACCTTTGTTTTTTGTTTTTTTCCCCTGTCATCTTCGTTCCAGCTTCTTTGGTCTGGAGCTGGCTGAGCCACGCCTGGGTGGATCAGTATCATCTCCCAGCGGCCCTTCAAATTCGAAACTCGCTGCCTGGCGCGATCTTTTGATCTTGTCGCTCTCTTGATTCTATTTTGCCTGACGCGCAGCTCCAAAACCCCCGTCAGTCTCCAAACGACGTACATTTTCCTGTAGCTGCCGGCGTTCCCTTGATTACCTCTGCTCTCCTGTTGGTAGCGTGCATTGACTATCCTGGAAATTCACTATAACTGCTTATCCAGCAATATCTCGACCCCTCGCCCACACCTGGATTGGTCTTCATGATTGATTACGACTTGCTGCTCACAGGACTGCGAATCTTATCGGACTTTCCCAGTACAAATTTTTGAGTTTCGCACCTGGACATCAGTCATGGAGTTACCTTCGTCTAACTTGGCACTTCGTGAAAGCACTCCCCGTAAGTTTCGACCCATTCCGTTCCAGGTATTGTGCTGTCATCTAACGTACTTCCAGATACAGTGCGAGAGGACTCCCCGGGCCTTGAGGCCACTAACAAATCTATTGACATCATGTCCCAGAGCATGAAAGTAATGGTCAAGAGAATACAGGACCTCAGGCACATTGGAGTCGAAAACAGCGGGCTTCCTCTCCCAAAAATCGTCGTTGTCGGCGACCAGAGCACCGGAAAAAGCTCGCTCATTGAAGGCATTAGTGAGATCAAAGTCCCGCGAAACGCCGGATGTTGTACTCGTTGCCCCATGGAAATAAACTTGTCTGAGTCCGATACCCCTTGGACTTGTCGTGTGTTGCTGATGAAGAAGTACATATATCTTCCGAAAAAATCAGCACCGACATCGCGCAATCCCCTGGGGCCATGGATTGAACAAGAACCTGAAGAGTTTCTATTTGACACGTTGACCGATAAATCTATGCTACGGGATGTATTAATGTGGGCCCAACTAGCTACTCTTAACCCTGGAAGGTCTTACAAAGAGTTTATGCGGGAGGAAAACCACGAAACAGAGACCTATCTACAAGTAAAGTTCTCACCAAATGTGGTTCGTTTGGATATTTCAGCGCCCAAATTTCCAAATCTCTCCTTCTATGACTTGCCCGGCGTTATCAACGTTGCCGAGGTAGACGAGGAAAAATATCTGGTTCCATTGGTTGAAAATTTGGTGGAAGAGTATATCAAAGCTGATAATACTATTGTCTTGTTGACAATGCCTATGACGGATGACGCGACAAACTCGAGTGCAGCCCGAATTATCAGAGAAGTGCGCGGCGCTAGGGATAGGACATTTGGGGTTTTGACAAAGCCAGACCGGATCGATGCCGGATATGAGCAATGGCAGGAACTACTTAGTGGGGAAAAGTTCTTGCTTGGTCACGAATATTTTGTGGTTAAGAATAACTCTGATCCGATGGTGGATCACTCTCAAGCACGAGAGGAAGAGCAAATTTTTTTTGCCCATCCTCCATGGGCGGCAGAATTCGCAAAGTACAGCGACAGATTTGGCACAAGAAAGCTTCAGGCTGCCTTGTCAAGTCTGCTTCTCAAGCAAATACAAAGCAGTCTACCTCGTATCATCGACCAGATCAACAGCCGTGCTAGGCTTGTCGAAAAGGGACTATCTGCACTCCCGGCACCACCGTCTGCGAACGTTCCATATATTTTGTGCCAAAAATTAAATGTCTTTACGAACAACGTTCAAGCTCATATGAATGGTGGCTCCTCCGAACACCCGTTCCTCAAGGAATGGAGCAAGTTAGCATCTGCATTTCAGGAATATCTTGTAAGATCTCGACCCACACTCAAGATTGTGGAAAATATTGAGATTAAGTTGCCTGGAAACGTGTCTTCTACGCCCGAGGACGACAACGACCTGTGTGAGATTACGGAATGGAAAACCCCATCGAAGCGGAAGCTTGCGAAAGGTGGCGAGCCTGATTTGGCGAAAAAATTGAAAGCGAGCTCTCCGTCTGAAAGGTTACCCGCAAGCGCGGGAGCTCCAGATGGCTATTTTGAAAAGTATTTTGGAGGTTTGCCCGGTCAGTATAGACAAATATTATTGCTTTTGGAAAGGTTAATTCGGTTGTTTTTAATACATGCTAATGATAGGCTGATAGCTCCGATACGGTCATTTACTCCCCAGCAGATACGTGATATTAATGCAGATACCTACGCTTCCGGTATACCTGGACTTGGAAACCCTCAGGCTGTCGAAACTATGAATCGTCTGAGCGTAGCTCATTGGTTGGACCCAATGCGAACCTTTTTGTCGGAGACGTACAACATGGTTTCTTGCGTTTTGATGCAGGAACTGGACAATGTTTTCGGACAATATCGGCAGACTGCACTCTACCCAGCTCTAAAAGCGGTAATCTTCGAGTTTCTTGAAGCGATACGTGGGGAGCACTATCGTCAAGCCGATGAAAACTATAATATTGAATGTTCCAAGCCTTTCACTCTCGCAACCGAAGCTTTCTCAAAGGTTCAGGATGAGGCCCTGGAAATGCTGTCTCGCAAACGCTTCCTCCTTCGCCGGCGAGAATATTTGGCACAACTTGAAGCTATTGGGAAGGCTTGTAACCCAAACACCATCACTCAAGCAGATTTGGGTACGGACAGTTTCATGAAGGAAATAGAGATCGCAGCGGTATCGCTTCTATATAAGCTACTCTCTATAAATATGCGGCTAACTGTGGTCAGGCTTCACGAGCGTACTACGATGTTGCAGGCTCCCGGTTTGTTGATGTGACATGCCAGGGCACTTACACCAAACTTTTCTTTCGTTGTCGCAACGAACTCCGCAACGTGATCGAGCAGAATTTAGGTATCCTGGGCGAAAATGGTACGTTGAGCACTTATCTATGTTATGATCCTACCTATGCTAAAGTAGAATGGTTCTTCAGCTTCCGAACGCTGCATGGAACTCATGGCTGAAGATGAAGAACGCCAACGACGCCGAGTCCAGCTTCGCAAAGAGAAGGAGAAGCTGGATAAAGCTCAGGAATGGCTCAGGGTTGCCGAGAAAAACGCTGGTACATTGGGTATTTCCGAGGGGCCTCTGAGCACCTTTACTTAGGGTCGGTTCTTGAGGATAATTAGTTACCATGGAGTGATTTAGGATTATGAAAACAACTCAGAAAGCTGGAGGATTTTGCTTGACTGTGTGATATTTGCTCTCTAGGTTAGCACCCCAGTAAATTTGGCATAGTTACTTGAGGTACTCTGTACCAAAATCAGATAATCAATTATGTGCTCCCGTACTTCAAGCTGCACCGCGTTGTGGTATTACTCTATGCAAGGGCGCTCTGGCTTCTCTGAAGAACTTGTATGGTTCGCAGACAAACAGCAGCGGAAGAACCCAAGCAATCGAGTCTTGGCGTTGACGAGTTTTGATTTTCATCCCTGTCAGTGAACTCAAACTAACAAAACTGCGATCAAGGATAAAGCGTCTGACTCACAGCGTGGTCTCCTAATATATATTACTATAGAGTACGAGCCAGTCTCTCCCTGTTTATTTCTCTAGGTCTACTCCGTACTAAATTTCTAATTGCAGCTTGTCCGGCAAAGATACGTCTTCCACAAAGCACACAATGCCTGAGCAAGACCCCGCAGTCCAAGCGGCGGGGAACGCTGTCGCCAATCTTCACCTCGACGAAGTCACTGGAGAACGCGTCTCCAAGTCGGAGCTGAAGAAGCGCTTGAAGCAGCGTGAGCAGGAAAAGAAGAAAGCTGAAAAGGCTGCTGCTGCCGCTGTCGCCGGTGTTGGATCGGCGGGCAAGAGAAAGAGCGCTGAGGAAGAGGAATCACAACTGACGCCAAATGTACGCATTTCCTTGCTGTCCATTGATCCTAACATAATCGCTGGCTATTAACTATGGCCTATTAAAGAGGATATTTCGTTTCGAATGCTGACTATCGCTTTGTCCGGTGTAGCAATACTTTGAAATTCGTAGCGGAAGAATCAACCAACTCCGCCAGACCAAGAATCCTAACCCTTATCCTCACAAATTCCAAGTCACCGACGATCTCCGACAGTTCCTCAAGGAGTACCAGTATCTCAAGAAGGGCGAGCAATTGCGAGAGAAGGAAATCCGAATTGCTGGAAGAATTTACACCAAGCGTTCCTCTGGAGCGAAACTGATCTTTTACGATATTCGAGCTGAAGGCGTCAAGGTTCAGGTTGCCTGTCAAGCACAAGAAACAACAAGCGATGTCCCCTTTGAGGCCCAGCACGAACACCTAAGGAGAGGTGATATAATTGGTATCATTGGATTCCCCGGTCGTACCTCTCCAAAGAATCGAGATGACGGCGAATTATCTATTTTCGCCAAGCAGGTCATTCTCCTTACGCCGTGCTTGCACCAGATTCCTTCAGAGCATTACGGATTCAAGGACCAGGAGCAGAGATTTCGGCAGCGGTATCTGGACCTGATCATGAACGATAAGTCTAGAAATGTCTTTATTACTAGGTCGAAGATTATCAGTTATATCCGGCGGTATTTTGATGAGCGCGACTTTGTTGAGGTTGAAACTCCTATGATGAACGCTATTGCTGGTGGTGCTACTGCCAAGCCGTTCATCACTCACCATAATGAGCTGGATATGAACCTTTTCATGCGTATTGCGCCTGAATTATATCTCAAGATGTTGATTGTTGGCGGTCTCGAGCGTGTCTACGAATTGGGTCGCCAATTTCGAAATGAAGGCATCGATCTTACCCACAACCCTGAATTCACCACCTGCGAATTCTACTGGGCTTACGCTGATGTCTATGATCTCATGAACGTGACTGAAGAACTCGTTTCCGGCCTTGTGAAGCACGTTACCGGAGGATATGAAACGGTCTTCCATACCCAAACCGGAGAGGAGTACAAGGTTAATTGGAAAGCCCCGTGGAAGCGTATCGAGATGATTCCGGCCCTCGAGGAAGCCACCGGCGAAAAGTTCCCACCTGGCGACCAGCTCCATACTCAAGAAACTAACGAATGGCTCAAGAAGATTCTCAAGAAGGTCAACGTCGAGTGCTCTCCTCCACAGACCAACGCTCGTATGCTTGACAAGCTCGTTGGCGAGTTCATCGAAGAGAAATGTATCAACCCCTCTTTTATCACAGGCCACCCCCAGATGATGTCTCCACTCGCAAAATACCACCGTGACCACATCGGTCTCTGCGAACGGTTCGAAGCCTTCGTCTGTAAGAAAGAAATTGTGAATGCATACACGGAGTTGAACGACCCGTTCGACCAACGTTTGCGATTCGAGGAGCAAGCCAGACAAAAGGACCAGGGTGACGATGAGGCGCAGTTGATCGATGAGAACTTCTGCACTAGTCTAGAGTATGGTCTGCCGCCAACCGGAGGATGGGGATTGGGTATCGATCGTCTTGTCATGTTCTTGACGGACAACTATAGTATCAAGGAGGTACTGGCTTTTCCGTTCATGAAGGATGACAAAGCTGCACCCAAGGAGCCTCTTGCCGCAGAGGTCGTTGGCATTGAGCCGAGCCCAGAAGAGGGGATCCGTAAGTTTTCCCTATGACCCAACACCTGTATACCAGAACTGTGCTCACTCTTATTTAGCACATAAATAAATAGAAATTACCAAATTTACTTTAGGCATCTGTTGGGTAACGAACATCAATGACTGGAGGTATAGGTATCTAAAAGGAAAAAGAGAAGCAAACAAAATATTGGGCGAAGTTATTCAGTTCTTTTCGATCACTGAGATATAAAGAAAATACAGCCAAAAACAAGAAGCATTACCGGTTTCCTTGCCTCAAGAGCATTGCAGTATCTCCATGGTCCTTTACCTGATATACCTTTTGACCTCGATACTGAAGGCATCGAGGTCTTTTCCTTACATTTCATTATTCATGCAGCTGCGAACAGCCAGGTTCCTATCGTATGCTGTTTTTTCCCATCAGTCTTGATCTCGTTCGTCGATATTGGGCCTTTGATTCTTCGACTTGATGCCCTCTGCGAGCCTTTCTAGATCCCTTGGATTTCTATTTCAGTGGCTGCGTAGTCACTGCTGGAGGTTGCTGTATTGTTTGCTTTGTCCTGACCATTCACTGTGGTAAACCAACCCATCATGTTTACCATACACCATCTTCACTTGACCTTTCCCGTATTTTACTTTGTACCCCTTACTCTGCTGCTGTACTTGTAATGATGAGCTTGTGGATTGGGTTATCTTGCACAGGCAGCTTGGCTTGTCTCTATACCACCTGCTCATCCTTTTTCAAAAGGGTTATTCAGAAACACCCTTGACTAAGTATGGTCAGCTTCTAGACACACTTTGGCATATTTCAGGTCCTTACTGGGGAGTCGAGGTTAAAAAATGCGAAATGCAACGCCTCCATAGGAGAGGCTTTGTCAACCAATACTGTCAATAGAGCAGGAAGAAGTGAATTACGGGTGTGCCCTATTGTATCCATTCACGGTACTCCCCGTGATGTCCTCAAGCCTTCACTCACTTTTGCTTGTATAAATTTGCCTGCTCAACCTCCTGTTTCCGTGGGGATCCTCCATCTTTTCTGTCTGCTTTTCGCTCAGTCTTTTCCCTTTGCCAACCAGAACTTTTTCAACTTTGGTGCATTCGATACTCTTTGTCAATCAAAAGCAAAAAATTGCTCTAAAGCTCTAATTTTAATCATAGGTTGGCAGACACTCGAGTTCTTCCATCTCTCTCTCTCTCCCCCCTTGGATATATTCCTATTTTGATGCTTGATATCGCTTTGATACTAAGCTTGGCCGCCATAACCACCCTGACCTGACTATCCTGTCTGCTGTGGAAATCTAGGCACCTTGCTAACGTTACTGAAGTTTTGTCTGGCGTCAGAAGACACCTTCCATGATGTTCCCTGAAGTTAAAGAATCGTTTACTCGCACAGATCTGGAGGAACTAAACAATAAGCGTTCGGATCAAGCTGCAGGGCAAGCCGGACCTTCTAACAATGGAGCAGAAACTCAGAGCCTCGTTCAAGACTGCGTTTCTTCCATTAGTTCTCTCTCCGAAATAGATGACGACGAAGACGATGATATTCGCCATACTATCTTCAAGACAATCAAGATCCATACAGCCAAATGCGACGTTTGCAACCAACACAACAAGGCTACATTGCGACGCTGCATCGATTGCGGATGGCAGATCTGCACGCCATGCTGGGATGCCCGAGGCGGGGATGGTACACATGGTGTTTCGCACAAGTTCAATGGGCCAGTCTTCACCCCTGAGACGCCGGATTCCATCGCCCAGAGCAAAGGTATCTCAGAACATGATAGTGATGAGACCGTCAGCATCTCCGGGGAAAATGCTGGTGGTTTAAAATCAAGATCGAAGACCAAAGTAGCTGGAAAGGGTAAAAGACCTATCATCCGAGATGAAGAAGAATATGGCTCTGTTAAACGCCGTGTTTCCCAGCGCGTTCTGTCCCAAGACAAAGGGAAAGGCAGAGCAAGGGAAAGTAAGGTAAGCCGGCGCAAATTGCCCACTCAAAAAGGCATAACGGCAACGAGAAAGAGCGCTTCCACCATCCCAAGCAACAAAATGGGCACCAAAAGGGGTGCCGTTGTGGCAGATGGAGATAATGTCAATACAGATGATGAATCCGAGTATGAGAGCACAGGAAAATCTGCTGGAGCAATACCGCAACAATTACCACCAGAAATCCCCCCTGACGACCGTAGGAACCCGATGTACTGGCTATGCATGGCTGCCCAACGCGCTTTGAACGAAGAAAAGGCTAGAGAGCAATGGCGACAAGAATTGGTTGTCCGTCAAGAAGCGACACAAGTTGCTCCGTCGCACACCAGAATGCGGAGTATGACTATCGTGAATAAAACCGGTTCACCACTTTTTGTCCCATCGGACTCCTTTCAAGATCCTCACATAAGACCTGCTGCAGAGGCTGCAAATCGTCATTTGCTTCTCCATCAATCAGCTCAAGACTCCCACGGCATTCAGCATCAACAACAAGCTTCTTTCCACCCCATAAACGCAACAAGCGCTATTTTACATGATCGAGAGGACGCATCTAGATATCTCACCGTGGAGCACAGCGATGGCAATGCAACCCGTGGCCCAGGGCCTTCGCCAGTTTCATCATTCGCCGGATATCCCGATCTTCGCTGGACCGCTGGATATAGCTCTCCGAACTCTCTATGTGTTGATTATGAGTCTGCTTGGGCCCGGAACCAGCTGCGCCCAATGTGGGCTGACAACTACGCTCCTTTTCAGACACCCGTCCCTTCTCCACCTCTGAATGAGCCACATGAAAGGCCCGTGATCAATGGGGGTCGCAAAGATACTCACGGACGCCCGTGGAATCTTTGACGCTCCTGGGAGAGGTTATTTTGTCAGTCGAGAAAGTGAGGGTGGTCTTAGCAGTGTTTTACTGAATTTTAAGACACTTTCCTTGCAAGGCCGTTTGGTATCTCCTCTCTACTCTTCCCGCTTTACCCTGTTTTAATATTTGATCGCCTAAAATGCTTTTGGCTCTGCTGATGTTTACTGAGTTGGATTTCTGTTTGCAAAAAATTGTTTTTCTTTCATCACCTTAATACTGGCTCCCCCTTTTGATTAATGGGGCCCCTTAAAACCTGTATAAAACATATGGTTTGCATTCTGTTTCAAACGATAAAATGACGACTGCCTTTACTTGTTTGCCTCAAGGTGAAATTGCCTGTACTTAATCGAGGTTGAATATGAGATTGCGAAACAACCCTATTACTGGATTCCGTAATACCTCCATAGCCTTTATTTGGAGTTTTATATCCAGTTATCAAAAGTATTCCTCTTATGAGTGGATGTCTATTACCTAGGTATGTATATACAGTACAATCCATTAAAATTTGGCGATGGGCTACCTCTTCGTACCCTCACAGGATGACGTGAATGGAAAAAGTGGATATAGTAAAACATAGATGAAGTGGAGAGAGATCATAAAACGTAAACCCGCTGCTCTGATTGAAAGATCGGAGAGCCTAAGTTGGAGAGGGAGACACACAGGCTGGAGTGAAACAACCCCTTTTAGAGTTTCTTGGTGAGAGGAGAGGCAGCGCGGGACATACTAGCTCCCTGACCTTTAGTGGCCATTTGAAGTAGACGAGCTGTCCGCGAAGGATGCCAGATCCTATTACCGAGAACGAGAACCCATGTTAAGAGGAACAAACTTCCCGCTTGATGTGCTGAAGCAAGATGCATGGGAACAAGATAGAGGAGGGTGCTAATTCCAAGGCCGACTTGCACCATGGCGAATGCTACAACGCCATGAACGCCTTTTCGAGCAGCGTGAGGAAGCAATCGCTTCATCGTTCGAGAGAACTTCGAGTATGCCCATAGGCCCATAACGGAGGAGAACGTCGTCATGGCGAGGATACGGTGATCCAATTGAACCAGCGAAGGGTTCTCGAGCATATTCCTCCACCAGAGATCGGATCTATCTTCCTTCCTGGAGTAGTGTGGGTCGAAGAGTTCTGATTTGGGCGGAGCAAGGCCGGTACCCATGGTAGGGAATTCGTTGTAAATAAGGCCTGCATCCAACCCAGCAACCAGACCTCCAGACATAGCGGTGACGAAGACAAGAAGAGCTAAACCAGCAACAGACCGTCGGAAGACATTTAATTTCGGATCCCGCAACGTTTCGAGGATTTTCTTGCCCTTCTCCGGATCAGCTAAGAGGCGATTCTGTCGTAGAATTGCCAATCCATTCCAGAGCATTGCGACATAGCATACGAATGCTGCGCCCAAATGGGCAGTCAATCTGTACTGGCTCACACGCGGATGGCTCCCGGGAGCGAATAGGTCATCTTTCAAGCCGGATTTGACCATCCACCATCCGATAAAACCCTGGAAACCAATCAAGCCCGCAATTCCCGCCAATCTGAGAGCCATCGGTTTAGACACTTTCCTCGTTGCGGTAAAATAGATAGCTGGTACAACGAAGGACAGGCCGACGACGCGGCCCCATATTCGGTGAATCCACTCCATGTAATATATGTTTTTGAATTCGGCAAGTGTCATGTTGGGGTTTAGGACTTGGTATTCGGGAGACGCTCGGTATTTCGCAAACTCGGATTCCCAGTCTTCCGCGTTCATTGGGGGCAAGGAGCCAGTTACCGGCCTCCACTCGGTTATACTCAGCCTACGATACCGTTAGCGACCTGACTCATGAAGGGGCTTGGCCGACAGAGAAACAAAGCATACCCAGACTCTGTCAATCGAGTTAAACCACCAAAAACGACAATACCAAAGACACTGGCCGCGCTTCCAAGCAACCAATACGCAACAATCTTCGAGCTAACATTTGGAAAACGGGACTTGGTCGCTGCACCCACCTCGGCTGCTGAAATGGTCGCGGTCTGAGATATCGACCTTATCATAGAATTCGGATTCCGCAATCGTCCAGTTTGAGAGAGAATGGAATTCAGCTTAAAAGATTTCCGTAGGGGAGCAGTTCCGATCCATTGTCGGGGAACTCGGGGCAGAGCTGACCGTTTCTGCAGGCATTGTTGACAGGTGAAGAACTCGCGGGGGAACCTCCAACTCTGCCTAAACATAGGCATATTGGAAGCGAGAAAGGCCATTGTGACGCCTCGGGCTCTCCCTGGGCAAACTGCTTGACTTTCTTTTGCTCGTCCTCTCTCGCGCTCTTTTCTTGAGCTTGAAGTTTGTTCGGGTTTTGCGCACGGACCAATTCTCGCAGACTTGAGCGGAGCGGTGGTACTTTACTCCGACTGGTGTTTACTAATAGCTTCAACGCCTCTGGACAAGCCAAGTTTGAGGCTGGATGTGTGGCGGAGGCGCCAAGCCTTATGGCATCAAACCAAACATGCCAAGGACAGCTAAACTCAAAGCAGTTTACGCTCTCGTTGCCGGCAAAGTCGTCCATGTGAGCAGGGCTTACGGAGTGCTGTAGGGTTCTAGCCGAGGTGGACGCAACCTTACGGAGTACGCATGCTTTTCTTCGAAACATGCCGATCCGATGGAGTACAAGGATGAATTTTGATTCGGACTTCCGATCATCGCGCGACCACGAGAGCAGCCAATCTCAAAGAGAATACTATCCATTGGTATCCCGAATATAATAAATACAAAATAACACGCTATAATATACTGTAAGGAAGATACATGACATCGTTACTGAAACAAGATAATGCTTTTGCAGATCTAGATAAGGGTGCCACGGAGAGCCTGCTCACGCTCAATAGCCTCGAAGAGGGCCCTGAAGTTGCCCGCACCGAAACCGGAAAAGTTGTTGCGTTGGATGATTTCAATGAAAACGGTTGGGCGATCCATGAGATGCTATATGCAGAGTCAGTAGGTAGTTTGGAAGTGAAATATGTGGAATTGCCCCTTTAGGGTAAATTTAGATCTCCGTACCTTGGTGAAAAGCTGCAGGAGATACCCATTCTCGTCAAAGTCGATAAGGATGTCCAGGCTCTTCAGGGTCTCAAAGTCCTCATCGAGGACCAGGCCTTGTCTCTTGAGGCGAATCTTCATGTCTTCATAGTAGGTCTCTGGAACCTTGATGAATTCGGTGCCGCGCGCCTTGAGGTTGGTGATGGCATCGATGATGTTGTTGGTTCGGAGAGCAATGTGCTGAACGCCAGCACCATTGTAGAAGTCAACATATTCTTCAATCTGGGATTGTTTCTTTCCCTTGGCGGGCTCGTTGATGGGCATCTTGACGATATCATTTGGAGATGCCATGACGATACTCTTCAGTGCAGAGAATTCACTATTTTCGGTGTCAGCTCTGGGTTAATTCACCGCAAGAAGGGACGGATCAGTCTACTTACGTGCAGATGTCCTTGTCATCAACGGACCAGAAACGGTGGAATCCGAGGATCTTCTCGTAGCTACAGAAGTGTTAGGCATGGGCTCGAACCAGGTCCAGAGGGATTGGCTTACTAGTCGCAGACTCGCTCCATCTCGTCCCAGTCCTGGTTTCCAACGCAGTGGTCTATTCTCTCAAGCACAACCTTTGGAAGGAACTTGGAAGTGGCGTCGGCATTGCTCTCCATCCGGTATCCCGGCATGAATCCGCCCCTGTAGCCGGATCTTTCGATGAGGGTGTGAGTGGTCTCGCCATAAGTTCGGATGGTCGCCATCTTGATCTGGCCATCCTCATCTTCAACCGTTCTGACATCGGAAACAACCTCAGCACCGTTCCTAACGGCAGCCGAGAAGACAGACTCTACGCAGTCGACCTCGAAGGCGACGTCCTTGACACCATCGCCGTGTCTCTCGAGATGGGCGTGGATCTCCTTCAGGAGAGCCTCGTCCTCGGGGAAACGAGAAGCCTGCTCAACGGATCGAAGGGGCGAAGTCAAGATGAAGGTGATGTTTCCGTTTCGCACAACATGCGAGGCCACCGCTTTGGAGCCAGTCTCCAATCCGCGATAGGCTACTCTCTCGAAACCCATGCGAGTGACATAGTAGGTAGCGGCCTGCTTAGCGTTTCCGACATACCAGTGGACGTGGTCGTATCCTCTATACTGATTGAGATCAGAGGGCTGGGCGGGTTGAAGCGTCGGGGAGTCAGCGGCTGGTGCCATTTTTTTTGGGGGTGGGGTCTGATTCTCTGGTCTCTTATGGGGAGGTCTCTGCTTGCTCTCCGTGGTGCTTGGGGATGAAGTAGCAGCAGCTCTGTGGTCGTACTGATGCTTCGTCGAGAAAATGAGATGCGAAAGGAGGGAGAAGCCTGTGACAATTAAAATATCTCCCCAGGGTCAGCAGGTTGGTCCGCAGCCCCATTTAGTGTCACCCACAGAACGAAGAGCCAGCACCCAAAACTGCGAACTGCCTGGTTCTTCCTGACGCTCCGTTCATGTTTACTTTTTCGTCTCGAGACCGGCTTGGATAGCGCCGGCGGTGTCGGGTAACTCCGGCTATTCGAGGACTTGGCCAATCAGGGATCTTGCCGGCGCGGGTATAAGCGTCTATTCCCCTGCACTCCATTACGTCACCGGCTATTCTTAGCTGCCGGCCGACGGACGACGAAAGACAAGCACCGCCCCTGGGTAGCAGTGGCTATCAGGAAAAAAAGGTACGCCGGGCAAAGGGGGGCTTTGTCGGGACATTTTTTTTTTTTTTGGGTGCCCTTACCGTCGGACGGAGTTTTACCCGCTGGGGTGGGTTCTGGATCTGACTGAAAATAATAGTACCCCCGGACTGCTTATCGTGAACAACACTCGACATCGCATTCAATCTTTAGCCGACCAACCGCTCGCCAGCTTCAAACCCATCAATCAGTCAGTCAGTCAGTCAATCAATCAATCAATCATGGCGCCATCACCGTTCGCAATCGGGGCTGCGAAGCCGAACCTCTCGTCAAACGACTCCAAAGTCCTCCAGGCCCTCTTTGACGCGGAGTCATCGCCGTCCCCGGCATCTTCAGCGGCTCAGACCGACGCTTCGCTCCCTGCGCTCCCACACATCCCTACAGCTGACCTTCCTGCCCTCCAAGAGCGCGAAGTCCAAGCGATCCGTCGGCTGCAGACCTCGGATGCCTCTCCCTCCGTCAAAGCCATCAAGACCGCCATCTCCGAACTCTCAGACATAATCAAGGACTATCCCAAATACGCCTCTGCCTACGTGAATCGTGCACAAGCGTACCGTCTGCTCATCGACGCGGAAGCCACAGAAGCCTCCTCCGCCACCTCCTCCTCTTCATCTTCATCCACACCCACGCCGGCCGCACATGTGTTCTCCGACCTCGCCGAAGCCATCACCCTCTTAACCCCAAGCACCCCGATATCGCCCGTCTCCCCGCTCCAATCACGCATCCTCGCAAACGCACACACCCACCGCGCCTACATCCTCTACAAAGCCGCGCGCACCGAGCCAGAAGCCCGCAACAGCCTCCTCCCCACGACGCTACACGATGCAAACAGCGACCGGCTAGAAGAGATGGCAAGCTATGACTTCCAGGCTGGCGGGAGATACGGCAACCCGGTCGCGAAGCAGATGGCAGTGCACACGAATCCATACGCGAAGATGTGCGGCGCCATCGTCAAGGACGCGATGAAAGCCGAGATCAAGCAGTGGGCGGAGTCAAAGTAGCTTTATTGCTTCTCTATCTCTCTCTTTGTTTCTTTTCCTTTATCTTTACCCCTTTTTTTTATTATTATTTCATTGTATGGTGTATTTCCTGGCCTCTTTATTTGATATATGTCATACCCCTAGAGGGTTCTTCCTTTATTTTTGTTACATAGCGGCTATTTCATATTTTGTACTGAGTATTTTGTTTCTATATAATGATTGATACTATGAATATATACATACCTAGACGCCAACCATACTCTGTTCAGGGTGGTCAAACTCATGGATTACATCCTGTGTCTTCACATGACAGAAAGGGCTTTTGTGGCGCAAAATAATTCTTACTCGCGCCAAAAGTATATATATATATATATATATGTGGAATCATGAAACCTACCTTAAAATGGCTTTGTCGTATCCATAGGGCTCATGATTAGGATAGTGGTTATAGCATGAACTGAGAACAATTACTTCTAGACCAGCTACAGGCATGTACATTAGTCTCCGACGGGGGAATCAGGAGTCGCCCAAAAAAAAAAAAAAAAAAAAAAAAAAAGAAAAAGAAAAGGCTTTACTGAAGCCGGCATCTTGAAACATTTGAGGTATCTTTATTGGCTCGTTTATTGGATGACTTGAAGCATTAGTATACGAAAATGAGGTTCAAGGCAGACTGAGAAGTCTCGAAAAATTATATCATGATATCAAAGGTTAATAGGTTACATATTCTGGCAACCAGAGCCTGGACTGATTTTCATGGCTCAATCTGGCCTCCCGGTTGCGGAAAAGGGGATCGTGAACGTTAGGGCAAAGTGGTACAGGGTAGTATGTGACATTTTATTTCTTCTCTGGGTTCTTGAAATTTCTCTTCAGTGGAGTCCAGCTCTCATCGTTATAGTCCTCTTGGACCTTCTGGCAGGTCTTGAGGCCCCACTCAGAGACGCCAACCATGAGGCAACTATATTTTCAAGCGTCAGTCTACATCATTTTGAACTTCTTGTATCGATGTGGATTCATTGACTAACCTTTCAAACATGAATGCCATGCTACCATCACCAACCTTCTTCGGCACCAGCTCCATGTTGCTGGCACCCTCGTGTGCCGTGGCATCCGGACCATGGGCGCTCATGACATTGTGCAAGCTGGCACCAGCAGGTCTGAAGCCACCACCAACCTTGGCATCGTAGTCTCCGCAAATCAAGCCCATGAACTCCGACATGGTATTGCGGTGATACCACGGGGGGCGGAAAGTATCCTCAGCAACAAGCCAGCGGGGAGGGAAAATGACAAAGTCGGCAATGGCGGTGCCAGCATGGTCTGAAGGCCCGGTTAGGACGGTGAAGATGGAGGGATCTGGGTGGTCGAAGGAGATGGAGCCAATGGTGTTGAAGCGTCCGAGGTCGTATTTGTATGGGTAGTAGTTGCCATGCCATGCGACAACGTCGAATGGAGTGTGGTCCTGTTTGGCGGAGAAGAGGTTGTTGTTGAACTTGCTGATTAGCTTCCATTCAGTGGGCTCCTCGCCTTCGTCGTCGAAGTAGGCGGTGGGGGCCTGGAAGTCACGCGCATTCGCAAGGCAGTTGGAGCCAATAGGGCCAAGTTCGGGCAGTTGGTAGTGGCCCTGGTAGAGTTCGCAGATGTAGCCACGGACGGGGCCTTCTGGAAGGGTGACACGGTATCTGAAGGCTTCTGTTAACTACAGTCGCACCAACGTGGGCATGCAACTTGAACATACCTGATACCACGAGGGATAACGCAGATTTCATTTGGTCGCACGAGGATCCGCCCCAATTCGGTCTGGATATCCAAAACACCGTGCTGAGCAACGATCAAAAAGTCGCCATCGGCCGAGTAGAAGGCCTCTTTACCCATATCCTTGCCGGCGGCGAAAAGGAGGATACCCAACCCGGTCTTCATGGCCGGATCACCAGCACCGGCTACCAGGTGCAGGCCCCGCACCCAGTCGACATTCTCATCGAGGTCGAACGGGTTCCAGCGAAGCTGGTTGGGAATCTGACGGAGCGACGAGGCATCGTTTGTGAGCGAAGTGTGGTATGTGGAAGGGTCTACGTCCTCGAACGGTTCATGAGCGGCAGAGGGAAGGATTCGATAGAGCCAGGTCTGCTGGTTCTCATGTCTTGGGGCCGTGAAAGCGGTGCCGGAGAGCTTCTCCGCGTACAGGCCAAATGGCGGCTTCTGGGGAGAGTTCTGGCCAACGGGAAGAGCACCCTTGATGGCCTCAGTCCTGTCTTACATGTTAACCAGGCCAGATCCAGTGTGGCGTTCCTTAACTTACTCGTGGTAGGAGGCGAAACCGTTCTGATAGGTGTATTTCTCTGGGGTGGAAAAGTTGGTGACTGGCATCATCACAGGTCCACGTCAGGGTTTCAGTGATCTCAATTGTGAAACGTGTTTGAGTTAAGAGGTGCTACAGATTTGACTCTCGGCTGCTCAGGGAGAGTAGGTAAGAGAACCAAGGGCAGAAGCGAGATTGGGACGAAGGTTGAAGTTCCCGCGTTTTGGGGGGCCGGGGGAAGGTCAATGCATCTTATTAATACTTGTGCCGCTAGCTAACTAATTACTCCGTACAGCAACATCCATACGGAGTACAGATACAGGCGGTTGCGGCTGCCGAACGCCCAGCAAGCAATCGGGTCAGTTCTTTCCTTTTCGTCGTCGCGGGAAGGTTCGCTGCCAATGCGCCGCGCCTTCTGCTCGATCGCGACGAATCCCGCGCTTTCCGGATCGAAACTCGCCGGACTTGGATGGAGGGGCAGTCACACTAATCCCGATATGGTTAGTGCCATGGAAACTCCCCGCAATTATGACATAATCCCGGAGCTAGCCGTGCGGGCGTATTCCGCGCCTTCCCCGCGCTTGGACAAGGCTGATTGGCTGGGAACCGTTTGTCTTACATAAGCGGAGGTGCGGAACGGCGTGCCATTGGCCGAGTTGCGGGGTGGAATCAGAGTTTGAGAATTGAGGGGTTTGAACCAAAAACAGCCCGCCATGTCTGTTGATGCGGCGTCTCCTGTTCCTTTTTTTTTTTTCTTTTTGTTGACTATTTTTTGCTTCGTTTCATGCTCTTCCACGCCGCGAGGTCGCTATATTGCATCCATCTCGTCTGCAGGTCTTCTGCCTCCATCACCTCCTATCTGTCCTGCGCCGTCACAACCACCATCCGGCACTTCTCATCTTCGTCGACCGTCAACATGGCATCCCAATCCTGGCTGGACATCCCCAAGGCCTCCCCTTTCTCTCTCGCAAACATCCCGTTCGGCATCATTTCCACCGCTGTCTCAGCGACACCACGCCCCGCCATTGCCATTGGCGACTATGCCCTGGACCTATTCACTTTTGCCTCCGCTGGCGGTTTCTCCAAGCTGCCCGCTTTGCAGTCACACATTGATGTCTTTGCCCAGCCAGTGCTAAACGACTTTGCCGCTCTGGGCAGACCTGTACACCGCCAGGTTAGAGAGTACTTACAGGAGATCTTCCGGGATAACACCTCCCACCCCGAGATCCTCAAGAACAATGAAGATCTCAAGAAAACTGCCCTTGTTCCTCGGAAGGATGCCACCAACCATCTTCCCATGAGGATCGGTGACTACACCGATTTCTATGCTGGTCTCAACCACGCCTACAACGTCGGTGTGCTCTTCCGGGGCCCCGATAATGCCTTGCAGCCAAACTACAAGCATCTCCCCGTTGGTTATCACGGCCGCGCCTCGTCAGTGGTCGTCTCGGGCACTTCCGTCCGCCGACCCAACGGTCAGATCCTGGCCAACCCTACGGCGGATCCCAAGGTGCCCGTTTTCTCTCCCTGCAAGCGATTGGACATCGAACTCGAACTGGCCGCCTTTGTGGCCACTCCCAACAAGATGGGCGACCCGATCCCCATCTCTGAGGCCGAGGACCACCTGTTCGGTGTCGTCTTGATGAACGACTGGTCTGCCCGCGACATCCAGGCCTGGGAGTACATCCCATTGGGTCCGTTCAACGCTAAGAACTTCGCAACCACAATCACACCTTGGATCGTCCTCATGGATGCCCTTGAGCCTTTCCGCACCCAGGGCCTTGAGCCAGGAAACCGTGATTCTCTCCTCCCGTATCTCCGTGAAAAGAGAGCGGACACCGCGTACGACATCGATCTGGAATTCGAGCTGAAGAACAAGGGCGGCCAGCCAACCGTCGTTGCCAAGACCAACGCAAAGAACTTACTCTACTCCTTTTCGCAGATGTTGGCTCACCACTCCGTCACCGGATGCAACATGAACACTGGCGACTTGCTCGGTAGCGGTACCATCTCCGGAAAGGAACCTGGCATGTACGGCAGCTTGTTGGAGAACACCAACGGTGGAAAAGTTGCCATCAAGTTGGCAGACGGAACGGAGAGAAAGTTCTTGGAGGATGGCGATGAGGTCACTCTGAGAGGATTCGCTGGCCAGGAGGGAGGTTACGTCGGATTCGGTGACTGCTTCTCAGTCATTGAACCTGCTCATCCAATTAACTAATGGGATTGCATGATGGGTTACTTTCCTGTAAATTTTCTTTTTTTTTTTTTTTTTTTTTTTTTTTTGGCGATATGTGTAGAATGCTATGATATATCCTGGGAAAAGGGTTAAAGATGGAACGTTACGTATTGATTCAAAAGATCTCGTGTTTATCGCGCAAATATCGTTATATAGAACATGAGAAAATCCACTCATCCATCATCGATTCCAATTGGAGCGAGGGGGTCCTTTTAAATTTCCCCGTCATCATAAAGGAAGTAAAAGAAAATAAAGAAACGCAGGAGATGGCCCATTTAAGCCCTCAAATCCTCTGGGGTATCCTCCTGCTTCTGCCAATGTGCCTTCTGCACGGCTTCCTCCTTCAACATCTCTTCAAACACCCTCTTGGTGATAGGAAACTGGGCCAGGTCCATCCCCACTCGCTCCGCCGCCCACACGGCGGGAACTAGACACACATCGGCCAAGGTGATCTCGTCACCGACGCAGAACCGCCCCGCACTGAGCTCGAGCAACTTCTCCACCGCACCGAACCCCTGCGTGGCGAGATCGCGCGACCACACAGTCGGGTCGCCGTCCAAGGCCTTGACTTTCTTCTGGATCTTGAGGTTTGTGACGGGCTGGACGTCGCAGGCGATGATGTTGCAGATGGTGCGGACGTGGGCGCGGGCAACGGGGTCGGAGAGGGGCGGGAGGAGCGGGCGCGCGTTGGTGGGGAGGGCTTCTTCGAGGTATTCGAGTGCGGCGAGGGATTGGCCGATGGAGAAGGAGGCGGAGGATGGGGAGACGGTGTTGTTGATGTTGGAGACGACGAGGAGGGGCACGGTGTTGGTTGGATTGAGGGACTTGTAGGTGTCGGAGTGCTGTTCGCCCTTGAGGAGGTTGACGGGGTGGCGAGTGTAGGGGATGGATTTGAGGTGGAAGGCGATGCGCAGGCGGCCGGAGCAGGAGGAGCGGAAGTAGCCGTAGAGTTCGAAGTTGGGAGTCGTCATGTTGGCTAGAATGGTTGGTTCGGCTGTGTAGGGTGGGAGTTGGGGCTCTCGATGCAGACGGGTCGAGGAGGTGGTGATGGCGCGTCAACAGACTCTCGAATGAACCAGTCAGTTAATTAACCAGTTAGTGGCGGGCTGGGATACCGGAACGATGTTCATCTGAAGAAGTGCAAGCAGCGCGCCCGTCTGCCGTCCTCGTCGTCGGCGGTGGAGCCCAACCTGGTGTGCGGGCGGGGACGTTCGCGCTCTCGACGGAATAAGCCCGCAGACATCCGTGGGTGCCCGGCTGTCGGCAACTTCACTGGAACATCCCACCATGCTCAGTTACAGACAAAGGTTAGTTAACTACTCATTAACTGGCTGATATCACTGGGCCTGGACTGGAGCAGAGCATATCATTGAAAGTGAAGGGTCTGGGCCCTACAAAAAAGAAATCACTTTTCGTCGTAACATTCACCTGGCTACAGTTATGCACACCAGGGACTCTTCACAACTTTGTATTCAAGGACTTTTTACTCAGGTCCCTGGCATTCACCAGCAGTGCTAAATCAGTGACAGTTGTTTTCGTCGCATCACTGGTTTTCGTCGTATCATTCACCAAAAATTATTGTATGAGCCGTGTCAGCAGATATTTACTTCACTTTCACTCTTACTTTTGCTTCACTGCATTCACTATCAGTGCCCCATCTCTATTGACTGGCCCATTGTTTCTTTGAAGCTTCACTCTCTCTTTTCACTTTCGTCACATCACTGGCTTTCGTCGCAATTATTATTAACTAACCAGCTTCCCAATTCACTTTTCGTCTTAGCTCGCTCACCTAATCTTAGGATCCCACAGGTATATATAGGGCCCACCTGCCCCTCCATCCTCCTGGATTTTCTTTTTCTCCAACAGCAGTATCAGCATACACAGCATGGTTGATGCTCCTTCTATGTTCTATCAGGCTTTCTTTTTGTTTAATCAATACCAGCCTCTATCAAAATCTACCATATACTTATTAGACTTAGAGCGCCTCTAGCCTCTAAGGATTGATCCTTTTTGGCTCAGTGGGTTAGTTCAATACCATATCGCTCCTCATAGCGGCCATAATACGGCCGACATATCACGGCTACTCGATACGCCTTATTCCTTCAAAATTTACCATTTCTTCAATCCACAGCTGCTTGTGGAAAACCGTGGGTTGCGAATTAACATCTACAAGTCCAATTTGTCGCTTGAATAATCCACCTTCGGCTTCGACCCCAATATGCCAGATTAGATCCTCTATCATCGATTCATTTTAACATTATAAGTCCATACAATTATCAACACCCTACAATCCATACTACCAGGGATATAATAACCCCCATAAATGTCCTTAGAGATGGTGGACAGCCAGGGGGCCGGACGACGGCAAAGGTCGAGCCAGGTTGAAGCACGCCTTTAAAAATCCGTCGGCGACACCCCGCCTCCCTTAATGCCTCCTAAATCTATGACCACTACCCCATCGCGTCTTACCCTCCAGCCTTAAAGTCACTTTAAGAGGGCTTGAAAACATCAATGAGCCATCAGCGCTCGCTGTACGGTCTTTACGCCAGTGACAAATCTTGAAAACAGCCCTGAGCCATAGGGCTGTGTGCCGTACCGACATTCAACCCATCAAAACGGACAAGCGGGTCTCCTTACAGAACGCTTGATAACACGGTCAACCAAGCTTCGGCCTCGATTTCATTGCCCTGCTCAATCAAGTCCGTTAAATGGGGGAATTGACGCCGTTAGAAATCTTGTAACTAGCAGACAAGGTGGATTATTAAGATTTCGTCAGCGTTTGGGTTTATTAGCATCCGGGTTAACTTTGTATCCATTGTCCAATAACGCCTGCAGGCAAAAGGGCTCGGGCCGATGAGGGAATTGCCGAGAAAATGGCGACTTTCTTAGCAATCAATCCTTCGATCAAGTTCGATGCTGACGATTTCTTTCCCAGAGCAATCGCCGTGTGAACTCAAGTCAATTTTTTTTTTTTTTCTTTTAAATCCTCGATAGCTTTGAATATAAAAACATTCATTTTCCATATCTGTCTTGATTGGTAGTCTATTACTTTTCGCTCAGAAGCTCTCCCAGCGCTTGTTTGGGCAGATAATTCCTTAGTCTGGACGTAGTTTTGCGACGAAAGCTCCTCCAACGTTTCCACTCAAGATGCCTTTGGAGAAGAGTTTGGAGGGCGTTCGGAATGAGCCTGCCCCTGGAATAAGCTATTTTGCTTCTTATCAGAATCCTAAGGCTGGTACTGCGGCAGATCCGCAGTCAGATGGGACAAGACCGCCCAAATTGTTCCAACCGCTGAAATTGCGGGGGGTTACACTTCAAAATCGCATCGGGGTATGTTGTCCATTGCCAACAAAACAGAACTGATGGACATCCATTTGCTGATACATTCTCTTCAAAGTTGTCTCCTCTATGCCAATATTCTGCAGATGACGGACACCTAACAGACTGGCACATGGCCCACATTGGCGGTATCGCGCTTCGTGGACCGGGATTTATGCTCCTTGAAGCCACTTCCGTTCTCCCCGAAGGCCGTATTTCCCCAGAGGACTCAGGACTATGGAAGGATTCCCAGATCGAGCCCCTGCGACGCCTAGTCGAGTTTGTACACAGTCAGAACCAGACCGTAGGAGTTCAGCTTGCGCATGCAGGTCGGAAAGCGAGCACCTTGGCCCCGTTCCTTGCAACTGGTGATATTGCTGTGGAGGCAGTAGGCGGTTGGCCGGATAATATAAAAGGTCCCAGTGACATCCCGTACTCCAGACGAATGGGTCAACCAAAGGCCATGACCAAGGCCGACATTGAAGAGTTCAAAGAGGCTTGGGGAGCTGCTGTCAGACGCGCAGTAAAAGCTGGAGTTGACTATATCGAAATCCACAATGCACACGGATACCTCCTCTACTCCTTCCTTTCGCCGGTCTCGAACAATCGTACCGACGAATACGGTGGCAGCTTTGAAAACCGTATGCGACTTACCCTTGAGATCGTTGATATTTCCCGCAAGAACATGCCAGAAAATATGCCGCTGTTCCTCCGGGTATCTGCCACAGATTGGCTCGAAGAATCCCGCCCAGACTTACCAAGCTGGAAATTGGAAGATACGGTACGTTTCGCGCAGGTGCTGGCGGAAAAGGGAGGGGTCGATTTCCTCGATATTAGCTCTGGCGGCAACCATACGGATCAGAAGATCAAGATCGGCCCGGGATTCCAGGCGCCGTTCGCCATTGCTGTGAAGAAAGCCGTGGGAGACCGTATCGCCGTGGGCACTGTGGGGAGCATCACGAACGGCAAACAGGCAAATGACCTGTTGGAAAATGAAGGGCTAGATGCAGTATTAGTGGGCAGGCTTTTCCAGAAAAATCCGGCCGTGGTGTGGGCATTTGCAGAAGACCTGGGCGTGGACATCAAGCTTGCGAATCAGATCGGATGGGCGTTCGCTACAAGAGGATCAACCGGCTTTTTGAAGTTGAGAGGGAGGGAACAGAAGAATTAGAAACCGGAGTAAGAGTTGGGGAATTGCATTAAAATGGCGGTGTGGAGGGTGGGATGATGCTTGCATATAGATGCGTCTTGTCAATAGAGGGATAGATATCTACACGGAGTAGGGTTCCGTGGTCAGACGGCAATACATGATAGCAGCGGTTCACTAAGTAGTTAACAGTGAGCAGTTAGCATTGAAAAAGGCTTTGCAACGCAATCTCATCAGGACTTGCACCATGACCCAAAGAAGCTGTGCGTCGTGGGCATCCCATCCCAACATCAGCAGTTCGTTTCTGTGGATGAGAATGTCGTCCAGCAGCGTCCGCGTGTCTCCGTGTCTCGCTCCGCTGCAAACGCTCTCATTACGTCAGACTCCTCCCCGATACGGCCTAGCGCGACGCATCCTGGCTTTGCTGAATAAGCAACTAGGATGACTCAGCTGAGCCGAGTCTAGCCGCTTTCGTCTTTGTTTTGGTTTTTTTTTTTTTTTTTTTTTTTGGTTTTTTCGGTTGAGTTTCTGCGGTGATCACGAGCGAGTTTCCCCAGCGCTGCCCCAGAGATAACCCAGTGCGCTGGCGCCGAGGATAGGGCAGTATAACGGCAGCCAACATACCACCGGGAAAGAGGAGCAATGTAAAGCATATAGACAGCGAAGTAAAACAAGCTGTGGAGCTCAAAAGCTGCATTTCTCCGGAGCCAACGCACACACATTTATTGGTTGACTTCCAATGGGGACAGGCCGAAATATCATGGCCCCCAATTGGCGTCGCCGGAGAGTTTTGTTGGGGGTCATTGCGCCTCCTGGCCAGGGGCAAGGCCACCGCAGGCCCGCCGCCCACGCGCAGCGACCTGATCACCCCAACGCCGGTGTGCAAAATGCGAGCAAACCTTCCCCTTGGCCCCAACTTACCCCACCATATTCCCCCCTGCAACACGGAGCGTGAAGAGCGATCTTCGGGCCCATCCGCCGGAATTGTCGTAGAGTCATCCCTTCGTTCCTTCATTCCGAGGACCAAGAGCCAGAACCACACACAAATTGAGGGGAAGTCGGTCCAAATAGTTATTGTCGAGGCTGGCCCTCAACAACTGGTTTTGTCCCCTCACAGACACAACAAACCCATCAAGTCACAATGGCCGCACTATCCCTACCACGAGCGACCGTCTCTAGGACCCTGTTCCGCAGGTCCTATGGCACTGTTCAGAATACCATTATTTCTCCTGTGGCCTCCGCTTCGTCGTCATCCGCCGGGGCAAACAGTGCCCTCCAAGAGGCGGTCTCAGCCACAGCACCTCGGATGAACTGGACCCGAGAAGAGATTCAGAAGATCTACGATGCACCTCTGACCGAATTGACATATGCTTCCGTATGTTGGTTAAGCTTAATTTATCTCAGCCTGAAACCGTGCTTTGACATTTTTTGATTAATCAATTGCTAATACAACTACGCCACACAGGCTACGGTTCACCGTCGCTTCCATGACCCCGCCGCCATTCAAATGTGCACTCTCATGAACATAAAAACCGGTGGATGCAGCGAAGATTGCTCGTACTGCGCCCAATCTTCCCGCTACAAGACCGGGCTGAAAGCCACAAAACTAAGCTCCGTAGACTCCGTGCTTGAGGCCGCCAGGGTCGCCAAGGAGAATGGCAGCACTCGATTCTGCATGGGTGCCGCCTGGCGCGACATGCGAGGCCGAAAAACCAATCTACGAAACATCAAAGAGATGGTTTCCGGAGTGCGAGCTATGGGAATGGAAGTTTGCGTTACTCTGGGAATGATTGACGGCGAGCAGGCCAAGGAGCTTAAAGACGCTGGCCTCACCGCTTACAATCACAATCTTGACACGTCGAGAGAATTCTACCCATCCATCATCACCACGAGATCGTATGACGAGAGACTGCAGACCCTGGAGCATGTCCGCGATGCCGGTATCAACGTCTGTTCGGGTGGCATTCTGGGCTTAGGTGAACAGGACTCCGACCGCGTCGGGTTGATACACACCGTCGCCACATTGCCATCTCACCCAGAGTCTTTCCCCGTGAACGCGCTCGTACCTATCAAGGGCACCCCCCTGGGCGAGCGGAAAATGATCTCTTTTGACAAGGTTCTCCGAACCGTGGCTACGGCTCGTATCGTTCTGCCCATGTCCATTGTCAGATTGGCCGCTGGCCGTATCTCCATGACCGAAGAGCAACAGGTCACCTGCTTCCAGGCTGGTGCGAATGCGATCTTCACAGGAGAGAAGATGTTAACTACCGACTGCTCCGGGTGGGATGAGGATAAGAAGATATTCGATAAGTGGGGATATTACCCCATGGCACCTTTTGAAAGAGGACAGTATAAAGGAAAGATGACGGCTCATACGTCATCCGCCCCTGTGGCCCCAGAGAAACAGGTTCAAGGCCAGATTCAGGCAGAAGCGAATGTATAGAAGCGCTTAAAAAAAAAACACAAAAGGAAAAGAAAAGAAAGGAAAAAAAGACAATTGGGATATGTACTAAAACGGCTACACGGTAATATTTAAAATAAAATTGATTTTTTACTGCTCCAGTCAGCGAGGTTGTATTTTCGTAACGGCATCTATCGCTTAATACCCACAGCAACCAAATTTTGTCTCATAGCAGAGCCCTTCGAAGGAGCTTCTCAATCCGCGACAGCGTTTCCGTCTTTGATGTCACACTCGCCATGAGATATAGTACATTGCCCAAAACTCGAGAGTGTACAGTAAATCCATTGTGTCCAGCCATCAACTGCTTCTGCAACCCGCTCGCTGCTGTGGATGTGTACCCTGTAAATTTGGAATCAGTAAAAACTACCAGGGGAAATAAAATTAAAATAAAAGGCGGGATCTCAATCTTACCTCCACCACCCTCTCTGTCCTTCAAAGTAATGCTCAATACGGTCCCCAGTGCAAAGATACTCTCGACCTCCTCTGCAAACGATAAATCTCTCACCATGTCGTGCGACCAGCAACTCCACACTGTCGGGTGGTCACCTGCAGCGGCAGATTCTTTCGCATCTGCTGCCTGCTGCACACCCTGTCCCTTCCAATCCTGGACGTGTGCCCGCCAATAGCCGCTTTCCTCCATGCCAATCATGGATCTCATTGAGCTGACTGCAACGCTGCAGCCAAGCGCATTAGCAGTGTAGCTGTGTCCATGGAGCAGTGCGTCATGTTTGTGCGGGCTGTCGAAAGCTTGGAAAATTTCGTTGCTGGCCATGGTTGTGCAGAGGGGTAGTAGTCCGCCGGTGAGGAGTTTGGCGTTGACGACAATGTCTGGATCGATCTGGAGGAAAGAGGCGGAGGTACGCCGGCCGAGGCGGTAGATGCCGGTGAAGACTTCGTCGAAGACGATAGGGAGACCGGACCAGTTGGTTGATGGGGACGATGGCGGGCTTGGGGAGAATTGGGAGAAGATTTGGGGGTTCTCTCGGACTACTTGGACGAGGCATTGTTGGAAAAGGGGATCACTGTAATGCTGGGTTAGGAAGAATTGTTCGATGCACAATCAACGCTGGGGATACAGTTGGACTTACGAGAACAGCATTCCTCCAGCGCCGAGGATGATCGGTTCAATTATCAACGCGCCGAATTTCACACCTTCCTTTACAACCAGGTTCTCGAGGGTTGTTTTGATATACTCTTTATACCGCTGGGCAAGCTCAGAGTCCTTTCGTGCAGTAAGATTGAAAATCGCAGACAGACTAGAGAAGTCGGCGTCTGGCCCTAAGGCCTTTTTCATTTCTTCGGGAATAGTAACACTCCATACGCCCTTGGACAATTGTACCTTGGGGAAATCGAACCAATAACCTCGTCCTCTGTACCACTCGACTCGTTTATTATAAGTAGACGGTTCAGAACAATCCATCACGCCGATTGTATCGCCGTGATAACTGCCCTTAAGGCCGAGGATGCTCACGGTCTCTCGACTTGCGTCCCAGCCATATCGACTAGCAGCCGCGCGCAATGCCATCTTGACAGCTACCTCCATCCCTGTGCTCCCATTGTCCGTGTAGAATACCTTTTTCAGCCGAGGATTCTGTACCTCTTTGAGGAGTAATTCTGCCAATGCCAATGCCGGTTCATGGATGTTTCCTGCGAACATGACATGACCATAACGACCAGCGGCATAAGCAGATGTCAGGGCCAGATCGGGGTTCCCATGGCCTAGCCCCTGCGTCCACCAAGAAGCTGAGCCATCGAAAGTAGGTTGCAGCAATTCTGACGCACCGTTTATGGCGCCATTGGTGGGGAGGTCTTCAGGCTTCAAGGTCTGGAAGCAATCATCGTGTGCTGAATCAATGACCGTAATATTCTTTGGCGTCATTCCATGATGCTGTGTGAATGGATACCATATCATGTCATGAGCCTTTGTGGACATAGACTCCAAGCGCTGGACACGTTGTTGGTGTTTAGCCTTGAGCTCCTCCAAAAGCTCAGCAATGCTGTCATGTTTGGCCGCCCTTTCGTAGAAAGTTGCCATTGCTTCCTCATCCTTCTTTTTGGCACCCGCACTTTCATCCATTTCCTTTTCAGGGGGCTGAGGCAGGGTATACAGCTTGACACCTTTTTTGCCAAAGAAATCCCGGAGATATCCATGATTTTGGTAGTACTTGTCCTCAAATAAGATGACACCTTCAACATCGTACCCACGAATTGAAAGCGACTCGTAAGCTGAAATAGATGCTGACACTCCGCCTAATCGAGAGTCACCAATCAAGACCACAGGTAATCGCAGCGGTCGATATAAATCCGCTTGCAAACTGCCATTGGGACCTGGGGAGAGGACCCCGCCAGCGGTCTCGACAAGCGCAATGCCCGGTCCTTGTTGAGCCCAGTTATTCAAGGTCCTAGATATCGCTTCAAGAATTTCTCCGTCTTGAGGGCACTGCCGAGTAGTGAACCATTTAAGTGGATGTCTTTACCCCAAAGGGACTCTCCTGGAGATCAACTTACCGACTTCAACTGTGCGGCAAGGTGGGGGCTCACTGGTTCATCAAATTGATAAAGGCATTTGGTTGATATTCCTCTTGCAAACCGACTAATGTGCCTATATTTTATCCCATGCGTCAGTACCGGTACAAACCGTGCGACAATGGCAATCAGGCAACGCACCTATCATCAGCTTCGTCGAGCGCGCCTGTTGAGACTGGCTTCAGGAACCAAAGCTTATCCTTCGGCTGGTAGGACGGGATCGCGTTGCATAGAATTGTCGACACGACCGTCTTGCCGACGTTTGTGTTTGCACCGTAGATCTGGTACGCACGAGCTGTGCGCCAGAGCCCGCTACCGACGAACGAGGATATCATGGTGATGCCGATGGTGCCGGTGATGTTTCACACTCTTCCCATAGTGAAAAGGTTCGTTCCTTATATTTAGCTTCTTACGGAGAAGTTAGCAGGCGAACTCTGTCTTGTATCTAGATCGACGGCCCTTCCACCAAACGGCACAGGCTTCTGCGGTTAGCACGCTAACTAATCCAACAATCCACCGCCGATCGATCTACGGGAATATTTATTTGCTAATGAGCGCCGGCCTCCTTGCCAAGAGTCACCTCCACAGCATCAACCCTTATTCCGCTAGCGGGGGGCTCGCTCAGGCTCTGAAAATCAGCTTTGCACGCTCTCCAGTTCCTCCCAACCGAATTCGGCCTTTTCGGGAGGGCTGGGCGTGAGAGTTTCAAGCGCTGGGTGCCCTGTTTCGGCTGCGTCGCTTAGGAGTTTTGGCTTCAGCCAGGCCAACAATCAATCAATAAATGCGGGCAACGTCCTGGCGTCGTTGCATCATCGCCGGGATATCATTCAAGGTCATTAAATATTTAAGAGGTGTTGGGCTGGTTACCCGAGGCTCTCACACCCGTTCCTTTCTCCAACAAGGTTCTAATTTGCTTTTCCAATTTTTTTTTCTTTTCCCTAGATCCCTGCGGAGAATTCGCCGTGGGCCCTCGTGCAGTTAGCTGATCCGATCCATTTTGCTGCTTTCCGTCTCTTTTAGCCAGGAATCGTAATATTGCCATTGTTAAATATACAAGGCTGCGAGACCTTCCTGCCTGGGCCAGGAAGCCAGTCATTATTTTGAAAGAATTTATATTATTTGATTAATCTTGCATAAAGGCCCACGTTTCCCATAGTTCCATGGTACCAACTCAATTGGCCATCATGAAGTTACACAACCCACTACTAGAGACCTTCCGGTTAATTTTGGAGGAGAGAAAGGCCAAAGGACGACTCAGATCCTTGAAGGTCCTTCCTCCTGATGTTGCAGACTTCTCCTCAAATGACTTCTTATCGCTTTCTACATCAGCCGCTTTCCGGGAGCAGTACATGGACAATCTTGCCAGAATATCCAATTCACATCGCATTGCCAGCAGCGGTTCTAGATTGCTGGATGGGAATACCAATTATGCCGAAGATCTGGAGGACTTTCTAGCCCGTTTTCATAATGCTCCCAGTGGACGACTGTTCAACTCCGGGTATGATGCCAATGTAGGAATCTTTTCCTGTATTCCACAGCGTGGGGACGTGATTATCTATGATGAGTTGATACATGCAAGCACCCATGATGGCATGCGGCTCTCAAGAGCGGGGAGACGGACGGCATTCAAGCATAACTCGGTTGAAAGTTTCCAGCGCAAGCTCCAAGAAGAGATAGATCTTGATTCTTTAATACGTTCTGGCAAGCGCAATGTTATTGTTGCTGTTGAGTCGCTTTATAGCATGGAGGGAGATTTTGCGCCGATAAAAGAAATCCTAGACGTGCTAGAATCGATGCTTCCTAATGGCAACGGCCATTTGATAGTTGACGAGGCTCATTCCACGGGGATATTTGGGCCCCGAGGAGGTGGAATCGTGCAGAGACTCGGCGTGGAGGATCGTGTGTTCATTCGGCTGCACACATTCGGCAAATCTATAGCCAGCAATGGAGGTATGCTTCCTGGTTTTCAATTCATCTATGCTGGCTGAGACAAGAAGCTGATTTTCTAGCGATTGTTCTTTGTTCCCCACTGACAAGGGATTATTTGACAAACTATGCTCGCCCACTAATTTTCAGCAGTGCAACTGGACTTCCTGGTCTTGTTGCAACACGCACCGCTTATGAGCTCATGGAAAAAGGTGCTACAGAACCTGTACGTTCCCTATTCCAACCACGATTCCAGAAAGCCCGTTATCCCATCTACTGACAATTAAAAATACTGAGCAGCTTCAAGCCCAGCTTCAGCAAAGAATAGAGTCGTTCAGGAGGAAGCTTGCCGAGATTTCACCAGCAGACAGCATTATCCTTCACATTAGCCATCACCCGACGTCACCAATCTTCTCACTGAGGACGAAGTTCCCACATGACCTGGCAAAAACCTGCCAGGACAAGGGACTCATGGTACGGGCGATTATGTCGCCGACTGTGCCTCTAGGGACGGAGCGGGTTCGGGTGTGTCTTCACGCCAGGAATTCGGAAGAAGAACTGCAGAAGCTTGTGGCCATCATCGGACAATGGGTACAGTCGAGGGAGCGAGAAAGCGCGAGACTGTAACTTAATTATGGAATGGGGCTGCAATCGAAATTGCGATGTTGAGCCTGGATCCGGCGTTCAAACCCAGAGGGGAGACACCGTGTGAGGAGAGGCGATTGAGAAGTATATGTACTCTGTTACATGTTTTGTACAGACCACCTGTGACAATAGACACTTCTCTGATGATAATGCTTCTGCAATTGCCTCAAAAATGTCAGTGCAAGCGACACTGTAAACCAACAAAGGGTATTTGGAGATCGATCTATCCTGAGTATCCAGCCTATGCCAGTATCCCGTAATCAAAATCCCAAACGCCAGGCCGTCACGCTTTCGAAGTCGCTGCATATAATGGTTATAAAGAGGCAACATCACGACTGCACCCGAGCCATTTCTACCTCCAGCATTTCTACAACACGACCAGCCAGATTACACGTCTCCTGATACTGAGCGGGGCGCATCTCCCGTAGGACATAATCCGCGACTGTACCAGGATCACGAGACGCTGGCCGGCCGATTCCAATGCCCACCCGGAGCACAATCGGAGGCAAGGCAGCATCTTCGCCAGCAGCACCCTTCCCTCTTGCCTTTGTCAACGAAGACGATGCCGGTAGAAGCCCCGCCTCTACCAAACTTTGAGTCACGCTCTTGACTCCGTTATGTCCTCTGGCCGAGAGCTCTGCGCCCCCACGGCGAATCCTCAGCTCCCCAGGGTGCAGCTCTAATTCATCGTGCACCAATATCAGGCTCAAAGGCGGTCGGTGATCTGCATTCTTTTTCCTTCCGGGTGTGTTCGCGGCGAGTGGTAAGACGGGGTCCGCTCCCTCTCTCGCCAACCACGACTTATAGGCCCGCACCATCGTTGGGCCGGAGATGTTCATGAGGGTCGGTGATTGCCATAATGTTAGCCGGGTCTGCGAGTGCGGCAGGTAGGCTTCGGTTGCTAAGGCGCCTTTTAGATGAGGGGACAGAGCAAAGGAGTTGGCGGAGAGGTGCTCGGCAACAGCGCGGAGGAGGATGTGCCCGGCGGAATGAAGGGTCTTGTGGTACTTTGGTGGAGGATTGCCGAGGGAGGCGATGAAGAGCGGTGGCATCGTCAAGGAGGGAAGGGAGACGATGGGTTAGAGGGTTAGGCGCATTCCCTGGAGCCCGAGGAGGGTGAATGAATGGCCCGAAGCGCCGATGAGCTTTCCGCGCGCTCAGGCGAGAAATTTTTGGCCGGAGTGACCCTGCCAAGACTCCGATTCCGGGCGGAAAACGTGACGTTTGCTTGTGATAACCATATTATCGGGAGCGGTCACCGAGAGCCTAAACTCGTATCTCGAAAATATCAAACGAAATGGATCATATTAATCTACAGTCACGTAGGCCCTTATATACGCCATCTGCTCTCTAAAACAATCTTCACACCGTCCACATAGCAAAGACGCGATCATCCATCGGGAACGTGTAGTACGAGAGAACGGTTTTCTCTCATTGAAGACGATTCTCTTCCTCCCGCTTTTTAATCCACCATGAGGCTCTCTGGATCCTTTAAGCAGAACCGCCCTAGTTTCCTCCAGCGCACCTATCCACACAACCTGTGAGTACCCTTCCGGACAGAACCAATTTAGCGGGAGAAAAGGTCTCTTACAGCTTGAAAGCAATATAGGCGTGCGCAGCAATGCCAATTGAATTTACATTCGTAGCCCTCCGGTAGGCAGCCTCGTTCCGTGAGCTCCTTAGGGGCTTGGTCCCCCATCGCCGCGATCGCGGACGCAAGGAGAAGTATCGGGAAGAATTTCATGTCATGTATATCAGGAGTGGTTCCCTTGCGCTGGTAGTAATTTAACACACTTGGCCCATGCCTCGCCATTGTAAAACGAACACTGGCGGGATGTTTTCTCTTCTTATACACCTGGGGCAGAAGCCAATTCGGACTTCCAAAGCAGAGTAACTCAGATCACGGACCGTTGACTTCCCCATACATGTGGAGGATCAAGTTAACAATGGCATTGTTGTCTTCAACGCCCGCGGGTAATTAAAATGTTACATTCTGGGGAACAAAGAGAAAGGGACGACTCAATCCCACCATCAAGAACGGTGTTGTGCTATGACATATTTCTGGTTACGTGAGGGAGGTCAAGTGGATACAGAATAGTAGATTCTTTGTGCGATATTTTGATTGCTTTATTTTGTACTCGATGGCGACCGGAGGGAGAGGAGCCATCTACTTTCTGACCTGCAGATACTGAGCAAGAGCTCTGCATCCATATTATTAAACAAAACAATGGGGAAAAGGAAAGGCGGTCTGAGATACGGGGTATATAAACGATGAGTACGGAGTACTCCGTAGAAATATGCTCAAAATACCGAAGGAATGAAGAGTGTGGGCATCTCTCCTGAGCCATTAAGTTTCAAAACCGAAGACACTTGGCTATCCTAATTATACTAATGAAGATTTCACACGCCATGATATGTGGGGTAGACACAATAATATATATAGTATATCAATAAGTTAGAATAAACATCGAAATGAGACGCTATAGGTTGAGTCAAGGAAAACGTGTAACACGCGATGGACCGAAACGGCAGCGTTGAAAAATCTAGCCCCTCGATAAATCAGATCCTGGTCTGATGGGTATTAAATTTGCAAGGGTATATAAGTATAACTCGAGTGCATGCTTATAAAAGTTCAAGGATTATGCAAGATCGAGAGATTTTCGCTCTGATCTGTTAGAAATCCTAGCAAATAATATGCGGGTAGCGGGGAGCGAAATATATTCTTTCTTCTTGAGGGATATAACGAATATCACCCCAAATATCAATCCGAATACGAAGCACGCAAAACGAGCGCATGATTCTAGCTTAACCGGATGAAGAGGTGATCGCTCTAAATTTCGTAAAACGTTCAAGGCTCGACCGGGAACGACCCCTGCCACGGTAACTAGACCAATAGAGAGTTAGCCAAGTCCTGAGTTAGCGACGAGGTTGAACCGTACCAAAAATCAGGAGACAGGTAGCAAATATTCTCGGATTGAGAACTATCAGAATACACAAGAGCACAACGGCCCAAACGCGCCCGGAAGGAGAGCTCAGAATCCCTCCAATATTGAAAAATTTGTCGAAACGCTGCAAAGATTTTTCAACATTCAACGTCAAGTTTGTAGCAGAGCTCGTCACATCAGCGAGGAGAGACTGGGCGATGCGAAGATCAGCATGAAACGACTCCTGGAATCGCGATTGATTTGAAATCTGCATCATCAACGATTCTTGAAGCAAAGAGGCTTGGGATTCGAATTGTTGAAACGCCTTTTCAAAGTTTTCCACACGCTTCTAAAGGTTAGAACATGATCCTTAAAGTCCATATGTCAAGGGATACCTCGTCTAAAGAAACTTGTTTTTGATGGATTGAAAATATTAGTTCATTTACAGATCGCTAGCACAATGTTAGCTCACTCTTCACAGGTAGTTAATGGAGGTGTAGCATACAACTGACGAATGAAGGCGACTAAATTCTTGGTCGATAATGGCTATATGCTGGTTTCTGATTTGGTCAAGAGACTGCCGAGTGGCTAAGGTTATTTCGGAATTAGCCTTCTGCCTTTCTTGATCTGCAGCGGCGAGCTCCGAGTTCTGCTTCAGCATCTCTGAATAGACGTTCATACTATGCTTCAGGTCCTGAATTGACTTGATCGACAAGAGGATGTCCTACTAAAGGGTCAAGGGTTGGACTGAGAACGGAAGAGTGAATTCAGACCTTAGATAGAACCCCTGCATCAGACAGGATACCTCTCATGGACTCCTTGGCACCCGCGCCAGTCCGACGGATTTGTGACTCTAAGTCAATGGCGAAAGCTGAGAATCGATTTCGAGCAAGGACATCAGCATCTTGCATATCGCGGATTATTTTTAAACGTAAGTCATTAATGGAATCCAAAAAAGAACGCTGTTTGGTAGCCTCAGCCGCTGCATCATTCAACGACTGGTTCAAGGCTGCCCCGAGGCCAAATGTAATGTCAGCGAGTTTCCTGTGGTGCTTCAGTAACTCATCTCGCTCTACATTAATGCGTGCTGCCTGGCACATAACGGCTGCATTTTGACGGTTGTTGCTGTAACTTGTCCACCACTGCGGCCGCGACTCTAGAGAATGGAGGCAGGATTCCAACTGCGCAGGGATTGCTGGTTGCTGCTTCCTGGGTTTAGCATGGAACTGTGTAGAATACGATTCAGGGCCATCTTCTTGCTTGAGACTAAGAATGGATACGCATTTATCTGGGGTTGCTGCACCCGCACCATTGAGCTCGCATATAGCTAGCCTGGCGGCATATAAGGACTTAAGCTGATCCAGGTGAAAGGAAGAGTCCCAGTTATTATCGTTTGGCCCGCCTTCCAGGAATTGACAAGATATAACTAAGTCCGTCACAGCACGCTGATGGCAAGACGAAGATGACTCCATAGAATTGAGTAGCCGAACGGCCTCTGAATAGATTTCGTTCCGCTCCGCGGCTTCCAGTTGCAGAAGGGAAGTCAAATCGACAGCAGGCTTAGGTGCCACTGGAAACACAGCGGGGTCTATTCTCGTCAAGGCTATGCGCCAGATCCGAGCGAGGGGTTTAAGTACGGCATCTTACCTCTCCGAAAAGGGAAAATTCTTAGGGCCAGAGCTGTACAAGGAAAGAATATCAAGAAAAAATAAGAGAGAAAGGGTATATAGATTTTGGTCGTGAACATTTTAGTAGAGAATATCATGACTTTTCATACGAAGTCATTAAATGATCAATTTTAGCAAGGAGTTGTGTTTCCTTTGCAAGAGAAAGCCTATTTAAAGAACAGGACAGTTTTGATCATATAGGTCTTTTATGTAGGAAGCCCATGAAGACGGGAATACAAATGAAAGGGTTCTGGGTGACAAGGAAGACGTTGCCTTTCCTAAGAGACAAAGATTATCATATTAATAAGAGTGACAATTCAATTCATGAAAACAGTTTCTAGATGTCATCTAGAGCGATAGATATAGGTTAGCATTAGATCCCTCAACGTACAAGTGATGGAATAGTAGTTGAGTGGTACTGTCGCCCTGCTGGCGTCGTGCGATCGAGAGATATCTGCCCGAGCAGAGAACGCGACTCGTAGCCAAATCCCAAAAGCGTGGCCCTTGATTACGTAATTGCCACGTGATAAAATTGAGCGCTAACCCGAAGTGCTTTAGCGCCATCGAATTCAATTCGGCGTTGCGAGCTCGTCCTCAGGACTTGCGACAAGCATCAATACTGTTTCCGCAAAGATGACCTGGGCGGTGTCTCGAAGTTGCTACCGGCAGCTCCTTCGGGAGTCTGCACGGGTCAACTCCCTCCCTGCCTTCCTCATACCTGCATTTTCACTCCCCCAACGATCGCAGACATTCTCGACTTCCGCAGCGACACAATCCCGAATCGGGTCTGCGCCGATTTCAGTTCCACCAGAAGTGTCCTTAAAATTCATCGATTTGCCAAAATCAGGGGCGACCACGAGAGTGACAGCTGCGGATACTCCTGCTATGGCTGTGGAAGTATCTGGTCCTTTGGGTTCGTTTTTTATCTGGTTGCGACCTAGCAAGAGGAATTCGAAATAACGGTGTGAAATAGGTCAAATGACGCTGAAGATTCCTTCATTCTCTACGCTGCAATACGATGCAGAAACCCGAAAGGCGAAGTTTCATATAGCCAATGTCGAGGATAAGCACCAAAAAGCCATGTGGGGTACGTATATATTAAATATGTGAATGGTTGAGTACTGTGGCCAGGGAGTGTGCTAATCGGAATGTGGACCGCAGGAACAATTCGGCAACATCTTAAAAATTACATCCTAGGCGTTTCTGAAGGCCACATTTGCGTCTTGAAGCTGGTCGGTGTCGGTTTTAGGGCGTCGATAGAACCCACAGCCATCACACTCACACCCGAATACTCCGGGCAGCAATTCGTGTCCTTAAAGGTTGGCTTCGCGCACCCAGTCGAGCTGGGAATTCCACAGGGAGTCAAAGCAAGTACTCCACAGCCGACAACTATTCTACTGGAAGGAATTGATAAAGAGATAGTTACCCAATTTGCGGCAAACATCAGAAAATGGAGAGTACCAGAACCATACAAGGGAAAGGGTATCTTCGTGAACGGAGAAACGATCAAATTAAAAGCGAAGAAGATCAAATGATATCATTGTCGCATTTTTTGGGATATCTTTGGGTTATTTTTGCTGTATGTACATGATAGGTGTTGGTATCTTTTTTTTCATAAGGGCGTGCTGTTGCTATGTAACAATACTAGAAAGTAGATCGAACTCTATACACTTTCCTCTAAATTGATGCCTTGGCAGCATAGACGGCGCGGACTGCGTTGATGACCTGCTCGAAAATAGACTTCGGGGCCGCGACCACACCCCTGTTCGCTGATAATTTCCTGCCCTTGGTGAAGTCGAGTCTGTTGCCGGTGATATCAGTGACCTCGCCTCCAGCTTCCCGAACAATCAAGTCTCCCGCGGCGTGATCCCAGATTTTCTCTTCATAGTCGGCCCTAACTGGCAATCTGAGGTAAATGTCGCCGGCGCCGCGTGCAATTGAACAATACTTCGCCTGAGAGTCCAAGCGCACGCTGGGCGAGTTAATCCCGAGGCGTCTGGCGACCTCGGCATTATCGTCCTGGGCGGAGTGACCGGCCTCGACTCCCTCGCAGAAGCAAGCCTTTGTAATATCCGTAACCGGCCTCATCGAAATTGCTTTGCCCTCTCGCACTGCACCGTCCGAAAGCGGGCGACTCGTGGCACCTTGTCCCTTCACAGCAGAGAAGAGAACTCCGGTCTCCGTGCCAGCGGCGCCGGACTGTCCAATCTCAGCGGAAAGGGGTGCAGAGTCATCGAGTGGAAGGTTGGGACATCCGATAACGCCAACTTTGACGTCGCCATCCTCTATGAGACCAAGGCAGACAGCATACTGACCACCTCGGAGGAAGCCCTTGGTGCCATCGATGGGGTCCAATGCCCATATTCTGCCTTTGGGGCCACCAGGGCTCTTGCCGCCGTCAAGGGCGTCAAGCATCTCGGTCTCATTCTTAAAGGGTCCGCCGATAACTTTGTCGCTTTCAGCATCGGTGAGTTTGATGTCCTTGACGAGATTCCACATCTCATTTCTCAAGGCGTCGTTCTCCCGGAGCGAGTCCGCATCTTCCTCTCCCACGACTTCATCCTGGGGGAAGTTCGCGCGAATGGCTTGGATGATCAAGGCCTGGGCGCCAAAATCTCCTTTCGTCACAGGGGAAAAATCATCTTTTGAAAGAGTTCCTTTGGTCTTCTCGTAGAATACCTTCTGGGTCAAAATGGCGGCTCTCTGCACCGCCAGCTGGGCCACCAACAGCTCCTGTTGGTAAGACATCTTTCGAGGGAAAAGTGACGAAGTGAATAAGTAACGCGGGGTAACCAAAGGTGAGAGGATGCGGGGACAGCCGGAAAGACTCAGAGCCAGAATGAGGACAACTATGGAAGACAAAGCGATTGAGCAGAAATCCCGGGATCTACAGAGATTAAATAACTTTGCCTGGGGGTAATTTGGGCGTTTCATCGGTTGCAACTCCAAGACAGGATCACTGGGCCAGATGTCACTCTGCAGGGAGCAGTCGGGCCGGTCGTCTCGCGATTGCTCACGGAGCATGCCGAACCCGGCGGCCGATCTGCTTATGTCACAACGGCGGGACCTGCACTAAATCATATTAGGGCTAGTTCCTACTCAGGGCACTGACAGCATCAGGCTAACCGCAAGAAGCTAGCTCGTTCCGTCGCTACCTGAACTTGTTTGGGCGCTAATCACGTGATTCAAGACGTCATGTGCAATTGCACTCGCTCGCCGACCAACGCAACCTCGCAGTCCCTTGTCATTGCTAAGAGGTATCGGCACCAGCGCATCCCGAAAGGCAGCTCAGCCCTGCAATTGACGATTGGAGAAGCTTGACGTTACTCAAACCGTCAATATCAAGTTGCAGTTCTCTGCATCACCTGTGTCGAATTCGTCCGCCAAGCATCCTCTGTCTACCCCGCGCGCTCTCCGGCTGGGTCGGTTCACAGAATAGCTGTGTGCCAGGAAACTCGCCCACGGTTTCCACCAAGCTATCCCGATATTTGTACAAAAGTATCGGGGCATCAGTACATCTGGGGGTTTCACCATTTTTCCCACCAACGTTTGCTACCTCTAAGCCTTTCCTTTCAAACTTCTTTCCAGACTTCCTTTAGCTCCCCTTGAGCCATTATCCATCGCTTGGCTCAGGAACATGAAAGGGTCATAGCACCGCAAACGGCTAGAACTTTCCTAACCCCTCCTACTCTCTCCTTAGCGAAGATATATAATAGGTGTTACTAATATACTCCGTGATTTCTCGAGCACAATTACTAACTTGGTTACAGGAACGGATACCTGCCAGGCACGATGTTCTCCTCTTCGGTACGGGACCGTCCTTCCCCCCTACTTTGCTCTTTTTAAGTTTTGTCCAAGCCCTGGAACATGTCAGGTCACAAAAGTCCATTACGCAGTCCCTTTTTCTTTTTGATAGGGTGGGATTTGATATATTTCATTCTCCCTTGGTTATTGCCTCAAAGATTACTCTTGGTGGCAGTGATTGTTTCTCTTCAGTTTCGAGTTTATTCTTTGGTTGCCACGAACATCCTATTTAACTTGAGAATTCACGCCAAGGTTCTAATCATTCTTTCCCACTATTATAGAAGAAGCCGTTTACAGCCGTTACTGTCCAAATCGACCGGCTCACTAGTGAGCAATACGACGTGGATGATTCGGGTGGTATTGTAGACCTAATCGAAGTCATTCGACTGCAAAGCAGCGGGCCTAAGGAAGCGAGTAGAGCTCTTCGAAAGAAGCTGTATGTGAATGGCCCCGTGAACTCCGGAGCCAATAGACTAACCACAAAATATCTAAAGAAAATACGGAAGTGTTCATCGCCAACTGCGAGCTCTGACAATACTTGACTTCCTTATTCAAAACGCTGGTGAGAGGTTTTTGAAAAGCTTCGCTGATGAGCCACTTCTTGAACGATTAAGAGTCGCTGCCACAGATTCAGTGTCGGATCCAGAGGTAAGAGAGAAGTGCAAACAGCTATTCCCACAATGGGCCATATCCTATAAAAATACACCTGGTATGGAGAGAGTAGCCCTTCTCTATAAGCAATTACCCACGCGGAAGAGGCGCCCTCGACCTCAACAGTCTAAAGTGCTGAAAGAAACAGAGGAGGCTGCGAATGAACCGCTGGGTCATTCAGTGGCTATAGCAGCTGGAGAGGGGCCGTCTACGGTTCTGGGCTCCCCGACAACTCGCAGGTCATCCATGCCTCCGTTCCCTGCTGTCTCCGGCAAGTCTAAAGATAAAAAGAAGAATCGAAGAGGACAGTTTAACCTTGAAAAGGAGCGACCGGAGATTTTACAAGCAATAGCGTCTGCCTCGGTGGCAAGCACTAATCTCACAAACGCCCTTAAACTTGTTAATCGTGAAACTCAGCGCGTGAGCGATAATGCTGAGGTTATGGAGAAATTTTCACGATGCAAGGAACTGAGACGTCAAATTTTACGATATATCCAGCTTGTTGAGAGTGATGACTTCATTGGTAGCCTGATCCATGCAAATGAAGAGCTTGTAAATGCATTGATGGCATTTGAAGTCCTTGACAAAAGTGTCGATTACGACAGTGATAGTGAGGATGATCTCTCCATTGATGATATTCGACGGCTACCGGAAAGGAATGTCACGGAAAGATTTGCTGGCTTGGTGCTAAGTCCGCCAGCCAAACCGCCGCGACCGCAAAGGCCGATGAGCCTTCCTGGACCTTTACCTTCGACTTCTAATCCCACCAAAAAGCAACTTGCTTATGAAACAGCAAGTGAAGATTCTGCGAGTGAAGTAGAAGAAGAAGATGACGATGATGAGAATCCTTTTGGTGACCGAAATGCAATACCCACTCCATCTATCGAAAAATTGGGGTTAACCTGGTAAGTGTGCTGCTGTGTTCTTTTCCCGCACATCTCTTTGCAGACACGCATTTTGACTAATCTATACATCTGTACAGGCGAGACGTTTGAGCTGATTTAGGATCATACTCCTCAGTTCCCCTCCGTTTTAACTATCAGTAGTCCGTAGTTTGGTATCTTTTTACCTTTTTTTCTTTTTTCTTTTCTTTTTCTCTTCATTTCTTTTTGGTTGGCGTTTCCTATATGCATTTTACCTTGCGTTTTACATACGGTTTTCACTCGGTATACGTTTTATTCATTTTGAAAGCCTGGTTTGTCGCGAATACCCTCTTTTGCCGCTATATCTCTTTGGAGAAAATTACGCCATGTCAGCATATTTCTGAACAATACCCCAGATGAGAGAGGCTATGCGCGAGCTCCCGAATAAATTCCGCTTCTTTACCATCTGTTGTATTCCTCTACTCAAGTACATCGTACTCTTAGCTCATCGTCTGGTAACTTTCTGTGGCAAACTGCCATTCCAGACACATCTAGCTCCGTGCAGCGTAAAGCCATATGACGCGTTGAAAACTCTCGCCCTCCGCGAAGTATAAGTAAAGCGGAGATATCGAACCGGACTTGTCCGCGGGGATTTTCTCCTACAGATATAGGATACAATTGACTACATACGTGTCTAAACCTATGTTAGAAGTGCATTGCAGATCCGAAAGCACTCATTCCCTTTTAAGCCGTACAAGATACTCATAAGCATAAATCGGACTGCTGCAAAGTCATTCTAGCATTTCGTTCCTGGAGAAAGGGGACGCGGTGGCAAAAGCAGGGCTCCATTACCCCAGCTGTAAGCACTTCTTTGAAAAGCAACAGGTTAACACCGTTTAAAAATAAACGGAAGATAACAGACGCCTATTACTCACTCAAGAGTTGAAGAGAATACCTCCCTTCGTCCTCAACAAAGATTAAGCACGGTAGCCCCTCGCTCCCCCTCGAGCAACAAGTCCGAAACGCTTGGAGAGGCACGAGAAGACAGAAACAATAGAAACCGAGTCATCAAGCTTCAAGAAAATACTTTCAACATAATCATCAACTTACCCTCTCCGTTTGAACGAGCACGGACACACCATGTGCTTTGGCAGCGCTCCGCGGCCGAATCCCTATCACTTTGTCCCCTACAGCGAGGCTGCAAGGCCGGCCTCGCTAGATGATGTTGCGAGATGGAATTCGGCGATTAGAATTTGCAACCCGCCTAGAAGGTCGAGCGGCACGGATAAGATGATGGGCAAGGGATTAAACATCACAACTGACGAAATTCGACGTCGATCTGACAGTGGTGGAAGTCAGTGAGATTGCCTGGTCTCTATGAAGTGTGGGCATCCAAGTGTTTTAAGGCTGGGCTAAACTTCACTGTTGTTTATTTTCCAGGCGCAGTTAAGCAGTTGATGGCGTTTATCATTAAATTCTTTGCGAACACTTTAATCTCATTGAATTGAGGGACTCAAATAAAATCTTTTGGCAAGTATAATAATACAGCCAAGTGGGAGCTTGCGACCTTACATCTTAACATTTTAAAAACCAATCTTAGGCCAGCCCCAAGGCGAACGGATCAGCAGTCATCGCCTGCATAGCCATCCAACCGTCCAGCCATGACACATCATCTAGTTGTGGGCCACTCTGGTGCATGTTCTGCTCTTGGCAAATAACCTCATCAACGGCCTGCCATATCTTTGGGTCAGAAATGGGCTGTTGAACTTGGAAATAAGTCTTCAGGGTAGTATCCATGTCTGGGTTGTCCAGCGAAGCCTGCCATTTTTCCTTAGTCTTTGCAATAGAATCAAGGGCGCGTGTGGCGCTTCGGAACGCGATAGAAAGCTCTTTTAACGCTTCGCAGCAGACTTTAAGATCGTTGACCGCAGCTTCACGCGTAGAGCTGTCTTCTGATGTGCATGAGAGAAGTAAGTGCACTAGAGTAGCAGAAAATATCATATGTACTCCCTGGATATTCATCCTGCGTAGGGACCATTGTTGCTTGTATATCTGAAGAATTAAAGCAATCGCACGCGCCGACTCGGCACATCCTTCCCGAATGTCTGTGGTCATGGCACCGCTAGCGCCAGCAATCAAAGGGTGATTTGCGAATATCATTACCTCGTGGTATTGCATGTGGAGTAACAGGGTATGGGGCAATGTGATGCTCGACTGGAAGATCGATTCTGTCGAAATCTCAGGGGGTAATGATTGCCTCCAGTGTATCAAATCCCTTGTGACCTTTTTGGTGCTACTGTTAACAATGCCCCTGGAATGGAGTTTTATATCGTTACTGCAAGCTATTAGTAGGAGCACAGCGTTAAAGGTGTTGGGAGACGCAGCCTCACAATATCTTTTGCAGCTGAACCATGATTACGTAGAGGCTCACTTGGTGCTCCAACACATGATCAATCGTATCTGGATACTGGCGGGGTGCAGGTGCATTAAATGGCTGTATTGCCTCATCGGTATAATGCGTCCATGCCCGCGATTTACCAGACTTGTGGGATGGCTTTGGGACTGTTACGCCATCCAGGTTGATATGCATCGTCAATCTACCAACGTAATAGCTCCAGCCGAGATCGACGAGAAATGTTCCCCAGAATGCTACGCGACGAGCGACAACATCATGCTGGTCCATAGTCCCCTTTTTAACGTAGGGATCGGGGTCCATGTGCAATGCGAGGTCGACTGCAAGCCGCATTGCCATACCACTATAAAGCCAGCCACGAGCATCTCTCATCACAGCTGCTTCATGGGCGCTCATGATGACAAGTGCTTGAACTGTGGCAACGGATGGGCTATCCATGTCGGCATCCAAAAGTACGCGAGCACGTCTCCCAAAAAACTCGGCTAGTGGAGAAGGAAGCTCCAAAATGATTCGATCTGTAAAGGCGGAACCGATTGCACACCTGTACCTATCTGTTAGAGCAGAGAAAATTTTGTGGCTGTAGCTTCGACTTACATCGCATTGACCAAGACTTGATTATAGTACGGTGATTGTGACTTAGGATCAGTGGTACTCTGGGATAAAGCCCGTGCACGTGTGTTCAGGAAAACGTCTTCATCAACAACATGTATAAATGGATTTTCCCAAGCAAAGTACAGTCCAATTAGGTGGTCTTCAAGTTCGCGAGGGACAGTGTGACCTACTCCAGCTTGGGCGAGACAAGTATCGGCATCGTACCCGCAAAAAGGGGCGCTGTCCGCTTGAGGGCCGGGAGCCTCATTCAAGAGATGCATGTTGGAAGTGGCACCGTAGTACCGTAGCTGGCCGTCCTCGGCAACGCGAAGAGAACCTAGACGTTTGGAAAGCTGATCTAGCTCGTCGTCAATGCAGCCACCAGGGTGCTGGGTAGTCGGTATCGTCGTTCTTCCGTCTAATCTGTGGCTGTAAGTCCCGATTTCGTGGCCGAGGCTGCCTAGATGGGTTGAATGGGGGTGCTGATCTGGACTGGGAGGGGCCTGTGACGGAGCCTGTCTCTTGACGAGATATGCATGGCAGTCGAGGGTGGAGGTCGGCACGGGAACGGGGATGTTGTGCTTCCGGAGGGTGTCTTCCAGGAGCAGGACGCGGTTTATCAGCTGGGAAGCGGCAACCTTTGAGACTCTAAAAGAGACTTCTGTTACAACAGACACACATCAAGCGGCCATCCGGAATGATTGCAGCTTACTTCCGCCTATCCGGGCCACGCAGGTAGGTGCAGTCGTGCTTGAGTCGCAGGCAGTTGGAGCACCGGGGGGAAGCAGCATCGCAGCGAACTTTCATACGACGGCACTGGTCGCAGGCCGTTGTGATGTGCTTTCCCTTCCTCTCCGCCCTGCCTGGCATGGAATAGCTTTTGGGTGTAGTTTGGAGATGCGAAGCTCACGCACCCGGCATCGAGGACTTGGATGCCGCCGGCAGATCGACAACGTCGGCTCAACGACCTCAGAAAGCGTGCAAAACCACATCCATTGCACCCCGTAGCTTTTATCTCAGCTCTTCGTATTTGATCTCATGATTCGCAGAGCCATTGTGGAAAATGCGGGGAAGTTGGCGGCTAAAAGGAGATATCTCCACATGGTTAGAATGTCTGCAGAAGCTGTCTTTTGCTCAATCGAGTGTCGTCAAGCTCAGTTAACTACGTAGTTAACTAGCCAGCTCAACAGCGACAGGCTGTGTCGAGTACTTGATGCTCTCAAGGCCCGCGTTCCACAAAACAAAGACCGGCATAACGGACACATTTAGCTCTCCACCCAGGATGCAGAGTATGATGTAGACTCTGACTCTGATTTCACCTGCGCGAAATCACAGGCCGCGATCGTCGTTCGGCTCGCCGAGGAAACGCGTTGTTTGCCGAGAGGCTGACTAAGCCCCCCCTTTTTTCCTTCTGGCGGTGGCTTCAACTGACTCAACGGGCGCGTCGAGAATCGAGATGGGACAAACCCGCTGACGGGGGCATCGCGATCGGGATGAGTCTCAGTCCTCCAGAAAACGGAACCTCCTGGCGTTGTCTTAACCAGCCGTAGCGCTGTGGCCGATAGCTCCCCCATGCCATCATACAGATTACACTCCACGTATATCATGCCCGACTCGCCTCAGGTCCCAGCAACAAAAAGTACAGGCCACTGGTCTATTTGAAAAGGGAACGCTTTGCTGTCAATATGTCATTCTCTTCCCCTCTCGATGATTCCAAGCTACGGACCTACGTATCGTCGTCCATCGGTCAGCGAGAGAGACGGTTGGAGGAGGCACTCACCCTCGATCACTGAGTCTCGGCAACATCACTACTTTGCCCAGTTAACTAACTAGTTAGTGGTCGGAAACTCCTTTTAAAAGTTGTACGGAGCGCATTGTACCCCACGTTATGGAGACACGCCTCTTCAGGCTCTAGTTCGACTCTTCCCATAACAGCTACCGCAGCCTAGGGTTGGATAATAAGCTCAGCATCCAAGCCGTATGGCAGAGAGCATTCACCTGTTTGCTAGATGACTCCATCCAACTGTCAGTCAGTCAGTCTGTGGTGGCAGGATAAATGCCCGTTTCCTTGTCTAATCTCTCCTTCTGTTCAGCAGCCATTTCTCTCCTTTCAAAGGTTGCACTTGACTGCTTTTTATCCGGCCGACCGAAGGTGACAGGTAGTGACTGCCTCCGGTATGGAAACACCGCTGCCAGAAGAAGAATCAAACATGGCTAAAGTCCGCGACTCCTTGACAGTAAAAAGGACCCGGCAGCTTGACCCTTGATGTCTGGCCTCGTTCACCCACTGCCGCCCAAAATGCCCATTCCTGCCACCGTTGTGTTGCTTGCAAGCTGCGTCACAGGTCGTTCAATGATGGCTCTCGCTTCGTCTTTTCCCATTACAACCAGCGCCATGACGACGGGCTGTGTCTCAGAAGAAGCGACAGTCACCTCTACTTTCCTTCTCGCGACAGTCCGCTGGAGAAATTCTCCATTCTCGCTGACCTTCGCTGACAACAGCCCGACGAGCCCGGAAGCAATTCCGTTTACCACTGCTGTTGGCGATGGTATAACAAACTCACCTGATCCCGACACCACTAATGTCAAAAGCGATCTTGCCATGATGCACTTCGCTGCCGATGAAGATGAATTTCTTGCCAAGCCAGGCCCAAGCCCAGGCAGTCCAAACCTTTGGGAGGGACAGTGTCGAAAACAAAAGCGAAAGTGTCGAAGGTGTCACACCGGAGTCCACTTTGCATGCATGAGAGAATTTGGAAAAGCGAGGGGAAGATGTTATGATTTGTAAGTGCTCGTGCCCCATCCCAGATCCTTGAGTTTTCCGCAAACATTTTTAACAAGATGTAGGTTCAGAAAAGGTTGTGAGGAGAGATGGGACTGCTCGTGTGAGAGACTGCGATGAGGGCTTCTTGCAGCATATCCTATTCGCAATTCCAGCAGTAAGATCAGCAGCCGTTCCCTCTCCGATTAGATTTTCTATCACATCCCCGACACTCTGGCCTCCGCTGAAAGTATCGTTGGAACACTGATGGAAGGGGCAGGAAAATGCCAGCTTTGTGATAGCGGCAAGAGGATTTTAGTCACCATAGGTTTTTGTTGAGGAGCTATCAATTAACAATTTCCCTCTCTTACAGAAACATTAACACCTCCTTCAGAGACTTAGCAAGCTTGCATGCCTGTCATTTTGTGGGCTACTGCGTAGATGGCGAAGTTGGGGTAGCAGTGGTCATATAAAATTTAACCAGCATCTGACCGGATTTCGTCCGGTCTTCAAACCGTAGCCCTTCTAAGTTGTAAACTCCAGCCAGGCTTGATGCTGAGCTTGGCTACCGATTGACTCAACACTCATGCGGGGAAGAAGCTCCCTTGCACATTGGTGTCCGCGATATGAATTCCGACCGCTGATCCTCACAGGCCAAGCCTTCTCTTCGCTACTCAAACCGCTTGAGTGCTGAGAGTTCATTCGTTATCTCGGTTTATCTCGATCCATCTTTTCATTTGCTAATTACTGAGGTAATCCGTTTGGTGATCCACAGCCCTGGGTGGTCCTCGGCTGGTGGATATCCTCAAGCTGAACAGCGTGTAACATGCCAAATATATAGCCCTCTTGACTACGACCGGGATTCTATTTTCAGAAGGCTTGAAAGGCTGCATAAGCCCTCGACTGGGGAAGACACGGAATTTAAATCCGATAACTTGGGATTCCACTACATAAAGACCATCCCGGTCTCCGGCTTCCGGTCCCAGTCCATCTCCTCTTTCTCCTCAACGCAGCCCACTCTCTGCTTTTATCCTTTAACCAGCACTCCCGCCCAGTAATTTATCCGGATAGCTAGGCGGAAACATGGCAGAAGCACACGTCTCCAAACTGCGGCGGAGCCCGACCGTCATCGTCATCGGTGCTGGGCCCTCAGGAATCTGCATCGCCCACGAAATGAAGCATAATATGGGATTTGATGATTTCATGGTGTGTCCAATAAATCCAGGTACCAGACGAAATCCCGGCGTCTTCCATTGCTTATTTAACTTGCACACCAGATCTATGAAAAACTGGACGGGCCCGGGGGAACATGGAGGGCCAATAACTACCCCGGCTGGTATGTACTTTAAACTCCTTTTTCTTTTTTTCTCAAATTTATATCTTTCAAGGTAAACGCGGGCAGCTAATACTGTGCGAAAGTGGTTGTGACATCCCCACGCACCTTTATTCGTTCAGCTTCGAGCTCAACCCCGATTGGTCCAAGGAACTATGTGACCAGAAGGAGATATTGGAATGTGAGGAAACTTATTCAAAGAAACTCTCTCATGGAGCTTCTATTGACCTTCGACCCACGATATTTCAGACATGGAGAACACTGTGGATAAATACAACCTCCGCCCCCATATGCGCTTCGGGATCGAATGCATGGGCGCAAGATGGCGTTCTGACATTGGTCAATGGGAAGTAACGTTGAGAGATCTCAAGACAAACATCGAATACTCTCGGTATGCCACTGCACTGGTCTCTGCCGTTGGTGGTATTTCGTTTCCTCGCGATGTCAAGTTCAAAGGGATGGAGAAATTCCAAGGGAAGATATTTCATACGGCGAGGTGGAATCATGACTTCGACTACACAGGGAAGAAAATGGCTGTCATAGGAAACGGTTGCAGCGCTGCTCAGGTTGTCCCTGCTCTGTTGTCAAAGGCAGCATGTGTCAAACAGTATGGGTTAAACTAGAAGCCAGTGCGAAAAAAAAGAAAATGGAGTTAATTGACGCTGTCTCAGATATGCGCGGAGTCCTCAGTGGTATCATGAGAGACCGAATCGTCCATTCACGAATTTTGAGAAGTGGTGCTTCAAACATATTCCTTTCTGGCTTCGATGGCAGCGACTGCGACTTTTCCTCGAGAGTGACAACCTCGTCTCAACCTATATGCCTGGACCAGCGGCAGCGAAAGTGCGAGAGCGTGTGGAAACACAAGCGAAGGAGTATATCCATGCTACCGCGCCAGAAAAATATCACGATTTCATCGTCCCAAAATTTCCGCTCGGTGAGTCTAAATCAGCTCGCTCATATCCATTCATCACTTTAGTTGATCCGTCTTCGTCAGGTTGCAAGCGTCGTATATTTGACCCTGGTTATCTCCAGTCCTTGCACGCGTCAAATATCGAGGTTATCCCAGAAGGGATCAAAGAAATCACCGAAACAGGTATTATCAGCGACAGTGGTGTCGAACATAACTTTGATGCGATCGTTCTAGCAACCGGGTTTCAGGTACAGCAATTTTTAACTCCGATGGAGATCGTTGGGTCCAGTGGAGTATCTCTGCGCAGGCAATGGGAAGAGAATCGTGGCGCGCAAGCCTTTCTAGGTACAACAGGTGAGTGCGATAGACCAGATTGACCAACCTAGCCAGCTTTAAGAGAAACTCACCAGATCCTCCCAGTCCATAACTTCCCCAATTTTGGTATCCTATTTGGTGAGCGACAGTAATCATATCAACTGGCCACCGAATTTCTCAGCTAACACCTCCAAACAGGGCCAAATACATTCCCGGCCCATAACTCCGTTCTCTTCACCTGCGAAGTCCAGGTTGGATATCTCGCCCGTACCATCCTTGCGCCACTGATCGATCGTCGCGTCTCCATAATCGACGTGAAAGAAACCCGCGAAAACGTCTGGGTGAGCGATATTCATCAGCAGCTACAAGGTTCAGTATTCTCTGCTGGTTGTTCAAACTGGTATATTAATGAATTCGGGCGAAATTCCGCCTCATTTCCAGGATATGCGCGCAACTTCTGGGTGCAGACCTGGATGACTGCCAATGGACTTGATGACTATGATGTGGTAAAGGCAGAGCGAATTGGATGGGTGTTTAGATTGGCATCCAGGTGGCTAAGAATTTGGTGGAGGACGAAGAGGCGGGTTAGTTTGACGTTATTGTTGACACTCTGGATAGTTGCAGGGAGAAGGGGCAAAGTGGCGCGAGTAATTAACCATATCCTAAGAGTTCTATCTTCTCGGATCAGGGGCTGAAACTGAATATATATTTTCGTCCGGTCTTGTTGGATCACTGGTTGGTTTCTCCCTATACCAAGAAGATATATGGATATGTTTGCTTTGCGTAGTCCTCGGCTTCCAGCACATTAAAATGACAACTTTTCTACATGTCCAAGAAATGCATCGTTCCCTTCCCCCCTCAATAGGGCATCCACATCGACTCTACCCGCCGTCAAATACTTCTCGCTAATGCCCACGTTGACTTTCTTGGACACCAATTCCCTCAATTGTGCCTTCAAGCCCGCAAGCTCTGCCTTAGATAGACTAGCGGCTTTCTGTTCTCGTGCTTGTCTACCTCCACCACGACCACGCCCTTTGCCTTTGCCCTTGGATTGCTGTTCGGCAAATTCATCGCTATCATAATCAACACCTAGATCTTCGGCAGCGGAACGTAGCCAATCATCCTCAGAAGATAGCTTTTCCTTCGCGAGGATAGACTCTGTAATTCTTTTGGCAAGCGTGACACGAGGGCGAAGGCGGTCGATTATACGCCTGTCCAAGTCTACAGATTGCAAAGGAACCTTTTTCTCCATCTTAGACTCGGTGGCGCTGGAGTCTTTCTTATTGGAATGGATCTTGGCAACGAGCCTAGCGACACCAGTAGTCTCTTCCGGTGCGCATATTAGGATCGACTTTCCGGATGCCGAAGCTCGTGCTGTTCGACCTGAACGGTGCACGTATGTGTCCGCGGTTCTGGGGACGTGGTAATGAACGATAAGATCGATTCCCTTGATGTCAAGTCCCCGTGCGGCAACATCAGTGGCCACGAGGATAGACGAAGGATCTGATGACAGGGAAGAAAACCGCTCCACGGAGCGGAGGCGGGCTTTCTGAGCCATTGATGAATGCAGCGCGAAAGTAGGAAGATTAAGATTTTGAAGTAATTGAGTTAAGCGGCGTACAGCAGAGATAGAGTTTGTGAATATTAAGGTGCGATGTTTGGGGTGATAGAGGAGAAGGGTGTATAAAAGCAGATCCTGTTTGAAATCATCGTTAGCACCGTTGGAAGCATTTCGTATCGCGCGAAAGAGAATACCTTATCCATAGGCGCGCATTGGACTAAACCTTCCTTCAAGTTCTCAGCCATTTGGGAGATCGGATTAACATCGATGAATTTCGGTCGTTCTTCTCTAAAATTCAGCTTTCGAAGAAGGTACTCCATGGATTCCTTTTTGTCAAGCAAGTCATCATTCCTATATCGGATCTTTCCCGAGAGCTTTTGTTGTAGGCCCTTGTGGAATGTTGCTGAGAAGACCAGCGTCTGGCGTGGCTCCGCCTTTTTCTCTTCATCAGGCTCAGGCTCAGGCTCCCGCTCCGACCTTTCCCCGTAAGCCTCTTCAGTGATCTCAACTTTGTCGATGGCGTTTAGTATTTCTTCCACTTCTTTGAAATGACCTTCACTCAGCAACCTATCAGCTTCGTCGATGACGAGAAATCTGATCTTTTTCAGCTTTGACAGAAACCCAGTCATAGATCCGACAACTTCCCATAACCGACCCGGGGTAGCGATGATGATATCAGCGTCAGCGAGTAGCCGCTGCTGCTTGTAGATGGACAAACCACCCGTGACTGTTGCGATCCTAACTTGTGTATTTGGGGCATGGTTCACCAAGTCGGTAAGATGCTTGTTGAGTTGGTGTGCGAGTTCTCTCGTTGGCGACAGTATTAGCGCCATGGGTTCCTTCGTGCTTTCGCTCTCTTCAGATGCAGTCGGAGCTCGACCGCCCCGATACTTGCCTAAAAAATATTCAACTATCGGTATGCCAAATGCCAGAGTCTTCCCAGATCCTGTAGACGCCTTCCCGATTACATCATGACCTTGAAGCACGGCTGGGATACATGCGGACTGGATAGGTGTCGGAAAAGAGAACTTGAGTCTTCCAAGGCTAGTCTGTAGTTCGGCACTGAGATCTAGAGAATCCCAAGCGGAAACATCAACGTCTTCCTCAACCTCGTCTTGTAGTGCGGCGAAGGATACCCCTGTCTTAATACCGTTGTCTGTTTTAATACGAGGACCTCGATCCTTTGGCAGTGTATTTGACTCTTTCTCCTTGTTTGAATGATTCGTTTTTGTTCTTCTGTCGTTAACTTTTCCATGGTTTTCAGCTTTCTTTTCGGCTTCAAAAGTAGTCCTGTCCCCGCCTTCGCTGTCGTCGCCGAACCCGCTCCATTCTTCCCAATCTTCCGCAGGTTGGCCTGACTTATCGGTTGAGTTTTTAAGAATGCCTTTGATTTTACTTTTGGAGGCCTAGTTAAGACCGGTCAGAGAAAGATGCACCTCAACCTGATATTCCTCCGTGGAAATCCATACCCTGAACTTGATCTCCCCACCTCCAGACGGCCTCAGAATGTCCACACCCTCAATTTCTTCCAGGCCGTAAAATCCTTCGGCATCGTCTAACCTATCGGGCAACGTGACTGTCTTCCAATCCAACTGGTCAACGCTCACGATGTCGTGCGCAGCATCGTCGGAGCTCTTGGCAGTCGCGGCATTGAACTTGCGTCGCTTGATGGCTTTCGCGGTGTGATCTTTGTGGTTATGAGAGCGCTTCTGCGCCATATCGATACGGGATTTCTCGGCCGTTATTTTGAATTTATTCCTTTGTCATCGAGTGACCGGTGCTGGATGGAGGTCTTTTTCGGAGCACCTTGAAAGGTCGACAAAAATTTAAGCTTCATTTTAGTGCGACCGACTCAATCTTATCGCATCCCACCAAATTTCCAGCCCGGACGGTCAACCTATCCCCGCCAGCGAATACTATATGCCATTGCAGCCCCCCACGGGACACAGATAGGGCCATTCTACGTTCACCGAAATGGGTAAATCCTCCAAAGACAAACGTGATGCTTATTATCGTCTGGCCAAAGAGCAGAATTGGCGTGCCCGCTCCGCTTTCAAGCTAATTCAGATCGACGAACAATTCGACCTTTTCGCACACTCTGATCCGGACAGTGTGACACGTGTGGTGGACTTATGTGCCGCACCGGGGAGCTGGAGCCAGGTGCTTAGTCGGGTGCTGATCAAAGGGGAGAGCTTTGGACGAAGAGCTTGGGAAGAGAAGCGGAAGAAGCAATTGAGAGATTTGCGACGATGCGAAGAAGAGACAGGCCGAGAAAGTTTCAGCGAAGAGACTCAGAAAAAGGGAGATATCGATGAAGATGGATCGCAAATCCTTAAGCCACGGAAGAATGTCCGCATCGTCGCGATAGATCTCCAGCCCATGGCTCCTCTAGATGGAATCACGACTCTAAAAGCAGACATCACCCACCCGTCTACAATTCCGCTTCTACTCAAAGCTCTGGATCCGGACCTCTACAGTGAGAATGAAAATGGAAACACAAGCACCCCTTCCCCCTCCAGGCCGCACCCTCACCCGGTTGATCTCGTCCTCTCCGATGGTGCCCCCGATGTTACGGGCCTCCATGATTTAGACATATACATCCAGTCCCAACTCCTTTACGCTGCCTTGAATCTCGCCATTGGCGTGCTTCGCCCTGGAGGGAAATTTGTGGCGAAGATATTCCGTGGGCGAGACGTCGACCTCATCTATGCCCAGCTTAAAACCGTTTTTGAAAAAGTCTCCGTCGCCAAACCCCGAAGTAGCCGAGCAAGCAGCCTTGAAGCGTTCGTGGTTTGCGAAGGATTCATACCTCCGGTAGACAGTAGTGGAGAATCGAGAGCCAGTTTTGAAAATCCGATTTTTGGAGGTGCAAGGTCTGGGGTCCCAGCTACCGCGGGAGCCACTGAGGTCGACAATATACGGTGGATTCCACCGTTTATTGCTTGCGGGAGCTTGTCCGCTTGGGATGCTGATGCCTCGTACGAGCTCCCACCGGACCACGTCAGCCTTGATCCAATACAACCACCCACTGCACCTCCTTATAAGAGGGCGCTGGAATTGAAAAAGGCAAAAGGTGGCGCATATGGAAAAACGAAGGGAGTTGTGTATGAATTTTGAACATGCATTCATGCCAAGTGAGCAGAAAGGAGTTCAGGTGCTTTCAAAGGTCTTAATTGCCCATTTTACTTCAAGTTATAACCCACTATTTCCTACCTAAAGGTTGGTTAAGTAGATTTAATAAAAATACTCGGGGTTATGTCAATAGTCTGAATACATAGTTGCACTTTTACAAAAATTGTATTAAATGCAGTAAGTAGAAACGTAGCCGATCATTTATTTTTTCATGAATCCTAGAGAAACAGATGGCAGGAGGAGCACCGCACTGCGCCTTATTCCCATCTCCCGAATGCGTATCAGATGCCTTTTCCGAACCCAACAATTATCTAATAAACTTCTAGAACATATCTCAAGTCGTCCTTGAGCTTCTCAATCTCTTTCTTAGTGTCCACCTTCTTGCCATTCGCCTTGGCATGGATGGCGATGGCCTCTTCCAAAACGTTCGTCACATCAGGAACAGGCCATGTCGGACCGCAAAGATAGAAAGCACCTTCTTCCTCAAGATATGCCCGCGTAATTTCAGGTAGAGTCTCACGCATCCGATCCTGAATGTAGATCTTGTGGGGTTGGTCACGGGAGAATGCCCTGCCAAGTAAAGTGATGACTCCGGCAGCCTGGTAGGCTTCCCACTCTTCTCCATAGCAGTATTCTTCTCGTTGGTGACGTGAACCCATGTATAAAAGAACAGCCCCGACATCTTTGCCTTGGGCTTTTTCGAGGGCACGATGCTGGACAAAGGCGCGGAATGGAGCCAAACCAGTTCCAAGACCAGCCATGATGATTGGTTGCGTGGATTTCGGTGGCAGTTTCATTACGCTCGCCTTCACACTGACTGTGACGGTGGTACCAGGTTTTAATTTGCTCAAATAGTGGGAAGCCTGTCCATAGCGTGTTCTGCCTCTCGGATCAACCCAGTCAACAACGACAATCATCAACGTAACGGAATTTGGCGTGACCTTCTGGCAAGAAGCAATTGAATATTCTCGCCGCTTCATAGGGTTAACAATTTTAATGAGATTGTGGAAGCTCGGGTGAGCAGACGGGAATTCATGGAGAATATCGGCATAGGTGACGGTATCCACTTCAGACCTCTGTTTAAATTCCTCCGCACCATCCGCTCCTCCGAGCTTCAGTAGTTGCTCTTTCTCTTTCACATCAGTCGCAAACTCAGCCAAAGATTCATAAAAGCGCTTAGGAGGTTTTCCGAAGATATCGATATTGTGTGTGAGGGCCTGGTAGACAGTCCGGTTTTCCAGAGCTTCTGGGTCCTCTCGGGACGGAACTTGAACAATTTCGTCGGCGTTCAGGTTGTAGAACTTGATAAAGTCACTGACGTTTTCAGGATCGTTCTCAGCATGAATTCCAAGGGCTTCGCCAATATCGTACTTGAGGCCAGACTCTCCAAGGTCAAACTCGATATGGAAGATATTTCGATTGTAAGTGGCAGGCGTAAGCCTACGGTTTTCTTGAACGGTAACGGTATACGTTTTGGTTGGCAGGTCTGGTCGTAGCGCATTTATTGCTCCATAAGCTTCTTTGAAAGCAAGGCCCTTCGCAACGGGCTGCCAGTCGTTAAATTCGGAAGATGGTTCGTCCTCAGCCTTGTTAAATGGTGCAAAGCTCGTACCTCGAATATCGGTTGCGAGCTGTTCGATTTCAGATGCGGTTTCTCCGACACCTTTCCATGACTGAGGTATTTCGATCTTTCGGAGCATACTCTCGATAATTGAGGAAGCCTTGTCGACGATTGTTTCCTTGTTTAGAAGAAGAGATAGTTTTTTCACACCAACGAGCTCAAGATCAGGGAGCGCAATACGCAAAAAGGCAATCTGCAAAATCAAGGGGTCAAGGCTGGGATCCTGGCAGTCCGACGTATCCAAAATGAACAACTCAATTGCTTGCGATGCAATAGCCGCTTTAAATTCTGTGGGTAGTTTCTTTTCAAGGTCATCAACCTTGACGCCCGGAGCATTGACAATCACACGCCCACCGGGTTTGACGCTTTTTAGAACTTGTATTTCTGACAGCAGTTTGATATTTCCAACGTAAGAGACGTCCGCAGAGTCCACGGAGTAGGGAGCATCAATGACCTTTGCACTTTTCCGAATGTCAGTACGAATGGTTCCTCCCAGTGTCAGGTTATCGTACACGGTATGGGCGGAAACATTGAAGACTGAGTCTTTAGCAAGGGCTTGGCCAAGGACAAGTGCAGCAGTGCTCGAGAAGGAGTCATCGACGTCCCAAAAAGTATATTGCTTGGTCAAAGGGTCAAGCAATCGTACGCCATCGGCTCCAACTCCTCTTGCTCTCTCGAGCTGATGTCCGACAATTTTCTGGAATGCCTCAGTGATGAGACCTCTGTCCCAAATCTGGCGAGGTGAGTATTTAATCTCGGTACATTCTACTCGAGAACTAATTCCGCCGCTGAACATCAATGCGGCTAGCACATCTTCATAAAGGGGGGCATGCACGCCATCTTCCTGAACGGCCAAGTCGTTTTGAACCTGGCCAAGAACACCGACAATCTTGGTCGTCTTTGGTAGTACCCTAGCAAATTCCTCCTCGAAGAATGGACGGTAGATGCGTACGTTTACAACACCAACACGGCCATCGCTCTTCGATAGAGCAATAGCAACCTGCTTAGCCAAAGAACATTCGACAGTACCGAAGGCCACGAGAACAGAGGTCGCCTCTGCGTGTCCATAATATTCAAAAGGGGCGTAGTCCGTGCCAAGCTCTCTGTTGAAAGATTTCAACAAATTCAGCAGCTTGCCATGAGTGTCGAGGTGCTTTTGGTCGGACCCAGACAGCCCTGCGAGAGCAGATCTGTATGCGTTGTGGAGCCCGGATCGATCAAGGACGTCGAGCACTCTGGTCGTTTCCCTGCCGACACGAAGCCCATCGTAAATATGGATTGTTGGGAGATAGGTTGCGAGAAGAGTCGAGAAAAGGGCCATATGTTGTGACTCGTGGACCGACTGACTTGTGACCAGGGCCATACCCAGCTCCTCCGTCAGTCCCATGGCGGTGGAATAATCCGACACGAGTCCTCCGGAAGGTCCACCGACGTAATCAGCAGCAGCCACATGAGCAACAAGCGGGTTTGCTACCGAGTAAAGGAGGGAGAGCTGCTCCAACGCCGGCCGCATGTACTGTAAGGTAGCAGAAGATGCGACTATGGCCTGGGGGATGTGGCGCTTCTTAAGATCAAAGTCTTTGGAGAATAGATACCCGAGGGCAATAGATCCAGCACCCTGTCGTGTTTCCATGGTCTGCACGGCTGTAGGATAACCGTTTGCATTTGGTTCGGACTGGGAGGACCAGTGTCTGACGGCAATGTCGAGGTCGAAGGTTTCCGGGGAGTAGGCGAAGAGCTTGTCAGATAGCGTGTAAGCAACATGCTGGATCAGAGTCTGCGCTGTCACATATGTTGGGCCACCAATCGAAGAGAAGGGGATCAGGCGGCCGAACGGCAAGGTCAGAGACTGAGTCTGATCGAGTTCCTGACCGAGGGCTTCAGGAGCTGCACCTCCTGAAGACGGCTCAATGGACCTCATTTTGGCACTGCGATGAATGCCGAGAAACTCTTCCTGCCAGGCAAAAAAGAGTGAAGAGAGTGACAAAGAAAGAATGAGAAAAGAGCAAAACAAATTTTGACCTTACACGCAGACACAGCGGCAAAGGGTGAGACAGATGCAAAAAGGGACAGAGACAGAGGAAAAGGAGAGAAAGAAAAGAACAGGCAGAGTTGGAGAACGGGCTCCAACTCCGAGGCGAGACGACGGCCCATGCGCCGGCTGCTCGCATGTCGCATGGCCGGTCGTGAGAAATGCCTCTTTCGGCATCTCAGGGGAAATCACGCAATTGTTTGCTGATCGAGAATGGCAATTGCGTGCTCGACAGATTGGGGCGGCACGTTCTGCTTAGTCATACTCTGCCACCAAAACTGTATAAAGCTAGTAAGTTAACTAGCGTCTCTCCTGTCTCGACCCGCATTATGTCATCCGGGTCTTGACGTCAGTTGTGTTTTGTCGTGATTGTTGACGCAACTGTAGGCCCTCGCAGAGGAACAGGGGGTAGCATCAGCATTCTCGAGCGCACCCATTACGGAGTACAGGTCTAAAAAATGGCAACAACAGCAATTGTTGGAGGCACGGGCCTTGTGGTGTGTATAGATGTTATTCATCAGGCGGAACTTTCCTAACCGGTCTGACACAGGGCTCGAGCATCGTCAATATCCTTCTCTCCTCCCCCAACGTTGCGCACATCGACTTCCTCGCCCGCCGCCCCCCCAGCACGCCCGTCACTAAAGACCTTATCGAATCCCACCCATCAAAATTTGCATCGTATATCTCCACAGATCCCCCGTCGTCCTGGGCTTCGCACCTCCGTTCAACAACCCCCGCCCCAGAAATATTTTTTTCCACTCTCGCAACCACCCGTGCAACTGCCGGGTCTCTCGCCGCCCAACGGGCCCTCGAGCACGATGCCAATGTCGATCTAGCCCGTGCAGCAAAGGAGGCAGGTACAAAAGTATACGTCCTTGTCTCCTCCGCCGGAGCGGACCCATCCTCAAAACTACCGTACATGAAGCTCAAGGGGGACATTGAGAAGAGCATCCTAGATTTAAATTTTGAGAAAACAATCATCCTTCGACCTGGTTTCCTTTCCGGACAGAGAGAGGAACGTAGGATCATTGAGGGGATGGTCGGTGTGATTGGGAATGCGGCCGGGTGGCTTAGCAAGCCTTGGTTAAAGGATTGGTGGTCTAACGATGCTGTAGAGGTTGCGCGCGCATCTGTGAGCGCAGGGTTGGCGGCTCTGAAGGGCACGGAGCCCGATGGGCAGCAAAAGGTGAGAATTTTGGCCGGCAAGGATATAGTTCGCCTGGGACGGACAGAATGGAAAGAAGCCTCCTAAACAGCCTCGATATTCACGTGTGGCAAGTGGCCTATCGATTACATCGTCTTCCCATAGCTTCATAGGAGAGTTTGTCTTTTTCCCATTTGTACAATAATAAACATATTTACATATGCTAGGAACGCCAATCACCGGCTTGGTGCAGAGAGCGGCGTACTAAATATGCAACAACTCACGTCGCAGCAGCGCATAAGGCTTTCACTCCCTACGGCAACCGTACATTTAGACCTTCGTGGTTTCATGATCGCTCCCCGCTTCAGGTGCGGCAAGTTCCACTTTCTTGCCTTTTTTTGGCGAGACTCTCTTGCTTGGACCATGAATGACTGAAGCACCCCGCCCGGATTCGTCAGTGAATCGTGATACCTCTTGGTTTGCAGGGCTCACCTCCAGCGGGCTTGCCTTGCTTCTTCCTTCTCTTGCCCACTCTTTTTCCGACTCCTCCCTTGCGCTTTCAGGAGTCTGGTTTTTTATGTCCCATGCAGAACTCTGCGCCGCAACAGCATTATCAGTTCCAGATTTTGAGTATTCACTCCGTTCTGTGTTAATTGCGTAGCGGCTATCCGGGTCATTTTCGTCAACGTAGGTGCTTCGCTGGCAGGTGCCAGAGAGGCTGCGGCAAGGGGCAGGTGTGGTAGATAACTTCACACTTGCACCTGAGCCGGGTAGCTTGGCTATCGATTGGGCAGTTATTCGTATTTTTCCAATGCCATTGAATGTGTGAGCGCCGGTTCTTTTAGCGATGGTAACGAATGCGAACATGGCAGCACTTCGAGTAATCACTCAAATGATTTTAATTCTAGATGTTTTTCACGGTACTTGTTTTGAGGGCAATTAGATCGGATGGTAGCTTCGAAGCTGTCCAATGCTTAAAGTCAGTAACTATTCAACCTTTAGGGGTATTAGCAGGAGATGGAGTATCGCACTGGCGCGCTACATATGCGTTAGACAAGACACACAATTTCTGTTTAAAACACGAGCCTTCACTCAGTCGACCATTGTGCATGAGAGAGAATTAAAGGGTAGTTAGGCACTCTGTAAACAGTTTTGCAGGCAACTACTCGTCAATAGAAGCTACTTAAGCTTGCTTCTGCTGCCGTTGTAGGTAGAGGTAAAGATGACGTAAACAGGGTTCCCTAGGTTGGACAAATTCCCCGCTGGAATAGTCCGGATGACGTCAAGACAGGCCGGGATAAGAACAAAGCCCTAAGCCCGGACTAACACAACCCATAGTTATGGTGTTTTGTCATTGGAGCAGGGAGCACTCCCTACTCCGTACGCTGTATCCGAACAACCACCAGATATTGAAAACGCGAATTTATTTTTGATGGTCCGATAAATCGAGAATCAAAGTCTAGATGTAACAGAGGCAGGGTGTATCATAATACTCTCACGTCTTCGTGATAATGGAAGAGTGGACGGCACACTCCATTATAGTATCCAGTTAGGCAGTCGCTCCCCTTTTGGACAACAATGAATCTGAACAAAAAGGCGTACGACAAGGGTGCACTAGGCAACGGCAATAGACCTGATCTCAGTTCTCAACCAGTGCTTGGACTTTTCGGATCCAGAACGATGGCTGAGGAATGCGGCATTGCTCATGGAAATTGCAATGCCACACGAAGGGATGAACGGTATTAGCTTTAACCTCAAGGGATATCTGAGACACAAAGCTTCCTAAAAGCTCTGTAGAATTTGACAATCATCAGTGACGGACGCAGAGCAATACTCTTGTCCTTTGCCCAAACGGAATCGTTTAGATAAGAAATGTGGTGTGGCAGTACAAGTGACATGGCAGACCGAGAATGAATTCGCGGCGCAGATACTGCTTTGTCTAGGATTAACCCGGCTAGGCTTTTAATCCAAAATGAGATGATGTGACGAAGCAAAAAGGCAACCCCAAAAAGAGCAAGTTGGCCAAGATGCACCAGAGACAAGGTATAGATTTTCGAGACTTCCATATCTTTTGACAGTTTGGGCAGAAAGACTTGAGTTTGGAATATTCAACGAACGGGGATCCGCGCAGGCTTCAGCCTCACTAAAGGTACATGATATAGCCTGGAACATTGGATATCTTTGACACGTCAATGATCGTTCTAGTGAGAAGCAAAATAACTCATGGACTACCAAAAGCCTACATTCCCAGGGGCTCCTGCTGATCGCTTCAGACTTCCAAGGCAACTTACCTTTGCGGCACAGATGTCTTTGCGGTCAGATGGCGGTAATTCGAAGTTTTGACGCTTAAGTCCATGGTTAGGGTCTTGATATCGGGCAAATAATAAACCTTGTTTCCAGAGGTCGATCGAGGACAGGATCTGCTCGAAGAAATCTGGCCGTTGGCTACCAAAGACGGGACGCCTACAGGTAAACCTTGCAGGCGTAGCCCATTGAACATCATTATTGGAGCCGTTGGAGGAAGCAAGGGATCCCTTCCAACTTTACCCATGCCACCTGGCAAACGGGCGGGGTATTAATAGGCGGCGAAAAGGGGACGGCAATGTGGCACCAATAAGGCTTAGCCTCTGCAATTTGGCCGTTTATTTTCCCAAGGACTTCGCAATGGCACTTCGCTATCTGCAGTCAGGTCTAATTGCAAAACGAGGCTGAGATGGTGCCGGAGGAGGGTAGAGAGGAGCGGTTAGGCCAATGCGGCGTTTTGCATTCGAAATTTGAAGGCGTACAGGGAAAATTTTGTGACAATGTCACATCACCATGCTCTCGTTGTACACAACAGGGACTAAGAAGGTAGATCAAAAAGCAGGACCCCCGGCACTCACCCGGGCTGCATAAAAAATCGACGAGGATGCATTATGCGACCGTAGCCTAATGCAATAGGGGAAATGCATGTCGTCTTGGGATCTGTGGGCTTTGAAGCACATCATTGATCCCACATGGTAGCTTCAAATGAGCTTCCTGCAATTGTGATTTGTTATACCTGGCCGTTCAGCAGTGAACTTCAACCTTGCTGGCTGGATCACTCGAATAGCTTAATCCCAACTGCCTGGATACAAGCCAGGTATGAGATATTGCAATTCCAACGTTCGAGAAACTGTTTCACCGATCGGTGGTTTAGTGTGCCCCTACCATGAACCGTTCATACGATTGAGGATTTACCATATTGATGACGGTGTCACTGTGTCCACTCGTTTCTAACAAGCGTTTTCCACTTCCCGCCCCCGATACCTTCAGGACTTCTCAGAAAAAGAAATTCGAAAGCATTAGACTGACTTAACTTGGACTAGGTAGTGAACTAGGCACAACCAAAGTCGCCAGTTTTAGCGAGTTGAGCTGGTCATTACTTGATGATAGCTTTGTTTCAGGATATTCCTTCCTTGGTCGCCTTCTTCCTTTTCATCAGTGATATACGGACATCTAGACCACCTAGCTCGGCATGGGAATGGAGCAATTTCGTCGCAAATCTGTGCAAGGAAGACGATCTGTATCCGCACAGAACCCCCTGATAGTAGTGGGTCATCGAGGCAGACGAGGCCAGCGGCGACTTCCGGCGAAGACAAAACGGAGCCTTGACCAAGATCACCAGAAAATGGACGAATTTAGGACGCACATTTTAGCAGCCTTGATCACGACGGTGAATTTGAACAAATCAGCCAGACAGTGGATGCCACGTCATGAACACCGGGGAGCTATAGCGCAACGTTCGCGGTGGAACTTGGACATTAATTCCATGTCGTCATTAAGTAGAATCACCCATCTAAAACATAACTCCGGCGAAAATGGCACTATGATGTGTTGAGTGCCAAAGCAAGGGGTTGGGTACAGGATTGCAACGGAAGACAGGACTTGACGGAGCGATGAATGCACCACTACTGAAGAAGTTGTGTCCACACATGATGAAACATCATTATGCGCTCAATGGTGGTGTACAATCGCATCGATGGGGTTTGGAAGAAGCAATAAGGACGGTACGTTAATGTCATATCCACCACGTCTGAAACCTGGTTCTCAATAGTCTTGCATAATGAGGCGATACACTCCAAGTTCCTCATCCGAGATGCAAGCAGACAAAATACGAGTAGCCTTACCATGCAAAAAGGGCGCAGACAAGATGCATGAGAGGCAGATTGAGTCTGGAGAAGTGGAGTGAACTAGACCAGGGTACATACCAGCATAATCGTCACACATGGGTGAAATTCAGGGGCCGGTTCTCAAGGACGAGAAAGCTCGCTTTCAATGCTGCTTTCTGACAGTAATTGGCCACTCCTATCCACAATGAAGGTTTGAACGGACATGTCAAACACGGGTGGAGCCAGCCGTTAAATCCGAAGAGTTATGGCAAGTACTTTGGTAAATCTCGTGAACAGAAACGGATGTGGCCAGGCCGGATGGGATGTCAAGGCATAATTCACGGCAGGGTTTAGATCAGGGATTGGAGCCAGCTGGCACGAATGGGCAGTTTGTCGGGGACGCCATTGTGATGATCTTTGCTCCAGTGAGCCTCGGAAAACATCGCGCGTATAGGAGAAACAAGGAATGCTAGGATAACAGGCCGAAGACAGGCCCGTTCAGCCTAGGGTGAACAATTCGGAGTAGGGGCAAAGGTTAATTGAAAACTTTTGCCAACGGAAAAGATGGGCGAGCGGTCGTAAGCGATGGAGCCACGACAGCGAACAGTCACGCTAGATTGATATCAATTCGATTCAAGCTGCATCAGGAATTCAGATCCTCGCACACCACGACGGGCTGACGGCGAACAACCCCACTTGGTGATGCACGAACGATCACAAACTTAGGGCATGAAACGGGAAGAAAATGTAGACAGATCATCCGTGGCAGCCGGAAATGAGCCTAACCCGAAGTCCTGATGTGAAGCTTGTGCGGAGTAGGCGAAGCCGGGACTGGCATCGCAAAGGCCTGATATCCGTCACACGAAACATAAATATCCAGCTCCATCCCATGGAGAAGAGAGGTTTCAGAAGGCATCATCGCTAGTCATTGAATCCATAAGACCCAAACTGCGAATCAGCAACAAGCCTTCCTCAACAAAGCCGAATAACTTGAAAAACTTCACGACGAAGCCTACTCCTTAATCGAAGAAGCTTAGCCTATCGATCCAAATCAACGAACGCTTAAACCAATAGAGAGCCCTCATATCTGAAACTTGATAGGGAACATATCCGCAGAACAAGGTAAGAATCGAAGCAAAATTTTGCACTAAGGGGATTGCCAGACTAACCGAGCTAAGACACCATGTGCTTCTACAACCAAAAGAAGTTTGCTTGCGGCGACTGGTCCTGGGGTAGCTTCGCCGCCAAGTGCAACCATGAATATCGAATGGGCGAAACATGCGGGATGAAACTCGTTAACCATACCGAGTTTATTCAAGTCCAATGCAAGCTTTGCGAGAAAATTGCGACAAAGCATCGCAGACGAGACAATGAGCTCGCACGGATACGGCGCTGGCATGACGAGGGCGGCCTCATGAAGGCCTCCATTGAAAAGTCACAGTCCCTCGTGAAAGATTTGGAACAGGAGATCAAGCAGCTTGAATACGAACGACACACGAAACAGAGAACCTTGGGCAAGGGAGGAAAATAATTGGAGAAGAGGGTATCCTCAGATGGAAGAACTTAGACGGATGGCGACTTTTGCTTTCTCCGTTCTTGTTGCATAGTTTTTGATTGGCATTTCTTTTCTCATTCTCTTGCGTCTAGATTTTCGGGATAGCCATGTTCAAGATTTTGCATTTTCGACAGATCTTCCCCTGCAGGTTTCAATTTGGCTGGCTGGTGCAGGGAGGTAATTGGGTTGAGGTAGAAAAAAGGGAGATGCGATATTCAGTGTTTTTATGTCATTTCAAATCAAGAGAGATTCTCTGCCAATGGATTTTCCACCCTATGAACAGATACTCAATTGCCGCTTTGAAGGGAGGACACGAATTTTATGCGCTGGTCCAAGGTAAAACAGACAGGAATGAGACAGGGAGCTACGCCGCTCATTTCTGTTTCAAATTCCATCCAATGTTAGGCACTTGGGCGCCTCCGATTTGTCCGCCCCCAACGACGGTTTAGAACTTCATGGAGAAGACTCTCTTCACAAGCTTGTCTAATCCGTACCATCCATGGGTATTAAAGATTTCTCAAGATGCGGGTTTAAAACTGACGATCGAGGGATGCGGTCCGGGAAGATGCTGGAGGGTTGACGTTCGAAGGTGAGCATCGAGTGACAAGCAGTACGCCGCCGCAGCGAACGAAGCAGCATGCGTCGACCAGAGGCGCTTTTTTGACATAGTTAAGGTTAGCGCCAATAATCACGTGTTTATTGGGTTCGCCAAGAAACTCAAAGGGACACGAACAGGTGGAGGTGAACTGATAAGAAGGTATAAGGAATCCTTACTGCTGATGATGGATCTCGTAGTTCGATGCTAGCAGAAAGTCCTTATATGAATTCTCCCAAATAGGTGTCTAAATCTCTTCTGGCGAAACGCCCATGTGGCACGAAATGTTAAACCCAGCTTTGAGTGGTCCTTGATATACGGTGTGGTCGAAAAGTGAATGAGTGAAGCAGAAGTTCTTCTTTTCTAAAATCAATATCACACGAGAAAAAGATACCGGATCTACTGGGCTCACAAGAATAAACAAGCACAAATAGGAAAATGTCAAAATTTGAAGGGTGGCATGACCTTAAATACGTTATGTTGCATTCGGATTCATCGCGCTCGCCTTGTCTCTACTCAGCTAAGCCAGTTGATGAAGTACATATGCTACTGGCTCCTTTGCTGTGATCCATTCTGAAAGATGGACAGAAGTCCCACGGAGGAGTCCCACCAGGGCGTGCCACGTCACCGGCGCTTCCGGCCAAATTTTTAGCAGTCATTGGTGTACTCGCCAAGATGAAGGTGAGTTCTTCAAAACAGTGATATAAACGGACTCTACATTCCAGGTGCGGATAACCAATCAAGACATGGAAGAGCAAAACTGGCAGGATGCGCTGACTGGAGAGAGGCAAGGAGAATTAACCCGTCCGGAGGACAACTTCGTAGCAGAATCCATGTTACTATAGCGCCCTAGAGCATAAAGGTGGCTATTTCGTTCCAGCAACTACCCACTTTGCTGCTCTTCGTTTTTGGCCAGGCCGTGTTCCTTCAACAAAGCGTCGATCTCATCGCCCCCCCAGAGGTGATGGTAGATCGTGCCATCTTTCGTCCGACCAACAGTCGCCACTTCGACTGTAACGGTTGCACCATTAGTATAACCCAAAGCCCTTTCTTGATTGCCTGGCATGCACTTACTCTTCTCGCTGCTGAGCTTTGTTGAATCCATGGTCTTACTCAGCACCTTAACGGCCATCCCACATGCCTCCTTCAAATCACAGTCGTCCTTGTAATCTTGTTTTAGTAAGCTTTGGGCGCTAGCATTATTCGCACCAACACTCGTCGCCTTCCATCCACCATAGTTTCCGCTGGGGTTGCTCTGGAAGAGCTGGAATTGGCCGAGGGAATCATATCCAGCGTAAATGAACGAAACACCAAATGGACGGAGTCCACCGTGTTGTGTATAACCCTGTTTGAGATCACATAATCTCCGGACCAATTGTTCGCAGGGGATTTCTTCGTTGTATGTCAAAAGGTATCTCTGGGCAGCCTGGCGGGCGTAATTGATCAGAATGTTCGCGTCGGCAGTCATTCCGGCAACGGCACATATCATGTTGCTGCATATAACTTCAGTAAATGTTACTAACCAAGAGATAGACAGTCCTACTCGTTCAATATATAAAGCTTCTCCGCTGATGTGTCCTGTTCCAAAAGCTTGCTGGTTACCTTGCGCTCCGCGGCGAGGACAATCCCGTCTTTCGCTAGAATTCCGAGGGCAGTGCCCGCATGGGAAATGGCTTCCAAAGCATATTCAACCTGGTAAAGGCGCCCTTCGGGAGAGAAAATCGTTGTCTATAGAGAGCGATCAGAAGCCGAGAGTCAGCAGTGTTGATGTCTAGGTGAGTGAAGGAAACCTACTCGTGAGTCGTATCTTCTCGCCATGTTTAAAGCAACTTTCTATTCAGTAAGTAATTGATCTAGTAAGATATCTCCTGGCGTTAAAATAGACAGAAGAAGCAAGGAAATAATAACGTGAATAGAATGAGAAATGTTAGATGTGTAAAAGTCGTCAACAGACGTTGATGTTGCAGCTCTTCTGCGAAGCTCCAGGCAAACCAACCTAACGTGTTCGGTCCATTAAGAGCTTGGACCAATCATCGACGCGCACTTCAGGCCTAACTCTCAATTTCGAGGCGGATTCAACCCAAAGGACCGTTGGCATCCGAGAACTATTCTAGAGTACCTACTTATCATTAAGGTATACAATGTTGAAATCCACATATACTCCTTTGCCGCCTCTCCCTGCGGGGTGGACTGAACATAGAGCCCCTTCAGGTAGGCTTCCCGTTCCTACGCATATCGCAAAAAGCTGACAGAATAATAGGCCATCTATATTATTACAACGCCGAAACCAAGCAATCAACGTATAAAAGGCCTACTGCTCCAACCCTAGAAACCAAACCCACCGTTTTCTCCCCTGAACATCCTCCGTTGGGTCTCTCAGCTGCTGTTCCAGGTGCTTCCCCAGCCAACGTTCCTTTTGGCGGAGCATTCAGATTCGGAGCCTGTCGCAAGGATGATCCGGGCAGTGGTCGGCGTTACGAAAAGCGACAACCGCAAGACCGTCCAAAATCGAAACACCCAATACCTGGGTGTGCACCTTGGTTCCTCGTGAAAACCAAACTCGGTCGCAGATTCGTGCACAATCCCGGGACGAACGAGAGCTTTTGGAAATTTCCAGAACATGTTCTTAAAGGAGTTGTGGAATATGATCGAATAGAGAGGGAAAGGAATGAAAGACGAGAACGTGGGGAATTAAGTGAAGAAGAAGATACTAGGAGAAGAAAAGAACCACTGCCAGAAAAGGAACAAACAGGTTCAAGAGAGGCTGCAGCTGACGAACAAGAAGAAGAGTATAGCGACGAGTATGAAGAAGTTGAAGTCACTGATGAGGAGGATGAATTGCAGTCAAAGAGATTGAGGACGGAGGAAGGCACCGATCAGCCAATCGAATTCAATGAAGACGACATCGCTTATCAGCTGGCAGCAATGGGGGAAGATTACGGACTTGACCCCGGCGAGTACGGTGAACCTGGAGAAGAGGGTTGGGAAGAAGGGGCAGAAGGCCTACCGCTTACAGAAGAAGATGCGACTGCTCTATTCCGAGACCTTCTGGATGATTATCAAATAAACCCCTATACACCATGGGAGAAAATCATTGAGGAAGGCAGAATTATTGACGATACGCGATATACTATTCTCCCAAATATGAAATCAAGGCGTGAAGCATGGTCCAATTGGAGCCGGGATCGTATCCAGGAACACAAAGAGCGCAAGGAAAAGGAAGAAAAGAAGGACCCACGTATACGCTACCTGGCTCTACTCGAGGCGCATGCAACTCCAAAACTATTCTGGGCGGAATTCAAGCGCAAGTACAGAAAAGAACCCGAAATGAAGGACAATCGCATGTCAGATAAAGATCGCGAAAAGCTCTATAGGGATCACATCTCACGCTTAAAGCTACCGGAGAGCACCCGTAAATCCGACTTTTCAGCGTTCTTGAAATCAATACCACTAACACACCTAAACCGGTCGTCAACAATTGACGCGCTTGACTCTTCGATCTTAAGAGATATTCGTTATATTTCCCTACCATCCAAAGTCCGAAACCCTCTGATTGAGACTTATGTGTCAACTCTTCCAGATGCTCCAGAGGTGACAGACCTCTCAGTAGAGGAAAAAGAGGAGAAATTAAAGAAGCATCATGAACGCCAAAGGCGGGAGAAGGCGCTTGCGGACCGCAAAGCAATGGTTCAGGAAGAAAAACAGAAACATCAGAGAGCGCTTGTCCAAGGTAAAGATATGCTTCGACATGGCGATGAAGAGCTCCGGAAAGCTATGCTTGTTGGCAAAGAAGGTCTGACGAGCCATCTCGAGGAGATTGGGAAAGCAAATACCTCAATAAGTGGTGAAGATTAATGTTAACAGATCCATTTGGTCAAATCTAGCCCAAGTTCATTCCTGATATGCACGATACTTTTATGCTTAGCCTGTGAGTGCAGTATTATCACAGTCACGGCAGGAATCTTTCATCCTTGTATAAAATGTATGAATACCCTCTTTAAGTATTCTATCCATTTTATTACTTCAAGGGATGGGGCAATTTTGCACAGACCAAATTCTAAACTGATTATCTTCCAGGTGATAGGGCGGACCAGCAATAACCCCCCCCCCCCCCCCCCCCCCCCCCCCCCCCGCCCCCAAACAAAAAACAAAAAAAAAAAAAGAAAGCTACATCAGCGTGAAGGTTTTTGCCAGAATTACTATGCATATGTGCCCGTGATGTGTAGCATCACATAGTCCATGCACTCATGTCATAATATAAAATTCTGGTCCGAATGAACTTCGCAAACCCATAGCCATAACAGAAAAATGTCCAAACAACAGAGAAAACCAGTAAAATATTGTGAGCAGCTGTGTCTTCACTTTACACTTCTTTTCCTTTAACTTGGATTGCCAATAAGCAGTGCCCAACCTGTAGTTCACCCATTACTGGCTCCACTTTAGACAAAGCCACCAGACCGAGATGGGACAGAAAGAGATGGATTTGGAGACACAGAGAGAATGTGATGCAATGTAATTAAATGAGGGCACACTAGATGCCTCCCGCAAACCTGCCTCTCTTGCTACGACTAAGAATCCTTGTAATAGCCCCCGAGAGGAAGACCGTAACGCGCAATGCCATAGGGAATATGGGATATCAAGGTATGTAGTAGCTGAAGGATTGATATTTGACTTATGGGAATTGGGCTGGTGACAATAGTCTCTTCGTGAGACACGGATTCTTTATACCCTAAGGTGAGGTCTGAAGCCATCCAGGATGAGGATCCCAGTTGCAAAGTGAAGGTGAATGTTGGACGCAGAATTGAGTTCGGGGATGTTGAATATCGAGCGAAGTTATGTATGGGCTCTACTCCATGATGAGCTACGCAATAATGAGAAATTAGGATCTGAGTGAGTGTTGTCCTTGCAGCTTAAGCGTGCCAGGGTTATCATCTCACCGTTTAATGAGTATGGTAACCGGTTGTTTTTCCTTGGGTATTGCTGGAGATTCGAAATCCATCCCATGGTCGAGGCAAGGGACGACAAAAGAGGATATACCAGAAGATAGTGAAGCGACGGAAGAGCTACGAAGTGTCAAGTTGAGAAGTAGGTAGTTGAGGGGTCGTTCAGTCAAGTTGGAATCATTGGAAAACTGAAGTTATTAGATACTTTTTAGGGAGATAAAGCAAATAAAGTGGTAGAATAATCAGAGCAGTTACTCTGAAGCAAAAGTCTAAGACAGATCCATCATGATCAAGGCATCGAAAGGGAGCATGTAGTAACTATATAATGCTATCATCAAACACACTATGCCACTGTGAGTGTCTCTCATACATTTCTTGGTATCCTGACTCATTTTCCTGCTAGCAGCACGTCCATAGTGGTTTTTGACAAAGCGATTAACGGAGAAGGGTATCATAATTTTAGTAAACTGGGCATTGGAAATTCAGATGTGCCATCTCGTCGCATTGGCATTATTTGAAGCGCCAGTTGTCCCATTCATCATCATCCTCATCATCGATGTCTTCATCCTCTTCGTACTCAAATACATTTCCGCTTCCAGGGGTTTCAATATTCCCTCGTACTGAATCGCCTTCAGAGTTCATCATGTCCTTCAGTAAACCTTGTTGTCGGCGTCTCAATATTTCTTCCCGTTTTTCCTTCAGTCGTTTAACACGTTCGTCCAGTTGCTCCATCTCATCAAATTCTTCTTCAAGCGATCGTGTAGCCTCTTCCTGTTCGCCCTGCAATTCAGCCTCGCGAGCCTTTGTCCGCGATTCACGCTGTGCCTCCTCGTGTTTGGCCAATTCAGCAGCTGAGACAGGTGCGGCGGATATTGTGGCACCGGAGTTCAAAACAGCTGCAGGAACTTGTGTCCTGGTAGGTGCAGCAACGAAACGCTCGAAAGCTGCCCATTCGTCTTCATCAATAGCTTGAGGTGCCTCCTGCTGTTTTGTTGAAGCTGTGGCTTGTGCTGGCAGTGGAAGGGGGTTTTCTGTCGCAGCGTTCGCCGTTGGCACTATCGCAATATCTGGGGACGGGCCTGTTTCTTCAGTAGGCGATGCTTTCTCTATCTCATTTTCTTCTCCTGCTGATTCCTCAGCCTGGTCAATCGGTTTGAGCTTTTTGCGTATTTCTGTGGGTGCGGACTCGAGCTTTCTCTTCTTTTTCTGCCTGTCGGTAGCAGACGCTCGTGATGCGAGCTCATTGCGCAATAGTGCACGTACGTCGGCCATGATGGAGGTAGTGGCTGGCAGATAGAAAGCAGTTTTTGTCTTTTATTTCATCCAAAACAGTCTTCCACAGCAGAAAGCTTCGCCGGCAGCTTCAACCACAACCAACAGCTCGCGCCTTGGCGGCCGACGTCGCAATCTGACTAAAATCCAAGCTATCGCTGACATAATCTACAAGCGAGTGGATTGATTTGATGACAATATGCCAAGCCGCTAATAACGCATTAGTGAGCTCACATGATATTCTAGCCGTTCTTGGTTGAAGGGAAGACCATCCTCTTATAAACAACTTCCATCCATCGCCAACTTCTTTCTCGACTTCATCTCCTTGCAAAATAATCGACTCGCGCATCTCCCGTCATACTTGCCGTTGTGACGCGATTGTTTTATCCACCTTGTGTTGATTGTTGGGGAGCATCCCCGGCTGTGCATAGCACGCGACGAAATAAGCTCCATTCTCCGCAATTTGGGCTAATTCGAAGAAAAAGAAGGATAAGCCAATTCTTTCCTTGAAACAAACAACATAGCTGGAGCGCGAAGGACGTAAAACTGGTCTAGCTAAGACAAGATTGCTGTTCCTTCACACTTTCAGACCTGCTTTTTGTGTATTTAGCAACCTTCGATGCCTGTAGACAGGAAACTTCGTTGGTTGCCAGAATCAACAGTTCCAGCAATTTCGATCTTTCAGCACACGTAGCTCATTGTTTAGTCCATTTGTTTAATTTTTGCCATGGCCGGTAAGCATATGTATCCCATCCGTATACAGCGTCACGACCCTATAAGGAGCTCCGCGCGTTGTTTTGATCCCCTCGCTGTGGTCAATGATTGCACCGGCTAACCATCCTACAGAAGAACCTCGACGTTCCGGCAGAGCCACGAAAGGCCAACATAAGAACCTTGATATGCCCGAGCCTCCTCCGAAACGAAAAGGGAAATCCCAGACGAAGGCCCCGAAACAAACTGCAGAACCAACACCGCCTGAAAATGAAGAAGACGAGATAATCCGTTGCATCTGTGGCGAATATGAGGAAGAAGAGGATGTGGAGCGTGACATGATCTGTTGCGACAAATGTTCTGCGTGGCAGCACAATGATTGCATGGGACTTGACTTTGCAAAGGGTGAAGAGCCGGCAGAGTACTACTGTGAGCAATGCAGGCCCGAGAATCATAAAGTCCTCCTAGAGAGAATGGCACGTGGTGAAAAGCCTTGGGAGGAAGTTGCCCAGAAGCGAGCCCAGGCTGCCGAAGAAAGAAAAGCAAGACGCAGGAAAGGTGGCAAACGTGGAAGAAAAAGCAGAGTCAGCGATGTGAAACCCGAAACAAGTGATACAACTCCGCGTGCATCAGCAGCCCCCACCCAGGAACCTATTCAAGCCGTTAATGAAATTCAGAATGGCCCTCCAACAAATACTGGGATCCAAGAGCAAACCACTAGCTCTCAGAAGAGAAAATATTCCGATCATGCAGATACTGGACAACACGAACCGGTAAGTCAAATCAATATCTTATCCAAAAGCTAATCGCTGACCGTGGACATGCCAGGAACCGAAACCCAAGCTCCAGAGACTCTCAGTCAGTGGTCTACCAACTGTCCATCCTCAGGAGATCAAGAAGTCTCCGGCGCAGAGTCGGAAGGCGAGTATGGCAGGAAGTCCCACCACTCACGGCGCAAAGACAAGCAAGTCTCCTACAGAGGCAACCGCCAGTGGTGCAACCACCTTGACCCAAGCTAGGAAAAATGTTGCAAATGCCTTAATCAAGCTCTTCGTTGAGCAAGCTGGAGTAGCACAGGAGCAAGGAAAGTTTTCGATTCCAGAAGGAAGGACCAAAGAGAGTGTAGGAGAGTACCTGGGGTTCGCAATTGAACAAGCAATGTATCAAAACCTCTGTGGAGGGTCAGGGGAACCCAATGATCCCTATAGACAGCAGATGCGGACCATACTGTTCAATGTAAGGAAGAATCCTTCATTACGTGATAGTCTGCTTGTAGGTCGTATTACTCCTGATGCCTTCTCCAAAATGAGCACGCAAGACATGGCCAGTGAGGAGCTACGACAGAGAGACGACGAAATCAAGCGCGAGGCGGAACGACAGCATATCATCATCCAAGAGACGGGTCCACGCATCAGACGGACCCACAAGGGCGAAGAATTTGTGGAATCTGATCCCCAGTTTGTCGGAACTGAGTCTGTCTTCTCGACTGCCCCTGCTCGACGTGATACCCTTGGGGAAGCAATGAGTCCTCGTGCAGCAAGCCCAGCCACGGGACGAACTGGATCTATGGACGCTGTCCAACAGAACCAGAAACCGCAACCTATTGACACACAAGTGATTCTCACTGGGAGACCTGGATGGTCTGCGTCGGATGACTTCAATATCCAAAATGTCTGGTCAAGCGTTCAGTCCCCGGGGGCTGTTCCTCATCATGACCCGCCGCAATTTGGGCCAACAGTGTTCCCACAGGAGCATCCGCCTCCATCCACGCATAAGGTTCAGGCTGATGCTGAAATTGATCAATTGCTGAAAGACGAAGAGCCGGAGTCGCCACCATATTCACCCAAAGACTTCCCTGGGCCCGACATCATCTGGCGTGGAAAAGTTTTGATGGATGGGGTTGCCAGTTTTTCCGCTGGAGCACGATTTGTTGGCGGTGCTGACCTTAGCGCAAGGATCCCATGGTCGCAATTAGTTCCTCCTTCGTTGACAATTGACGGCCGCATCGATATCCAACTTGCAACAAATTATGTGTGTGGACTTCGATACAGTCACACGGTGGATATCACAGTTGTGGCAATTCCACCCCCAGATGCTCCTGATGATGTCGTGAGCTTCAACAACTTATTCGATTACTTCGTTCGACGAAAACGGTATGGTGTTATGGGAAAACATCCTCTTCCCGCTGTGAAGGACACATATCTCGTTCCCGTTGAGGCAGGCTCAGGCAGAAAGCCAGAATTTATGGAGATCCTTGAGAACAATGCTATTGAAAACCCAACGCCCGAGCGGCTATTGCTTGTGGTATTCGTCCTCAAGACAAGTAACAATCACTCAAATGCCGTCACGCCGCAACATCCTCCAGCTACCGCGGCTAGTCCACTAACAGCTACCCCAACTGCACGATATTCTCAACATTCACTTTCCTACCAGGACACGGATCGACCTTCTGGATCACCTTCACAGTCTCAGGGACATTATAGTCCGCCGCCACCATATTCTCAACCTCAATCTCCGCTAGTACTCAATGGAAAAGCAGCTGCAGTCCACGTTCTAGGGGAGCAGCTTGCCTCATCACCTACCATTGAGGAGGTCTTAAGACATGCTCCAAATGCAGATGTCGCTCAATTCAACGTCATTGCAGAGATCTTATCTCGGCATCCGTCTGCTGCGAACAGCTATGAACAACTAATGAACGCACTAATGGAAAGGACAAATGGTGGAACATAACATAATCTTCAATACTTCTTGAACTACCTGTTTGTCCACCTGTCATTTTATTGTCTGGCGAACCCATATTTGTGCACTTAGGCGGATTCTTTGTTGGAACTGGGAATGCATTGTATTATCCGCTAAAAAGACAGCCAAAGGCGTTCACTCTCGTTGTGTACTTTTCTTCTGGCCTTTTGGTGTGTTACTTAAGTCTTGTGTCTCAATTTGAACAAAGAGGCTGTATCACATGTATTTGTATTATTTTGCTGAGCTTGTTGAAGTTCTGCCTTTTATTTGGTTGCAGAATCCTTCCTGCACTTTGTAACCCATAGCGAGGTATTGCTCGAACCTGCAACCCCGTACGTATACGTTTAATTAAAATGTTCGACGGATAATATCTTCAGCGGCCCCCCCAAATCAAGCCAAGCGAAACACGGGTGTCCGTGGTCCTTGATAGAGTTATATTGCTCAGACAGCTCTTATCATGATTAGCAGAATGGGGTTTACTAGAAAACAGCAGTATCAAAGCCTAGCCATATTGAAATACGAAACGCGATTGCGTAGGATCTCTCTTCAATCTGATCTCAAGCAATTTTTCTTCGACCCCAAGTGAAAGCGACATTCTCTAGAGCCTTAACTTGCAAATTCAAAACAGATCTAGCCACAGACCTCCTGCCATAAACTTGAATAATCCCTCTTTTACATCAAAAATACTAGACTGTGAGTTGGTATTAAGTTAAACACCAGTAACGCCTGCGCTATGCGAGTCCCGTGGAAAGTAGAATGTCCACAAATTACCACCTGCTTCCATAACCCCCTCCTCTTCGTCTGCCATAACCACCACCTCCCCCGCCACTCCGGTAGGATCTTCCTCCATATCCTCCGCCTGGCCTGGGGCCCCAGCCGCCATCTTCGTAACCTGAATCACGACCGGACGGCCCATCCTCGTGTCGCGATGGCGGTGGACCCTTGAGCTCCTTTTGTAGCGTGGAATATGTTTCACGCATTTTGGCGTAGCCTAAATGCATTTTACCGAAGAAATGATCTGCAAGTCGGCGATCGTTGTCTAGACGACTAAGATAAGCACCGCATACGTCGCATACTTGAAGCTTTTGATGTCCAGAGGGACCGGAGGTATCGGAAAGGGCTTTCAATTCCCTTTCAGCGCTTTCCTTCTGGTGTTTTGATTGTCTGATCTTGTGAAATTCCGTGATTGCGAGCGATACACATCCGAGCTCGCCCAAAATGGCAGTTTCTTCGAGCCCGGTATTGATCGTTTTGCTTAGGTCTGAAATTTGTCGCAGCTAATAGTACAGGTGTCAACATTTGCACTCCAAGTCCGAGCAACAGATTTACAACAGAAAGATGAGAATATCGTACTAAGTTGTTTGTCTGCCGTATCTCATCCGGGGTTTTTTCCAACCGTCGTTGCGCTGAATCAATTCTCCGATTACACTCGTCGATGTACTTTTGCATGTCGCGCATGTAATCGTATTCAAACCCCCACTTCGACTTCTCATGCGACGACGCTGCCTCATACTCAGCCTTTAAACCTTCACTGTGTACCTTGGGACACGGTCCAAGGTCTTGTTTCGTATTTGTGAAAAGGTCATGGGGGCATGTGCCGACCAGATACGATCGGCAGACTTTTGGGTCTGTAATAGATAGTTGCGCGTTTCGAGCAGATGCACCAGTACCGATGAGCTGGTCCGCTATGTAGAAAAGAGAAGTTAGCGAAGGCCATCGCGTGGTCAAGCTTTGAGCTGCTGAAGGCAAACACACACCTCCCATGAGCTGCTCGAGAAGCTTGCGCTGCTCGGCGGCCATGCTGAATCGTATCCTCCAAGCAAATCTCGGTGAGAAATATCTAAGGGGGAGGCTAGTATTGTAAAATCAATTGCTGCGACACCCGGACGATGCCCTCTGAATCACGGTACTGGATGGACGGAATGCTGAATGTTCGACTTCGCCCTTCAAACGTTTCCCGAAATGGATTAGCGTTCTAAGCGGCTCTGGCGCTTAAATTTAGACGAACCGCGCGGAATTAGGTCCAGGCTAGCTGTATCCGGTTAGTAATTTCTACGCGCTGACCTCACTCCCTCTGTCAGCCGCAATAAGCTCTCGGTAAGGCGTCAACACAGTCTTTGATGGAACAATTGGGCCCTAGCCTGGGATAGCTGTTCTATCTCAGAGTTGGGCGATAATGTCGGGATGATTTTCCTTTCCTTTCATTTGGTTTGCGCTCTTGCCGCATGGCTAATAGCTGCTGTTGCTTTTGCTGCTTCGGACTATTCTGAACAGCTTGTCCTCCAGCCTCTTCCGCCCTCCTCTTTGCTCGCTTCTTTCAGCTTTCGAAGCAACGAATCCATTGCCGCATTTCAACAACAAAACTTTAGATATTTTCCTCGTTCTCTGGGACAGATTCTTCAGCACGCCAATACAAAGGAGCTACACCTCCGATTCTCGACAGGACGATGGGACGCCGAGAACTGGGGAGACCGCCCATCGCAGGGGTTTAAAGAAGGTGGCACGGGGGTTGAACTGTGGGCATGGATGGAGGCAGATACAAACGACGAGTACGTCCAATCTCTCTTGAGACGCGGATCATATATATCTGATGGATCTAAGGGCGTTCGCCAAATGGGTGACATTGACGCAGTCGCTTTCCGGTTTGTTCTGCGCTTCTTTGAACTTTATCGACTCAACACGAACGACTCGACCGTACCTTACCTTTCAACCGAGCGGCAATCATTCGTCTGTCCAGAACTTGCATCTTCTCCACGGTACTTTACCAGGGGAAGTCGTTTGTACAGAGAACCTGACACCTTTTCTAAAGCTGCTTCCGTGCAAGGGGAAGGCAGGCATTTCGAGCTTGCTTGACGGTCATAGGCTTTTTGACGCAGCATGGCAGAGCATGTCTATTGACTTTCGACCTGTTTGCCCCGGCACCGATGGACAATGCCACGTCGAGTTTCAGCAGTCTGTAGATATGGTGCTGGATATAGATAGATCGAAACGACCAAGAGGTATGTTAATCGGCCGAAATTATTCAAATCTGCAAAGCTAATTGCCGTTCCAGACAACCCTATTCCCCGGGCCGTTCCTGTTGACCAGCTGGTTTGCGATCAGTCTAAATTATACCACTCGAGAGATACTTGCTATCCAGCGGCATCTGCCGCCACAAAGGAATGGAGCTTGGCAGATGTGTTTGGCCGATCCATACCATCGCCCTGTCCCCTTTCGAAAGATGAGACGAATACAGTCTGTCTTAAGGTTCCAGCGGAACGAGAAGTCCTTACAACCGCTGGGGCTCTCGAACGGAAAAGCCCAGACGGCTTTTCCCGCTGCTATACACTTTTCACGAATCTTGGTTTGAATCTTGTTCTCCCAGCGCAGGAGTCGGTTCACCAAGTCCCACTAACACAGCCAGTTTTACATGCTGAAAGAACTACGATCGGCCATGGTCAAGAACGTGGCGGATTAAGATCCATTCTAACCAATCCATCTAACACAAAGGCGGTCGATTTTGTCTATTTTGAAAGCCTCCCTTGGTACATGAAACCATACCTCCATACTATGAAGACTACACTTACCCATAGGAACGGTTCATCAGAGGAGATGTCTCCTAAGCAAATTATCAAAGACATCTTCTACCGACCCGCAATCGACCGAAAGCGTGGAACCCAACTGGAATTAGTTTTATCCGTTCCCGCTGCATCCACAGTGACTTTAATATACGAGTTCGAGAAGGCAATTTTACGTTATACCGAATATCCTCCCGACGCTAATAGGGGATTTAATGTGGCTCCAGCAGTGATTAGGATCCTCGATAGTAACAACACCGGCGATACACTTACACCTTCGTTTATCTATCTTCGTACCACTAGCCTTCTTCTCCCTCTGCCCACTCCAGACTTCAGTATGCCGTACAATGTCATTATTCTAACGAGCACAGTAATAGCTCTCGCGTTTGGGAATATCTTTAACTTATTGGTTCGCCGTTTGGTGGGTGCGGAGGAGGCGCCCCCGTCCGGGGTAAAGGCAGTTATTCGAAGCAAGATAGTTGCGCTCAAGGACAAAATCCGTGGCAAAGAGACCAAAGTGGAATAAGTACTGTCATGAGCTCTGCGCAATATACTCGGACGCGACTCTTTAACGCAACACTCTGCGCTTTTAATTCCGGCTATCTGTACATATAAAATCTTTTTGAACTGTTTTTATACCCTTTTTCGAGAAAACATAGCTTCAGATCTTCCTCAAGATAGGCTTGTTGTCCCAAAAAAGATTAATATTTGTTTGAAGAGGCTCCAATCGTTATGAGCCTGGGCACCATTTGAAAATCTAAAAAAATAAAAAATAAAAAATAAAAAATCACCGCCCAATTCCAATGCAAAATACCCAAAAGTACGCAGGAAATAAAAGGGTGAATCCTCCAAGGAAAAAGAAAAAGGCAATAACCTCCAATGGTGACAAATGGAAATTTACACGAATCCGTTTAAAGGCATGTAGATAATTTAAAAAAAAAAAAAAAAAAAAAAAAAAAGAAAAAGAAAAAGAAAAAAAAGTCGGTGGTGTATCACAAGGGGCCACAATGAAACAAATAAACAAAAGAAATTTCGGTAAAATGGTGAGGCGCTCAGGTAGACTGAGAAGCCTTATTCTCGGCTTCTGCTTCTGCTTTGTGGAGTTCGTCGACATGATCAGCCCACGACCCCTGAATTGGTGTTGGAGAAATCGAAGCATCGGCGCTCACGGCAGCGGACGGCTGCTCCGTATTCAGAGTCATGGCCCGAGCCTCATCCTTATTACTGCCGGGCAAAGCAGGGAATTCACTGTCAGCTCCGAGGGCGGGAGGCGACTGGACGCTTGTGTCCTGAGCAGTTGCATTCGGTGGAACATCAGCGTTGTTGGGACTCCTCGGGCATCCACGGCCTCGACCACGCCCGGATGCACGTCCCCGTCCGCCACGGGCGCCTCGGCCTCCTCGTCCACGGTATCCATTGTCACCAAATTTCTCGGTCTCGCCATCTTGAAAAGTCGTAAAATTCTCTCCTCTGTGGCCCTCACCTACAACACCGCCGTGCATGCCACGGCGATAAGCACCTCTGCCCCTTCCACGGTCTCCAAACGTATCTTGCGATTTCTCTGCATCCCATTCTCGGCCAGTTTGCGCCCGGAGTTTTCTTTGCCTATTTTGTTCACGCTCATTTGTCATGACACGATGATTCTGGCGCTCTTGGGCGCGTCTCTCTGCCGCAATTCGCTCGCGTTTCTGAAACGAAGCCTCGTCTGCTTCTGCGCGAGCATGGGCGGCGGCGCGTTTGGCTGCCGCAATCTTGACGGCTGCCATCCGCTCCGATAGTTCTCCTTCAGTAAGTCTAGGCTAATTACCAAAACGTGCGCGTTAGTGTCACAAGTTCACTTCTCAGGGAGATGAGATGGTAGAAGAACGGGACCACAGACTTTCTTGATACCACCAGTACCACTCCTGTCCCCGCGTACAGCAGGCACCTTTGGCTTAACAACTTCCTTCTGCTTCGGGCCACCGCCATCCGCACCAGTAGGTTCGGTTGCTCCCGCGGGCGCTTGTTCCTTATCAGACTGATTACTCGTTGACTCATGATTTACCGTGCTCTCGGTCTCATCTTGCTGCCGATTTACGGTCGCAGTCGACTTTGCACCTCTGACATATAGGCCCCCGCGTGGTCCTCGACCTCCACCATTCCCACGTCTTCGATTATATTGTCCGCCGCTTCGATCGACAGGTGTAGGCTCCCGCGGGGCCTGAGGGGAGACGGCATCTGGTTGCGCGGCATCGTATGGTTGAACATCGTCAGTGTACTCTACCTCGACTTGCGAGGGTGCGACAGGGATAATCTCGTCGTCGAAAAGGTCGTCGACGCCGCGCGTCTGGGCGAATTCGTCCATAGCTTAAGCGCGAGTTGATCACCGCGTAGTTTAGTTTCAATGGAATAGGACCTTCAGAGGTGAAAACTAGTTCATATAAAGTGAGCGGACCTATAACTGAACGGTAAGCCACTCCGCAACTTACAGCTTCTTTAAAAAAAGACGCGTTCCCATTAGAGAAGAGCGAGTGGTTAAGCAGATAAACTGAAAGTGAATAAAAATCAGTTTTAAAAAAGGAAATACAAGATGCTCCGCCACTGGGCAACAAAAGTCAAGTGACGAAATTCGTTTTCTCAGGTGCTGAACATTGGAATATCCCGGACCAATTCTCCCGTGGACTTCATAGGGATGCAGAGATCACCAACACATACGACGAAAAGCCGTTTCTGCCGACCTTCACCGGTTTGAAGCTTAGTAACTGACTCGGCGCTAGCGCTATCAAGGTTAGTCATGTGATGTCTTTATTTTCACCTCAACTGCTCCGTACGGAGCACTCCATACAAATCAGGGGGAATGCTTCTCCATTTATTGAGAACCGGGGCCAAGCAATGACACGAAAACATTTAGGCCATTCAGCTCAAGATGACTGAGGACAATTTTTTTTGTGGCAGTCGAATAGCAAATTGGCGCCGAACTGATTGTCCGCAGCATACATGCAATATAACAAAATTACATACATCTTCAAAAATGAGAGACCGAGCGCATCAAATTGAGTGGGTAATACAGTCCAGAGATATATTGCACAAGGAAACGCCAAATTCCCTTCCTGCAGCGTTTCATCCATGTAGGTTATTTATAAATCTTGCATAAGAAGCCAAACTAGCCCATTTTTCGTTCCTCTGACTTTTGCGTCCACCAGCCTAGATGTAAGAGCTAAACATTGTCTAATTACGCAGCAACAAGTATGGCAAAGGGGCACACGTTATATGCATGGGGACATCATAGAATCGGAAGCGGTAACTGCGAACATTGCGTCTTTAGGCCGGTGTGAATGGGTCGATGTAAATTCTGATTCAAGGTGGAGGATACATAACTATTCATTTTGTCTGAGAGCCGCAATTAGGAGAGATGGAATGCACCTTGTCCCTCGTGTATCGCGACATCAAGCTGTTTCCGAAGTACTTCGGCACTCGAGTAGTCAGGTAGTTTCAAATAGTTGACACAAGTCATCACACTAGGAAGATAATCATCAGAAGTGTACGGTGGGTCACTCGGTCGGCAAACGACGGTGAACATGGGAGTGAGACTCTTAAAGCCTTTATTGATACGTCAGTCAGCGATAGGTTCTCTAAAAATGTGGAAACAGCTCACATAGAGTAAGGGTGAACCGACCTCCAATAGGAAGCTTTGGACTTCCAGTCACAAACTGTAGGAAATCGCGGCGCTGCTGAAGAGTGAAATTGCTCATAGTCTCAAGCAAGTTCCGCACGCTACGACTATCCATATTAAACCCATGATCCGCTTTAATCGAGTCCATCAAAGCTAGTACGAAAAAGGAAGAAAAATTAGTTATTCGGAAAGATGAAGCCAACCAGCAATAGAAAAGTAACATAGAAAAGTAACATAGAAAAGTAACAACATACTTTCGATAGACCAATCTTCTTCGACATGACCAAAAAGCATTACCAGCTCGTTTGGCGTGAACGATTTCAGGGCGGAATAAGCAAAGACCTGTGAGAACCCTGACCGGAAAGCATCGATTTGTGGTCGTACACCAGTCCCAAGCGTGACATCAATAACCTTTTCAACATAGACGTGCACGTTCTCTATAGTAACAGGGGTGTTTGCTCCATCAGGCAATAAGTGGATATTCGGATAGCCGGGTAAGGTGAAGTCCAATCCCAAATCTCCGATACGTGCTCCATCCACCTCGCACGTCTTGAGCGCATATTCTTTTTCTTCCGAAGTGTGGGACAAGCTACTTTCAATGGCACCTTTGGCATCAGCAAAATGTTTAACCATCAAGAGTGATTTAGCTAGATCAGGGTCCACCGCTTTAATCGCACCGACTGAAGGCTTAAAGGTTGAGAAATTGTTCCCAATCTGGAAGAAAGTGGGATTAAATGCAATGTCGATGATTCTTGAATCGAGCATAGACCGAGCCACAAATTTCCCAAGGCCTTTGAAATAATTCAAGATCTTCTTTCCGGAGTCCTGGGCCAACTGTTCTGGACCAAGAGGTGCTGGGAAAAGACCGAGCTTGCTATAAACGTATTCGCCATCGGCAGAGTCCTGCTCTCTCCAAAGCTTGAGCTTCTTCTTGCAAAATTCCTTAGACACTGTAGAATAGAATTCCAGCGTGGGCCCGAGACCTGTCCCAACCTCTTCGAAATATTCAACCTCAAGAACGCTCGGAGACGAGCCGTAGAGCTCCATGACCTTCATAGCGGAATCCAAAATCCTGGTTCTCGAGATGCGTACCTTTTGTCGCTGAAGTCTAGTAAACGGACGGTCATCACGACGTTGGTCACGGCGATTATCGTCTCCGGGTTGAGAACCCTGCCACCTCATCATGGAGCGCGCATAGCCAAAGGATGTCGACTGTAAGAACAGGTGGCGTGTCTCAAATGGAAAGAGAAATGGGAAATGACGTGCGAGATCCTCACTCCAGTTTGGCAAGCAGCTACTTGCGACAATCAGTGGTTCCTCCAGTTGGCGATTAAGCTTCGCGGTGAGCTTGGTGTTAATGAACTGCGACAGTGGTTCTACGACAACCTTAATCGGTTCATTAGTTTCGGTCAAAATGTAGTCTAACTGAGAGTTCAGCCGGTGTAGAACGCGAAGCAACTTTAGAATAGAAGCTGTGGTCGCAGCTCCAGTAAGAGACTCTGGTAATTCTTCTGTATCTGGGTCGCTGAGTGAGGTTGATTTTGTCGGCGTTAATTTTGACGGCTCGGCAGGAGGTGGTCCTTGCACACGCTTGAAACGAATTGTGTGGATGGCGGACCACACATTCCCAGTGAAAGTATCTGGAATGGGATTCCGATTGTGATGAATGGCACGATATACTGTTGTATCGTGGGTGATCGGTTTCCCGTCGATACTAAATTCAATATGCCAATCTTGAGGAACTGATGCCATGGCTGCCGCATACGATGAAAATGGACGGCCGGCCAAGGCAAGCGAACTTCGAAGTGACTGTGCTGCAGAGGCGGATGTGGATGCAGAGCTTCCAGCAGGCGTCAGCTGCGAGGGCGTTGCGACCTTTGTGCCGTCATCTCGTCGCGCGGTTACCTTACCACTAGAACCAACCTCCATGTTCACCGCTGTGGGATCTGGGGCACCGTTCTCAGAAAGGTCATCTTCCAAGTCATCAACTATTGCGTCCAGAGGCCCTTCATCTTCATCATCTTCCTCGTCATCATCATCGTCATCGCTGAGCTGTCGTTCATCCGCACATTCTAGAGGTTCGTCTGATTCATCGCTTTCATCCTCTGGCGGAGGTGGCGGGGGAGGGGGAGGTGGAGGTTGGCGTCTTGTCGATCGCCTTGATCGACGAGATCGATCTCGAGGACTACCAGGTGTCGCCGGTTGGGATGACATGCCGGCAGCGGTCTTTGATTTTTCATTTACCTTCCCAGCACGTGGGGTTTCACTTGATGTTGAGGATGCAGGCTGTTGGGACGATGAGGGCTTATCTTTTCCGCCGGCATTGGATTCTGCCCTCTCTCCTAATAGTTCTTTCGATTGAGAATTACCATGTTGCGGTAAGAGATGATCACGATGTCGAGACGCTCGGGAACGTTCAGATATGGCTATCCTTGGACGTAGATACTCATCCAGAGCCTTAAAGTTGGCAATTGCATGGATTGAGACCATGACATTTTTGTAAGCCTTAGGGATATCCGATTCGTCCTCTGCACTTAGCCGAAGACGAAGTTGCTTCGATAACATTGACGTCATATTTCGACTCTCATAAGAGTTATGATGTACCGTGATTACTTCGAAATGCTCGGTCCGGCTAAGTAGATCTTGCAACTTATGAATGAGAACACCAAATGGAGTCCTAGACCCGGTATCACTGCTCAGGCTCGAAACATTTTGAGCCATAAAAGCACGAACAAAGTCGGTCTTGGCGGTATTTCCAGGGGCTATGGCACAGAATAGTTAGCGAGGAAGGCGTGTCAAAGAGTAGTCTCAGTTATTACTCACTGTGAAAATCGCCAATGACATCGAGTAAAACTTGGATAACGCCAGACTGGAGCAATTCCGCACTTGTAATACTCTCAACCGCATCTTGGGTAAAGTACGATGAGAGTTTCTGGAAGAGTGAATACCCGTCTTCAGGTTTGGTTTGCTTGTAACAAAGAGCGATACCTGATACGAGGCTTTTCAGATGGAGAAGAGCGTCCAACGCCTTATCATGCATCCCAGCTGCTTTGGTATGCTCATACAGCCGAAGGAAATCCTTAGCATAATCCACCACCAGTTTTTCGTTATGAAAACGCCGAGGGCGAAGTCGGCCGGCATCCGAGGACGAAGAGCCCTCCGATTCCGAGATATCTTCCTGGTCTTGATCATGATCGTGTTCTTCATCGTAATCATCATTATAGTCCTCATCGTCGTTGCTCTCGTCCTCTTCGTGGGAATCGTCACGAGCGTTGTCATCGGATTTATCTTCCTCAACGTCGGAGCTGTCTTGGTTATCGACTGCAAGATTCGTTTTGTCATCTTTAGTCTCAATGTCATAAGACGGTACAAATTTCTCAGATAATCTGGTAATCTCTGAAATGACACCCTCGCGATGGAATTGATATTGGTAGATATCCTTTAGGCGTTTAAATAATAGCTCTGAGCACCGGAGAGCCAACGCAACAAGGGAAACGTGGTCGTCCTGCGAGAGGATTGCAGCGAGAAATGAAGCATATGGTACATTGCGTAACGCGTCTTCGATAATCTGGACATCCAGATGTTGCAACATTTTTAACTGTGCAAGAAGTACCTTTTGCCTAACAGCAAGGTTGACTGTGCTAGAATACGTATCTGTCAATGTGGGTAAAAGAATCGTGGAAAATCTTTTCATTTCCGCCTTGCATGGTTTCAGCAATTCCACTCGCTTTCCAGTCGATTGTCCTGCTTTGTGCGAACTTGAATACGAAAGGACATCATCACCAAGCGCAGCGCGAAGCCGATCGTTAGTGAGCAATTCCTCACCAGGAACGCCCGGCAACATTTCACATATGACATTGAGAGTTTCATAAACCTGTTCCCGTGGACGATGAATTAGGGCTTGCATGACGTGAACGCTGTCTATTTTGACAGTGCCATCGCTCGCGCCAGAGGGGGGCGACACTCCAGTCAAGATTTGATAAAGCGTATCGACGACATCCATCTTGAGCAGTTCCATTGACAATCGAGGGCTCGATCTGCAAACAATTCCGAGAACACGCAGAAACTGAGTATGAATATGTGATCCAATCAAGTTAGTAGTCCCTGGCAAAAGCAGGCGGAGAATCGCCCTGAGCATCTCCGGCTCGATAAGTTCCTCCAGTTTATCCGGTTTGTACTTGAAACTTTCTACCACGCGACAAACGCAAAGGCAACCTTGCTCCACGACCTTCTGATCGCTACTAGAGAGAACATGCAGTAATGTGGGCATTACGTCTCTGACCACATGAAATGAGTCCGTGGGGAGATTACGACAACAGTTGGCAGCTGTTGTTACAGCTGTACGTTGTGTACTGGTGGGGAAGAAGTCAAGGTAAGTCAAACACGCGGTTAATCCGCCTTCACGTACGATAGAAGCTGGAAAGTCAACAGAGATTTTCGCCAGCGTCTGCATCAGTCAGTGATTGAACATTCGAAGGTAGCCTGATCTGTCACACTCCACAATAGTATGCAGTTAACGTTAAGTAAAGGGACTGAACCTACACTGAGTGCTTGTTCTGCGAGATCAATAAATTGGATGTCTAACAGTTTTCGGCAAAGAACCGGAACTGCTCCTCCATAGACAACATTTGCAACAGAGCCTCGAATGGCCTCCATTAAATTTGCCAGGCAGCGACACGCAAGGAGCATAATCTCCGGGTTTTCTTCGCCAGTCTCACTTGGCTCCATGAGAGTAACGAGCTCCTTCACATAAGAATCGGCCGCAAACTGTCCAGAAAGAGTATCTTCATTGGAGACAAGTAACAGGTCGGATAGTTCTTGCAAAGCGATAAGTTGGATGGATGGATCATCTTTCATTCTCAAATTCACAAGGATATCCCGTAATCTTGTCGAAATACCAGACATCATCCCACTCAGCGCTCGCAATGTGCTCTGCAGCTCCAGAGGGCTTCGAGAGCCAAATAAGTGACTGCGAAACGGGTCCCCGCTGTCCTCATTATTTAGATCCGACTCATTTCGTGGGTGTTCTTCGCTATTTGGAGATGACACATCTGTTCCACTTCTTCCTGCACCTTCATCCTGAATGTCATCTGCGTCTTTCATGGTAGTGTCGGAGTCACGTTTGGATTGTCGTCTCTTGTGGTGGCGAGCAGCGGATAATTGACGCGAATTATTGTCTATAAACAAGGTCTGCTATTAGCCATAGAGGTAGGCAAAATCGGGTGAAAGAATCGAATACGGTCCCACGGTACCTTGAGACGGCTTTCTGTGCCTAGATGATTTCGGTTTGGAGGTGGATTGGGTTCCTTTGGATATGTCATCTGGTTCGCGGGAAGACGATCTACCAGACAGGTTAGAAATCAGAATCGACTGCCGGGACGACTCGGGATGAAACGCGTCTGCGTTGTAGAACATTGGCCCACGCCAGCAGAGAATGTGCCATCTACCGCCAGTTCATAATGTGCATATTCGTACAGGCAAAAAAAGAATAAAATCCTCGGAACACATACCCTGCTTGTGACATCGCTGCCTGTCGGTGGGATTGACGTGGTGCTGATGACCGGGGGGGTTGTTGATTGGTATTTGTAGTCGGTGCAGCTGTCTTCAGCCTCTTTGCTCTCCTGGGTGGCGACCTAGTCGAAGGGGTTTGCTCTTGTTCAGGTGCAGGTGACTCTTTCTCACGGCGATTTGAAGCTTTCCGCTTCCGAGATTGGGATGAGGTGGACGGGTTGGAGGCTGGGTTCGAGCCAGGACGTGCGCCAGGCGTGGATGGGTTTTCTGCAGCGAGCCTTGCAGCGGAACGCGTTATTCTGCGGGACATGAGAACTTTGGTTATTCCTGAGGAATCACTTGGTTTGCGTGGGGGGGGGGAATCGAAAGGTAGTTGAGAAAAGGTGGGAATCGGGAAAATGGTCTTGAAGTTGTCTAAAGAAGGGGAGTCGAGCAACTGCAAGACATAGAACCCCGTCGAGAAGAAACAAAGGTGAAGAAATATCCCATGTGAGAAGGACTGATAAATAAGAAATAGAGCTACAGCAAACGAGAACAGAGCCGGGAATTACCTCAGAGAGGGTGGAGATGTGGAGGAGAGGGAAGTTGCCTGAGAAGTCGGGTTCTGAGCAGATGGGGCTGTAGCAATGGAATTCTCCGAGGGCCGTCCAGATTGATCAAGGGCAGCTGAGGCAGTTCGCTTGGCCATATGTATGTGTTGCACAGTGCCCGCCGTCAACCTGCCATCCGCAGGGAGGAGGAAGGAAGACGCACTGAAGCAACGATGGCAGGTTGGCTATTTGTCCACGTCACAGGCTGGAACAACACTTTGGAGTGAGGGACAGGTACGGTAGAGGACAGATGAGGAGGTTAGGCCTGGACCAGCATTCAAGAAAAGGAGTGTGTTGAAGTGGGTGAAGATGGGAGAAAGATGTTCAGAGAATGGGCGGGCGATGGAGGATGATTGATGAGATATTCGTGAGTTCACATCGGCGGCATGACGAGCGAAGGCGGTGCGCTAGTCTTCCCACGCCAAGCCCGGCTGGAGTTTAATCAAGCAGGCCAGGCGCTTGCGGAGCAGTACCGGGTACCTTGGGCCTTGCCGAGAAGTTGCGCTTATTTTCAACACATTTCCGGTACCGAGTACTCCGTCCATAGCTGGACCCAATGGCCCTCTTCTTCCTTGCCAGCCTCTGGGCACCGCTCAACCACCGGTGACACCGGAGCGCTTCGAGCACTCTGAGCTTCTATCCCTGTTGTCTTTCTGCCTAGGTCGCTCCATTGCTGGGCAACCAATGCCTAAGCGCCTGGGGAGCTGCCTTTGCGAAATCGAAATCAAAATTTGAGCCCCTTCTTTAGAATAAGGCCACTATTGGGACTCATACAAGATGATTAGGGACCGAGGAATCAAATCATAGGAAATAAACTCCCTTTTCCGTTCTTCCTCTTTTTTTAAGTTTCTCTTTCTCCCCTGTATACGAGAGAAGAGGAGAGGAGATGCACCATGCAGAACTCGCGTACTGCTCCAACCTTTTGATTGTGTGCTCAGCGGAGCTCAGCTTCACGATCTCAGCATCTACACCAGCATTCATTCTCTAGGTCAACTACTGTGTTTCCCATTTCTATGCAAAATGCTCTCAAGCGTGGTCTCGCATTCTCTGAGCCACTCTGCCCAGTATTTCATATACTTTGCTCAATCTCCCTCCGTTCTCTTCCACCGAACACGCACAACATAAAAGCCCATTAAAGCGCAGCTGCTGAGGGAGTCTCAAATAGCTATATCACCGGCTCACATACTCTTAACTTATAGCAGTAAAAGGCGGTATTCTAGGTTCCAATATTAAAATCAAGGCTATTGCGATTGATGAACCCTCTTCATAACGTGATAATATATCGCTGGTACTGAAAAACATGCCTGGCTCGGATTCGGGTGGTGTTTGTTACACTGCTTTCGCAAACCCTTTTTTTGTACGAAGTAGCGCTGGCAAATCCTATGCATCGGATAATGCTTCCATAGAATGTACTGATCGAAGAAGGCAACAAGAGGATCAGTCTCGATGCCATTCTTTTCTCTTTTCTGTTAACGCAGCTCAACAAGTACAGCAGGGGAGCAGCAGTTGATAAAGGGTTAGCTCGGAGCCCCTGTGCTGTGTTTCGGCAGCTTTGGAGGTTAAAAGATGGTTCTCGGGCCGACATGCTCGAGGACTGCGCCAATATAGGTTTATAGAGTCTCAATTCGCCCCCGCGTATTTCTGATATTTACAGACCAGTAATTAGTTCTGGTGGAAATCTCACCGCGTAGCATGCCCTCACCGAATCAATGAAAGCCTGACGACAACTCCCCCCCTCTCTTTTCGTGTCGGGAATGTATGGTTTTGGACAAGGATGCAGATCAAATATTGGGAGATGTTTTTGTAGGTTGAAATCGCCGGGCGGTTGCATCTGTCGCTGCGGAGATAAGAAGCCGCCGCAGGTCACGATGGCGATCCAACTTCCCGTGATGCTTCCCCGAACACCCCGCATCGCCTGTCCGACGACCAACCGATTCCTCATCCCGACGCCGTCTTCCGTCATGAGCTCCATCATTATTGAAGCACTATGCAAGCTTCCTTCGCAGCTCATGCTGGCAAGTTTCATCCCAAGGGCTGGGGTTTGATTGATAGGGTGTGAGGGTCAGTCCCTGCCTGTGTTTCTGTCCAACCGGATCCTGGATGCGTCAACCCTGTCAGGGCCAAAGCTGCAGTAGCACCAAATGAGGCTTGCCCTTCTTTGCTTTTAAAATCCAGCTGTTCAGAGAAGCATAGAGTGATTAGCTTCCGCCTTGGACTGGTCTCTAGGGATAAATAACGGCAGTTGGCTATATTTAGCCACTAGTTGGCTATGGAGTTAGTTCACTCTTAACTCTGGGACAGACACGAAACTTCCGCTGCTCTTTGCCTCCCAGCGACGACAAGTTCACAAACTCGAACTCACCGCCACACCCAAAACGCTTGACAGGAAGACTCCGTACAATCCATATTTAATCGCATTTTATCAGAGTCACTTCGCCTATGCACTGTTCTGTGACTCTGATGATCACTTCCATTAATCAAGCAGACTTGAACATTCCTTGACTCAACTCCATACACAGGCTGCCGTGCTAAACCTGCCCCTCACCCAGCAATGGTTCTGTGACCACACGCATCTCCCGCGACCTCGTTTCTTCGGCAATGCAGCGATAGCCCTGGTCAAGTCTGAACCCGGTATTGTCATATATACTATCTTAGCATCACCTTTTTTTTTTAAAAAAAAGCACTTTCGGGTCTACCAAGCCACCTGCTTCTGCTGAGATTCTCGAATTTGTCACGTTCGCTTTTTTTTTTTGCCCCCTCATCGCGCCCATCCTTCTCCCGTCTTCTCCTGACGAGTCTGAACCATGACCGGACAACATGACGACCCCAATAGGCCGTTTAATAGCGTGGATGACACCCCGCCACAAGAACGCTTGTCCTCTTACTCATTTCCCGATGATCGGTTGAAGAAAGTCATGGACAATCCGGGAAAGACCCCGCTGCTCCTCGTCGCTTGTGGTTCATTCTCTCCTATCACATACCTTCATCTCCGTATGTTCGAGATGGCTGCCGATTACGTCAAGTTTAGCACCAAATTCGAGCTGATTGGTGGTTATCTGTCTCCCGTGTCGGATGCATATCGGAAAGCCGGCCTTGCCAGTGCACGCCATCGGTATGGATCCCATCCTCTCCTCGTTCCCTGAAGCTTTGCTTCGGGTCTTGCTTTCACTTTTTTTTTTTTTTTTTTTTTCCACCACTGACCTCCACCTGTCCTTAGGATTGCAATGTGCCAACTGGCGGTGGATCAGACCTCGAATTGGCTCATGGTTGACCCATGGGAAGCTTTGCAAAAGGATTACAGTCCAACGGCGAAGGTTTTGGATCATTTTGACCACGAGATAAATACCGTTCATGGTGGAATCGATATTGGCGATGGCACTCGCAGGCCAGTGCGAATTGCTTTGCTAGCCGGAGCGGACCTTATTCACACCATGTCAACACCAGGAGTCTGGAGCGAAGAGGACTTGGATCATATTTTAGGCCGTTATGGGGTAAGTTATATAGGGCATTCCCTGGAAGTTCCTGGATGCTTTCTAACCTGTTTGATTAAGACCTTTATCGTGGAACGCAGCGGTACCGATATCGACGAAGCTATCGCTGGACTACTGCCTTGGAAGGATAATATCTATGTGATCCAACAACTCATCCAGAATGACGTGAGCAGCACAAAGATACGACTCTTTTTGAGACGCGAAATGAGCGTTCGATATCTGATTCCAGGACCGGTCATCGACTACATCGTGGAGCACCATTTATACGAAGAGGATAGCGGTACAGGTGTGTCTTCGGCCGTTCAAGATAAATTAGGGGAGAAGGTGGACGCCAGGTATCAATCTAAAGCGAAAGCGTCGGCTTCGGATTGAAAACCTGGAGCAGCAACCATCGTTATTATTTGATTGATAATATCGACTTGCCAGCCTTAGAGGATCATTGGCTATTTACTACGTCACTGGGCTTATTACACAAGAGCTCGCGAGTTTTTCCAGATTTCAAATTTCTGTATCTTTGTCTTATAATCTCAAACGCTATGGATGACAGCTGCCAAGAATTCATAGATTATTTATGACGGTCCGATCTTCGCGAGTCAATCTCCGTCTCTTATTGAACGCCATACAGGACAGGGAGCGACACGCATTCTACAGTCGAGTACAGATTCGCCAGGAGACGGGGATGGTCGGAGACGGAATAGAGACAGAATCCTAGAGAGGGCCATGTTCTGGTCCAGTCCCAGCATTTGGCACGCGGCAAGGATCGATGATACACCACTACAATGGCGCTGCGAAGCAGTGGAGATAATCGTGGGCCGGGTTTTGACCTTTTTTTAATTGATGCGTATTTTGCTCAAGGCCTTTCCCTGAGCATTCCAGCGAGATGCATTTGTGTCAGATGAGATGTAATATTATTACCCTTTCCTCGTTACGTTTCTGGTCGGGGAGCCATGGATGTTCCAGGACCAACCTGTGCGTCTTTTTTTCCGAACATAAACCCATAATATGTACTCCGTATTTGTGCCGTCAACACCGAGGACCGTACTTTTCGTCCTAAGTGCCCCGGAATGCTCCGCCATTCCCTTGCCTCTGCAGCCTGTCGCTCAACGTTTCTCGCGTCGATCAGCTCATCGTACCCACCAGCTTAGCTAAGCCCTACAGTGTGCCTGTAAATCTCTTCTTTTAGTGTGACGGAATTGAGAGCAATCTCCTGAAGACCCTACACTTTCTGCGTCAATTGCCCTGTCTTTGCCCCTTGTTGTAGGTTTGCAGGACCATTCTCTGAACCAAACACTGCTGAAGCTGGCTGGTTGGGGTTTCACGTTCCTGATCTAGTATCAACCTACATTCGCTGGCTAGTGGTGAGTTCCATCCCCGGTGCCGCCCCCGTTTTCCCGCTTCTTGTTCGCCGCCCCTCCCCCGCCATGAAGCGGAACGGTGGGCACACCAGGACAACGGGCGACGAACACCACTCCCATGTCACCCAGGACAGTGGTCAATTGCGTTCGCTATAGTGCTTTGATTTTTTATTATTAACTGAACTTTTGTGAATGCATCCCTTCTCCACCGGTGCTAGGACTTGGTTTAACCATGTTAACAGTCCGCTCCCGCAAACTCCCGGAAACATTGATTGATACAGCAAGCTGACCCTCTTTACTCTGGATAGGGAATTTGAAGAATTACTTTAGCAATTGTGAAAATGGGTTCTCATAGTGACTTGCCAGCCATGCAAACAAACCCGAAGATTATCTTCTTTACGGACTTTGATGGCACCATTACCTTGAAAGACAGTATGTCATTCTGCGTACTCCTGCTTTCTCCCTTTTTGCCCCTAAGAAACATATACTGATGTAGGTGCTGGGCAGGCAATGATTACATGGTACGCACCTTCATCTCCACCTCCTACTCATCCAAGATTTCAATGGATTCAATCCTCGTGTGATATGTGACTAGAAAGCGGGCTTACCGTGATGTCTGGAGTCGTAATAGACCGATAACCTTGGCTACGGACAAGAGAAGCGCCGGGCTGGGAATAAAGCCGTTCTGGATGGCACGATTACTTTCCGGTATGTATTGAGATACAGCATCTCCACCACAACCACCATGTCTGCATCCAAACCTTCATCTCAAGGCCCCCTCCTTTTTTTTTTTTTCCCTAGACATGGGAAAGGGATCTAAATTACTAGAATAGTGACTCCTTCCGCGAAATGCTGGACAGTGTCAAGAACCCATTTGACGAGTGCATCCGCATCCTTTGCGACAACATGAAGCTGGATCCCTACTTTACCGAATTCTACAACTGGGCTAAGGCACATAATGTGCCCATCGTCATACTGTCTTCCGGAATGGTTCCCATCATCCATGCACTACTCGTAAAGCTTTTGGGCCAGGAGCCAGATCACATCCAGATCGTCGCCAACCAAGTGAAGGCGAGAGAAGGAAAAAGCATCAACGAGGAATGGGGCTGGGAGATCGTTTATCATGATGACAGGTGGGCCCTACCTTTGCCCCCTTTTTCTCGTGCCTTTGAAAGAGTGACTGGTTAATGATGTGGCATCTTAGTCACTTTGGCCATGATAAATCACTTGAGATCAAGCCATATGCCGCTCTTTCGTCTGATGAGCGTCCTACTCTCCTCTATGCGGGAGATGGCGTTTCTGACCTTTCAGCCGCCTCCCAGACGGACTTGCTTTTTGCAAAGAAAGGACATGGTATGCATTTGTGCAGTGTGGACCTGCTCTTTTGATAGATTTCATCAAAAATTGACAATGCGTAGACTTGATCACCTACTGCGAACGCGAAAAGATTCCGTTTACTGTATTCGAGGACTGGTCCACAATTCTGGAAAAGACGAAGGAGATCTACGAGGGCAGGATCAATCCAAAAGTCATTGCTGAGCAGCAATTACAAGGCGCATAGATTGGCGTTCCCTTGTGACGTTTTTCTTTCTCTGGCTTCATGCGGCTGTGCCGTTTTGCTGGAGCTAGAATAATGCCCTTATCAGGTTCTTGACTTTCTTTCCTTCTTAGAAGAACCAACCTACATAGCATACTTAGACATTGCTTGACGAATAGAGAAGACCTATGAAATAGAATGGAATTATTTCAGTTTGACCACGCTTATGGAGTTGACTTGTTCCGACAAACTATGACAGCATCAAGCTGATCACCGGAGGTTTGGTAGAGTCGATTGATTTCTCCGCTGTATCACCTAGGATTTCATGACATTGATGAAATTAAAATTCATCCTTCATCTCCAAGCTGTGATGTATAAACCACTCCACCAATCTAACGGCCTTATTTGTCGAGGTACCACGACGACAAAACCTCACAAGGCCATCTGCCACGCAACTTTCTTCTTTCTCATCGCCTTCAGCACCCCGAGCGGCAAGAATGACCGATCCACAATGCTCAGGCCGCCACATTTCTCCTCCAACTCACTCGAATAGAACTGGATTAGCCACCCCATCTCCGGATCGATGTTCCCCTGGCATAACTCCTTCAGATTCGCCGGCGGGCCGGAGAGCTTATTCAGCTCCTGCCGCACGGCATGGGAAAAGTTTATAGTCTTTTTGAAAGCCACAGTATTCAACCGACAATATAGCGTGTTCAAGGCGTCATTGGTATACTGGCGCCATTGGGTATATTTCTCAAAGGAGAAGAACTCATTTTGTCCCTCGGTAGCGGGTGCGTAATGACGAGTTCCCGTGTCTTCATCCCTAGGGAAGGCATTCTTGAAGCGTTTCCGGCGCTCTGATTCAGTAAGGTTCTCAAATTCCCGCTTGGCTTTGTTGTACGCTTCTCTTTCGGATTCAAGAAAGGCGTGGATAAGCAACTTTGGGTCCTCACAGACGTGAGGGCTGACGAGAGAGAGAGGGACAAAGGGATTGTGGAGCCCCAGGCCACCCAGGGCTTCAGGCATGTATAGGAAAGCGTCAGGGATATCGGAAACGTTGAATCGGGAGATGATCATCTGCTTGAGGTGCTCGACTACACTGTTGCCATTGCCATTCTGGTCATTGAAAAGAAAACTCTGAATATCTTGGTGGGTTTGGAAAATAGCAACAAGGTGCTTACGCCCGAAGCAATTTGATGGTCTGTGAACTTGAATGTTAGTTCCAAAACCAATGCTTTGGATGGAAGGAGAATGACGTACTCGCCAAATGTATAGCTGAAAAAGCGGCCAATGCAGCTGTTCCAGGTTTTGACCCACTGCAATACGCTTTTTGCCCCGTTTAACTGTTTCGACAGCTGAGCAACATGCTCCTCAACGTGGGATCTATTGATAGTCCACTCTCCAGTGATGGGGTCAAGGACTAAAAAGTTGATAGCGACTGGTCCTTCGGGTAGAACCTTGACCACTTCGGGCTTCTTCGTCCGACCTCCTTCCACCAAGTAAACTGAACCAGTTTTACTTTTATTAAACTCGAGTCCCATTATTTTGGCGAAATTTTCCATGGTCAGCCATGCTTTGGCGCAGCTATCAGGCTTTCCGCAGAGCCATAAATCGTCGTGAAATCGATATAGTAGAATGTTTGCCTGCTGACTGACTGCAACATCCATGAAAAACAATATCAATTCACCGAAAACCTTTTCGAAGATGTGAGCCATCGGAAGACCGCGTCTGCGGATCCTAATTGGGTCACCGGTCAACATGTCCAAAGGCGGTTCTAAGAAATTTTTAAAAAAATTGATCCATTCTTCTTCAAATCCAACAAATCGTAAAACGGCGAATATCGTATTATGGGATACGCTGGTAGCAAACCATAGAAAATCGCTTTGGACGACGGCGACTTCTCCGTCAAAGGCGCGTCCCATAAGAACTTCAGTCGCCAGAGTTCTTAAAAGAAGTTGTTTGACCTCCTTTGGTGACAAATTATTATCACCATTCAAATTGATGGTACTCTCATCATAATCATCGTCGTCACTACCACCGTCATCATCGTAGCCGACAGCGTCTTGGAACTCGCGGCCAGGCATAGGTGCCAAGAAAAAGTGATCCTTGTATACATCGTGTCTCTCTTTTTCAGTACCCTTCTTGACTGTCCAACGATGCGCGCCCTCGTTGAGATAATATCTCCGCAATGCCTGATCTTCCTCTGGTATGCCACAGTCTTTGGCCCAAAATGCTATCCGCTCGATGACGCGGTGCAAAGATTTCTTCAAGAAGACACACCATTTGTTCCCAATGTAGTGGGTGAGCAGGGCCTGGAGCACGTCTTCATCCATCATTACACGCCACTTTCCATTCAAACTTTGCCGACTGGAGAAACATTATTACTTATATCTGAGGAAAGGCATCATTGTAGTAATTACTTACGGCAGGACCGGCATTCCTTTGCCTCCTACATTCCAGGACCAGTTGCCCAGATTCGCGTATCTCATATTCAGCACGTTCGCAATTTCATCGAGCACAGTATCATCGTGTAGAAATTCACCCAGAGTTGCGAGCTTCTGGTCATTGAGCAGGTCATTTTTCAGCAATGACTGGATGCATTGCTTAAGGCTTTTCCTCTCCACAGGTTGTTTCTCGGAAAGGAGAAGTTTACCATGATTTTTGACAGTTTCCCGCAACAATTTCAGAGCGTCCTGTCCTTCATCTCCTGAAAAGAGAGTCTCTAAATACCGGGTAATATCCTCGCTATCGGTCATCAGAGGTTCAAACACCACCTTTTCGAACTTCTCTCGTAATTGCTGCAATTTTTCCTTCTGGATATCTTGAACGACATCAAAGTCCTCGTCAACCATAGAGCTGTCGAGCCTCTCAGCGTCCCCGTCACTTGAACTGGGGGAGTTAATCCATTCGATAAGCAAGCGGGAATATAAATCGGCCAGATCCAGTTTACGAGTCTGGCGATCCAACCGAGAGCGAAGCTCAGACTCAAAGTTAACCAGCATGGACTCTGGGATCGTTGGATCGTACTGAGATTGATGAAGCCAGCGGTCAATATTTTCCAGCTCCGCCTCAGGTAGAAGTTGAAGTTCCTTCACGCCAGCATGTAGGCGGGAAATACGCTTGTGGATGCTGTCGCCTGCATCGCGGGTCAAGTCAAGTATTTTACGCTTGGTTTCTTCGTACTTTTGGCGTTGCTTCTCGAGTTCTTCGATCTTCGTGGTGGTAATGGACTGGAGGGTCTGAGAGAGAACCGAAGGGGAAGCAGCCATGATAGCTGGAAGACGGCAGGTTTATTCAATTGGAAACGCAAGAGGCTGGTGTCAGATCGTCTGAAAGAAATAGGCACTACTTCGGGAAGATCATTGAACGCGATGAGATGTTGTTTCTCGACTTGAAAAAATGAGCCAACGCGCCCTTTTATGGCCCGGGAGAGCGCCCAGTAGGTGTCATTTCAAGCTTCTGCTTGAGCTGAGAAATGTTGTAGAGGCCTGAATCTGTGTCCCCGTTCTCCATGGCGTCAGGCAACACCAGGCAGCATCAGGAGCGAACGGCCTGAAGGAGAGGCCGAAGCGACCTGAGGGCCCGCGTCTTGGCTTTCCCTAGCAGTCCCCTGTAGGCGGCCAATGGGGCTGGCCGTCAGCCTGAGGCCGGAGACACCACCTAGGCAGAAACGCCAATCACCTTGGGAAGTGTGTTTAAAACTATCCAGAAGCTGTTGTTTGTGAAGAACTCGGCACAGAGGCCATTGGATGGTCTCTGAAGCCTAAGCTCCAAGCTACAAAACACGCCAGTGGGACTCTCGTAAGCTTCGAAGCCTTGAAAAGTCAACCTAAGGATCACCGCTCTTGTCAGGAATTCATTAGCGGGTTAACATTCCAGTTTCTCACACTTCACTATCCCTGAAGCGCAAAATGAAATTTTTTGCTTCCGGAGAACTGTATTGTCGATCTCGATATTATCCCACCCAAGCAGTTCAAAGTGCCCCTTTAGAGAGCTCTCAGAAAATGTTCGTTTTCAAATTTCTCTGATTTCTGCGCATCGGATGTAATGGAAAAGCGGGACGCGCTGTAAAGCCCATTGCCCAACAAACTGAAAACGGAACATAGCTTTGGGCTTTATGATGAAGTTCGGGTCCAGGATGTCTTCCATGAGAATTCTTCGCGAGCTCGTGCCCCTCCCCGCCACCAAAAAAAAAAAAAAGGGAAAAGAAAAGAAAAAGGAAAAAGCAATGGCCTTGAGTGCCAAAGCCTAAGCTGATTAGCTGTACTCCATAGCATGCTGAAAACAATCATAGTATCCCCGTACTCCGTAGCACAAAAAGCGTTTGATTACTCCGGAGTTGGGTGGAAAAGGTAGACAAACTTAATGAAAGACTAGGAAGAGGCTCCATCGACCATAAGTTTGCCGGATGCAGTCCACAGCTATTTGATGATTATCTGTTGAGCCAACTTTAACTTCTGGGGGAAGGCTCATATATGAGATGTGTTTCCCAGGAGTCAAGGTCTCCATGCCCCTGTATGATTTTGATAGAATTCAGACCGGTTATTAGAGTCAATCATTCTCGCAGTTGCTTTGCTTCTGGATGTACTCTTGTCAACAGGGCCAAACACCAATTGCCTGCTTTATAATGTGGAGAGAGAGTGTGTGTGCTGGAAATGTGGTCCCCGGGTTTATCTAATGTGATTTTGTAAGGACGCAGCGGATTCTTTTTCACGTCTTGTTGGTAGTGGGAATGAAGTGGCACTTTTTAAACTTGGGCAAGCTGTTGCCCGACTTACAGGTAAGACGGTCAGTTACAGTGCAAACGCTTCCATACGCCAGTGCTCTCGGCCGGAGCCTTGAGGCACGTCGTGGGAAGAGAGGGTCTGGACTCTATGTCCATGCAAATGCCTGCTCTTATGGCATCCTGAAGATTCCGGCCGTTTCGGCCTATATACCCATGCTAACCTGATTGGGACCAATATCGATTGATTCTGATGCCGAGTCTTAGCTTAGTCTGGCAGGTCTCATGTCGACATGGCTCAAATGGTCGTCAGCGGAGCAAGACCATGTCGCGGAATGGCTCTTTGTGCTTCATTTAAGGGGGCATCTTCTGCGAAGGCAAGGGTGGATATTGCTCTGAGGCCTCGATGCCGATCACTGTACTCCGTACTTCGTAAGGAGTACAGAGTACATCAGGGGATAAAACTTCTTTCTCCTGGGTTGATACGGAGTACATAAGCCCGGCATCCCTATATCAAGATTTAGCCCCCACCGCAGTGGCTGCGTCGGTTTTGATCTTATGATAGTAGTTTCGAGGTGGAAGATCTAGCCAAAGTTTTAGAGAGAGTATCACTCGAGTGCATAGGCCCTCCAAGTACGGAGTACGGTCTATACTCATGGGTGACAGTTCTGCCGAAATGAAGAGGACAGAGTTGAGATTACGACCCTTAAGAAGAGCTGGCCAGCATATCCCTGGTAAGGATGCCGCAGATATTTTGCTGCCCCTTGTTCTTATGACCCTCAAAGACGTTCCCCGAAAGCGAACCAACAAGTACACACAGGTAGCTTTCTGGAAGACAAAGGTTCATAACGTCCGGGGTGATGTTGAGCAGGAAGTCCGGCCATATGTCACGGTTTGGGACAATGCTTGAGTCCTTTCCTCGTGCCTTAACTAGCTGGTGTTGAGCTTGGAGGGCAGATAACTAAGGTATTTATGATTTGTCCATCGAGGCTAGCATCGGGGCATGCAGCTTTGCCTGAAGTGCCGCTACCAACTTGCTATGAACATTTTGAGACAATTATCATTGCTCTTTCGCGACAAGCAGGTAATCGACCTTAAGTTGCGGAATCAGGCTACATTTCTACTTCAGTTCTCTTGTTTTTTTAGCTCCGCTGGTTGAATCCATCACGCGACAACACCGCGAAAGCAGGCCGGAAGTCATGCCTATTATCCTACCTCTATCTATAGGCTGATGATCCCCATCGAATGTTCAGAGTAAACCTGTTCCTCATTTTAGCCTGCATCGGTAATTCGTGTAGTCCATATGCCGCTCGGTATTCACAATGTGTATGCGGCCGGGTGCATATTCACATAGGTACAACACACTAAGCTGACAGAGGGGAGTTTCAACTCATGAAATCGGGCACGGACAGCATCTGAGTCCAGAACTGTATTTTTACTGTTGCACAAAGCGCATAATAATTTGACCATGGTCTCTGGGTACCGTGTATGATCCTGTCACTTTTGAATTGGAGGACATTTGAGGCCCGATCCAAAGATACGTTGAAAACGCAGTCGAAGTCGCACTTCAGGCGGCAAGGGATCAAGGAAGACTACCAACGTACTCCATTTCCCCAGCCATTTAGGACCAGGCTTCCATCCCTTGCGGGATATGCCGTGTATTCCCAATAAAATGTTAAGTCCATAGAATTTCCCAGTAGCTATACACAATTTAACATCGCCGCAGTTAAATCAAACCCGCTTCTTGAAGGAAGGGGACCAAAAAGAAAAAAAAAAAAGGGGGAGAGAAAAGAAAAGAAAAAGAAAAAAGAAAAGATGAGAAGTGATGTCATTTGTAATCACACATGTCCAATCCCGACAGCTTCTCTTCGCATTTCAATAGGGTCGTATCCAGCGACCGAATCGCGCATTTTGAGTGCTCATAATAGTATGCGCTTGTCCGCTGAGCGCCAGGAAAATACATACCCCGTCGGAACCGATAGTCAAATTCTTCGAAACATAGGCCAGCATATGGCGGGTCGGGCCGATGGGGAAAGATCTTCAAAGCTCGTAAACGCTTGGTGAGCGAGCCAAGCATGAGCGCGTCACATTCAAAGCTGCAATGCTCGTTTTCAGTGTAGTCATCGATATGGCCGTAGAGAGTGGTAACAAGCTTATGGAGAACTTCCTGCCTTTTGCTATTGATTGCCTCTAAATACATGGTTAGTATAGCCGGCCTGAGGACCAAATAGAAATGTCGGATAGCTTACCGACAACTGATTGTGGAATCGGTAGCTCGTCCGAAGGAACGGCTTGCTTTCCTTCACGAAGAGCTAAGCGAGTCGTCTTCCTGAACTCGTTTGGCCTATCGAACACCCAGCAGATGCATATCCAAGCCGGTATGTCATCGGTATATTTCTCCGGGATGGTGGACTTCAAATTATCAAACCAAAAATTGGAAAACAGCTCCACAACCTCATGGACATCGTATTTATCTATGAGGATGGCGAGCTGTACCAATGTTATGAGATCCACTCTGAGCGGGACCTTACGCATATGCCCATGAATTATTTTCAAAAGAATCAACATCGCGTCAGGGTCGTCGTCGGGAAGAGGTATCTCCACGCTGCCGGTCAACTGTAAGGTATTACTTTCGCTGAATTTTCGCTGGAGCATTGCTCGAAACACAGGCGACGCCAGAATCATGTGTCGGGACGAGACATGAAAGACAACCTCTTTTATGCGGGTGTAGTGTTAGCGGAGCGATCCGGAGCTAGCAATTAGATAGTTCTTACCTTCTTCCACTAGGTCATCCTCTTGCCTTTTGGCTGCGGATATCGTTTTGATGTCAAGCATGGCCTCATCTTCATCTACGTACGTCACGTATCTGGTTAAAACTAGGGTGATATCCCCGTCTGGATCGAGTCGATAGATGTCAGGAGCATTGTCTTCACATTTGACAGGTTTGACAGCGATAGGGGATGGGGTCCGTAGTGTGGAAGGCATGTTGGAAGGTGGACAGGACTAGCATCCGGAGACGGCTTGCACTTCGGTGTGCTAGGGGAGCGCTGGGGGTTTAAACGGTTGACCTAGACTCAAACAAAGCAACGACGGGTTCCCCGAGTGGGAGTTATTTGTCTACGGCGCGTCGTGTGACACTATCCGTTGAGCATAGTGTCCAGAGCTGCCAGAGGACGGCCTCCTTCCACAGCTGCAACGTGGCGCCGAAAAGGGGCTATCAACGTATTTAGTGGCAGATCATCCGTATCTCGCATTCAAAGAAGGGTGGCCAGTCGGTGGAAAGGTACGAGCTCTATGGCAGATGAAAGGCACTCGCAGACTTGAGTGAAGCTGGACCGAATCGATTCGCGGCAAGTTTAGGGAGAGGTGAGGATGTCACAAGGCAAGCAGCTTTCGAGAGAGCTGTTGGGTTTGGTGGCGAACTAACTAGGTCATCAAAGGATCTTGGCTGCCTCCATCTGATCAGACAAAAGAAGCGGCTTCCTGCTCATTTACATGGAGGTGGCTATCCATGCAGCATCCGAGCCCGGCGATTCCACCGTGCTATGGACGGACGGCACTGCCGGGCGCGAATGGCGATGTTGAGCCATGGTGTTGGGATTCGACGTGTCCTGAAGACAGTCGAGCTTGCAGATCCTGGTTTTCCTCATCGCAGGTGGCGTAGCACAGAATTGAACAATGGCATTATGATCTGGGGTTTGCGAGAGGTCGCATCCCTGAGGACCATGACAATGCGGGATTAGGGATGCTGCATGCCAGGACTTGAGCGGATCACGATGCACGAGCAAGGATGCGATGACCGGCTGACTAACGAGCCCACACCCGTCGTCAACCTCAACTGACACTGCACGCGACGATATTGCGCCAGTCCACGCGTGCATCGGCATACCTATGGGTTATATAGGTTGGTATGAGGACGCCCGGCTCATGCCAGATGGCACGAAAAGGCATGCTACTGCACTGTACGGAGTATATACCGCTCAACAGTTACGTCTCCGTGCGAAACGCCCACAAGCCCACCCACTGCACCCTCGCCTGCGCTCTGCATAGTTACCTGGCTTTGGAACCGCAGATATGGGCCAAGTATAGAGCAACGGTCAGATCTCTGTGGCTTTGCGAGCTTGACTGCGCTACCCCGCACACGCTGCTCCCGAGTCTTTCACTGCGTGTAGCTCGGGCAAACGACAATCGCCGCCACTAGGATGGACCTTAACGGACTTCTTGCGGCCTGGTCTGTTGTTCTTCAAAGAGTGATGCTCATTCATGCATTATTTCTCTCTTCTTGGGGATTCTGGTGCTTAACTGCGAGATTCTGTACTTCGAAAGACTTTGCACCAGCTCCGCAAATTCTGGCATCTGTTAATAGATGCAATTATATGCCATCCTGTGCGAAGCCTTCCCTCCTGCAGTTGAGATCGTTATGCCTGTGGTATTTTAATCGCGACTCGGCCACCTACTGGGCCAACTTCTTCCCTGTCGCCCCGATTGGTGCTGTGCCATCCGCCTTCGGCCATTCAACTGCATGACTCTTTGGCTAATTAGGGTGTATACCACGGCAATGGACCTGAACTAAACCCTCTTTCATGTTTGTATTTCGCCGCTCACTTGTCCGCCAGCCATAAAATACTACATAACCGTCTTGCAGATGACTGGCGCGTCTGATCACCTACAATCATTCTTCCAAGCATTACGGAACAAAGAACACTCTGCAGATTTTTGAACGTTAATGACAGCAGATAGTGGGGGTTCATATATTCGATTCTCTGATGCTGAGATTGGTTGACAATTCATCTCTTTTTCTTTTTCTTTTTTTTTCTTTTTTTTTTCTTCTCCCTCATTTGTGAAGTTTGTGAGGATTCCCGATTCCTTTGAAGCCAGACAAACAATCAATTTTTTTTTTTTTTTTTTTTTTTCAAAATAATCAGTGGACTTACAATGACAGCCAATGGGGCGATATGGGGTACATGCACCTCAAAGTCCTCATCTGACGTATTGTGCATGGATCTAACTAAGAGAACAATCCCATGCGATCCGGTCACCTACTCAATATTTGCCAAGTGGGTTATTCTTGCACTTATCCATACAAATGCTTCCCATCAATTATGGTGTTTACTCCCTGCTCATCAGGGTGTTGAACTTTTGTAAGTATAATGATCATGGACTCTTGCCCAAATTCTCCATCCACCACTTTCTGGCCCGTGTTCTTAACAATGGACCACTATCAACCTTAAAGCACCTAGGTAATGCTGCTATTTCTCTTTGATTAATGTGAGGCTCAACTGTGGGGGAGTTTATTTCTCTCAACCCTGCAAGAAGTTGATAGGACCCCGGATGTGCACATGTCTCTCTCGCACAGGCTTCTCCATGAATCCACTGGACTGCGTTTCAGCTCTATATTGTCTCGGGCACCGAGCTTCGCTGAGGCTCGTGTTAATAACATAGGTGTCGAAACTTGAACCCCGAGCCCGGAAAGACGCCCGGAAAAACCTCTCTGGAGAGAGGTAACCAAGCCATGGTGCTGATCTTCCACTGCTGTATGAAATGATACTTAAATTTTGGCAAACAATGAGATCATTAACAAACATTTTATATGGCTAGAAAATGATCCTAGTTGATAGTAATTACTGCCCATATTCGTACGGGCCCTGATGCAACACGATACAACGGGAAAAACAAACAATAATAGAAATCATCTTTATCTATGCTCAAGAATGATAGATGGTTAAGTATATATGCTTCTTTGGATGCAGAAGTCGACAGGGGCTGACTTCAGTTCATTACAATCATTTCGATGCTTTTTGTACAGGTGTTACCCGTAAAGGAAGAGGAATCCAGGTGGTTATATATCGCCGCGCCAAACCTCCTGCTCTTCAACGAAACCATACACATCGTCCTCAAACTTTTCACCTGTGATCGCAACTACACGGTCTTTTCCAGGTAGCTTTCCACTTTTTCCGACAGCACCCTCATATTTGCGTGAAGAGTCGATATCATTAAGGATTTGCCGCACAGTCGCTAGGGATGATGATTTTGGGACACGAATCCAGTTTTGTTTAACAACGACATGACTTTTATCGTCAACATCACACAATCGAGTTCCAGGATCGCGATTATCCGCCAGAAAGCGGAGGCGTGTTGGTGAAATTATGCAATCCGTGGTCATTAAGACCCAGAAATTTGCTTTGGGACAGCGCACGGCCGCCGCCAGGACGTCCGCTATGCGAGTATTGGACGATGATGGTTCAAGCTGCGGAATAATTGGTATATACGATAATGGAGTTGCAATATCGGATATTAACTTTTGGTGAGGGTGCTGCAGGGCAGTATTGATTCCATTTGGCTGGTCAAGGGCACCATTTAGCCCAACAAGTGTGGGTGAGCTCGTGGCGGATGATGCCGAACTTCGAGAGGGGGTTTCCGACGCGGATGAAGAAGATGAAGCAAACGCGGCGCCAATAGCTCCTCCCGGGTGAAACCCTTTGAAAACTTCTGCTGGACCCCTTCCAGGGATAGTGTGCAGGCTTCTAGCAACGGCAAGAGCGAGGGCATCACCCACCGCTAACGCAACAGTTGTCGATGTTGTTGGTGCAGGCAAGCCGAAAGATATTTCCTCACGCTCATGTACCGGAGCTGGGAGCAAAATTGTATATCGGATATCGGAATCAGAAAGCAGAGCGCACGACGATGGCTGCGTATGTGCCGTGATCGCTATCACCGGTAACATGGGTGGAATATGCGGAAGGACCATAGATAATTCCGACGTTTTACCCGAAAACGTGATGAAAAGAAGAGTATCGTTCTGTTATCACCAATAGGGTTAGCATTCCGTTCATGAGAAGAGTGTGCATGATCGAAAGCGTACCTGTTTTATCATACCCAAATCCCCATGCAAAGCCTCCGTTGGATGCAAAAAGCAGCTCTGAATGCCGAAACTATTCATTGTAGCGACCAATTTTTCGCCAATTTTCCCGCTCTTGCCCACTCCACAGATGACAAGTTTCCCTCCGACGTTGATTGTTTTTGCGATTTGCTCGACTGCGCGCTCCATGCTCTCCCTACAAAACGGATCGGTCGCATACATCCGCTCCAAGTTCGCCAAAGCTGCCCGCTCCGTGGAGATCACATGGACTACCGTATCTAAGGCCGACGCGGTCGGGTTGATACTTGGGATTGGGTCGACATCGGGATCCGGGGGGGTCATAGGCAATGCCGGAACCATCACCACGGATGACTTGCGTGAGACGATGTGAGGGGAGGGAGGCGAAAGCTGTCGGCGCCGTTTGCGAGCAAGAACGGAGAAAGTCATATTATCAAAAAGGGGTGAAAAAAAAAAAAAGGAAAAGAAAAGAAAGGTTCCAACAGAATATAAACAACAAAATAAATGTATGCTGAGATGATGGTATCAAACGGTAGCCGCCACAATAACTAAAGAGAATATCTTTTGAAAAATATGCACAAGAAGCAGTTGCATGACCGAAAACAATGTGAGATGTCCGTCAAGGCCGTTGAACGGCACCCTCACTATCGCTCCATCTCTCGGGAAGCACGATAAAATTGCGAAAATCTAGGGGATTATAGCGATGAAGATACAGATGACGGTGGCTCGACGCCTCTCCGACGAGTGAAATACAAGGAAGGGCGCGAAACGAGTGGAAAAACCAAGGGACAAGAATAGCAAGAGATCTCTATAGACTGCAAAAGCAAAGACAGAAGTGTCTCGGGCAGTGGAGAGGGGACGCCAATCGAGGCGGAGAAGGCGGGTATTTTGGAGGCGGAAAAACGTGAAAATTGATAAGGAGATTGATAAGATCTGCGGCACTTCCCGATCGGGATCTGGGAGGGGCCCGCTTAGTCAGTGGCGGGGTAACTCCGAGATTCGATGACTGCGCCGGGCAATCCGGGGGGGAAGGAGAGAGAGCGCTCCGGTATATGGTTGATATTTTGGGTGGGAGGGAGAGAGGACGAGAATGCGAGACAAGTGAAGCCGTTGGTTTGGCTGTGCCATGGTCAATCGAGCCGTCCCGGGCGCCAGTTCATATGCTTTTTGGGACACATCACCCCTGCTCATCCGAGGAGATGCAATTCCTGGGCGGCTAGGCAGCCTGTGGGAACTTTGATGCCTCGAATTATTAATCTTGCTTTTTTCGTTGCACCGGAAGGCCTGAAAGTCGAGTCGATTATTATGCCACCTTGGTGAGGAATCCTCAAAAACTCTCTCAGCTTCGTGCAGCTGTTTGGTCAGAATGCGATGGTGGCAAACTCAAATTGGAGCGAGACCTCTTGTCATTTCCCCCGTCATTCTGGTACGCGCTTGGGCATGGAACGAGAAAGCCGTCGCAAGATAAACCTACTTAGCCCCGTTTCATCTGTAATTCCCGGTATATTTTCAATTTGCGTCGGCGCGCCCCGATCAGGTCTATCTCCCGGTGAGGTCTAGCGCGGCCCGTTCGGGGAAAGCGTCGTGCGCTTCCCTCGTGCCCTTCCCAGATACTGGTATAGTACTCCGTATATATATGTGTATATACTTTTCAGGAGTGTATATTGCACAAGGGAGAAAATCTGAGAGAGATCAAGCGGGGAAGACGACAAGCAGGCAGCAGCCAGTCACGTGCGGGCGTTCTGTCTTCTTCACCTCCACATGTCTTCATTATCAAACAACTCAAACTTGGACAAGCAGACATCATGCCATCCAGCAGAGAGCCGTTTGATCAGCCCGAGGAGGTTGCTCTGCTTTTGGGGCGTCTATTTCGATTGTATATCTCCTACGCGCCATACTCATTCTTGTTTGAGTGGCTGGAGAAGACACCGGACCTCGAGGTGCACTGTCGGGATGCCACTGGAGAAAAAGTTCTGTTCACATCATCTCCAGAACTCCTAAAAGCTATTCACGAGTGCGAGAGGGTCACTGCACCAGAGAAATTTCCGGGCCTTCCGAGTGACTGGGGGTTCTCCAGCTTCATCAAGACCGCCGTCCACCAAGTGCTCGACAAAGTGTACATAAAGATTCGAGCGTAGGAGGCCCCATTTGTTTTCAACATTCGTTCCTTCACTGATGTTGTACTAGGCTTTATGGCCCGTTATTTCGCCAGCTGTACTCTGAAATGATCACTGGCATCAAGGGGGTCCAGGTCCTCTGCCCTCATCAGAACCACTGGACTTTTATTGTTCGGGATCACTCATGTGCACATGACATGGGACAGAAAGGGATCGCTATATCCTAAAGGGTGAATTACTGGCAACCATCTCAATCTTCTATCACCAGATGAACAAAATGGTTTGGCTACCTGACAAAGACCGATATACAGCCAAGCCGAGATACCAGGGTGGTTTATTAACTGTATGTTTACTTTGCCGTTTTATGACACTTTATCTGACAACATCCCAAGGCTACCATAGTGACATTTACCCACGGCAAAGTACGCATCGTCCAAGCCAGTATCAAACCGTCGGAAAAACACCCAACACTCAACCTGATCCTGAGGGCCATATACACCCTCAACAACGCAAACTACGACAAAAAAGTAGCCTTTGATGTTCTGAAATGGATTCTTGATCCCCCGCAGGCAGAGCCTGAGACAGAGTTTAAGTCCACAGAGACGGCCAAAAAACTCCCTGAGAGTGAAGAAATAAGAATGGGCATCCGAGCGTGGGACTGTTTATTTGGCTATGATTCCCTAATATCTGCCAGGTCTAATGGGAGTCTTTACCACGGCTCTCTTGTATGTCAGTATCTCCCAGAGCGTATCAAGCATGTTAGTCATAATTTCTTTGAACCATTCACCAAGGAGTTGTAAGCGAGAAGGCCAATCCATCTGGAGGCGAACGAGACAAAGGAGTAGTTAAGTCAGGATCAAAGCCCACTAAATCATCAATTAGCAAAGGAAAGGACGTGCCTGAAGCAGGCATCGCTGATGTGATGACTTATATCTGTGAAAACTTCCTTCCGTTCTATTTTTATTCGAAGGAATCTCATCAAATGAAGCAAGCAGCAGGATGGACAATACACAGGATTTCTGGCCGAAATCCCCTCCTCGGCTCTATCTTTTTATACTTTTGGCCCTACTTGACCACAAAAATCGTGGTCTGTGGTCTTTGACGCTCACCCATGATGGGTGATCGAGTGAGTGACAGGGGTACCGACCAGCGGGCCGCTGGTTGGTGCGTGGCCGTTGTGGTGGTGCGGTTGTGGGCGGAGGGGTTGCGTTGAGGGCTCCAGAAACGGCCTAATACCAAAACTGCCGGATTTGGGGCGCCGACGCAATTTGAAATTATATGTGAGAGTATTATTCATTAGCACTTGATCCTATAGTTCAGCATGAACGCTGGAAAAACTCCCGAGAACTGGATGGGAGATCATCAGGTATGAGATGAAGCCACCGATCTGTAGTACATTTCGAGCTTGGATATCATGACTTTGAAGCCAAACCTGCCGTATCAATTGTTCTGCGCCAGTATTTTATATATTAATACAGATTGTTTTGTGTTACAACAGAAAAAAGAAAATAAATCCTTGCCAGGTGGGAGAACTGTAGGGGAGTCCCCTGGCACCGTCTTGTATGAGTGAGGGGTGTGGACCTTTCCTCCAATGTCTCAACGAGGCCATTCCCACCATGTAGATGTAAAATTGGTGGTTGAAACGGAGAAAGTCGCGAATTAAGATGCAGCACCCATGTTGGTAGCCTTAAAGATTTCATTTTTTCAATGGTTTCACACCCTTATGGATGGCGGCGATACCCATTGTAAGATTTTCATATCCTTTGCCTGGTGTAATGAATCCAGCGGCCTGAATCATGTCCCGAAACTCTTCCTGGCTGGGAAATCTTTCTATGCTTTCAACCAGATATTGGTAGCTGGCCCGGTCCCCGGCCACAACCTGGCCGATCAGTGGAATAGCTCCAAAACTCCATCGCTTGTAAAGTTCGTCAAAGAGACCGACGGTCACCTTGCTAAATTCCATACAGGCGAAGACACCGCCCGGTTTCAGCACTCGGAAGGCCTCCACCAATGCACTTTGTTTATTCGTGAAGTTCCGAATCCCAAAAGCAACAGTGTACAGATCCACCGAATTATCAGGAATCGAGGGTATGGATTCAGCGTTTGCCTGCATGAACGACAGACGGTCGGTATTATAATAAGGAGTGTCCAAACTTCGTTTTTTACCCTCTGCAAGCATATCTGGATTGATATCTGCAACCGTTACGCGCGTGTAGTGGTCGTTGTTTATGTTTGTAGCATGGTCCAGCATGCGAAATGCGATATCTCCAGTTCCACCCGCAATGTCAAGAATGTTCCATCCTTTCTCATTCTCAGGTCCATCGCGGGCATACTGGTCTCCAGGGTTGAGTGACCGAACAAAATGATCTTTCCAGAGACGATGGATACCCAGGGACATGAGATCGTTCATCGTATCGTAAGAAGCCGCAACAGAGCTGAAAACAGCTCCGACTGGATTGCGAGGTTAGCTTCTGTTCAATGTTGGGAGAGAACGAACTGGAGAGCGCTGGAGGATGCGGAGGTACCTCTTGATTCCTTTGCCGATTCGGGAATTGTTTCGAACCCAAAATGGGTGGTCCGTTCATTTTGTCCGGGTTCGTTGGCCTGCGCTCTGATGGAACAGGAGAAACAGCGGTAGGGCGTTCTGGGTGGAATTGGTCGGCGTTTCGCGCTCCAGTGTAAGCTCCGCCAGACGGATCTGGATGTCATCGTCAAACCGCGGGTGAGTCTTTCAATGGGTTGTTTGCTTCTTGACCAGAGGCTCGTTCCAATGTTTGAGCATCGTTCCCTTTTTTCCTTCCACTACGGAGTACATCAGAAGATCCATCTTGGCGCTACATTGGGAATATTGTTAATCCGACCGAGACATCATCTGACCACGCTAACGAACCTTATATCAGATTTACCACGTGACTATATCGATAAGACGCGGTCGGCAGCGGCACTCTTACGTAATGCGGCCGGAGAAGCGACGAAAGCTGCGATTCCGCCGACGCAAGCCGAGACTGAGCGGCTTGTTCTTCATTATTTGGGTCTTCGCTGCGAGCCGGCGAGGAGGGACTTCTCTCTCCTCTCGTCCTTTGTTCATACAGAAGCAATTCGCTCTGGAAGTGTTGAGAGACCATTGACCCAAGTTCAATTCTTCCGGTGTAACAACTATGTCTCGGCCTCTCTTACACCAGTGTCTCCGCTCCTCTCGAGGGGCCAGCGTTGGGTCGCGGCTGGGGAGAGTAAGATGGGGATCTTCGATATCGCAGAAACCAGGTTCTGACCAGTGCGTCCAACCTTCCACGGCAGAAAAAAAAGAAGCCGTTCGAGACATAGGATGAATGCTAACCATACATGAGCAGCCTCCGGTTTCCAGGTGCCATCAACAGCAAGTTCACAACCAACCTCAATTTCATCAACCCCTCAGATCAGCCCGCCATCCCCACGTACAGAGTAATGGATTCCGATGGCGTGATAGTAGACAAGAGCAGAGCCCCAAATGTCCCAGATGAAGAGGTCATCTCATGGTACAAAAACATGGTGCAGGGTAGGTTTCATCCCGACAACCGTATTCCGATCATGCAAATTTTTGCGGCTAACCCGTTGACTGATCTGCAGTCAGCATCATGGACATGATCATGTTTGAGGCCCAGAGACAGGGCCGTCTGAGTTTTTATATGGTATGGGCATACTTCAAGAGCATTCTGCTGTGACGTATTACCTGACAAGGGCCATAGGTTTCAGCCGGAGAAGAAGGAATTGCTGTAGGATCCGCTGCAGCATTGTCACCGGATGATGTAGTCTTCGCACAATATCGCGAAACAGGAGTCTTCCAGCAGCGAGGATTTACCCTGAAGCAATTTATGAGTCAACTGTTTGCAAACAAAAATGATAATGGCAAGGGTCGCAACATGCCAGTTCACTATGGAGGATCCAATGTTAAAACGGTACTTGGACTCCTTCTTCATTCTCCTCCCCCGGTTCCGAGTAGCTAATGTACTTAAAACAGCACACCATCTCGTCTACCCTGGCCACTCAGATCCCCCACGCCTCGGGTGCTGCTTATGCCCTGAAACTCAAAGCTTTGCAAAACCCTAATGAGCCCAAGCAAATAGTAGCTTGCTACTTCGGCGAAGGCGCAGCCAGCGAGGGTGATTTCCATGCAGCTCTCAATATTGCTGCAACACGATCGTGTCCCGTTGTTTTTATTTGCCGAAACAACGGCTACGCTATCTCTACCCCGACTCTAGAGCAGTATCGCGGTGACGGTATTGCTAGTCGAGGCGTTGGGTACGGTATTGACACCATCCGTGTTGACGGAAACGATATCTTTGCCGTTCGTGAAGTGACCAAGGAGGCTCGCCGGATGGCCCTAGAGAACCGACCAATCCTTATTGAAGCCATGAGCTACCGTGTTTCTCACCACAGTACTAGCGACGATAGCTTTGCATACCGTGCCCGCGTGGAAGTTGAAGACTGGAAACGACGTGATAATCCTATCATCCGACTTCGTAAGTGGATGGAAAACAAAGGTATTTGGAATGAGGATCTGGAGCGCGAGACACGGGAACAGCTACGGAAAGATGTTCTCACGGAGTTCGCCGCGGCAGAACGCGAGCAGAAACCGGCTATCAAAGAGTTGTTCACGGATGTTTATGAGCAAATGACCCCTGAGCTCCTGGCTCAAAAGGAGGAGCTAAAAAGTATCATCGAAGCATACCCGAACGAATATGATATTTCTGAGTACGATGGCGGATTAAAGAGCCTATAAGTATATCGGTGGCGAGACACCAACTACCTGGTGATGATGCGTTGTTTTCCTGACTGCTGTGCTACCTATTCGCCTATCTGTATACGGGTAGATCGTCCCCGATTCGTCCTCGAACCAGAAGCGGCGTATTGCGGAGATTCCTGGCTTGTGTGATGATATGCTTCTCATTGAGAGATACCCAAAATACCCAATTGGGATAGAGTTCTTAGACTCGCTTCTGGTGTTTTGATAGGTGACACAAAATGGTTCACATTGAGCTCTAACAGGGCAGATCTAACCCATATTGTTTGATGATTTTACTAGCCAACCCACCTGCCTTGCCATATTTTCCAGTGTCAGGAGATCAGTTAATTTTGTTGCCTTTTGTGTCTGGTGGATGTTTTCGAGGTGGAGTTACTGTGGAATGTTTGTATATAAGTACCATCTACTCTGTAGTCACTCTGCGGTGATTTGTTTGGAATTAGGCCAAAGATAAGCCAGAATCCTGAGGAATACAGAACCCAAGTTTATCTTTCTGGCTTGGGCACATGAAAAGAGTCCTCCTGTAGTTCAACTATTTTTGTGCACTCTCGCAACCATTTATTTCTGTAAGATGCGGATGCGGACTGGCAATTATGTAAAGTAGACCACCAGATAGGACAAAATACCAACCCACGAAAGTGCCATGGATACATACATGAGCTCGATGGGAATATCCATAACATCTAATAAACAAGACCACAATCACAATTTGCAAAAAGAAAACAGACAAAATAATGCAGCAAGGCAAATCAGCTGGTGATGGAAACAAAATAATCATGAAGTGAATCGATATAATATGCCGGATTGAACAACCACACAATTTCGCCCACAGCCCCTCCAATATCCTAGACCCAAGGAGAAAAAAAATACGATTAAAAGGGATAACGTCGACTTGCTGCCCGATTATGTCGGGGTCTTGGCATCCGAGGACGCCACAAACTCCAGCGCTGCAGAGAGGGCTTGCTGCACCAACTTCTTATTTCGCTTTACCAGCGCCATAATCTTCTTATCCACAACATCCACGTCCTTACGCGACAACTCAAGCTCACGTTGAGCTGCTTCAATCATGGAACGTAATTCTTGGTCAGGCACATTCATTAGCTCTTCGAGATCAGGGCCGAAAGTAGAGCCGGTCATGAGACTCTTCGTCGTAGCCGATGAGCGTGGAGGAGCGGTGCCACTAACAGGGTCCGTGCTGCTGGGAATTGCCCAGCTGGTAGATCGAGCGGAGTCAGCTTCGAGTGCAGAAAAGACGTTTGGTGGGGTGGTGGCAGGTGCTTGAGTTGACGGATGCGACAAAATGACTGAATCTTCCGTTGTTCCGGTGATCAAACCGCTTCGAGAAGCCTCGTCATCGACCCAGCGAATATTGAACTTTTCGGGTGTTGCAAATAAAGCATCCAGCCCGCCACCACGGTTAGTGGTGTCGGGCTCAGTGACAATGAAAGCAGGATATTCGTGACCAGAGTCGATGGCAGAGGCGAGACTGTCTTCCAAGGCCAAGTAATGATCTTCTTCTTCAGCAGATAAATGTCGTAAGATGCATCCTTTTGGAGTAATAAGGCACCTATGTTTCAAGAGATCTGACCCACCATTAATGCGAACAGGTTCACCACGGAGGAGCATTTTGCGGTGGTCTTCAGTCAATTCAATTGGTCGCTTCAAATATTCATAATCTTCAGCTGTGCATTTCATATCCACGCGTTGATTGAGATTTGGAGGGTTAAAGAGCGCGTGGACATGCAGATCCAGCTGTCCCGACTGATAAAGCTGTGCGAGTATGGTAGGCAGTGGAGGCGTCCTTTCAAGGAACAAGTCTTTGATAGGGACACCCAGTGCTTCAGAATCAACCATAAGTTGCTCTAGAGTGTTGTTAAGGCGCCAAGGCTCATGGGCTTCCTTTTTCTCTTCCATCTTTTCAATGGTGGGTGAGCTTTTCGCTCCGGATTCCACATGCTTGGATACTATTGTACTACCTGATTTTGGTTGAGTATCCTCATTGGTTCCAGGTGAAGCCCTTTGTCCATCCTCTGTGCTGTCTGTGGCTCGCTTCGATGGCTTTTTTGTCTTTCGCTTTCTGCCAAGGATAGGTGCCTGCACAGTGTCTTCAACGGGAGTAGATGTAAGTTCATCTTCTTTCTTCGCTTCAGCCTGCTCAGCTTTGAGTTTTCGTTGCTTTTTTGCCTGATTTTTTGACATCGCACGAACTGGGGCAGACCCAATTCTACTGGGAGGCGGCGAGTTAGCCCGAGATGCGGAAGCAGAGGTGTAGAGGTCATATTCAGAACTTATTTCTGCAGGCGTAGCCGGACGGCTCACAGAAGAAATGCTAGGTCTTCGTGACCGTTGCTTTACCGCTGTAGTGGTACCAGATGCGGCTCCAGATGATTGTAGAGGTGGCGTTTCGGATTTGGGGGTGTCTACCACACGTAACACCCGTGGCTGACGAGGAGCAGGAGATTCGGATATGCGAGAAGCTACCGTTCCGGGGGTATTTGGCCGCGAACTGGTAATGGATGTAGAAAGCGCAGGGAGCTGGTAGGGCGCAGAAGTCTGAGAGGGAGAAGCGGATTCTCGGCCAGTCGCAGAGAACGATATATCCAATTTAATAGGCTTTGGCTTGCTGTGGGATTCTTTGGAAGGTCCTTTTCCGCTCTTCGCGGGGGTTGCTTCTGTTGACTGCTTGTTAGCTTTAGGGGGAGCGGGGGGCTGGGTTTCTTTGGTCAGAGATGCGACGGCTTCCGGTTTTGGCGAGCCTGCTGAGGCTTCTGCCGGGTTGCTTGCAGGATCCGGCTTTAAACTTGGGGACTCTGGAATGATTGGAGTAGCAAGCGTAGGCATAACCGTGTCCCTCACCTTTTGGGGTGGGGTTAAACCAGGAGGCGGCGCAATGACGGTTGAAATGGAAGCATGGTTTTTGGATGGAGAGGGGCTTGAGGGCACACTCGACTCTTTGATGAGACCTGCTGCCGGATGGCCGTGTGGGAACGACAGTCCAGGGGGCACTGTTGGCGTCCCAGACCTACTCGAAAAAACGGGGGATTCCACGGAAATATGGGACCGGGACGATGCCCGGGTGTCGAGCGCAGACTTTGGAGGTGCTAGCGGCGGAAAGTCTTCATCCACTATCGGAATCAGTTAGCGGCACATTGTCAAAATTGGGAGAAAATGCAATCGATTCCAATGCTGCAACCGCCCAAACAAGAACAAACAAGCTTCATCATAGCTACATGCTGTGCTGGAAAGATACATTGGATGGGCAGAGCTCCTCACTACGGCTGAATTCATCCACTTTTGCAGAGATAGGAAGAGGGGATAAGGTCTAATAAAAAATAAATGTGAGAAAATTGCTTTCGACATATCGCCGGACTTGGATAAAAAAATCCAAGCAGGGAGGTTAACGTACATGAATATTGCCCACGCAGACCCATGAGTATGCCCCGGTGGTTGCTGTGAAAATCAACTCGAGATGCCAAATCAAAGCACCAAGGACCTGGAATACCCCAGAGAAGAGTAGATATTGCGCAAAAAAAGGTTGACGCCTTCCACCAACCTCACCGCAAAGATGCAGACACGCCATGCCAACGCCTCAGCCGGAAAATTTTGCATCGGGTTTCATATGCAGAGCCGCCAGGCGTAAAAATTAAGAATGAAGCAGAGCAAAACAAGAATCAAAACAACACCCGATACAAGTGAGAAGCACGCTGCGTCATGATGACAGGGATAAAAGAAAAACATACACGTCCAGCAGGCATGAGGAGATCCATAAAAGAATTTATCAGAAAAAGCGCTAAAAGAAAGAAGACGCATAAGGCAGGTCAAGCAGCATAGAACGATTGTCACCATCTGGCAAACCCTCCATTGAAAACCATGTTGGAGTGGTTGTACCCACCTTGACCCTGACTCCCGTATAGCCCCTGCCCAGCAACAGCAGTTGCATTGTTTTGGTGCATTCTCGCCTGCAAGATACTCGGGTCCGCAAGATCTACTACACCACCTCCGCCGGAGGAAGTGTTAGCGTGTCTGTGCTTCTTCCCCCTTTTCTTCTGCTTCTGTGGCCCTGGCTCTTGATAGAACCCGGCTTGAGGACCATAAAGCGAGTTGAGAAGGCCTGAAACGGGAGCCAGGGGAGGAGGGGTGCTGTGTTGATGGATTAAAGGAGATATGTACTCACGCTTGGTTGCTTCGAGAGTTTGAACACCCCCACCACTCGTACCACTCCGGGCACGCATCAGCTCACGCATCAAATCAGCATTCCCATCTTGCTTGACATTAAGCCCCAAGTTATTATTCATTGTGCTCGTAAACCCATGACCTTGGGCGAACATGCCCCCTCCACTGACAGGCGGTGTTCCAGCAGTTTTCAAGCCAGGAGGAGGACCCTGAACGCCACTGGTAAAAAAGTGGCTACTAAGCCCATGTTGTTGTGTGTTGGCAGTCGCCATCGGGTTGGTGGTCGACGCTTGCATCACGGCAGCCTGCTGGCTAAGTAGCCTATGGTTGGGATTTTTGGCGTTTGATTCATTCGCAAAGGAGAACCGAGAGGACTGTCGTGCGTGACCCGATATTGCACCCACTGGCGGCATTTGGTTTTGAAACGCACTGGGCCTGGAAAGCGGGTTATGATCATAGCCGTTAATGGAAGAAGTTTGAAGTTGGTCTAACAAGCCGCTCTGTTGGCCAGTGGTTGACTTTAAAAGCATGAGCTGCTGCTGTTGGAGAGGAGTAAGGGCACGACCATTGACGTTCAAGCTTTGGAACTGGTGGCCAGCTGAAATAGGCGAACCAACAGCAGAACTTGAGGCAGTTGCTTGTTGGGATGGGGGCTGAATGGCTTGTTGTTCACGGCCGCTGCGTCCAGCAGGCCCTGGGCCAGAATGCAACTCCTCTGGTTCACCGCCAAGCTGCGAACTACCACCTTCAAGGGTCTCCTCCTCGGGTTGATTGGCATGTAGTAGCATCTTAGCCTCAACTTCTTGTTTTGCCCTTTCTTGTTCCGCCTTTTCGCGCATAGCGCGACGTTTCACGCCGCCGTATGGATCGATGAGAGACGGATGATTTTCGATAAATGCAAGCTCATCAGCCGGTAGACCAGCCGCTGAGAACTGAAATCGGAACTCTGGAGAGTTTATCGCCTTGACCAAATTGTACAGAACCATGCCGCGATCTTGGGACACGGACAGTGGTCTCCTCGGGGATACAGAATCACGTTGCTCCAACCTTGAGCTGGGCCCTGGTGTTGGTGTGTGTTGGCGCGACTCTTCCGCATTTTGATGAGTTCGCTTTTCGGTGGCCGCCCTCGATTCCTCCGGTTTGGTTGCGATTGTTGCGGTTGCCGGTTTGGGGCTCGGTGTGCCGCGACTCGCAGCCACGCTAGGGCGTCTTGTTCGATGTGCAAGAGCATCTTTATTCGCCCAGCTCGCTGAAGATGGGAGGGCAGGGGAGTCGTTAGCGGGCATCCGGGTTCCTTCATCTTTATTAGTGTGTCGCTGCATTGAGAGGGAACTCGATGGGCCGGACTGACTTCCCGGTGGATATGTACGAGACTGATTCGCCGACACGTTGGGATAATTGGGATGAGGTCGCTGCGACGAAATCGTATTCATGGAGGACAGATCTTGGCGGCTGAAACTATCGCTATCTTCTCCGGTCTCATGCAGGAAGGTGCAATTTCTGTTGTTACACTGCTCGTTACGAAGGAATGATGAGCAGTACTTTGTCGTCCCGTATTGCGCTCTGAAAGCGTTTTAGTGCTTGCTCCCAAGTAAGACACCCGCAGGATTGAGACATACCTCAGAACTCGATCACCATTGGCGGAGCCGTCAACGGCGGCAATGCATGATGCGGCATCGCTCTTTTTTGCAAAGGTGACGTACACTCCGATTCCTTGATTGGGGTTTCCACTAGGTTTCGCTTTGCTCACGACAATCTTTTCTATCTCACCGTATTGGCCAAAGTACTGATCCCCCCTCAATGTCTGAAGTAACTGGTTCTCGTCCCTGATTGTTGGATTAAGTCCAATGACATAGACAAGGTTCTTCTGGACAACTCGGACTCCCGCAAGATTTTTTCGACTAGATGCCTCGATTTCACGCTTCTCTTGTTCTTTTTTCTTTGCAGCCGCCGCCTTACGGTGTTTTAACGCCAGGTCTGCCTTAAGCCTAGTTCAAATCACGCATCAGCACCCAAGAAGCGATTATCTTGAAGAAAGATGGGACTAACTCATCTGCGTCGGGAACTCTGTATTGTATTGTGTTCTCGTCGTAAACGCGTCGGCAGTTAGGACATCGGCCCTCCTCGCTATGGGTTTTGATGTTGTTGTAGCAAAACTGACATATCTGGGCGCTGTTAGTAAGCGAGTATGACATTGTGGCGCCATTTAAAAGTTATATCCGGGAGGATGAGGGGGTAATCCATCCACGGGAGTCGAGGCAACGTACTTGGTAGCCGCAAGGACATGGCTTGAAGTTCTTGTCCGAAAGATCAAATTCTTCAATGCAGAGAGGGCTATGGTGATAAAACCAAGATTAGCACACCATATCAGGATTAATAAACGTGAGCGAATCAGAGAAAGGAAAGTAGCATACCAGATCTCATCATCATCATCGATAACGGTATCATTTTGGGTTCTTGAGGCCATTTTGTCGCTGGGTGTTGGAATGAGCTGGACTAAGATTGGCCAAAGTATTTAAAGACACTGGAGAATCCGTAGGAACATGAACACGGAAAATGAATATTCACTAGGGGAAAAAAAGGGTATTACGGCAATAAAATGGCGCCACGAAGATAAGTGAAGCAAAGGAAGAAGAGGAAATACAAGAGAATTAAGAACAGAGGGATGTTGCAAACGGTGTCGAGCAAAAGTGTTGATGGGATGTGTCTGGTGGAGGAGAGAAAGGAAGACACAAACTGAGCTTAACTCGTTTTAGCATCGCTGATTCAGCAGATTCGCCCGCGCCCGCTTTGCAGGGTGGGAGCCAATCATAGCACTCACTGTGAGCAAGTTTCACTGGTGTAATTATCTAATCCGAAAAAATTATCTAAGCAATAACAGCCAATCAGCGTCATGCATTTCTCATTGCCGAATCTCAAATGGCATCACAAACAGCCCAGCGGGAACCTCAAAGGTAAAGCGGAAGTCCCAGCAGTCGACGGAACTGAGCACCCAATTGCACATCCCACCATGGCGTCGACAAGGTCAATGCTGCGACTGGCCGCCAGTCGCCATCTGGCTTATGCTAGACCTGCCAGGGCTGCGAGGCTTTTCTCTAGCATACCAGCTTTGCAAGAAGCGAAAGTCGTCTCGGGCAGCCCGCTTCCAAACCCCAGAGATGAGAGCCGTCCCCGTGAGTACAATCGCAACGTGGCTATTTTTTATACATGCTCAGAATCGCGCCGCTGATGGTTCTCAATTCTCCTTAGCTATTGAGACTCTGAACCGCCCCGTCGTGAACCCTGCCGACAAGTACGCGGAGAAGTCAAAGGAGCTCCACACCTACGGCGAATACCTCATGTCCTGCCTACCAAAATATATCCAGCAATTCTCCGTTTGGAAAGACGAATTAACTATTTATATTCCACCTACCGGCGTCATCCCCGTCATCTCCTTTTTGAAGGATCATACCGCTGCAGAATATAAGCAGGTTTCGGATATCACTGCAGTCGACTTCCCAACCCGCGAATACCGCTTTGAAGTTGTCTACAACTTGCTTAGCGTTCGCCACAACTCCCGGATAAGAGTTAAGACGTACGCAGATGAAGCAACTCCCGTTCCCAGCATTACCTCGTTGTACGACGGTGCGGTTTGGTATGAACGGGAGGTATATGACCTTTTCGGTGTATTTTTCGTCGGACACCCGGATCTTAGAAGAATCATGACAGATTATGGCTTTGATGGACATCCGCTGCGGAAGGACTTCCCTCTTACAGGTTACACCGAAATCAGATATGATGAAGAGAAGAAGAGAATCGTCGTTGAGCCACTAGAATTGACACAGGCTTTCCGGAATTTCGAGGGTGGAACATCAGCCTGGGAACAGATTGGCCAGGGTACCGATAGAAAACCGGACCAGGTAAATCCAATGGATATCTTCTCGAACTTCTCATGAAAATCACTAACGCGCCTCGCTTCCATAGTTCAAACTGCCGACTCCCAAACCTGAGGAAAAGGAGGAGCCAAAAAAATAGATTGAACATATATTGTATACCAGCTTCTCTTTATCTTTCATTCTTTCCTATTTCTTCGCTCTCCATATGTTTAGCTTTTACATAACAATGTACAGACTTTGCTAAGAGCTGCTTCCTGCAACCGGTCATCCCGTGATTGGTAAACGGATCTATAGCACAAGTTGCATGGGATACATCATAACCAAGGACCAATACTACCATTGCAAACGAAGGTCAGACTGCCTATTGGCTTTTAAAGGTTTTGTCCCTTTTGGCATCCTGCAAATCGAGTAATAGCTCGTCTCTCTCCCACATCAATTCCACTGCGGCTCCAGCAAACCCAGCCACAACGCAGAAGGCGGCCACTTTCAGCATTAACTTAAAGCCGCTGATCGGAATTCGACATTCAATATGGGCAGCAGCATAGAGTATCGCAGTCCAAACCAGCGCTACTATAGCCCCTATCAAGTGATCCCACTGTAAAAACCATAATGTTCCTACTCCTAACGATTCAGGACGGGCGGACGACCAGGGAAATTGATTCACAAATACATTACGTGGGGCTAGTGTAGATGCAGTGTTTGGACTAAAGAGTGTTGGGAAAACCCAGGCAGCCAACGATATAGTCCAGGAGGCAAGGTGGGGAATAGCCGCGCAAGAGAATGCGAAAGCATATATCCGGCGTAAACCATTTCGAGTTTTTGTTTGCCGGGACGTGATGCTGTTGCTCTGAGGGCCAAAACAGGAGCAGATGATAGAGAATTTGCTTAGCACATATTGAATTAAGGATATATATATGGGCCAGGGTTGCCAAAAGGCAATCGCGTGCTGTTTTGAAGGCAGCAGCCCTTTTGACATATTGGGAAAGGCTATAAGGATGGTGGGTAGTATGTAACCATTAGATATGCTCCATAGAAAAGTATTCACTCTGAAAAAAGGGAAATCTGTGTTTTCTCTGTTTGGATTAAAGCTTGCCGGCGAGGTGAAAAGGTGTAGTATGAGGTATATGGGCATCCCTACGCCAAAGATGCACAGTTGGCACATTATGCCGAAGAAGGACGGGCTTTCAACATTTGCGGTTAGCTTTTAATACAAAAAGTTAAAGCGGCACAGTCGACTTATTTCCATGGCTTATCATATCTAGACGTAGATTTCACTCACATTGCAATCAGACGGCCTCTGCTCCCGGCTCTCATAGCCTCTAGAGAAACTAAGGTCCAGATGGCCGCGAGAGTGCCTGCAAAGTTCAGTGAAGTGATAAATTTGGAGTGCTCCCATCCACTATAGGATAGAAAAATGGTATAAAAGACACCAAAATCTGATCCAAGAATGAAACACCGGTAATGGCAGCTTCCAATCGTTCACCGCCAGGCAAGATCCCGGAATCAATGATCCGCTGTAACGAAGCGAGATGGCCATTTCTATAAGTAAAATAAAACATCGATATCAATGCCCATCCAGAGAAGGCCAAAATGCAAAACATAAGCGGTGACGGCATTTTAAAATCCCGACAACCGCTCTTGAAAAGCTGGTTAATACAGAGCAATTAGGGATCCATTGTTTTGATGACAAGCTCCATGGAGATCAGAATGCTAGGTTCACGTAAAAGCGGCGCCGAGTACCTATCACGTGCAATAAACAAGGCGCAGGAAGAGAGACGGGCTAGCTACTTTTGGCTCGAAGTCTCGCTCTCTAATACTTGGCCACCAATGTGCTAGTATCCTCGTTTCTCTGCTGGGACGGCTTCACGAAGCAGGCGGCTACAATTTTTGGCCGGCATAAACCCCGTCAGTTATTCGTAAAGATGCCGAAGCGCAAGCGTGAAGAGTCTAATGAAGCTCCGGCGATCGATCTTGAGGCACAAAGACTCACTATTCGAGCGGCTCGCCTAGAGCAGAAAATCGAGCACGGAATTCAGCAAATACACCGCGCACTGAAAACTGCGCGAGGATTTGAACGCCAAAAATTGGGAAGGCGTCAAAAACATGCACAGTCAAAGAATGAAAATGCTTTGCTATCTAGATTATCGGAGGAGGTTCAGGCGTTGAAGGTAAGTTATCATCCATGCAGCTTGGGCTTTTGTCGCTCTCGGAGTACTCGAGCTAATGGCCTTGTCTGTAGTCTCTAGACCTGCTGGAAGTATCAAGAAAGCACTTAATCAAGCAGCTTATGAAGACAAAGCGGATTGCCGAGTCGATAGTTTTTACACAATTAGATATCTCGAAACAACATGTTTTTAACGGGAAAAAGGAGGGGCCCGAAGCAAACGTCACGGCGCGACTATTTAGTTCTAATCCTGTTAAGGCTGTGATTCCGGGGATAATGGATGGAATTCGAGGACTTCTAGGTCTAGAGAATGCCAAACCACCAACTCATAGACCTTCCACCGGTGAGAAGTCGTCACAGACTCTTAAAATGGCAGCTCCAAAAGCACAACCACGAATAGAGACACCTGGCGTCAACCCAGAAGACGTGAGCATGGATGAAGAAGGGAATGATTTCGATTTCTCCCAGTTTGATGACCGCCTAGCTTCGTCATCTGGGTCAGAAAGCGAAGATGACGACGGCAACACGGTTCAAAGACGAGAAGAGAGACGGTACGATCCAATTGAAGACCTTTCACTCTCACCAACGCCATCAACGACGGACTCGAAGTCACCACCAGCCACGGTGGTTAAAAGTTCCAAGTCTTCCAAAGCCACCCAAAAACCATCTACAACGACATTCCTACCATCTCTCACCATGGGCGGCTATTGGTCAGGGACGGAATCTGATGCCGAAGATGACATAGCAGCGGCTGCCATTGCGCCTAGAAAGAACCGAATGGGCCAGCAGGCCCGGCGCAAGCTTTGGGAGAAGAAGTTTGGCGCCAATGCGAACCATGTGCGCAAGCAGGCAGAAAGCAGAAATCGTGATAGTGGTTGGGACTTGCGCCGGGGTGCTATGTCTCAAGAAGATATTGGAAGGGTACGTGGGAAAGGCGGAAAGTTCCGAGGTCAATTTAAAACTCATGATGAACCCAGCACTCAAAACGAGCGTCCTAGAAACCCTCGGGGCGTGGTGAAACGAGATCAGGACCAGGGGCCTCTCCATCCTTCGTGGGAGGCGGCAAAAAAGGCTAAGGAGAAAAAGAGTCAGGCAAATTTCCAGGGAAAAAAAGTTGTCTTCGATTGATGATGCTCTGCAAATGTATTATCTATCTGCCCACATTGATACCATGGCGTTGTCGCGTGACTCTTTCTGTTTCATAATCTGTAGCCTTAAGCTTTGCTGTAAAGATTTACTCTCCACCCTTTCTTTTCCACCAAAATGAGCTATTTTATGATCTCCGATGGGCTATGTACAGAGGCAGCTCTCCTCCGTCGATTCTTATCAGATCATCTTATCTCCGGGCCCTCCTCCTGATTGGGCGACAGTCGTTGCGCTAGCGCAACCAAATCCTCCCCTTTGCCCCGCCATTCGCGCAAAAAGCCGTTCTGCTCCGCATGCGAATTTTCCGCCGTTGCTTCTCTACCTCCGCCAGCGTCAATTTATATCCACAAAGGATTGAGAGTCCCAGGCAACGGGCAAGGAGAATGGCTGCACTTCTAGATACATATCCGGGTGAGGATACTATTCTTTCCGCCTCTTGAAAAGCCGCAAACACTAATATTCGGCGCGCCCCTCTATTTTCCTTCACTTCCCCCGCTACGATGAGCGCGAGAAATTTCCACTGACATATTCGTCCAGACCCCGTCCACATCGGCGTCATCGGCGGGACCGGCTTGCGCGAGCTCCCAGGGTTCACCCAGGTAGCCAGCCTCACCATAACAACGCCATGGGGCTCACCTTCATCTCCTATCACTGTCCTCCATCACACCTGTTCTACAACGGGTAAAACTATCCCAATCGCATTTCTCAGTCGACACGGCCTCCATCATCAATTTGCACCACATGAAGTACCCAGCCGGGCGAATATTGCCGCCCTCAGGTCCATCGGCGTTAGAAGTATCATTGCCTTTTCTGCCGTGGGCAGTCTGCAAGAGGCGATAAAACCCAGGGATTTTGTCATTCCTGATCAAGTAATTGATCGAACAAAGGGAGTCAGGCCGTGGACCTTCTTCGAAGGAGGAGCCGTGTCGCATGTAGGCTTCGCCGACCCATTCGACGAGGGCCTCGCGAAGATCGTGAGGGCCTGTGGGCATAGTTTGGAGGGCGAAGGTGTGGTGCTCCACGATCGTGGAACGTTGATTTGCATGGGTATGTGCTTTTATTTATGGATCTTAGTGGCCTATTCTCCCGAATCCCTCCCCACAAACTAACACCAGCCTTTTCCATAGAGGGACCGCAATTCAGCACCCGTGCAGAGAGCAATCTGTACCGCACCTGGGGTGGCAGTGTGATCAACATGTCCTGCCTCCCTGAAGCAAAGCTTGCTCGCGAAGCCGAGATCGCCTACCAGATGATTTGCATGTCAACTGACTATGATTGCTGGCATTCCTGCGAAGAAGACGTGACGGTGGAGATGGTAATGGGTAACATGAATTCAAATGCCGTCAACGCTCGACGGTTCATCGGCGCTGTTCTCGACGAGTTGACGAAAGATCAGCACCATGATCTTGCTTGGGGAAAGCACCTCGAAGGAACAGTCAAAATGGGCTTGAGTACCGTGCCGAGTCAGATGGACGCCGAAGCGGTAACAAAATTATCCTGGCTCTTCCCTGGATACTTCAAAAATTGAAAGGGATTTCCTATGGAATAGTTTCCAGTAACGACGAGTTTTGGGCTTGCGATTTATCCAGCAATGCCGGTTTCCCCAGCCACCAATTTGGCGGATCAACGCTACGTGCGCTAAACGACCCCTGAATATAGACTTTATGAACACTAGATATAGAGCGTTCATGGAATGAGGGTAAATTTCATATTTATAGGCTGTTAATGAAGGCATATTCCGTTTCCTGTCCAATGCTGTTACTCCGGCACCGTATTGGACGAGAAAAGGCGGTCCCCGAGATAACTAGTTATCCAAGAGCCGAGAATTTTCACAGGGCTCAAAAAAAAGCTACGCGGTATATATGCTGTGTTATGGGCGAGCGATAGGATACTCTATCCCAGTGCCAAAAATCTCCCCTTCAAGCTACGAGTTCCCGCTTCCTTTGCAAAACCGGATGATCATGTTGGAATGGATATTAAAACCAGTGGCGCGGACAGGAGAAATCCAAACTCAGAGTTCACAGTTTATTGGATTAGATAACAGGTTGAGCAGGAATTTGCCGATGAATTGGTGTCTATACGTTGGGAAGCCCAGCCTGGTTCGGGAACCCAGGTTTTCAATCTTCCAGGACTCTGATAACTCGCCCATTTGCTGCCAGCGAACGTGTAGTGGCCGTCGACGACCGGGTATTATCAGGGGCTGCCGCCCAACCGAACGATAGAGTTCCGGGTGCCTAGCTTTTCTCTAATAAACTTCGTTCTCGAACCATTGCGCCCAACTAACTGCGTTAGGCTTAATGCAGCTGAGAAGCGTAACCATGTGTGGTCCAGCCCGAAATCTAGACAAATATTGCGAGCAGAGCCCAAGGAGCATGAGCCAAAACCGCTAACCCTAACCCCAAACATTGGCCAACAGTTGGCCACCTTATCCCAGGGGCGAATCTCCCGAAGAGAAATCGAGATTACCATGAAACCTCTCGCCATAACTAGTGGATTGCAAATACCACCAATTACTGACGCACTGATTAATAGCTCAACAATTTGGAAGAGCGTTAGTATGTGGTTATATAAAAACTGGCTGCCCCAGCTCCCCATAGCGATGATTCTAGTTCCATCCTATTCCCACCACTGTCCTTCGTTATCGTAGCCAACTGTTGTCACTCGTTCCCCATTACAACTATTATTACTAAGTCCCCTTCGGTTCAAATCCCTCCCTACGAATTGAGACGGAACCCACAGTTCCCAGCGCAATGACCCGCAAACTCGTTATCGGATTCCTTACTCTAGCCGCAAGCTCCTTCTCGGTGCATGCGAAGCAAAACCTCGAAGGCTGCACAACCACAACCACGTTGAATTCGTTCAGCCAAGCAGTCACAGTATGGTATCTGCCCGATACCGGCGAGGTGTGCGAAATCCTCGATTGCGGCGGTGGGCGCGCCCCGGTCAAGTACACTGTTCCTGGCTGTGCGGCCTACACGGGCACGGAGACGTATTCCCCGAGCTTCCTGACTTTTTCCACCGACACTCCTAGCGAAACGAGCGCCGCGAATTTGGCCAGCACAACGGAAGCCGCCCTTGCCTCACCCCAGCCTGCGCAGACCGGAGTGTCGACGGTAGGCCCCGGCCAAGCGACTAATTCTCCAGGTGTGACAAGCGCCGCGAGCACAACCAGCGTGTTGGAAACTAGGTCCGCGACCGCAACCGACGCGCCAGCTACCCAGACAACAAATGCAGCTTCGGGTTTAGTTCTCGGAAGTAGGATGGTGGCCGGCGTCGTTGCCGCTGCTGGCGTCGCATTGTTGTGAGGATTTGAGGCGTTAGTGACAAGAGATGGAATAACGCCGCACTGGAGAAATTCGGCAGCTTTGATGCTTTGAACGTACGGCTGCGATGGGCGATGAAATTGTGTATTTATACTCCGTACTGTAACTAGTTACGTGCCGATAATACCTAATATTACTTCCAAGTGGCTCTCGGGAAGGGGAATTTCATTGATCCGTGTAATCCTTATTAAGGTTGGAAACGGCGCTGTCCAATGAGCGCGGATTGACTTGATGGTCTGGGAAGAACACACGCGGGGTCGGTCAGGTCATTCGACGACCGAAGTTGGCGCGGCACAAAATGGCCCATTCACACAGGATCCCTAGTGTGTCTGGCTGCCACATCCACTTCTTTTGACCATGTCCTGACGAACTTATGGCTCACAGCAAGGACCCAGTGCGGAGTTACATCGCCCCGTGACTATTAAAGCATCCCCACAGATCATCGTCCCCCGGCATAACAGAGAACTGTAGGTCAAGTCAGGCCGTGGACGTGGGAGAGAACCCCCTATGACAGGCGTCGTACCATTCCGTTTAAGGGCTATGAATACTGATGGATATGGCCAATTTTCAACGTCCATTTATGGACTTTAAGGACGTGGTCATGGGGTAGAATCGACTCCACACCTTTTCTCCCTACACCCTATCTACCCCATACCCTGTTGAAAGCAACTGTAGTACATATCCCTTGATCAAAATCCCCCTAATGGTTTAACCAAAGATCGACAACATGTGTATAATCACATGTGATTCCATCAGCGCCTTTCGGCCCGTTCCCTAATACCCCCAGGTTCCGGAGATGCGCATACATATGTATGTATGCCCTCGTTGCACCCGTTCCCCGAAAAAGACGGCTTTCTCATTCTACCATTGTCATGGAGTAACACAGCTCCAGGCACTCCAGCGTACGTTGAGATAACCTGAATCTCAACCTTTATACCCCTTATTAATGTTTAATATCTGCGTTGCATTAAAATCATGTCGCCCACAATTTGGATTGCGACACTCCTTTATTGGTTCGCCTTCCAAGCCCGCAAATCAGTCGCAGCGCCGCCAGGCGTAGGGGCTCTCGACGACCGAGCCGAGCTTCCGGATGGCTTCCATTCTCCTCCGTACTATCCCGCTCCCAAGGGGGGCTGGGTGCCGGAATGGGAAGAGGCTTATTCCAAAGCCCATACCGTCGTTTCCAAGATGACCTTGGCCGAAAAGGTGAATCTCACCACTGGAACGGGATTCTTGATGGGCCCCTGCGTGGGCCAGACTGGAAGCGCCCTTAGATTTGGAATTCCAAGACTCTGTCTGCAGGACGGCCCGCTGGGACTTCGAAATACAGATCACAACACTGCTTTCCCGGCAGGCATTTCGGTGGGAGCTACATTTGACAAGAAGCTTATGTATGAGCGAGGCTGTGCTATGGGGGAGGAATTTCGTGGAAAGGGCGCAAATGTTCATCTAGGACCCAGCGTTGGACCGCTTGGCCGTAAACCCCGTGGTGGACGAAACTGGGAAGGGTTTGGGTCGGATCCCTCACTCCAAGCTATCGCTGCCGTCGAGACAATCAAAGGTGTCCAGAGCAAGGGTGTCATCGCCACGATCAAGCATCTAGTAGGAAACGAGCAAGAGATGTATAGAATGACTAACATTGTACAACGAGCGTACTCTGCGAACATAGATGACCGAACGATGCACGAACTTTACCTGTGGCCTTTTGCTGAATCTGTTAGAGCGGGAGTGGGAGCTGTCATGATGGCTTACAACGATGTAAGTCTCCTTCCTCGCATCCCGAAACTTGAACATTTCCACCAATTCCTCTAACCAAAGCTAGGTAAACGGGTCGGCTAGCTGTCAAAATAGCAAGCTTATCAACGGCATCTTAAAGGATGAACTCGGCTTCCAGGGTTTTGTTATGACCGACTGGTATGCTCAGATTGGAGGTGTCTCTTCCGCCCTGGCCGGTTTGGACATGAGCATGCCTGGAGATGGTTCTGTACCCTTATCAGGCACTAGCTTTTGGGCATCGGAACTTTCGCGTTCTATTCTGAATGGGACAGTAGCTCTGGATCGTCTTAATGATATGGTAAAGTCTCATATTTTCGGTTATTTATACTCACAGATGTGCTGAACTTGCTTTCTAGGTGACAAGGATAGTTGCAACCTGGTTCAAATTTGGGCAAGACAAAGATTTTCCTCTGCCAAACTTCTCCTCCTACACGCAAAATGCTAAAGGGCTGCTCTACCCTGGAGCACTATTTTCTCCCCTCGGAGTTGTGAACCAGTTCGTTAACGTTCAGGCTGACCACCACAAATTGGCTCGAGTCATTGCTCGGGAGTCCATTACTTTGTTGAAGAATGAGGACAATCTGCTGCCGCTCGACCCGAATCGCGCCATAAAAGTATTCGGAACAGATGCCGGCACCAACCCCAGGGGTATTAATGCCTGTCCCGATAAAGGTTGCAACAAAGGCGTATTAACGATGGGATGGGGGAGTGGAACTTCTAACTTGCCTTACCTGGTCACGCCTGAGGATGCAATCAGAAACATCTCCAAGAACGCAGAGTTCCACATTACGGACAAATTTCCTAACAATGTCCAACCCGGACCGGATGATGTTGCCATTGTCTTTGTGAACGCAGACTCAGGCGAAAATTATATCATTGTTGAAAGTAACCCAGGAGACCGAACAGTAGCACAGATGAAACTCTGGCATAACGGAGACGAACTTATCGAATCTGCAGCGAAGAAATTCTCAAACGTGGTTGTCGTCGTTCATACCGTCGGCCCAATTATCATGGAGAAGTGGATTGACCTTCCTTCGGTCAAGAGTGTCCTGTTTGCCCATCTTCCAGGACAAGAAGCTGGAAATTCTGTTGCTGATATCTTGTTCGGAGACTTCAGTCCGAGTGGCCGCCTCCCATATACGATACCGAAAGCAGAATCGGATTATCCGAATAGCGTGTCTCTTATCAACCAACCTTTCGGCCAAATCCAGGACACTTTCACAGAAGGGCTGTTCATCGACTATCGGCATTTCCAAAAAGAAAACATTACTCCTCGATATCATTTTGGTTATGGTCTTTCGTACACAACATTTAATTTCACAGAGCCGCGTCTGGAGAGCGTTACTACACTTAGCGAGTATCCTCCCGCCCGCAAACCGAAAGGCAGGACACCGACATACTCCAACGATATCCCACCTGCTTCAGAAGTGGCCTGGCCCAAAAACTTTGACAGGATCTGGCGCTATCTCTACCCGTATCTCGACAACCCGTCGGCTATCAAGCCAAAGCCAGGATACCCATATCCCGAAGGCTATACAACCAAACCTCAACCTGATCCTCGCGCTGGTGGGTCCGAAGGCGGTAACCCGGCGCTATGGGATGTTGCGTTCTCGGTTTCCATTAAAGCTACTAATACTGGAAAGAAACCCGGTCGTGCCGTTGCTCAATTATACGTGGAACTTCCCACTGATGACGAACATCCTACCCCGAAATTACAGCTCAGACAGTTCGAAAAGACAGCTACGTTGGAACCTGGACAGAGTGAAGTCCTGAAGATGGAGATTACAAGAAAGGATGTGAGTATCTGGGATACGATGGTTCAGGATTGGAAGGTTCCTGCAACTGGAAAGGGGATAAAGCTTTGGATTGGGGCAAGTGTTGGAGACCTAAAAGCTGTATGCGAGACGGGGAAGGGAAAGAGTTGCCATGTTTTAAATTAGTTGAAGAAAGGAAACAAATCTCCATGCGGCTGTAGGTTCGAAGTACTATAATCTAGACGCACTGCTACATAGTGCAATCATTGACCGCAAACCAAGTTAAATGACAGGCTGAGAATTCATACTTTATCTCTGCCTGGGCTGAACTGCTTGCATTACATATAACTCCTCAGTCCACTCGCACAGAGTTCACTCTTCATGTTTTAATAGATATTTTGAACCTGAAGAAGAGGTAGTTCAAATCCAGCTTCAACTTCCAGGGCCGTGCGGTTATCAACTACGGCCCCAAAGTAGTTATGTACCCCCATTATTTGTATTGTTGTTTCTAAAATTCAATAGATCTACAGGGTAGTTACAGTGCATGATTCCACCATTCCAAGGAAGTAAATATTCATATTAAAACTTTGGTTAATCGCTTTAATGGAGCGGCATAAACGATAACTATGTAATTATTACTTGAGCACCCGAAGAATGACGTCAGACTATCCCACAGAGTGAACTAACTAGCAAATCGTTGATGTCGAGATGCTTGAATGAGCTCGGGGGCGATGCGGCGCGCTTAATCGACAGGAACAGGGGACTGGAGCGGATCGCGGACCTTCTTATCGCCCATTTCGTCGAGGAAAGCTCAAACGGCTTCTTTCTGGCGCTTCCATTGCTTCTCTGCGAAGGTGAATTCTCTCTGCCAGAACCTGAACCCAACATGTTGTTCCCCTTTCCGTCCGGCGAGGCCGTATTTTCCCACTTCGTATCGGACTTTTGACTCGTTTCTTCGCTGACTGAAAGAATAGCATGCTTGCTTCGTAGCCATCTTTCGGCTGCCACCTAATCATACGTGTGTCTGATACTTATGCATCTGCTCTCTCCGTTTCTTAGAGCGGAAACTCCACGTTAGACAAGTTTCGGGTGCAATCAACATACCTTGATCTAGTGATAGATTGCTCCATGTCTTCATGATCGCTCCTTGCACAAACCCGATGTAGGTCATTGTTATTCAATTTATCCCTCGATACCTGTGCTTTCGGTGCTGATGCAAGCAATTCCACTGGCAACCCCAACCGTAGGAAGAGGGAAGAATATCCGCCCCAAGAACTGATTCATTCCCAAGCTTCGATCTGGCTACCATGGATATACCGTTCGACTGGTCATGATGGAGAAGCGTTGCCATCTGCTCCGTCTCTAGAGTGACGACTGACCTGGATACGTGGGGCCTTTCATGCTCCCTTTCCGCATTCGTCCCTGCTGTCCATATGCGCTATCGCAATCACTACTTCTCCTTACCATTTAAGGTGGAGGTTTAATCTTTATTGCAACATTGCTTAAGCGCAGCGATGTAGCAGCCCTCAGACAGGGGGATCCAAGTGTACCCCGGCGGCAAAGTGGAATGCGTTGGCTCGAGTCACATCCTCTCTTTTGGTTGAGCAGAATAATACATCAGTTTGTCGATGTACTATAGTTAGCTCTTCCATAACCTGCGGGTCTTGGAGGACGTTTGCTAATCTTGAGATATTCTGTCGGAGCTCGTAGATTGGACCGTTAGAAACTGCCGTTCAAGACCGACGTTGATGGGGGCGAGCGGCACCATGATCTGATTAGTCACGTTCTGGTCTTTTACAAGCTACTAGTAATTATAGCTGTATCAAAAGTACAATACCCCAACCAAATTACTACGGACCTACGTGTACCTTCTGATTTCAAAACAATCGCCAGCTTGAATATCATCTCAATTATAATTTCCAATGCCTGAAAATAATCGGTTTCATCCAATTGCTATTCGCATCCAAGCTCTAGCTTTAGTCTCTTGGGGCATACCAGTTAATGAAGTCTCGACTGCTCTAGGAATTCCTGCTAGAACCCTTCGTGCGATTGAAAAACGAGCCAAAGATCGCGGCTATAAGCCTCAAGAGAACCAGCGAATTGATATTTCATTTGTTGAAGATGCAAAGCGATCAGGACGCCCTAAAGAGATAGATTTCAGTAAAGAATCTGAGATATTGGATTCGATTCGCAAGGGTAGAACTGGCCGAGAGAAATCCACTGAGATTGTTGCATTTGAATCTGGTATATCCCACTCAAGTCTTTGGCGAATTCTGCAGTGTTTAACTGAGTCTATAAGAGAGAAAAGGCTGACATTTGCTATTGCTTATAAGAATTGGACTCTAGATGACTGGAAGAATGTTATCTGGATGGGTGAGACTTCAGTTGTCTTGGGGCATCGACGGGGAGCTCTTCGCGTATGGAGAACAACTTTGGAGGCTTATGATCGAACCTGTATCCGGCGGAGATGGAAGAAGGCTTCAACTTTCGAAAGTTATATAGTTTACATGGAATAAAGCAGCTGCCTTGGCCAGGGAATTCACCAGATTTAAATGCAATTGAGGCTGCTTGGATGTGGATGAAAAGGTGTACAACTTCTTGTGGAGCTCCACGCGAAACCAAGACTGCAAAGGAAGTTTGGCTGCAAGCCTGGAATGAGCTTTTGCAAGAGAAGATTCAACAGTGGATTGAGCGAATTCCACATCACATTCAAGAGATTATACAGCTTGAGGGAGGGAATGAGTATAGAGAGGGTGGTTATAAGGGTCCTAGAGAGTATAAAGGTCAGCCTTTAAAGGGAAGATCTCAAAACGGCAGGATCTAGGAAGGGATTGCTTAGCTAGTAGATTAGAAGCTGCAGAGAATCTAGCAGCTTTACATATTGGAGATATGAATACTTGGGAGGATGTAAAAGAGGATGATCAAAGGTACTCCGTACAGCCTGATCCATACTAATTTGGTGGGGTTCAATGTATTTCTGGTACAAGCCTAATTACTAGCGCGGCAAAGACTTCTGGGACGCAGACACACCTCCGTATATACAAAACTATCACCTGACCGTATTTCAATACAAGCGATGTCCCCTTTGAGGCACCGTGATGGAGGACTCGTGTGCTTGTCATTCGCTAGGCTACCTAAAGGGGGTTCGTCTAGGTAATCTATGTGGATCACGTGAGCGAGGTGCTAGTGGGATTACCTAACACACCGCTGGTGCATCGAATGACATAATCTCGAGTCGAAGCTTCGACGATTACTAGCAATGAGGGTCACGCCTCCGCCTGCTTAAGCCCATAGCAATCTACGAAGTTGAACGCAAGACAAATCGCGAGGGGTTTACTGTGAGATTCAGCTACGCTCTCTGACGGCCTCCTCTTCTCCAAAATGCAAGGCTTTAGTAAGTTCAAAAATCCGCCCACCCCAAAAAAACCTGGCGATGATACTAACGTGGCGTCTGCTCACAGATATGGGACGGTTAGCCTCAAATTTCAGATGTCTATGTTTTACGAAGACTTCCGGTATTGACTACCACTCAGATATGTCCCTCCCGACCAAGAAGGCGTCCTTTCGGGGAATAAGCTGGCCGGAAAGCACCCTCTTGGGTCTCGCGCTCGCCATCTGCACACCACTGGCGCTTTAATCGTGCGGTTCGAAATGCCATTTCCCATATGGTGCTCCACTTGCCAACCGAAGGACTCCGTGCTAATTGGGCAAGGGGTGAGGTTCAATGCTGAGAAAAAGAAAGTCGGGAATTACTATTCCACGCCCATATATAGCTTTCGAATGAAACACGGTCCCTGTGGCGGGTGGATCGAGATTAGGACAGATCCCAAGAATACCGAGTATGTTGTTACGGAGGGTGCCCGGAGAAAGGTTACTAGCGAACTTGGGAAGGGCGAATACGAAGAAGATGGTGTTGCGGAGATAAGAGTGACACTTCCTGGGGAAGAGAAGGATGCTGAAGATCCGTTTGCCAGGCTGGAGGGAAAAGTGGTGGACAAGTCGAAATATATGACTGCGCAGACTCGAATGGAAGAATTATTAAAGAGGCAAGCCAGAGACTGGGAGGATCCCTATGAGAAATCGAGGAACCTTAGGCGAGTATTTCGGGCTGAGAGGAAAGCAAGAGAAGCAGCACAGGAAAAGGCCGAAGCGATCAAGGATAAGATGGGGTTGGGAATTGAGTTGGTGGAGGAGACTGAGGCAGATAGTATCCAAGCGGCCATGGTTGATTTTGGCTCGCCTCCTTCCGGTGCCATCAACGGGCTTTCAGCGCGGGCACGGACAAGGCCGCTATTTGAGTCGGAACTTCAACGATCGTTTTCCGAAACATCTTCCATAAGCAGTTCCCATGAGCAGAAGAAAAAGATCTCAGCTCAAAAACAAACTTCGAAGATGATCGCGAAGCGAAAAGCATTATTACAGCGAGAGTTAAGGGGAAATACGAAAGCAATGATGGATCCTTTTCTTGACGAAGTGGACGAAAGCTGGCGGCCTGGAAGTCGAAAGCGGAGGAAAGAAGAGAATGGGACGAAAAGCAGCCAGAATGGCCTTGAGACTGAGATTGTCGCAACCCATGACGCCACCGACGATATCCACAGTGAGATAGTGAAGAGCAATGGAGGTGACGAGACAACACTTCCGGAATCTTCTCCAAATGCACCAAGAGGGAATGGGTTGGCGTTGGTTAATTATGGTTCTGATACGGAATAATGGCATTTTTGATATAAGATTTAGCATGGGAGGAGTTTGGTTTTCGGGCAAGACCTTTTTAAGGCTCGCATGAGATACCCATTCCATATACGGATTCTGGTTTTTGTACTATTGCGTGGAAAGATTCTCGACGACACTTTCTAAATGTTGCGATGTGTATTTGGATTTGGAACCGCTGCTGTGCAGTGCAGGTGTGTCATTAATGATATTCACAGGCAGGCAGTTTGGCCACCTATCATTATTCATTATATATGTGATCAAAGGCTCGCACAACACATTCATTGAATCATCATCACGTCATCATCATATATCCAAGAATGTCATGTCAAATAATCAGATAACTTTTCTTTCTCACTTCAAGTCGTCTTCACTTCTTGGCCCAAGGCGCCTTGGTCGTTATATCGGGGTCCTTTTCGCGGCTCCTCAGCGCTTTCATGGCCCAAGGAGCCTGAGTCGGTGGGGGAAGGTGTGTTGAGCCATCTTGTGGCACGGCTTGATTGCGTAGACCCCCATAACCGGGCCCTGTAGGTCCGAGACTCGACTGGGCTGTCCCTTGAGGAAAACTAGATGATGTTGTCGCCCAAGGGGCTCGGGTACTTGCATCCGCGACAGGGCTTGAGCCACTCAAAGGCGGGGCCATCGTCTGTGACGGCTGAGGACGACTAGAGAGATGGGGGGACGGAAGAGGAGCAGCAGCGTTCGGATCTCGTTCCCATCGAAATAGAGATCCAAAAGGAAAGTGCTGAACAACAGGGAATTTGGACAAAACCTCTGCGTTGTACATCTTGATCATCCCCTTGATGCGAGTCAGCTACGTGCAACTGGGTAGAACAAATAAGTGCTGTTGGATTACCTTGTTGATTTTGCCCCAGCCATCTTTAATTCCGGAGATATCGTACAGCATAGGGCTGTGTTCCCAAAATGGCCCCTTCTTCACATCGTAAATGAACCCAATGGCCGAGAAATACAAGTTGGTCCTTCTTTCTCGCTCGACGATGCTGGGCTTGGTGACATCACTAGTTTTGGGGGCACCATCTATAGACCCTTCGATCGGTGTTCTGTCGGATGGTGCGATTGCTGGAGCTAATTGAGCCGAGCCAAGTATGTATGGGATGAATGAATGGTCATCCAGTCCCCAGACCCCATGGGACCCGGCAGGTTCGAGTGTGTAAGTGGTGATAAGGCGACGGACGAGTTTGAGATACCTGGCCGGGCGGGGAAAATCAGTGGTAGCATGTATCGTCAAGGGTCAATTGCACCTACGGCTCAATAACACCAACAACAATGCCCCTTTCTTCCACTCCGGGTTCACTTTTGGCGAACGCGTTCAGTTTCCAAAGACAGCCAAGAAAGGCCACAAAGCTCAATTCATGTCCTGTCCCATAATCGAGTCGCTGAGAACTTCCAAAACTTCCAGTAAAATATGCCATCAACTCCATTTTAGCTGTGACTGCTTCCGGATCTTCACCTCCAGACTCTAGTACTTCGGAGGGTAGGCATTCGTCCATTATAGTTTCTGCTCTTGCTTCCATTTCCTGGTACCATTTTCGGAAGCTGACATTCCCAAATCTCCGTGGCCCCGTGTCCGGAGGTACTTCGTCGATTATGGACTCCAGCCGCGTTAGTAAAAGTTGCAATCGTCTGACTGGCTCAGAGAACTCGATAGCGTCCGACGCAAGCTGCCACATTTGGATCTTTTGCATACCATTCTCTAGAATTTTAGAAGGCACCATTGCTCGATTGAGCTGGAGGACGAATGTTATGATGTCTTTGTATGCAAGGGAGCTAAGGAATGTCGTAACATCTTGGTGGTCATTGATTTGTTTGGAGGGCGTTTTGAAGGAGTGGCGGGCTGCGGGGTCCAGGGGCTGGAGGAAGGAAGCGCCAAATGTGTCTTCCATCATGCTCCCCAAGGGATTGCTGGAGGTATGTTGGTGTCGAGTATGGGGTGACCGATGTTTTGAGCGTTGGGATGGCAGTGAGTTACGAGCTACCAGCGCTGGTTTCCAGGAGCTGTTTTGATGCTCCCCAAACGTGGCGGGGCGGAGCTTTCCATGGGTTGGCGTCACGCGACCCGCTCCCGAATAACCAGTTAACGACCTAGAAGCTGACCGCGTCGTACAGGAATACTGAGACAACGCCTGGGTTACTTTCGTCCCCAGCCCGGAGGGCCGCAGGTCGAGTAATGACAAACAAATAGAAAATAAGTATTGATGGACAATCGCTTCTACGCCGTTTCTTTTAGCAGAGTTTTCACTTCCTGGCGCAAACCTCGGATGAATCATGCCCTTGGAACAAAGACCTTACCTAGGCGAATTCCGACGACTCTGACGGGTCGCGGAACGGAATGGCTACTCCACGATCTCAAAGCACCGACAGCGCAGAGCCTTGTGCACAGTTATCCATTGACCTCCTCAACAGTGTTAACAATACCACCCGCTATCGAGAACCGCACAGCTTCCCGACCGTAGTTTTACGACGCGGCCAACCGAGGAGGAACAAGCCACGGGACATTTACTCCATACCTCCCGAAGATAGTTTGGCTTCAACGACGCGATCTGTTGACATGCTATCACCCCCTCTGGGTGGAAGACGACGTCTTCGCCGGCGGGCGACCGCGACGAATCCCCGTTCTGCGACCAGTAATGGCGGCCACTACTTGCGATCCTCCCCGCGGAAGCGAAGAACGGATACCCCGCCTCCTAGGCGCCAAAGAGAAGAAGCGTTTGTTTTGAGTGACGCTAGCAGTGATGACGAGCGTGTTGGTGGTGGAATTGAGGATGTTTCGGTAGCGCAAAAACAAGAAGAAGAGGACATCACTATGCAATCCATCCCCCGAAGGAAATCAAGAAGAGCAGCCACAAACGGTGATGGCGGAAGTGCGGCGCGGCGGGGCGCTTACAGCGATCCGGATACATCGTATCAACCATCGGACGAAGATGGAGATAGTGAAAATGAAGTTTCCACTCAAGATCAAGAGCACAACGAGGGTCGATCCGATCTTCAAATCAACTTCCAGCAGGGCGTGAGCCCTAGGGTGGAGGCTGAGTCAATTGAAATCCCCGATGAAATGGAAGATATCCAACAAGTTGATGAGCGAGGGAGAACCCTAGATGACGGCGCCAGAAGTTTTAGCGACGTTGAAAGCATCTACGGACTGGGAGACGATGAATATTTCGTAGAGGCTAGCCATGTGTTCGAGCAAGAGAAGAACTGGTCTGCCCTCATCTCTGAAGCTAGAGAGTTGATAAAGGAAGCGAATTCCAAGAGAATCGGCGTTTACAGTCGCCGCTCGATCCGACTACTTGGGAACATATGGGATGCGAGGGAAATCTATACTGAGAGTATGGGAGTACGGCAAGATCGTGACGATGACTCGCAAATGACGGCTAAAGAGAATGAAATCCTTCAAACCATATCTGCGAGAATCATGAAGTTACCAATTAGGAAACCTGCCAACCTCGAGGACGAACAGAGCCTTCTGTCGATGGTCCACGAGATCCATGGATACATCATTCCAGCAGCAATTGGCTTGCTTCAAAATTGTTTGATGGCGCATTTCCTGGAGGGCCGTCTTTCCGACAAAGGTATCGACCAATTGGTTCAGATACTTAGATTGTTCTCTGAGGTGTGCGACCACACAAACCCGAGTGATTATCCACCCTCTGTCCAATTTCCCGATCGGCTGAAGACCGTGAGGATCCTGTTTAGGTTTCTATTATATGTCTTTCAAACACAACAAGGTAAAAAGTGATCTGGAAGGAGAGCATGAGATCCTGTATGGGTATACCGGAGGAGGAATACAATAAGTTGCTGGTTATGTGCATAATATAAGCGCTTTCGGCGGGTTCTGGTGGCCACGCTACCGTGAAAATTTAACCGCTCCACGCTCCCACTAACCAATGTATACGGTATTTGTCGCTGTTGTCCTTCCGGACGTCCGGGGGTACTCAAGAGTTACGTAGAGGTGCAGGTGAAAATAGACCTGCTCCACGCACTGGCTGCATCAAGATGGAGTCGTTAGGATCGTGCGGGGAATACTCCGTATGTCGTCAGCGATCACTGTAGACGCCCCCTCTGTCATGTCTGATTACATTGATGGCACATTCGCTGACCTACAAACGAGAATGCTGCATGTGTGAAATTGTGCATTCCCCAAAGATGGTCTCCGAGAGCTTTTCCATGCCACCCTCTCGTAAGCCACCCAACTAACTAAGCTTGATTGTCGCCCTACTTTCGAGGCATCGTTCACTTGGGAATGGCTGCCCAAAGCCAATCCAATCCCAGTTCGGAGATCACCTCATGCACAAGGACAGTCCACGCACGCTGTTGGAACCACGAAGCCAACCTCCCGCTGCAGAGCGAATTTAGTTATGCTTCCTTTTCTCTTCCCGCTGCAGTAGTTTCCCCTCTCTGAATAAACCGAATGACGTCGGCTGTTGACGGGTCAGCAATGGGCATGGTTGAGCAGGAGAGGTCAGCTGTTCACGCTGCGTAGTCTTGAAACAATTGAGAGCGAACGGTAAACCATAATGGGGCATCAAGGTGACAATTGTCCAACATCACCTTTTCCACCGTCGCAGCCGGACGTTGAGCGGCCGTTGACGCCGCTCCGGTCACGTGCCGCACCAGCGGCAGCCACGCCTGCAGACGGCAGAACCTCCCGACCCCCCAAGCTTTCTCTCCCTCGCTGGTTCACGGTTGACTTTTCGTCGCTGAACCACAATCCACGGTTGTTGTTCGGTTCCCCCCTATCGGCCTGTTTGTTTACTCTTCAGTATTTGACATCTCCTCCTTGGAGACTTAGTTCTATTTAATATTTAATAATCTTTCTCCCCTAGAGGTAAGTATGAAGCCAGCATACTCCGTGCGTCGAGGTCGAGCAGGGATCTGATACAAGGAGAAAACCCGCAGCACTCGCCCCTGGGTACACGCCAATCGGTTTCAAGGACCCCTCCAACGCTTGAGTTCAGCGGACCTGCGATTTATCTTGGACCTGTGAAGCGTTTCAATTCGTTACGGCGAACGAATTGGCACTGCTCCTGTCTCCACTCAGAAACTGTCCTTTCGAGCGCCTCACTCTGACCGTTCTCTCTTACCTTCTTTTCGAGCCCTGACCTTTCAACGCATCGGCAGAGGGGGGTCTGTCTTTCCGAAACACGGGATATAATTGCAGGTACCGGGCATTGTGCTCTCTTCTGTGCAGGCCAACTTGGTAGGTTTGGTGCCTTTTCTTTATGTCTTTAGGGATAGAGGCTTCGGCCGAGCTTACTGGCGGGATCTGTGAAAATTCCCTTGCCTCATCTCTCTCCTCTTGGTCCATAACAGTGTGGGCATGACCAGCCTTCGAACTCGACTATCAGCCAGGCTTTCCTCAAGTACAAGTGGCTCGCAGTCTTGCTAAAAGCCACCTCACCAATTGCTACTTAGCGGCGGTTTGATAAATTATGTGCTGACAGAAGCATAGTTCCCCGCCGGCTGTCACATCTCTAACAAAGACCCTTGACCGAAGTAGCATACCGAACGCTCTTTCGAAGCAAGCCGTTACCATTATACCTTACGTATAACGCAAGAATGGCGTCGACTGAGGAGTTGGCTCCCATTAGAGAGCCTGCAGTAGGGGATACGTCCGCTCCGGCCCCGGAAAATGTGAATGACGCCCACGAGGTAAAGTCGGAGGCGGAATCAGCCAAAGACAAGACTCCAAGTTCTCCAGAGCAGAGGGGAACGCCTTCCAAGCGACCCATGACAGGAAGCGGACCCAAACGACCAGTGGCACCTAGCGCTACTAGGACTTCCAAGCCGACAGCGGCGTCAACACGCACGGCTCCGGGAAGTACCCTGAATAAACCTCCAATTCGTCCCACCACCATTAACACCTCTCGAAGACCTCCATCGAGCGGCGCACCTACCACTGGCGTCTCGCATCGATCTCGCATGTCCATAGGAAGCTCCGCGGACGAAAGGACTAGCCGTTTTACGAGCTCCGGCGACGAGAACAAGAAACCTAGCACGGTTAAAAGAATGTCGCTGACCGGAACCCCAGCTGCTAGAGCTCCTACGAAATCGACAACATCGGATCGTAGACCAACAGTCACTTCGTCATCAAGGGCTGCCGCCAGGGCCACCGCTCCATCCACACAGAGCCCGGCCAAGCCAACCTCTCGGTCCACAGCGACGGTTCCATTGACAGGTGCACGGGCCGCACGACCAGCAACCACGGGTAGGGCCTCGGTTTCTGGCGCTGACGCTATTAAACGGCGTGCGGCCGCTCCAGCGTCTCCAGTGAAGAAAAGGCCATCTAGTGAAGTCCCATCGAAGAGCCTTACCTCGAAATCACCGGAGCTACAGAAGCGAATTGCGGAATATGAAGCTATTAGAGCAATGCTGCTGGCGGCTATTGCTGCTGACGAGGCTGGAGATGAAACCAAACGTGACGAAATTCAAAGTGATATTGACAACGAAGTCTCCAAGCTCAGAGAAGGCCTGGAACCTAGCAGGCTGAAAGAATCCGATGAGGGTGAAGGCAATAGAATTTCGCATTTACAGTCACAGCTCGAAGCCAGTGAAAACAAGATCTCAGAACTCCAGAAGCTCCTCGATGAGAGTCTCGCCAAGGCCGCAGATTTAGAGAAATCGGTCAGTGAGGGTGCTAGTGTCGCTCAAGAAGAACATCTGGCCCAGATGACCTGTTTGGCCGAAGCTCACTCGCAAGAACTGAAGAGTTTGCAAACAAAATTGGAAGAAGCCGAGATCAAGCATCAAGCACTCATTACCCAACATGTAACAGAGCTAGAAGAAGCCAAGAAATCTGCCGCCGAGGTTGGGGACTCGAACATTAGAGAGCTTGAGGAACAAAAAGCAGCCCATGCTGCATCTGTCGAAAAGCTGGAAGGCGAGCTTGCCGCTGAACGCTCTTCAGCGAGCGAACTCTCGACCCAAATAGAAAGCTTGAAATCAGAGATTGCTGCTCGAACTGAAGAATTAAGCGCCGCTAAGAAACTGGCCGAGGATGAAAAGCAATCTTTTGCTGAGTCTCACCAGAAAAATCTCATACAGCTTGAGAATGAATTAAGAGGGCAGGATGCAGTTATGAAGTCTCTCAAGGATGAAATCCAGCTCCTTAAAGATTCGAAGGATCAGGAGCTAGCGGAAGCTCGAGAATCGTCCGCTCAAATAGTAGCATCGTTCGAAGAAAAAATTACATCGCTTGAGGAGAAATTGGCACGAGCAGAATCGGACGCTGCGCGCGAAACAGCCGAAAACACCCAGTCTCTTGCTGACAAGGACGGCGAAATTCAGCGCCTCGGTGAAGTTATCGACGGCCTTCAAGATAGCATTCAGAAGTTGCATGAATCCAAGTCCAGCGAGCAAGACCAGCAAATCATTGAGCTTAACACCAGCCACGAGCGCGCTGTTGCGGCGTTGAAAGCCGAACACGATTGTGCACTGGCTAGTCTAACTGCTGAACACGAGCAAAAGCTCGCGGACGCTAGCAACGAGACGAAAACCTTAAAAGAGGAACGAGAACATGAAATTGCGAGCTTGACTCAGAAGCATGAGACCTCTCACACTGAGCTAAATAATCTCATCTCCGAACTTAATGCAACAAAGACACGTATGGAGACGGAAGCTGACGACTTGAAGAAATCGCATGAGGATGAGCTTCAGTCCTTGCAAACCAAATTATCCGAGGCGGAAAAGTCGTTGGCTGAAGCTAAGCAACTAAGAGAGGAAAGTAATGCCGCAGCAAAGGAAGCCAATGAACACGCGATACAATCCTTGGAAGACAAGATTAAGTCAATGGAGGCTGAAATGGCCGGGAGCAATGCTCGTATTGAATCCCTTACCGCTGAATTAGAGGCAGAAGGGGCTCGGGTTGAAGCGCTCCAAAAAGAACTTGAGGCCTCTGAAGCTGACCGTAAAGGAAAGGATGAGCAACACGATGCCTTGGTCAAAAATCTCACTGCTGATGCCGAAGCAGTGGCAAAGTCCCTGGAGCAGACGACCCAAGAACTTTCATCGACTCAGGAGAGACATGCCGCTGCTTTATCTGATCTATCAGCTGCCCATGACGCCGCGCTTGCAACTTTAAAAGCTGAGCTATCACAATCCCATGAAAGTGCACTGAAGGACCTCCAGCAGAAGTTTGATGAGCTGTCCACTGCAAAGATTGACATCGAAACGGCACATGCAGTGCAGATTGAAGGCTTAAAGGCCGAGTATTCTACCGCCCTCGAACAGCAGGTGGCCAAGCGGACATCCCTCGAAGAGAACCACAAGAGTGCCATGGACGATTTGAAAAAGGAATTTGAAGAATCTACATGCAAAAAAAATCAAGAGCTAGAAGCGTCACATATACAAAAGATTAATGAATTGGAAGCCGCACACGCGGAAGCAATCGAGGAGCTTCTTGGTGCCCATGAAGAAAAGCTAAACAATTTGAGAAACGAGCTTGAAGCCGGATCCAAGGAGAAGTTGGCAGAGGCGGAGGCCTCTCACTCTACCACTCTAGGCGAACTTCAACAGCAGCTCTCAAAGGCCCAGGAAGCTGCTGCCGATACCTCGGTGGTTGATAGCCTGCGAGAAGAGCTATCTCACCTCACCTCTCAGTTGGCGAAGGCACAACAGGATAAGGCTGAGGTTGAAGCCACATTGCAATCCACACAGTCTTCTGTTTCGGAACTCGAGGGCTTGCGGCCAGATTTGGAGGCTACCAAAGCTGAACTTTCTTTCGCTAACGAAAGCCTCGCTGAACTTAAAAAAGCCCAGGAAAGCATGGCCGCAGAAGTTGAGAAGTTGAAGGCCAATACTTCTGAGGCCGAAGCGAAGACAAAAAGCGCTGAAGCAAAATTTGCCGATCTCGAGAAAGATATAAATGCTTTAAGTGAGAAGAACATTTCTCTAGTTGAACAGCTGCAGGAGGCGGAAACCGCGGCAGCGAAATCCAATCGACGTATTCGGGAACTGGAGTTTGACCTCGCCGAAGCCACCAAGGGCAAGGACGATTCGACCACGATGTCCAACGGCGACACTCTAAAATCCAAGGGTGGTTTGGCTGATAGCAAATGGGCGGTGCGGGATGATGAGCAACCTACCACTGAGGGTAAGAATGAAACCGCCACTAAGCCCATGGTAGAAGTCGCCGTCCCTGACCCCAAGGGGGTTGAGGACCTTGGCTCTTCTATTCAAGGAACGGTGGGCTGGCCCCGTCTTGTCTCCCTTTCCTTTTTCATCTCTCCATTAATTTGTCGCTTGTCCCCCTTCTTTCGTTCATTCCGCAATGCAGTGTTCACATTTGGCCCTCTTCGTAATATTTATTGACCAATTATCCTCGTTTCAATAGATGGCCAGCCTTCGGGAACGGCTGCGGCAGCTTGAAGATGAAAGCGGAAGTTTGCTAGACGAGGATGTGAGGTATGCATCGGACCGTTCTCTCTTCTCCCTGTGTCTGCGATCTAATACCCTTTTTCCTGTTAGAATGGTGGACATCCTTTCCAAAATTAGCCGGGACGCTTCTTCTCCACACACTCCCGTTACGCCTAGCATGTCTATCACTAGCGATAGCGGAGTTGCGAAAGAAGCTGCGGTTGAATCCTGAGCCATTGTCGTCTCGACGCTTCACACCACTCACTATACTGGGCATTTATTCGTGATTACGGCCCCCTTCCTTCAGTCTTTTGTAGATTGAGATACCTCTCCCGTTCCAATGGGAGCATATGTGTATGGATATTTTTGTTTTGCTGGACGTGTCTCTGGACGTGTCTGCCTCTGGTCATATCCCTTCATTCCCTTCGGGTATTATATCTTGCCCGACTCTATCTTGGCCCCATTCAGCTATATCATTTTAATCCAGTTTCTTTTCCCATGCACATAGCAATGTCCTTGTGCACTTTAAGGTGGTTTCTCTGCGGCCAGTTCATATTCATATCAATCATTGTCTCCCGCTCCACATTTTGATCCAGAGCTCTTTGTACTTAGCATATAAATACCCATCAATCACAGGACTACTATGCTGTTGAAATGCCGCATACATTGAACTCGTAGATTCTCCTCATAGTGTTGTCCCACGTACGGATTTTGCCGCATCCGCTCTTACTAGGGTGGACGGGTAGGTAGACCGGCGTCCGGAAATTCAATAGCCCGACGGATGGCAATGACGCATTGCTTAGATAAGCAATAAGTAGGCGCTGGCAACTCCAATCAACTGCCCAACACGCCGACCGTCACGATCATGTCCGGAGGATCTTTGCAGGGAGAGGCAGCCAGAAGGTCTTTGTTGGACAGGGGAACCTGACTAATAACTCTGCATACTGATTCGGAAGTCCCATGCCCCAGCCGAGCGGAGATGCCCTGAATCGTCCGATTTGCGGCAGCGAATTCTAGGCTGCAATCCTTTTCAGGCCACGAGTTTGGCCGATCGCAAAGCCAAAGAAATCGGCCCTTCCGGGATGAGGCACGATGCTGTTGGTAATGGTATGAGCTGCTCTTGTATTTGACATTTTTGTGGAGTGGTTGAGAAGAAATAAGGATGAGGAAGCGAACAGTTCCGCCGAGTGGGGGGCGTCGAGTCACGCAGCCGAGCAGAACGGCAGAATCCGAAGCTCCGGAAGATGACTCCATTGCAGAAGTATATCGCGATATGCTCGCAGAGGCGCACTCGACGCCATGGAGACATGATGCCAGGGCCACGAAGCGACGGAGAGTGGGAGAACGTACTGCGATCTCGCACGACTCGTTATCCCAACCACAGGAAACACCACAAGGTGCCGAAAAAACAGTGAACAAGATTCCACAGACTGTTTACGATATAGATGCATCTGACGAGTCAGAGGTGGATGAGTGGGAGGATGTTGAGCTGCCCACTACCATCCCCGTACAGGAGCCGGTTCTGCCAACTTCCGAGAGCAGAGAGGATGATGCTGGACTACAGATCACTCTTACAAAACCCGAAGACGAGGGTAAAGAAAAGGCTTCCTCACGCCGGAAACCTGTATCTGGAGCGGAAAAAAAATGGCGCCTAGATATCCACAAAGTTCATTTGCTGTGTCTTCTCAGCCATGTTCAGCTGCGGAATTCATGGTGCAATGATGATGAAGCGCAGGTATTCGGTACTCTGAAACCTTTCTGCGCTATTTCATCCTTCTAATATGATTCACGGCTAGAGGAAACTTAAGGGAATGCTATCCAAAAATACCGTCCGGTGCCTTAATCCGAAAGCGGATATGCCGCAGTTCAGTCGTTCAACTACCTTTGCAGATGGTTTGAAACAAGCCAGTGAGATCTTCCGTCGAAGATTTAAAGTTACTGCTCCGGGAATGAGGAGGTCTTTCTGGCTTGACAATCTGGACATATCCTTTGACTCAATTGTCTGTCACCGATTATCTCTACGCTAAAGTTCTGTGTACTAATACTGGAAGCAGGTCAGTTTCAATACAGAAGAAGTTTTGACTTCGAAAGATGCTTTCCGAAAACAAGCCATAAGCATGGAAGGATCTTGTGACCTCGGGGCGCAATTGTTCTGCGCCATGCTTCGTGCTGCGAATGTGAATGCCCGACTTGTCTGTTCTCTCCAACCGCTTCCTTTTAGTGGAGTAGCAAAAGGTGGACTGCCTGTGAAAAGTATGAAAGAGAACATTGTGTTATCGGATGATAACATGAGAGCTTCGAGCGAAGGAAGTAGTAAAGGTACTTTCAAGGCCCAAGAGACTCCACCACATAGAATGCGCAGATTAGGACAACCACGATTCTCGCCTGGGCCATCGAAGAGCCCAAGGGCGAAGTCTATACCAGGTATGGGCTACAAACATCATACGCAACGTGCGCCAATTAACACCTTTTTCTAGAGACCTCTTCACCTAGTATCCCCGAGTCATCATATCCTATTTTCTGGGTTGAAGCCTTTAATGAAGCAATGCAAAAATGGGTAGCTGTAGATCCCATGGTGAGAAACACAATTGGAAAACCTTCACGGTTTGAGCCTCCGGCTAGCGATCGACATAACACCATGAGCTACGTTATTGCTTTTGAAGAAGATGGATCCGCTCGCGACGTTACGAAGCGCTACACAAAATCATTCAATTCAAAAACGAGGAAATCTCGAGTGGAATATACTAAGGGCGGCGAAAGGTGGTGGCATTCCGTGATGGATTTTTATGAAAAGCCTTTTCCGGAAGACCGTGATCAGTTAGAAATCGGGGAACTTACCGCGAAAGCAGCCGCTGAGGGCATGCCTCGTAATGTTCAAGATTTCAAAAACCACCCAATCTACGCTCTGGAGAGAGATCTCCGTCGGAATGAAGTTATTTACCCTCGAAGAGAAATTGGCAAGGTTGGACTGAGCAGGTCATCTACGAATAGCAGAAATCAAGCCCTAGAAGCCGTATATCGACGATCGGATGTCCATGTTGTTAAAAGTGCCGAGGGATGGTACCGCCAAGGACGATGTATTAAGACTGGTGAACAGCCACTGAAGAGGGTTCCGATTCCAAAAAATAAATTAAAAGCCGATGCGGATGGCGATGTGGAAAATTCTGGCCCTGAGAATTCTTCGGACACGCCAATGTATGCCATTTTTCAAACAGAAATATACAAGCCTCCTCCCGTGGTGGACGACCGTGTACCTAAAAATGCGTACGGCAACATTGACGTTTACGTGCCAAGTATGGTCCCCGAAGGAGCTTTTCATTTAAAGCACTATGACGGTGCTCGGGCTGCGAAGATATTAGGAATTGATTACGCGGATGCCGTTATAGGGTTCCAGTTCAGAGAAAGGCATGGTACGGCGGTGACGCATGGGATTGTTGCATCAGCAGAGCACCGCGAGGCGCTCCTAGCAGTGATTAGCGGCTTAGAAGACGAACGAGGGCAAGCTGAGCAAGACCGCCGGACAATGGCAGCTTTGTCCATGTGGAGACAATTACTGATTAAGCTAAGGATTGCCGAACGTGTGCAAGGATATACGTTTGAAGGAGAAGAAGAAAAGAAAGACGAGGCGCAAGAATTATCTGAATCCGACTATGAGGCGAATGGTGGTGGCTTTCTTCCAGAAGGCGATGAAGATGGAGAGCTACCGACTGCCCGTGGAGTGGGATATGATGACTGGCTCAATGAGCCTCCCGCTGGTGGACTTGTCGTGCCAGAGGTTTCGTCGGTGGAAAGGCCCCTCGAATCGACAAGTGTAGCGTCTTCGTCACGATATACGCTTGTTGTGGTTCCCAGAGAAAGCCCGTCGAATGACAGACGTCAAGCCGCGTTTGCATCTGCACCACATGGCGACACAGCACCACCATTGGCCGCGCAGCAGCCTCAAGAACAGGGTGAACCTCCTCCCCACCCGGCCAGTCCTGCGAATGGCTCACATTTGTGCCCTTCTAAATACACTCCCACTCACGACCGCGCTGGGAGCGTGGAGGAAATGTCCGGGTTGCCGGACTTAGTTCATAATGACTCCGACAGTGAGATTGACGATCAAAACTCCATGATATCGCATGATCCGGAAGACGAAGATGCGGAGCCGGAATGGCTACTCTCTGATTAATTGGTTGTATTCTATTAAAACAGCATATAAATTTTTGGCTTGCGAAAGCAGGAAATGAGCCTAGATGTTTGGCTACGTTTCTGGACATATTTTCATTTAGAGCTGGGTGCATTGGTTGGGTATACGAATTAGCATCTTTTTGGTTAGGGCCTCCTATAAGCCGTGGTACGCATACTCATTAGTTAGAGAGATAACCCGAGAATGGTTCTATATGTTTGAGATCGGCATATGAAAATGGCTGATCCTATAAAACATAAAGCATAGCATCGAAATCGCTGGTTACTTTTTTTTAAAAAAATCCTTCCCTACTCCTGGACATCTAAAACCCAGGATCCCTTAGTTACCTAATGACTGGCGCATAACCTTGATCTGCTGTAGAACTGCAGATTTGCTAGTACCGCCAATAGCAGATTTCATCTCGACTGACCGTTCATAGTTGAACACCTCTAGAACGTCATCACCGATGCGCTGGTCAACAGATTTCAATTGCTCCAGGGTAAGATGGTCAATTGGCTTGTTCTCCTTTTCGCCCAATGCGACGACACGGCCAGCAATATGGTGTGTTTCTCTAAATGGGACGCCTTTCCGGACAAGGTATTCAGCTAAATCGGTAGCCAGCATATCTGGGGTGAGGGCTGCGATCATTTTATCAGGGAACGTCGTCATGGTCAAAAGGACACGGTTGGCAATTTGCAGACTGTCTTTGAGAGTCTTAACATGCTCAATCATAGGTTCAACGCTTTCTTGCAAATCTTTATTGTATGTAGATGGAATGCCCTTGATGGTCATCATCAATCCCGCCATGCCACCGAAGAGCCTGCCGCATTTACCGCGGAGCAGTTCAAGGGAATCGCTGTTTTTCTTTTGTGGCATGAGGGAGCTGCCGGTCGTGTAAGCGTCGGAGAGTCGGACGAAACCGAATTCAGTGGAACTGTAGAGGATAAGGTCCTCACTCCAGCGGGAGATGTGGAGCATGACGGTTGATCCACATTGCATAGCTTCGAGGATAAAGTCCCGGTCGCCAACCGCAGCCATGCTATTCATGACTAGCCCTTCGAAACCAAGCTCTTTAGCCATAGCTTCTCGGTCAATCTTAAATGCGTTTCCCGAGAGTGCACCACAGCCCAGCGGACTCCTGTTTACGCGCTTGATGACTTCGCGAACGCGTTCAAGGTCGTTCAAGAAAGCTGTTCCATAGCTCAGCAGCCAATGACTCCATCTCACGGGCTGTCCACGCTGAAGGTGGGTGTATCCAGGGATCAAGTACTCAATATCAGCCTCAGCCCGATCAGTAATGGTGCTGATCAAGTCGACCAAATACGTCTCGATGGTTTTCAACTCGTCCCTCAACCACAGTCTCAAGTCTGTTGCAACCTGGTCATTTCGGCTTCTGCCCGTATGTAGCTTCCCCGCAATATCCTTCCCAATGATCTCGCCGAGTCTGCGCTCGTTTGCAGTGTGAATATCTTCGTCGACGCCAGGCTGGATAACAAAAGTGTTATTCTCCCACTCGCCGCGAATCTGGTTCAAACCCTTCTCGATGGCTTCGAATTCAGCTTGGCTGAGGATGCCTGTGGCGACGTTCGCACGGGCAAAGGCAATTGACCCAGCAATATCTTGAGCGTAAAAGGCACGGTCGAAGTAGATGGACTCATTGTATGCCACCATCAATGGGTCAGTTGCTCCGGAGAATCTGCCGCCCCATAGCTTGCCAGCAGCGGGTTTGGAGGACGATTGTGGTTGGGACGCCATGGCTTAAGGGTGCGAGAGGCCGCTTGGAGGTCAATTGGTGCGTACTTTTGCGTGAGAAAGGGAGAAAGCAATGGTTGCCGCCCTTGACGCAGCGGGAGTCATCGTTCGGCGATTTTATACAGAGGGGTACATGGTCTCCACCGCCTGGCTTTTGAGTTTCGCCAAGACACGAAGGATTGCGCTAAACTAGTTTAGTGAATTATGTAATTGTTTCTGTTACGTAAGGCACGCGTCGCGTCGACGAACGAGTGGGTCATCTCATCGCGCGTTCCCGGCAACCGCGCAGACCCTGAGCTCATCCTGAGCCCGGGTGTATCGATTCTGCCCGGGCCCTGACCCGCGGACACCCCGACTCTGGTTCAGGACATCTTCATGATTATGGCGAGGAAGAGGTTAAAATCATCTGCCAGACTCCCATCGGTGCTGTCACGCCCAAAGGGCAAAAAGCTCTCAAGCACTCGATATCAACGGCAATATAGATTGGCGCTGGGCGGCAACACCAAAAGCCAGAAAACCCTTACCCAGATCGATTTTGTGAATCGGCAGTCCAATTTCGAGCCATCAGAGGACTTGGATTTGGAATATATCGAAGAAGATGAGAACGAAGAAGCTGAGTTTACACCTAATCTCAAGAAGCATTCTCGCGGGCAGAAGAAGCCACCCGGCAACAAGAGGACCAGATTTATCGAACCCGCGGACACCACTCTGACTCAGATGGGTTATGGCACTTTGCGGGATGAAATTGATGATGATTATGATGATGAAGATATCAGACCCCGATCACCAGCTAAAAAAGTTGCCTACACCCCGATGCGGACGCAGGAGGGATCTGCTTTTTCACTGCAAGCTATAAAAGAGGAATCTGATGATCTAGAAGTGTCAGACGTTGAGCAGGCCTATGGTAGGAGCCATAAAAAGAGAAAACTGAGCTGTGCCAGGGAAAATGCTTTTGCCAAAGGATCGGGAGACCCGGACGAGACTAATTTCGGCGGAGCTGTCTCTGGTGCTGGCGGCAACATTTATGAGCCGCCGAATCGTATACCTAGAGGTTTCATGTCCCCCAGCAAAAGCACTTCTCAAGCGTCAAACAGGAGCTCAACTACCCTCTCGGGTTCGTTAGTCACACCTCAGAAGCGGAGACGGCGCGTTGTTCCATCATCTCAGTCCCCCGAGAGCCCAGAGGTCGTCTTTAGCAGCGTGAAGCGAACAAATGCAGTTATCCAGTCGCCATTAAAGTCAAGATCGGCGAATAATACTCCTAGCCGCACTGGTGAAAATCATACCCGTGATTCTCTATCGGCTAAGAGAAAAGCTCTGAGTCACGATTCCATCCAAGGGGACTTTTCACTTCCGCCGCCCATCGGGACTGTGCGTGAATCGCCGACTCCACGTTCCCCGAATCAGAAGATAAGAGCTACGGGAGATCTATATGCTTCTTCCTCCCCACTTTCTTCTATTCGATCTCCTGATATGCCGTCAAAATCATTTCTAGACAGTATTCAGCCAAGAAGGACTACGCCACGACCTGCCTCAACCGGCTCCATTAGGTCTAGAAGAACCTGTCACCAAGTTGTTTACGGCACTGATGATGACGAATCCGATGCTGAAATCCGTTTTGATACCTTTCCCGAACGAATTGGTGAACAGGATGAGTCTGCTCCACGTGTTTCCAGCCGCGACCTACATTCCGAATCGGTGGAAAATATTCGAAATACTGCAACAGAGTCTGATGCTTCTGTCCTTTACGCTCGACATTACCAGAGCTATCCCTACGAGAAGTATATGGGGACCGTAAACCCGGAAGACATGGTGGAAGTATCCCAGACTAATATTGAAACCCAATCCGATGCCATCGAACCATCCCTTAAATCAATCCTAGATCAGACACAGCATATACCTACTCCGAATAACCCGAGACCTATGGATAATATATCAATAAAGCCCCTCCCCGCATCATCGCAGGCGCATGCAAACCACATGAAAGTGCATAATACCCAACATCCACCGCCACATACGCCTATGGTTTTTGTTGAATCATCCCAAAACGCTTTGAATGTACCCGAATCTAACGACGTTGGATGGCGGAACAGCCCACGAGAAGTCCTTACCGCCAGTCAATTGGTACCTAACAACTTGATGGATAGCATACCGACTCCCCCAGATTGGGCATCCAGCCCAGCTGCTGAGCAGGAAGTTACGAAGAAACCATAGATCTGGCATAATATCTGAGCTGCTATTTCCCCCGCTTCCCTTAGACATATCGACGATGTACATTTTCCTCATGGCATAAGACTATGAACATCCACAATACTGTATATACATATATACCTGCCTCGTGCCGCAGAGGATATGGCACGAATGGTAAGCCACAGAGCATAAGTAACAGTAGGGCAAGGAGCATAGAAACTTTGATCCTGGATTCTTCTTTTATGTTCATACTTGGGTTTCCGATTGCCCTGTGTTTGAGAGTCTTTCTATGGTGAAGATCCTTTGCCATCGTCAGAGCTCAGTAGAATCAAGTCATCCAGGTGCAATCACTCCTTGGAACTCGCGGAGAGTCATAGAGGAAAACATGATGCTCAGCCTGCTGGTACCAATCCAATATCAAGCCTTGAACTCCGGGACTGATAAATGGGGAAAATATTTCATCACCTGCATCATTATACCTGTTGATACCATTGAGTCAAAAACTAGCATACTGTCCTTGGACATAACATTCATTGCTCATTCATTTTTAATACTCAAGAATGAGTGCTCTAAGGCTGCACTCTGTGGTGTTGTGTCGATTTCATTTTAACCCTTAAGGGTGATCATGTGCACATCAAGTTTAAAGCCCTTCCGGAGCCGGGGGTTCAAGCAATGTGCAACCCCATAACAACCATCAACGAAGCTGAACTATAATCATTCACTGTATGTCTTCCCTAAGGCTGTTAGTCCGAACGCGATGATATTTTAATTGAGACTGCTGCATTATATATCTCTCTATTCCCACCAAGTCCAGACCATCCTCGCTCTGTTTCCAAACTCACTCCCCCGGAAACTATGGACGTCGCCTACGATCACATCCAAGAGGAAATCCTCGCATCTCCCGAGAATGACAAAGATTCCAAACCCGGAGACGCTGACCCTTCCGAGACTTCGAGCCGGCATCATCTAGGGGCTGAATTCCAAGAAACCTTCAACGCTTTCTCGGCGAGCCCATGGGGCGCCCGGCTCGGCGGGCTATGGGGAAATGTCCGGCGGCAAGGGGAAAGCTATTACGAAGAAGCAAGACAAGAATATTCCACTGCGAGTCAGGAAGCTATTAGGGGATTTAGCGATTTGAGAAACTCGATAATAGGACGAACGAGAGGGCTGTCGTTGGGTGGGTTTGGTGCCGGTGGCGAGGGTGACGACGATAAGGATAAAGCTGTTGGTTCGACGACGCCGACATCTCCAAAGGCCGGTGATTCATTGAAGGGCTCAGCTACAGATGGTGCAGGGGAGACACAAGACGCTGATGGGAATGGCTTCATTTCTCGATTCCGCGCAGAAGCGGCGAAACGATTGAAGGATATTGAAAGGGCAGAAGACGCTGCCGACGAGGCGTTGCTGAGATTCGGAAATAATATTCGGAACTTTTTGCGTGATGCTGTCACTATTTCACCCCCGGAAGAGGGCGGCCAGAATACATCGGGCAAGGTGCTATTCGAGAGCAGAGATGCGGATGGAAAAAGGGTGATCCATACGACCAGATTCGAAGCACAACTACACGCCATCCATTCAAACTTAGAAAGCTTTTCCAAGGATCCTGACGGTGGTGAATGGGGTAAATGGAAAGATGAGTTCAAGATTGATAGTAAAACTGATGTTATATCCAAGGATCTGGAGACTTATCCGGAATTAAGACGAGCGATGGAGAACCTCGTGCCAGAAAAGGTGGAATACGCAGACTTTTGGAGAAGGTACTACTTCTTGCGAATGGTTATTGAAACAGAAGAAAAGCGCCGAAAAGAACTATTGCAAGGTATGTCGTCGCCTCTAGAATGAAGAAGAGCTGTCATGAAATCATATTTACTGAGGATTTTGTCACAGCATCCACAGCTGGTGATGATGAAGAGGTCGCCTGGGACGAGGATTCTGAATCCGAGCCTGAGTCTCCGACCACACCACAAGTCAAAATCAACAAGGCATCTGAGCCGCCAGGCGCGTCTTCCTTACCAACTTCCTCATCAATGTCAAATGAGAATCTGAAGCCATTGGAATCGCGGAATTCCAACGACCAGCAGTCGCAGGCTGATAGCGATGCAAGCTACGATCTTGTTAGTGGTGCAACTAGCCGGACACCAGGGAGCCCAAAGGAAACGGAAAAGTCTGCAACGTCTCCTGCGAAAGCAGTGGAGGATAGCAGTGATGAAGAGGATTGGGAGTGAATTGACTTGGAATGCCTCAGTTTTTGTGATCAGGTTTTCTGTTTATTTCACTTTTATACTCATCGAAGTTTGCAAGTAGCTGCTTCTATCCACACAGGCCCTCTTTAATATCCGAATGGAATCTCTTATGAGCGGCAAGGAAGTGTGTTACTGCATCAGCCCACAAACCTGGATTTAGACTAGTTCTAATTTCCCTTTCCAACAGTCCCTGCAAATAATTTTGTGCCGGTACTTAGGGTGTTGAGCTGGCTCAGGCCACTGCTAGGCATTTGATGTATCTATATTAGATAAGTTGATATACTTGGATACAAAGCCGCAGCCGGTTCAAATTAAGATAGCCTATTGTGCGCGTGCCGTAGATTTTTCCAATGCTAACCCAAACAATGGCGTAAAATTAGATATCGGCTGTTCATGGCTCGGCGTCAGCCATTGCTCTTTCGCTCCCTGGTTTCGCCACTCAGCCTGTGCGCAGAGTCCCTTAGGGGACTGCTTTCCTTTTGAAACATTCTTCGGCTGGCTCTGGGTTTCTGGATCTCGGAAGCTCTTCTGTCCTCGCTTCGAGCTTTAACGCTGGGCGAGGGCGTCGCCATCGCTTGCATGGATGTAGAATCCATGCCCTTTCGGAATCCATCATGATAAAGATCCTCGCTAGTCCGATGTTCCTTTGACCGTGAGGTTGTGCTCGGACTATATGGCTCCGCGCTTGGTCTCCAGCTGCGGGGGCTGCCGGCCCAAGAGTCTTGATCTTGACCTCCTCTATACTGGTAGTCCTCCCCACGCCGTTTCAACGGGCTTTCATCATAGGGATCCCAGCCAACTTTCCGTCGTGCTTCGGCACGAACGCGCTGGCGATGGTGCTCATCGCCGCCTGCACCCGTCGTGGAAGATTCCTCAAGGAAGAAGTTGAGAAGTTCGTCAGGGATGGAAAGATGAGATTGTTGTTGGAATTGTTGAAGAGATGTAAGACGGAGCAGCATTTCTAAGAGGGATAGTGAGGTTTTGATATTTTTAAATAAGGGGTTTGAAACGGTATTCAGAGTCCCAACGCCGGATGGAGACCGTGATATCGTCATGTGTTGCTGTGAGTGTGGACAAGAGCTTTCATCACCAATGTGAAGACTCGACAGCTTCTTATTTAGCTGGCCACTCGGAGATTGAGGGAGAGAAGTAGGTCCTGGTGAAGATGACTCATCCTCAGAGTCGGAATCTTCAGGCTCATTGTAAACTTCAAACGCAATCCATTCCAAGTCTAGCCCAGGTGGAAATCTCCAACGTTCACCTGTAGCCATATCTGATCGTCCTGGAGTTTCAGGTGTATCATGGTAAGATTCGTGCTCTTCATGACTCAAAGTGCCTTCACTTTCTTCGTCGTCAAATTCGTCATATTTTGTGGCGCTTTCACCCGTCATTCTTCGTGGTGGGATTGCATGTATATCACGCTTCAGTAGGAGGACAGGGTGATTGGCCTCACCCTCGCTCCCGATATTCAGAATTTTGCCAGTATCAGCATAGAAAATCTTCGAAATCTGATGTACCGGGATAATTTCCCTAATTCCAGCGATTGCGACATCTTCGAACTGGGACGGTTCTTCCTCTTCTGATTCAAATGTGTGAACCCGATCGTCATCTAAGTCCTCAATAATAAGCATCTGATAGGCAAATTCATCACCTTTGGAATTGCTTCTGATACGTTCATCGGCAGCCCAATCTTCAGAGGGAATTGAAAACGATGCATGAGAATCTAGTAATTCCATAGGGACTCTGCGTAATTTTAACCGTGCCTTATGAATAACTTCTTTCCAGGTCGTACTCCGAATAGTCTCTTCGTCATGAGGCCTAGCGTGCCCTGCAAAAAGAAGATATATTGAAAGAGTAAAGGTGGGACCAATTTGAACAGCCTGTGACGACAAAACGGCATATTGAGTGTCACCAGCGGTCAGAAAAGTGCTTGCTTGAAGAAGCCGGGAAGGCGACACGGTTGCGGGAAGAGTGGTAGACAAGCTTGCTCCAGAGGTGGTAATAGCAAGGTTGATGAGGGGTACTGCATCCTCGATCCGACCCAACAATTTGCGGATATCCTTGATGATCAGTTTTATGTCCGAATTGATCTCTGTCCGTCGGGCACTTGAAATGGCACCCTTGCGACTTAACTCTTCGGTGGATGCGATTTTAGCCAGCCGCTGCCCAAGGTTCTGAATTTCCCATCTGATTCCTTGCGTGAGAGACACGGCCGATTCAAGAGAAGTATTGCCCCGAGCCGCGCTAATCCTTATTAGGGCTGAATATCCAGAGCACTCCAAAAGCCATTTTGACACCTACATGAGTTCGATCATATCGATAGCGGGAGAAATTATCTGACAGGTTAATACAAATCCGTAGTAAGAAAACGGAACATTTATCCTCGAAAGGAACTCACTCTAATTTTGCCTTGAAGTCGCTCTTGGAGTGTCTGAAGCTCAGAACGGTGACCATCATCAATAGCCTGGTTCGAAGTGAGTTGGTCTAATTGTTATCGCAAGGAAAAGTAACTTAATCTAACCGATGATCTTTTCATCAGTCTAGATACTTGACTGATCGCATATTGCCCCGTGACGCGGATCCCTGACCTGCACCACATTAGAACCTCACTCGCTAGGAGGGGAAACTGTCCTCAGAATACCTGACGGCATAGTTCATAGCCTGTCCCGTAAGCTACAGCAATTTATTAGCACTCAAGGGGGTAAAAATTTGCAAAAGGCCGTCAAAACTTGCTGTCAAAAGAAGTTTATCCATTGTGAGAAAACCAGCCATTGCATATATATACTGAGTAAATACGTCTGAAACCCGCTGTCGACAACTGGGCCCAAGGGGTTATCAAAGTCAGCATAATCGCTAAACCTCGAGAATGGTCGCTGAAATAACAGCCTGCTGTGACAAAGTATCCAGCGGGGGGATGCAGGGGCCGTTGGTGTGTTGGAGATGCCATATCCTTATGTAGGCCTTTTTGGCCGGGCGGCTGCAACCAGGCACGTGCCACAGCCGCGCCAAGATTACGTCATTAGCTAGGCGCGTTTGACGCGCGTTAAGGCTAGTACCAAAAGGGTTAGAAGCCACAGCGCGGGTGCGTCGCACGTGATCTGAGGTCAATTTAGTGTGGTTCGTGCCCAGCATCCGCCGCCGTTGGGCGAAGTGATGGCAACTGCAGACAATGCTTATGTAAGCTGAGGATCCACCTTCAAAGTTAGTTTCTTGAGCCCCACGATTTCTCCTTCCACCTCAACCCGACGCTCGCAGAGGCACTTTGTTTGCTGCAGTTTGTGTCTCTGAAGAAATTGACTGACCAGCCTGCCTTGTTTCCCTGGCTTCTTGTTAATTATCTTGTCTATTGTATTCCCTGAAGACCCCAGATTTTGTTGTAATTCATTCATTTTTGCACAATGTCCCACCTCGATTCTTGGGAGGATGACCCCGCTGCTCAGGACGAGAACCTCTCCAGACAGGCCCAGCAGAGTTTGAATCTCAACCCACAAACCTCCTCATTCCGTCCAGGTGCCACATCCTTTCAGCCTGGTGCTTCTGAATTTCAGCCCGGCCAAACATACCAGGGCTATGGTTCATACCAACAATATGGCCAATACCAGCAGCAGGGATATGGTGGCTATCAGCAACAGCAGCCCTACGGCCAGTATAGCCAGCCCTATGGTCAACAAGGCGGGTACAATCAGTACTATGGTCAGCAGTACGGAGGTTATAATGCACAGCAGCAGCAGCAGCAGCAGCAGCAGCAGCAACAGCCGCAGTCGCAGGCCCACCCAGCCCAACAGCAGAAGCAATGGCGACCGACCGAAATTGCTGAGCGGCCAAAAGCCAGTTCCCCGGCCGTCAACACCCCAGCAGCCCAAAAGCCATCTAGCACTCCCACTCCCACCCCGGCCGCTGCGGTCCCCAAAGCGAAGATCCTGTCTATTGGCGGTGATATACCAAAATCAAAGACCTCTTCTACTACCTCCACAACCCCGGCTTCCACTCCGAAGCCCGTACCTGAAAAGAGCAGCGGACCCGCAGCCGTCCAAGCAGCATCGAAAGTGACAGCCGCTAAAGCGATAGAGAAGACAGAGAAGAAGGCTGAAAAGAAGGCTGCAGCTTCCGGAAAGACGTCTCCCACCCCATCTTCCGGCCGGTCGTCCCCCAGTAGGGCAGAAAGCAAAGCTGCCAACCGTGATGCAGATTCTGTTGCCAGAGAACAGGCTGCCGATGTTGACGAGGCCACATTGAAGGAAATCTACGGTGAGAAGCGTGAGCACGTGAATTTAATCTTCATTGGCCACGTCGATGCCGGCAAGTCCACACTGGGTGGTAGTATCCTGTATGCTACAGGTATGGTCGATGAGCGTACGATGGAAAAGTACAAGAAGGAGGCCAAGGATGCTGGGCGAGAGACCTGGTATCTCTCCTGGGCCTTGGATCTGACAAACGAGGAGCGGTCAAAGGGAAAGACTGTGGAGGTTGGCCGTGCCTTCTTTAAGACTTCCGGCGACACCGCTGATGGTCCTGTTACTCGTCATTATACTATCCTCGACGCCCCTGGTCACAAGTCGTTTGTCCCTAACATGATCGGCGGTGCCTCCCAAGCTGACGTAGGCATTCTGGTTATCTCCGCTCGCAAGGGTGAATATGAGACTGGTTTTGAACGAGGAGGTCAAACACGTGAACACGCATTGCTTGCCAGAAATGCTGGTGTGAAGAAGCTTATTGTAGCAGTCAACAAGATGGACGATCCTACAGTTGAATGGAGCAAAGCTCGTTACGAAGAATGTTCAACCAAAATTGGCAAGTTCTTGGAGGCTATGGGATACAAGAAGGATGACTTGAAATTCATGCCCATCTCAGCGCAGAGGACGATGGGTATCAACACCCCTGTACCAAAGGACTTGGCTCCTTGGTACAATGGCCCATCGCTGCTTGATTATCTCCACAATATGAAGATGCCTGAGCGAAAACTCAACGCCCCTTTCATGATGCCGATCAGTGCCAAATACAAGGATATGGGAACGGTTATTGAAGGGAGAATCGAATCCGGTGTATTGAAGAAGGGGTCCACGTGTGTTCTGATGCCGAATAGAGACGAGGTCACGGTCACGGCCCTGTACGGCGAAACCGAGGAAGAGATTACTACTGCTACCTGCGGTGATCAAATCCGAGCACGCCTGCGGGGAGCCGAAGAAGAAGACATCATGCCTGGATTCGTCATGTGTTCCCCAAAGAGACCAGTCCATTGCGTCTCGTCATTTGAAGCCAAGATTAGAATCCTTGATCTGAAGAGTATTCTTACTGCCGGCTTCAACTGCGTCATGCACATTCACTCAGCTATTGAAGAGGTTACGTTTGCGGCTCTTCTTCACAAGCTTGAGAAAGAAACCGGCAGACGAAGCAAGAAGCCACCACCATTTGCTAGTAAAGGCCAAACCATCATTGCTCGACTTCAGGTTATTGGGGGAGCGGGCGCTGTTTGCGTAGAGCGATTTGAGGATTATAATCAACTCGGACGGTTCACCCTCCGTGATCAGGTATGCATTTTCTCCTGGTGCGTTACGCAATGCCGTCACAATGCCATACTGACCTTTTGCTCGATAGGGACAAACCATTGCTATTGGAATGATTACCAAGCTGATCACTGATACCCCTTCTACTTAAGTTGCAATTTATTGTTCCCGTTCTGGGTTTGTCTAGATGGGGGGAATTAGAATTTTGCCTCAGAAATATTGTTTGGCAAAAAATTTGTTTTGAAGTACCGAGTATGGAGTAGTAGATCTTAAAAATGAGATGCGCATGAGATGAACCTCTGCATAAAACAACCCCAATCAACCGGTCGGAACTCCTGCAAGTTCTGCTAGAATTTTTATATGCCCAAACTCCTGTAACTCTCCGTAGTCTATGGTATGGATATCCTGGTGCGAGACCGTGCGAGCGAGGGGGAAAAAAAGAAAAAAAAAGAAAGCAACAACAAGTAGGTTTGAAAGCCGCAAGGCAAGGCGTCACCTTTTCCTCCTCCCAACGACTTTTGTGAAGCCGTCCTCGTCAACCTCCGGCTCTGTCCTCTCCCGCTGCGGCCTGGGAGCAGGTGCATCCTCCATCGCCACATCCCCGTCCTCATGCTCGTCGTCGTCTTCGTCTTCATCCGTCTCCTGATCCTCATCCCGCATCTCCACCTTTCTGAACAGCCCAAGGCTTGCATTTCCGTCTCCGCCACCCCTGAGCTCCTTTTGTTTCCAGGCCTCCCACATCTTGTTTACTCCGGCCAGGTCTCCCTTCTCGATCTCCGCTTTGAGCTCCACGACCCGGTCCGCGATATCGGCGGCGCTCCCGTCATCCACCACGACGTCGAACTCGTCGCTCATCACCTGAAGCAGGACTTCCTCAAGGTCTATCGCATCGGTTTCGGGACGGTCGGTGAAGAGTTCGGCGATGGCGGCGCAGAACCAGTCGCGCTTTTCGGAGGAGGTGGGGCCGCCCCATGAGGATTGGACAGCGAGGGTGAGGACGGGCCAGTTGTGCAGGATAAGAGTGATGGCGAGGTCGAGTTGGGCGGAGGGTGAGAGGGAGGTAGGGGACTGTTCGGAAGGTTGGAGCTGCGGCTGCGACTGGAGTTGGTCTACATCCATTGTGCCGTGTGATGGGCGGTGCGGAGGACAATCGACGCGATTGGGTTCCGTTTTGAATCGACTGGGGGTATCCGAATGTGATCTTACAGGGATTTGGCCGGGGAGGTTGCAGCAGGAGGACGTTGCTGGTGGTAGTATGGCCCAGGCGCATCTCGTGGAGTTGCTCCGCTGAAGCGCTGCAGGCGAACGAAGCGGGAAGAAAAAAAGTTTCGATATTCAAAACCCGCACAGACGGCGCTGATTGGCCGACCACGCGCGGCCCTCGTTGACAGCTGCTCCAGACGTTTTGAAACCCTGATTGTCTTCCCGTCCTCGTGAGTTACGCAACGGCCAGGACATCTCGCGGGGGGCTTCTATCCCCCCCCCGTCACGGTCTACACGGCGCGGTCTGTGCATTGTGCCTTCTGCTCTATTCAGCGCCTTTGGAGGGTTCGTCGCGTGCCATCCGGACATTCCTCGGTGTTTTCCCATGGAACGTCCATGACATCATCCAAACCGCTTCCGTTGGGCTCGAACTTATCAAAAGCTCGATTTTCAGCAACACCGACGAGAAATGCCCGCTTTGCCTGGTTACTCGTCAAGCCGCTGGTCTTGGCTGTATATAGTTGTCTTAACTCTCTTAACGATGATGGCCTGCAGAATTTTTCCTGTTTAGTTTTATTTGTCGGCATTTCCGTCCTATATATAAGAGATCGAATTTCGAACTCCCCCCCCCTGAATGCTTGCGACGGTGAGGCCTTGGAAGTCCTAAACCGCCGACAATGCCCTTCAACACAATCACCGTTGCTTCGGTCATTGCACCTACTGTTCTGAAAACCTGGTGTTTGCATGTAGGTCCATTTCCCCGCGCAGCAACCCAACCTCTGGCCCCCCTTTTTTTTTTAACTGACCCTAAACGCCCTTGGAGCAAGGTCTTTGGAGGAAAACCACCCAAGCAGAAGCCCGCAAATCGTCTATCCTACCATGAAGGATTGGAGATCATCCGCCGGTTCATGTACTATGCCTCGCATCATACGGTGGAGGAGTTCCAAGCCTTCACCGCCCGGCGTGTCCCATCCCCCCACTGGGTCAAACAATCCAACGTCGTGGTTCCTGCCGAGCATCTCGTTTCCGCAGGACATTTGATCATCGCGGAACTTGGTCCCGGCGGTGTCGATCGTGTGGGAGGCAAGACATGGTGGCAGTGGAGGGGGGATGATGTCGCGCTATACGCCGAATGGATCGAGATGAAAAGCGACTACGCCCAGAGGAGAAATTTAGGCCAAAAATCTAAGCGAATTATCCTCTACGTGCACGGCGGAGCGTACTACTTTGGAAGCGTCGATACGCATCGATATCAGCTGCAAAGGCATGCCAGGAAGCTCAAGGCGAGGCTGTTTGCTCGGTGAGTTGTTTAACTATGGTCATTGACTATGAATAACGCTGATACTGACGTGCTAATAGTGAGTTATCAATTTTTATTTGACCATCTGAATTCGAATTACTCACCCAGAAACAGCGAGATATCGTCTGGCGCCACAATTCCCTTTTCCCTGCGGCTTACAAGACTGTTTGGCGGCCTATCTATACCTCTTGACCCTCCATAGCCCTGAAGAGATCATATTTGCCGGAGACTCGTCTGGAGGCGGAATGGTGGCATCGTAAGTATAACCAAGGCAATTCAATGGTTTGGCTAACCCGGAAATAGGATGCTCGTAATCCTACGCGACCAAAAAATGCCCCTACCTGTGGGAGGAATATTGATATCCCCGTGGCTCGATTTGACCCATTCATTCCCCAGCATGAATGATATTGGAACTGAAGATTATTTGCCTAAGTACGGCTTCATGCAACGACCTTCCATGGCGTGGCCACCGCCGAATGCCGACGAAATCGGTGTCGTATCGAAATGTGCGGGGAAAATCTTACAAGCCATAAATTCACCACCCGTGGTGGATAGTACTACTTCCGTTGACGAACGGGCCATTGAGCAGTTTTTCATCCGGGAAGCAACCGCAACGACCCAAGCTGGTCATCTCGAACCCTTACCGGAGCACCACGCAGCTATCTTCCAGAACGGGTGGGGGCATCCGCACCCCGACCATCTCCTCACGGTTCAGATGGACGGAGTGATGATAGAGCTGAAAGATCAGATTCATATGTACACGCCTAACGAGATGCTATCTCACCCGCTCGTGTCTCCCGTTCTGCAGCCGTCACTTGGCGGCTTGCCTCCGCTGTTAGTTCTTACTGGCGGCGGTGAGATGCTTAGGGACGAACAGATTTACTTTGCTCACAAAGCCGCTAATCCCGCTGCCTATCCTCCAAGCGAGAAGTACTTGAACCGACATGACCCGGAGCGGAAGATAATCGACAAGTATAAACCTACATACGTGCAATTGCAGGTCTGGGAGAACCTATGTCATGTGGCTCCCACTCTCAGTTTTACGCAGGCGGCAAAGTATATGTATCGTTCAATTGCACAATTTGGAGCTTGGGCGCTCTCCCGGGCGCAAGAATCGAGCATTGAGATTCCTGACTGGACTACGTCCTCGAGCGGAGATATCGATTATCCTGGTGGCCAACAGCGAGCCCTATTTGAGCAACAGCAGGGTTGCAGATCTGTTGGAAAAGCTGGGGGTCCCCTCCCGCCTTTTCGTCACCACATGATCCGCCAATTGATTGATGGTCACGGCAATATTCGCCCATTACCGGATGAGTCTTACCTCCCAGCCCTCGGCCTCTCTCCTGATGAAATCGGAGAACCTAAAGTAGGCCCCGTAAGGAGGTGGTTGAACGCGAAGCAAGAGTGGGATAATAAGTATTCTAGATTGAGACGCAAAATATTAAAGAGGCGGGTAGAAGAGCTACTCTTAGGTATTGAGGAGCTCGCCCCTGGTGAAACACCGCCACCGAGCTCTGCAGCGGCCAGACGGGGTATTTCTATCCGAAAAATCCGAAAACCCACGAAGAAGAATCGTGCATTGGCTTTCTGGAATTCAATTGCAAATAAACACGATGAAGCAGTTCTCAGAGAGAGCGGGGAGTACGCAGGTCGTTTTCGGGCTCCTCTTCCCAGGCGCGCAAGTGAAACCAGGGTAGTGACGGATGTTGGGCAATCGAATGAGTCCCAGAGAGACGTTTCAGAAAAAGTGTCATCTCGTAAAGCGCCGTCGCTTGCCTCATCGAAATACTCCGACTCTTCACCTCGCCAAAACGACGGAGCGAGCGAAGTCAACGCTGATACCAATGACAGGAAAGCAACCGACATTTCTATTCCACCAGAGACGATAGATGACCTTCACCCACATCCAGGTTATGTCCCGCCCAGGAGCCCTCTTCGTGCAGCGTCCGTCAAGCGCAGAGACTCTCAGCAACGCCGGCGCCCTGATGACAAAGCCAGCACAAAAGCTATCCGTCATGCTCAAGGTGTGATATCACCCGTCTCTCCTGTCCAGGCATCAGCATCCTCGCTCGAGTGGGAAACACCACGCGAATCGCTATCTGCATTCTCAGGTAGACGAGAGCCAGGAAAACCACGCACGAAATCTAACGTTGCACATGAGGATGACTTGCCCGCCAACGGTGGAGAGGTAGTGGACGACACAAAGCGTCGGAGGCGCCACGCCGTGCAGACAAGTGATCAAAACCACTCCAGCCGGTATGACCATGATGTTGAACGTCCTGCGCCACTTGCCGCCGCAAGGTCAGGTGGGTCTATTCATCGTAGCGGCCAAACTCAAGCCAATTTTGGGGCAGCGCGAGGGTCCTCAAAATACTACTATCAGGGGAAAGAGTTAGCAGATGAGTTTAATTCCACCAGAGCTAGAGACCCTTCTGAGACAGAGCCGTTCCCTTCATTTCCGGCCAGTGGCAATATAAGTGCTGCGTCGCGATCCCGAGGCGAGGTCAACGGGGATGCTGAGAAAACAGATGACGAAAGCGGATATTCGAGTGTTTATTCAGATGAACGAGTTGGCATTGGAGCGACGAGGACGAGATCCTAAAGCTATCAAGGATAGGCCGAGTGAGCTTTATCGAGGTCGTTTTAGAGATTTCTCCGGCCAGCACCCCGTAATTGGTTAAATATACAGTCGCTCGAGAATAATCTGTTTCTAAATTTCGGTATCGACCTTAGTTTCGTGAATATTTTGGATATTAATATCGGAATACGTTGTGATATAGCTAATGGAGTTACATGCTTGGAGTTGACTATTTTTACATATCGTACAAGTTCGTTCCAGCGTTCGTAGAAACCCTCTACCACCTAGTACAAGAAGGGCGCTGGGGACAGGGTGGGCGTCACTTCGACCTGTAAACCACTCATCGTTCGTTCAAGCAGCATTCTTGCACGAAGAGAAAGGATGTTCAGATGGAGCCTATTGAAACTCGGGCACACCGTGTTTCCGAATCCATCATTTCCATTCCAGTCCAACCTTCCTAGCAACTTTTTCAGCGATACTCATGAATGCACTCCGTCGCACGCTCCTATCATCGCTCTCTTCGGCAACGACGGTGGGAACACCCCGATCAGCGTCTTCACACACCCTAGCATCCAGCGGAACATCTCCCAGAAACTCAATGCCTAGGCGTTTACAAGTCGCCACAACGCCACTAGTATCATGAGCATGCCCAGCTGTATCCTCCTGGGCTCCTTTAGGATCTGAGCCTCGAGAGAATATTCTCGTCTGCTTACCGCAATGCGGACAGGCGAAAAAGGCCATGTTCCTCACCATACCTAAAACGGGCACGTTCATCTTCTCGAAAAGGCCGTAACCCCTGACAGCGTCCCTAAGTGCGATATCTTGTGGTGTAGACACAATCACTGCGCCGTCCACTACGATTTCTTGATTAATGGTCAGTTGCACGTCTCCCGTTCCGGGAGGTAAGTCGAGGATGAGCACGTCCAGTGGGCCCCATGAAACGGAGTGGAGTAGCTGGTTCATCGCTTTTGATACCATAAGTCCTCGCCAAGAGATAGGGGTTGTGTCCATGGGCGGTATGTTGGGATCGGAGGTGGTGATTGTTGACTCTGGGGGTGGTGGAGGGAGAAGATAGCCCATGGACATGGATTTGAGGCCATAATTCGTGAGAGGAACAAGGCAGTTCTCTGTGAAAATCTGGTCAATGTACTGTTCATTCCACTCGCAAGAAAAGATATATACGGAGAAACGCACTATCGTCAAGCCGCGGCTCTCCAGAGAGATTCAATAGCGTGGGTATCGAAGGCCCAAAAATATCCGTGTCAAGAATGCCAGTGCGAATTCCACGCCTGGCAAGCGCCAATGCAATATTCACTGCCAATGCAACCATTAGCATTCGGGTCCTATCCCCATCGAAGAACGCGGCGTAGAGCAAAGGGTTCCTCAGCAAACGGACCCTACCAGCAATTGTCGATTTACCGACCCCGCCTTTAGCAGACGAGACCGCTATCACCTTGTTCACATCGCGAATCTTCCTTTTCTCAGGCAGGCCACGACGGCGCGGGAAGGATGGCGGCGTGCCGGAGCGCGGGAGGCCCTTTCAAGATGTTGGCGTTAGAAAAAAATGGATCGGACCAATTGGAAGGGGAAATCTACCAGCGGATTGTCATGTTGGAGTTGTCGGAGAGTGGAAAAGAATCTCCGACGCATCATTCCTTTACAATTATCAGATATTCGCGCTCGAGTCCTTCCATCTCATCTGCAGCGGCCGTTCGACACTCGTGTTTGAGCTCCGTCAAGCTCGGCGGCGTGCTGGTGCTCGGCTAGCTTTCCTCAAGCCCACACGGGCACCAATCAGGGAATGTTTCCCGAGTGAGCTTTTGCAACACCAAAAATTCCCTAAAAAAATTATATTTATATTTCGGAGGAAAATAAAACAGAGCAGTTCTGACGCCCCCGAGAAAGAAAAAAAAAATTCCGCGCTACAATGGTAGGAGTTAAAAAGAAGACAAAATCGCTTGCCGAACAGATTGCTGATCTCGATGACCCGACTCCAAAAGGTATTCGTCGCAAACCGTGAACCCCCCAGCGGAAGCAGAACTAACGCCGTCGCAGACTTTGATCCCGAAGATCAAAATGATCACGGACAGACTAGCGATGATGAGGATCAAATATCTGGGGATGAAGAAGATTTAGAGATTTCTGGCCGCGAACACTATGAAGTTGTTGGGTACGGCTTATCTCCCGACAAACTTTTCAAATATCTGGAACTGACATTCTGCGATTCGTGCAGGAAGAGTAAACTCCGCAAGCCATTGCCGATCGAGCTCGGACGCGAATATGCAGGCTCTCGGATTAGCAGAAATGCCCTGGACGCGGGCGACAACGAAGATGGACCGTTCGGATTAGGCGAAGAGGACCTCGAGGATTCAGATGATTCCAAGATATCTGGACCGGAGGACGATTTGGATGACGACAGCATGGGTGGAAGTCACGGAAGAGGAGACGAGGATGAGGAAATGGACAGCGACGATTTGGAGGACGACGAGGAGGCAGATGAGGAAGATGAAGAGCAAGAGGAGAACCCTTCTCGCCGAGCAGCGGGCGTATCTGACGAACGGGATGAGCTGCGCCGCCTAATGGCATCTGACCATAAAGCTGTGGCCGCATCCATATCTCAAGCAGCCAAAGCTGATGCTGCGAAGGGTGCTGCCGTCAAACGACAACGACGCGCATTCGACGCACTTCTCAACAGCCGAATAAAGCTACAGAAGGGTATTACCTCGATCAATAGCATTCCCCCCGACGCTGAAGTGGATGTCTCTACACATGCGGAATTAATCAAATCCGCTGAAGCGGCCGCACTCGCTCTATGGAACGCATTGGATGACTTGCGCCATACACTTGCCGATTCTCGTTTCAAAGACAGCTCTACGTCCTCCAAAAAACGCAAACGAACGCCGATCGCCCCAGACACACCATCCTCGGAGATATGGAGCCGGATGAACGATCTAGAAGTTCAGTTTCTCCCTCATCGCCGCGCTGTGCTGGACAAATGGTCCCTCAAGGCCCGCGGCATCCGTGCTGCCCTACCGTCCAACCAAAACAAACTCCTCGCCAAAAATTCCGACCATCAAACCATCACCGCCGTTCTAGATGCCCACATCGCCACCGAAACATCAGCAAACACCACCCACCCGCAGAGAAACGGGGACATCCAGGCCCAAACGCCTTCAAGTATCGTCTATAACGACACCGCATTCTACCAGTCCCTCCTCCGCGACCTTGTCGAGCAACGCATGTCGTCGTCCGCTTCCGCCGGTATTCTCGACTCCCAGCTTCCGTCCCGACTGACGGGTTTATCCATCCACCCTACTACAGGAATGCGGAAAGACAAGGTCAAGCGCGCTGTGGATACGAAGGCGTCAAAGGGTAGGAAAATGAAGTACAATGTCCATGAGAAGCTGCAGAATTTCATGGCGCCAGAGGAGAGAGGGTCATGGGGTGATAGGGCGAGAGAGGAGTTTTTCGCATCATTGTTGGGGAGAAGCGCTAGAGAGGTGCTTGGAGAGGAATCCGAGGACGAAGGCATGAATGGAGTGGCCAGTGATGATGAAGATATGGAGGAGGGTGGGCTTAGGTTGTTTAGGAATTAAAACGGAATATGTGGATTAGGTATAAGCTATTCATGGGAACCATTACGGTTGGACTAAATGAAGAATTGGAAGGGCTTCGGGATTGGAGTTCTTGACCACGCCATGTCCAGAAGATTGTTTTGGGCGACGCAAATCCGAGAGTATCCATTGATAGCAGGATTTATATCCCAGCGTAGATGCAACGATAAAAGCCATAGGTTTCATAATTTTTACATTGTAAGCTATCTTAATGGTTTCGCATGTTGGGAAGCTTTGGAGAATCTAGAATGTTGGTCGATATTCGGTGGACGAGACTAGAAGGGGGTGATTGGGTAGCTTTTTACCCGCCACCAGGAGGCATGAGGAGGCCACAGCGATGGTCCTGGAGGCTGCACCCGAGTGACGGGGTCACAAACCGTTTCCAGGTACATAATAACAATGAGGCCGCCAATGCACTGTCTGATATTAGATTCCTGATGCACAACGGAACTATCATAATCAAAGAATTGTAGCAATGAGGGACAACAAAATACTCATACTAGATTTATTACCCTCGAAACCGCGCCAATAAAAAGACGCCTATGGGAACGCCAGCGACAACTGAACTCCAGGAAGACGTGGACTCCGGAAGGTATTATGATAACTGGTCCTGCACCAATCAGGTAGTGAAGTTAGCTGCAGGAACTTAAGCAAAAGAAAACAGTGCTCCATGGATCCTTGGTTCTTTTTTGCTTCTCGCTTCGTGGTAAGGATTAAAGAGTGTAGCGTCATTGGAATTCCGTGCAGGTAAACGCTAGGCGGGCATTGAAGAAGGAAATGAAGGATCGCTGGAGTCTAATAGGTATCTTCTTCCTGCTGGTATACGTGTCGACTTCTCGTGGGGTCTTTACGCATCTGCTGGCCCGATCCGGTGAAGCCAACTATATTGAAAACAAGTGTTAGCGCGCAACGTTGCCGCAAATATTCAGAATTACGAAACGAAACTCACCTCGAGCATTGATTCCTTCTGGAGTACGAAACATGCTCTCCTTTTTTGTGGCCTTTCCGAATTTACCCTTGCTGGCAAAGTCCTGCCACTTGGCCTTTCCCGCCTCTAAATCCCTCTTTCCCTTAACCTTTCGAGGCACTTTCGCGGGACGCGACCCATCAGCGGGTTTAACGCCTTCAGTACGGGCCTTGCTGGCCAAGGCAGGGTTGATATCAGCGGCAGCGGATATGACGCTGGAGTTTGCCGGCAGGGACTGCGGGCCTGGGGTTCCTGATATCCCATCAGCCTTGCGTTTCCGAGTGTCATTATTAGAGATAGGCTTAATGTCTTTTGCGGTTAAGGTTTCGGTGGTGGAGTATGACTTGAAGGAGACAATGTAGATTGGATTAGTGGAGGAGCCTGTGATCGATGTGATCCTCGCCGGATAGAAAGCGTTATCTCCGGATGCCCATCTGGCGAGTACATTGTCGTTAACGGAAAACGAAACCGTCGAGGACTGAGACTCCTCTGCTGGAGGGGTCTCTGGGGCAGGTTTGCGATAACCGGCTTGGTACGCCGGATGGTTCTCCTTTGACCATTTCTCCTTCACGGGGGGGTGTGATGGCTTTCCCTTGGGAGGTTCAGGAACGGAGGGTCGTAGTTCGGCGATAGATTGTTCGGTGAGTGATATAAGTTCTTCAAGCTCAGTCTTAAGGCTCTGAAGCTCTGTATTGTCTGGGTCTACCTGCAAGCTTGATTGAACAGATTCAAGCTAGAGACCAGCCGTTAGCCTTACAGAAGAACTCACAAGATGGGAGGCGGAGTCGCTGATTGATAAGTCTGGGGAGGTCAGTTTACCTGGAGCTTGAATTCCTTGACTTCATTCTCCAAAGTGGCAACGTCTGTACTCATTGTGACAGCACTTTAACTAATGTTTCGCCAAAGCTAGAATGCAACTGACTCTGTGAACGAAGGCACAAGCACCTTTGTCTCCCGATGCGGTTCGACTCTGTTCGACGATAGGCGTGGAGAAGATGGGCCGTTGGATCGATCGTGGACTCGGCGGACGAACACCCTGGGCACGTGCACTTCAGTTTGCACTGCTTGCAAATTCTTGCCCCTTCTAGCCAATCAGCAGCGCGAATCCACACTTTGGCGTCGGTGGCGTCCAGCCCGCACCACAGCAGAAATCCACGACATCAGGGGAGATGATGCAGCGAGATCCAGCACTCGATCAATTACATTCGAACACGATCGAGCCGACATATACGGCGTTCAGAGACGTCCTTTATTTCTGCCTACATATCGGGGAACGTGATAAGTTCCTGCATCGACGACGGAGGCTTCGGATGATTTTGTGTCGAGCGCGTTTGGAGACAAGTGTCTCTGAGAAATAGTCACTAGCATGGTAGCCAACGGTTCCGTAGAGAAGGCCATTGAAAGGTAGCATCTGGGCATATTTGGAGATTTCCTCTCCAACTCTACGACATGCGTGACGAAATTGCCTCAGCTGTAGGCAAGTATTCGACTATACATCAATCTGTCCCAAATTCTGCCGCATGCTAGGAACATTGGTCGCCATTGAACGAGGTGATATGTCCTCATGAAGCTGGTGAGACAAAAGCCTGTAAGCGGGCGGAGATAAGGATGCCAGATATGGGTGATTTTTGGCGGTTGGGGTTTGTTTTGAACGGATGTTGAGACGAATGTGCTCTCTTTGCAGCATAATTGAGAGCATTTCCCATGAAGTACGGAGTATAATCACTACTCGGGATGACTTTCGCCACTCGCCAAAGTGATCTCCATCGGACGTGTTTTTCGAGTGGAGGTATTGCGCTTCGTTGGACCAGAAGCATCCATCATACAGGATCGGGAAATACTGACCACGCAATAGTCCGTGCAAAGTATTTATCATGTGCGTATTTTGCGGCTACAGTTTTACAGCTGGGCAATGCCAAAACCTTGTAACGAAAGGAACGTAAAATTTTTGGTTAAAAAACAAAAAAGAAAAGAAACAGAAGAGAGATTCAATATTGCCAGCCATAATCAGCAGAGGCGCGCCTGTCACGACCGTTAGAGACTCTGGCCAATGTCCAGAGCAAGGCAGCTGCATTTAATATATACTCCGTACGGACGTAAGTATTTCATATCGGTCTCCATGGGTCCCGGCTTCCCAACATTTGTTGGGAAGTGGTCCCTCGCATATTTCGATCTGATAGATGTCCGGGGAGAGACTTTTTATCCCTGCTGTGACTACAGGGGGTAAATCCGGCGAGTCCCGGCTGCTGTCAACTCCCAACAAGAGTTTCCATCTCAATGGGTTTAAAGGGTTCCAAGATCATGCACATGCCTGGAGAGGGTTGTAGGCTCGGTATCCCGATCTCTCGGTGGGAGTTCGAGCTCGACTGCATCGCCAGCCACCGTCTTGAATGGAACTTGGGTACGGAGTACTGCGTATATACCTAATGCGCCGGTGTCGCAAACACTCCCAATGTTGGGTTGAAACAGTGGGTGAACCCACACGCCAAATCTTAAAGTAACATGTTACTCCGGTGAAACACGAGAATCCGACACCGCGAGGGCGGAAGCAGACGTTCCGTAGTCGAACCGGGGTCAGTGCCAGCCGAGCAGGGTTTGCGCTGGATGGCGCTGGAGGAGCTGCTCGTTGGTCACTGGACACAGGCAAAGTGGTTGGAATGTCATCACCGCCGTTTCCAGCCCGCACGAACGGTCGGAGCGGCGAAAAAAAGACGACCAGGCAATCAGGCGGCAAGCGGAGAAATCGGATTTATAATGAGGAGATTGTCGCCGGCCAAAAGCAGCACCGCGATTAATTCGCATTGGGAAAGGCGCGGGCGGCAGGGCTGGCAGCAGAAAGGCGGCTCTGCGCGGCCGAGTTCTAGAACGCAGCGCCGCTTTTGGCTCCGCGCGGTCGTAAATACGAGCGGTTGAGTCATCGTGCTGGCGCTCAGCCCAAAGCGACCTGGCGCCTTGGCACTCCTTCGTCCCGGTTCTGCTGGCCTTCCGTCTGCTTCGACCTCCTCTCGCCGTTCCCCCATATCTTCCCGTGCTGGCCTGAGCTGACCGGCGTGGACTTTGCAGCCTGGATGAACTTGTTATCGCACCAGTGGTGCTCTCGCTTGGATCGGACGGCGCCCTATCCTTCGCATCCTTGTGGCCTTATCTTGACAGCCTGCCTGTCACCCCGCCTTCATTTCGAGACCTCCACCACCCTTTTTCGTCCCAGCTGGCGATAGTTGCACATCGCTGAGAGGTCTTCGACAGTAATCTTTTCGTGTTTGCGACCTGTGGCTGTCTGCTTGTTCTGTTCAGGCATCGACTACCGTTCCCCGCAATAATTGCGCAGAACGCGACAATCAAAACGCCAACTACGTCGGGTGGCCAATTCCCCCCTCCAATTGCCCCGACGTTCCAGCTCCTCTGACCGAAACAATCCGCTCCCCAAAATTCAACCGTTGATACAGACCAGGTCGCTCTACCAGCGACGCGGAGCGACAGGGATTTCTGACCTACACCTGGATAGCCCATCAGAACGAATTCACATAGCCCAGACAAACCCTATCATCGACGGGAAACTACTTCGTCCCTTTACACAGTTGAACTTATATCTCCCCATCTATATCACCCAAGTTCCTGGAGACATTTCTTTTAATTTTCCTGTACAGTCCCTTTCTCTTCTTTGCATTCGAGATATTATTAGTCGTCCGTATTTCACGAGAGGGAAAAGAAACTCGCTGAAACTCCGACACCACGTCTGCAACGATGTCTGATTTCGACTCCCTCTATCAACGCAGCGTTTTCTTTACTCCTGATCAACAGGATCTCCTCTTTGCTGCACTTACATCTCCTGACCAGACAATGAAACCCCAAGTCGAAACGACCTTCGATGGCATGCCTGTTAAAACTCAACACTCGCCCCATCAACATGGCTCGTCATCCCACGATCTCTTCAACTCTCCTTCAGATCATGTCGCCCCCGGTTCAGGGAATTTGAGTTTTGCGGACGACAGCCCTTTTCTCGATTTTAGTCTCGATCCCGATTTTGAAGCTGGCAGCGGCGAGGCGTTGATCGGAGATCTTCCTGGTGCAGAGCCGCGTGAGAAAAGAAAGAGTATTGACGGGAAAGAGGAAGAGGAAAGCGGGAAAAAGAGAAAGGAAAATGAAGAAAAAGTAGCCAAAAAACCTGGAAGGAAACCGCTAACCTCCGAACCGACGTCGGTGTGTACTGCCACCCTACATCTGAATCCACACATGACCTTTTAATTAACCTGGTTTTGATTTTCTTTCATAGAAGCGCAAGGCGCAGAATCGTGCGGCGCAGCGAGCCTTTCGTGAGCGTAAGGAAAAACATCTGAAAGACCTTGAAACCAAAGTCGAGGATCTCGAGAAGGCATCCCAAGCCGCCAACCATGAGAACAGCCTGCTTCGCGCTCAAATAGAAAGATTGCAAGTCGAACTTAGAGAGTACCGCAAACGACTTTCGTGGGCCAGCAGTGGTAGTAATTACATGGCTTCCGGTCTCGCCGCGGGCAATAATGGCCTTCAAACGTCACGTTTGAATACGGAATTTTCCTTCGACTTTCCCAAATTTGGCGACCTTCCAGGTGCTATGTTTAACAATGGGTCCATGACAAAAATCCAAAGTCCTTCGACTTCATCAACGGTATCTCCTCTTACGGCAATGCAGTATAGCGCCCCTGGTGTTTTGAATAGAGATATGTTCAGAACACACAGTTCTTTTGGCCAGTCCCCACAGCCCGGCACCGCAGGTATGTTAGGATCACGAAATGAAGCTCTCCGCTCTTTATACGGGCGCGGAGTTGGCGCCTCTCAGCAAAACAACCCCTCCTACAATGCAAACGGCATACCTGTTAAGCCTTCGAACGGCGTCGATCAAGCTAATCGACAGGGAAGCTACTCATCACACAGATCTGGGCCTCTGGGTGCATCGAACACGAATTCTCCTTCGACTTCTTCCGAATCTCATCACGCCCAGTCTTCATCCATTGGCACGTCCCCTGAACCTGCTGTTAACTCACCTCCTGCGGCGAAGGACGAGACAAAACGGAATACCAAAAATGCCAGCAATAGTCCCGTTCCCCTAGACGAATGTGAGAAATCCTTTTATGAAAAGCTCAACGAAGCGTGTGGGTGTGCTGAAGATCCAGTTCCGGTAGCCTTGTCACGTCAGAAGGAGAATTCGCATTCGTCTAACCAGCAGACGAGCCCAGAAAATAACACCAACAGTTCTCCCGGACTCAATTGGCTAGTTCAACAGAATGGTGGTCAATTTGACCCTGTCCTTTTCAATGACTATCGCGAACCACAAGACGCCGTCTTGTCCCAGGAGTTTGGGAGTTTCTTCAATGATGCATTCCCTCTTCCAGACCTGAGCAACTCGTTCCCGAATTTCGACCTTGGATCCAATCCAACTCCAAAACCTGATCTTATATCTCAGATTGAGCAGTCAGTGGATGCTGATGAAGAGGTCGTGCCCGGCGAGGACAGGTCACAGATGTTGTCATGTACAAAGATATGGTAAGCTCTCCTTTCCTTTGAGATATTACTCTTCCTCCTATGCAGGTTGGTTGACGATTTGTTTGTTACAGGGACCGCTTGCAGTCCATGGAGAAGTTCCGCAACGGCGAAATCGACGTTGACAGCCTATGCACGGAATTGCGCACCAAAGCACGATGTTCCGAAGGCGGAGTTGTTGTGAACAAGCAAGATGTAGAGGACATCATGACTCGAGCAAGAAAACTCTCATGAAAGAGTTCGGGTACGCTTTCCTCGAAGATTCGAAAATATGAAAAGGGAAAAATGGTATTCGTTTCTTAATTGCGCATGTCTTGTCTGCTCGAGATTCCCACTTCTGCACCTCTTGTTTTGCCACTGTCTTAACACGATAGCCTGCCCTGTAACTAGGCTTCCATTGATATATATATGCGCAGGTTTTCGCGGCCCTGTAGCACCTGAACATTTTACATTCCATCTTTGAGATCTAGTTATTATGTTCTTTATTTTGTTTATACGGCTTGATAATCTGCTAGCGGAGCTCGATAGGCCTTTTTTTTTTTTTTTTTTTTTTTTTTTTAACTTCATTTACAAGCCTCAAGGCTTGCTGTGTATACGTTGATGTGATGAATGGAATTTGCTTCCATAACTGTGAAAATGCTGTATGATGCTTTTGTGTGTATGTACTGTACAAAGTACTCCGTAGGATTGGTTGTAATGTGTGGATGTATGTACTGCACAATCATGGATTCTCCCTTTATTTCCATCAACTTGTACCGGGGCACATTTGACATGTCAGGACATTTGCCGTTCGAAAGGTAGCTCATTATAGTATGATCTTGAAGGAAGATTTTCACTACTCTGGGTTCGTATCACCTGAACATTGAATTTGCATTTATCAGGGGAGATAGTTAACTACACGAGAGAGAGGTACGGAGTAGATCTTTTCGAGTTGGTTAACTGATCTGCACTCACTTTTTGTCATCTAGCTCGAGCCCCTGCTCCCTCACCTATTTCCTCTTTCGAAGACCTGATTCCCCTGGTTATTACCTCCATCATCCAATTCGAAAAGGGTCTTGGAAGGATCAGGGGAGTTCTTCGCTCTCAACTCACCCATTGACCCCGAATGCATTACTCCGTACCTAGAATGGGCAAAAAGAAAGAAAGAAGAAATGAAGAGAAAGAAGGGAAAAGAAAAGAAAAAGAAAAATAAAGGAAAAATAAAAGGCTGGGAAGAAAAATAAGCAAAGCAGACATACGGAGCTCATATGTAGAATACATAAGAAGAAAGGAAGAAACGGTGGCTTTTAATCCTTCGCAGGCAGACCAAAAAAGGGCTGGGAGATACAGTCCAATCAAGCACCTCATCCAAGGTCTTCCATTGCATCTGGCCCTTGACCCATAGCTCTGCGGAAGGCATCTAAGACGGGGGCCCGTCGTACCCCTTTTTCGTAATCCTTCACAATTAGAAGAAAGTTAGAAGAATGATTAGCTTGAGGGACGGGAAGGTAGAAAAAATGAAGTTCTTTTAGAAAACAAAGAAACCAGTTTCCATAAAAGCTAGCACAACCCGTCATTGAAATAAGCAAAGGTATTTAAGACACACTAGAAGCACATAATGGAATAGCGGACAAGCAAGAAAGGGAAAAAGAAAAAAGAAATCTTCTCAGGAATTTAACGGGTGGATAATACAAGTTCATCAAAGGCCTCGGGGGCAAATACTAGAGGAAGGGGATATCACTAAAAGTTAGGGCCGCTTCGTGACAATTCCAACTAGGGCGGATGTTCATGACTCCATTGGTTTATCACCACCTGAAGGTGTCGGTGTCGCGCCTGATGCCGGGGTCGGCGGGTTCGACTCCCCGACTCCTGATGGTCCTTTACCAAATCCTCCAGTTCTGCCTCCCCGCCCGCCACGTCCGCCTCGATCACTTCCACGTCCACGTCCGCGTCCACCGAATCCTCCGCGGCCTCGACCACCCTCACCGTCGCTAGTGGCGCTTCCACTCTGGTATCCACTACGCTGACCGCCTGCTGCACTACCGCGATTGCTTGCTTGCCAGGTTCCAGCGTTGCCTTGGCCATCACGGCGACTGCTCCTATCCTCGAACATCTTGACGTTGGGTTTGCGGTTTGGTCCAGGAGGGCTAGGCCTCTTGTGCTCAAGTGGCTGCCTCTCTAAAGCTGCCTTGGCGTCTTCTAGAGTAGGGAACGAAACAACATGGTTGAATTTACCTAGCTTTTCGACTTTTAAGATTTTGGCTCGATCTTCATCAGGGAACAATTTACGGATGGCTTCCTCATTGTCAACATTGGAGATGAAAAGCCCATTAATTGGTTTCTTTTCTAGAGCCGGAGTTGGCTTCGACACGGGCTCTGAGGGCTTGTCCGCTTGGGCTGTGCCATTTGGCTCGGCAACGGTCTGTTTTGCAGGTGCGCCGTTTCCGGATGGGGGAGCATTGGGAACAGCTGGTTGAGGAGTGCCGGGTTTTTCTTTAGCTGGGATTACAGGCACAGGGGAGGCCGTAGATTTGGGGGGAGTGGGCTTAGGCAATGGTGGTTGCCCTTGAGAAACGGGCGGTTGATACTGAGGCCCCGCGCCACGAGGCGGCTGGGCTTGCATTTGACCAAACTGCGGTGGTGGTCTCGCTTGGCCGGGGGCAGAACTAGAAGCGCCTCCAGGACCAGTTGCCCCACCGCTCATTGGGGAAACAGTGGTAGTTTGTTGTGAGATCGGAGCCGCAGGAGCTGCCGTGGCCGGTTTCCCACCCCGATGTGAGAAGTTGAAACCCTGGGCACGCATTTCCGTTCCAATTCTTCCGCCTTCGATATCTAGAACTAAGTAACCAAAGGCAGCGTCTGCGAGGTTAAAGTTCCACATGTTTTTGAATGCGCTCTCATCAACCTGACCACCCGCATTGGAGGCTGTGACTGGGCCTCCGAAGGGGTTACCACCGTTGGCAACACTTGGCATTTTGTTAACAATGTCTAGTGCATTGTCGAGCAGGGTCTTTTGGGCATCATTTGCGTTGATGGCGGCTTCAACCTCTCCGCGCACTGTATCCCATACATCGTTGAAGGAAGCTTTGGATGCCGCTAGTTTTCCACGGTAGTGGTCGAGCGATGGATTAACACTAAATTCGTTGTAGGAACTGCCGTATCGGAAATGGAGGCCGGCAGAGATCGAAAAATCTGCCTTCAAGGTAACCGAAAGCTGATTAAGCATGCCTTCACGAGCTGGTGAGGCGTGCGTCACAAAAATACGGGTTTCGGCCGGATCATAAACGCGGTTCGCTGTATCGACTAGCTCGCCCATCTGCAAAAGCGTCGTCCACATTGTTCCTTGTCCACCTGCGATGGTGGTCTTTCCCTCTCCATTATCAAACAGCTTGTGCATGACCACAGCACCTCCAAGACCGAGCAGGCGGAGCTTTACGCCCCCGACGTCTAGCAACCTGGAGTTTGCTTCATCGATAATATGCAACTTGTCCACTTTGTATTCCCCCGAACGGAACTTTTCCAAAACGCGGACATCTTCGCAGGCACCCCAAACGGTGTATACAGGGACGTCAAGTGTAAGCTGCTTGTTTAGGAGAAGAGGGAGTTCTGAAAGCAGGAGCTGCTCTGAGGTGAACCGGTGTTTAATGGATTGCTGCGGAGGGACTTGAGCAATACTGCGTTTGATGGATTCTGGGAGAAGAGGCGAGTACTGGGCGACATGTTTCAAAGTCCTATGAGTGGAAATGTCAGCTGCTGACAACTTGACGTGTGCAGAAATGAAGTATCGGGTGTGAGTGCAGGATAGTAAAGAAGAAGGATCTCACTTGTCGGCAATCCGGTCGAGAGAAGTGTCATCATAAAAGCCAAAATCACCTGTGTGGATGATGTGATCTGCACGGGCTTGTTTGGCTAATTCGTTCAAGGATTTTAGGTTGCCTGGCCAGAAGTAAGGTAGGGATTGTCAGTAAAATTATTATACTACTTAAACCAAGCTGGGGTGTGGATTCTTAAGGCACGGGTAAAACGCGGGGAGCATAGTACCTCTAACGTCTGCAACGCATAAAATACGGACAGAACCTGACTGGATAATTCTGCCGTTGTTTGGAAGCAATGCAGTAGCCCCTGGGGCTGGGCCGCTTGTAGAACCGTTTGGAAGGCTGTAAGGTGGTGGTGGGTTGTTGAAGGTGTGGAGCGGACGAGGCTGCTTAAAAAGGCGGGTTAGTCATAGGCTGATATGGGGTATGAAGCTTGGAATTTGAAGCAAACGCGGCGAGAACGAGCAGGAAGACAGAGGTGGATAGCGTAGGTGGGAGCAGGTCAAGGGGCACTTACAGAAGCCATGGGGAATATCTCACTGATGGAAGTTGCAAGTATTGTAGATGGGCGACAGGGCAGCGACAGTGGAAGCTTGGAAACGAAGCTGTAGAGGAGATATTTATGACGTTACAGCGTGAGAGCAGCGCAGAAATGATTATAAGGTAAATATGTTGGGGACAAGGAAGGGCAATATGCAGGAGTGAGATTGCGAGATGCGACTTGAAAGAAGCGGCCACAAGGCAGCGGCACAAAGGGAAGATGGCTATTAGTAAAGCAGCGGGAAGGAAAAAGAGAGGGATCTAGAGCTCCAGAGGGTTCGAGACAGCAGGAGGTGACAAGCAAAAGGGACTGGGCCAAACGGTCTCACGAGATTCACTCAAGATTTCCCTTGTGCTGCTTCGTCCTTTTTTGGGCGACGACAAACATGGGCGTGAGCGCAGTGCGCGCTTCGGGTTTAGCGCAATAATCACGTGAATATGACTAAGCGAATTCTCGGACTGGATCACGTGGGGAGCTGCCGAAGTCCTGGAGGGGTGGCTAGAGGCTGATGTCATGTGGCCGTGCATGCCATCCCGGCACGTCGACCGACGTCCACCGACCACTCGCGGCGAAGAAGAGCGACGGCCTCACCCAGCCTGCAGCCCGTCTGTCCTGCCCTCTGACCTGGCTCTCTATGATTTGTCTACATTTGCCTACCGATACCCCGTGCCCCGTGATGTGCCGATTACGACCATAGCTTCGTACCTGTCAGAGTTACACCCGCTTCCACCTCCGTTCCTGGAACGGTCCGCATGCGGCCCGGGGACCGCCTTCATCCCTTGAAATAGCTTGAACACGCTGCAAACCCGCTGATTTTTGTTAATTGGGGTTCCATACCTGCGACATGCTCTTTTCTCCCACCTCCCTCTTCCTGGCGGGGCTGGCCGCAGTTCAGACGGGTTCAGTTCTCGCGCAGGGGCACACGGACCTTCACGAAGAAGGCCGGTGCGCAATTCGAGGGAATTGTGGGAAGAAGTCATTTTTCGGAGGAGAATTGCCATGTCCCAACAATGGTCTTGCCAGGGAACCCGAGGAAAAAGTACGAGATAAGCTAGTGTCGCTCTGTGGTGATAAATGGAAGCATGGACCGGTCTGCTGCGAAGATGAGCAGGTAATAAGTATACTACCCCCCTGAACATTTCAGTAGGGTTCTAACATGCATCTCCCTTACTTTTAACAGATTGATGCCTTGTCAAAGAACCTTAATCTCGCTCAAGGAATTATCGCATCATGCCCTGCTTGCAAAGAGAATTTCTTCAACATCTTTTGCACTTTTACTTGTTCACCCGACCAATCATTGTTTATAAATGTTACTCAGACAGAAGAGGTTCGGGGAAAGCTGCTGGTCACCGAACTGGATAACTTGTGGTCAGAGAAATACCAGAGCGGCTTCTACGATAGCTGCAAGGATGTTAAGAATGGTGCCTCTGGAGGGAAGGCAATGGACTTCATTGGCGGTGGTGCCAAGAATTACGTCCAGTTTTTGAAATTCCTGGGTGACAAAAAGTTGCTGGGCAGTCCATTCCAGATCAACTTCATCACCGAGCCGAGAAATCCCATGCATGACGGGATGCGAGCGTTGCCAGAAATTCCAAAAGCATGCAACGACTCCGATGGCGCGTTTAGATGTTCCTGTGTTGACTGTCCAGCCGTTTGCCCCCAGCTGCCGGCCCTAGCGACAGAAACCTACTGCCATGTTGGCTACCTTCCATGCTTTTCTTTTGCCGTTATCGTCATCTACTCTGTGGGTCTTGTGCTTTTAGTATCGGGCATTCTAGCTCGGATCGCATTCCGAAAACACCGTGAGCGGAAGATTGAAAGAGTGAGATTGCTTCAAGACGCAAGTCCTAGTGATGAGGAAGACGAAGGCGATATAATTGAAAATGCAGGCTCACTCACTCGTCCAACGAGAAATTATCGGGTGAACGCCACTCTAGATAAAGTATTTAGCCGTCTAGGGCGTTTTTGCACAAGGTTCCCCACCTTAACCATTGTCACAAGCTTTCTCATCGTTGGACTCATGAGCTTAGGCTGGCTGCGTTTCTCAGTGGAGAAAGATCCTGTCAGGCTTTGGGTCAGTCCAACATCGGAAGCTGCTAGAGAAAAGCAATATTTCGATTCGAACTTTGGACCGTTTTATCGAGCGGAGCAGGCCTTCCTTGTGAATGACGGCCCTGGTTCAGTGTTGAGCTATGAGACTTTAAGCTGGTGGTTTGACGTGGAGAGTCGAGTCAGGCGCATGATATCCTTGAATAATGGCCTCTCGCTAGAAGATGTCTGTTTCAATCCAACTGGCAATGCTTGCGTTGTTCAGTCCGTTACGGGCTATTTCGGAGGGTCATTTGCCAATGTTGACCCCAATAATTGGCAGAAGCAACTGAAACATTGCACAGAATCCCCAGGATCGCGTGACTGTCTTCCTGATTTCCAACAGCCCTTAAGCCCCAATATGATTCTCGGAGGTTATGATGATACCGGGGATGTATTGGATGCAAAAGCTTTGATAGTTACTTGGGTTGTCAACAACCATGAGCAAGGAACAAAAGAGGAAGCGAACGCGATTGATTGGGAAGACAGTGTCAAACGTGTGTTGCAAGTGGTTCAGGAAGAAGCAACAGAGAGAGGCCTACGAGTGTCTTTCAATACCGAAATTAGTCTTGAGCAGGAGTTGAACAAGTCTACAAATACTGATGCCAGGATCGTGGTTATCAGTTACGTTATCATGTTCGTCTATGCATCTTTGGCCTTGAGCTCAACAACTATAACCTGGAAATCCTTATTCAGAAATCCGGCCAATGTTCTGGTACAATCCAAATTCACTCTCGGGATTATCGGGATCCTTATTGTCCTGATGTCCGTTTCTGCGTCTGTTGGCTTGTTTGCGGCTCTTGGGGTTAAGGTGACGCTTATTATCGCCGAAGTGATACCATTCCTCGTCCTTGCAGTTGGTGTCGATAACATTTTCCTCATCGTCCACGAATTCGAGAGGGTGAATTTAAGCCATCCCGAGGAAGAACTTGATGAACGGATCGCAAAGGCTCTTGGAAGGATGGGGCCTAGTATTCTCTTATCGGCCGCTACAGAAACCATTGCCTTTGCAATGGGTGTCTTTGTGGGAATGCCCGCTGTGAAAAATTTTGCTATATATGCCGCTGGTGCCGTTTTCATCAATGCACTATTACAAGTCACGATGTTTATATCGCTTCTCTGCCTTAACCAAAGACGTGTTGAGAGCCTTCGGGTGGATTGTTTCCCCTGCCTAACTGTACGAAAGGCAACAGTCACCGCCATTCCGGGGAGCCAGCCGTTTGATCATGGAGAAGAAGGGATCATTGATTGGTTTATTCGAAGGATCTACGCTCCGAAGCTGTTGAGTAAAACAGTCAGAGGCTTAGTTTTATTGGTATTTTCGGGTCTGTTCGCAGCTGGGCTCGCGCTGCTGCCCACCATGAAACTCGGCTTGGATCAACGTATCGCTATTCCTAGCGACTCGTATTTGATCTCATACTTTAATGACCTGTATGATTACTTCGACACCGGACCACCGGTTTATTTCGTGACAAGGGGCGTTAACGTGACGGAGAGACATCACCAACAACAACTGTGCGGTAGATTTTCGACTTGCGATGATTTTTCGTTGGGATTTGTTCTCGAGCAAGAATCCAAAAGGTCGAATGTTTCATACATCTCTGGTGCTGCTGCAAGCTGGATTGACGACTTCTTTTACTGGTTAAACCCGCAAAAGGATTGCTGCGTTGAAGATGGGAAGATCTGTTTCGAGGATAGGCAACCGCCGTGGAATATATCTTTATCCGGCATGCCAGAAGGTGCAGAATTTGTGCACTATGCAAAAAAATGGATCCACTCTCCGACCACTGCATCGTGCCCTCTCGGCGGCAGGGCGCCGTACAGCAACGCGTTAGTCATAGATTCCAAGCACATCACCACTAATGCCAGCCATTTCCGGAGCTCCCATACTCCGTTGCGCAGCCAGGCGGACTTCATTAATGCCTATGCTTCAGCTCGTCGGATCGCCAACGATATATCCTCGAGACATGACATCGACGTCTTCCCCTACTCTAAATTTTATATTTTCTTTGACCAGTACATGTCGGTGGTGCGTCTCACAGCCACGTTGCTCGGGTCTGCAATAGCCATAATCTTCCTTGTGACATCACTTCTCTTAGGCTCTTTAGCCACCGGAGCAGTTGTGACGGTCACCGTCATCATGATGATCGTGGACATCATGGGCACAATGGCCGTTGCCGGAGTTTCTCTAAACGCAGTCTCACTTGTGAATCTGATCATTTGTGTCGGGATCGGCATCGAGTTCTGTGCACATGTTGCTCGAGCCTTTATGTTCCCCTCAGCATCGTTACTTGAAAAGGCTCAAAGTAAGTTCCGTCAACGGACGGCCCGTGCTTGGGCCGCTTTGGTGAATGTTGGCGGAAGTGTTTTTAGCGGCATCACGTTGACCAAACTTGTCGGAGTTTGCGTACTTGCCTTTACACGGAGTAAAATCTTTGAAATTTATTATTTCCGTGTGTGGCTAGCCCTGATTATCTTTGCTGCAACTCACGGCCTTATTTTCCTCCCAGTGGCGCTTAGCTTCTTCGGAGGCGAAGGTGAGTCATCTGCCTTTCGCCGAATTCTATGTATATTGATATGATAGCAAATTAACGCTTGGACAGGATATATTAACCCGGAGTCGGACGGCGGCCTTGAAGAGGACCTGGCTGCGCGCAGATACCGCTCCCTATTGCCCGACAATGACTACGATTCTGATGATTATTGAACAGCCTCTATGACATGGAGTGATGGCGCGCTGTAGTTTGCATCCATTTCGGCTATATTATGTACTCGATCTAGATTTGTTTCTTGCTAGAAGCGTTCTGGGTGGGATCTAGTCCTGGTTCGATAGACATTGGGGTCTAGTTATCATGAGGCGTCCGCAAAATCTTAAAGGAGTTTGGATGCCGCTGTACGCGCTGAGGAAATGTATTTCGCTTTTTGTCTGCCCATGAAAATCACTTCCAATTCAAGATTCAACACGGCTTCCGTGTAACTGTTGGTGAATCTAGTAGACGTCTCTCTGTACCTGTCTTACTGGATGAGGGGATGAGTGCTCGGCCTGTGGATAGGATTCCGCTAGTTAGTTAACGAGTTCGTTGGGTGTCACCTCAGGCTCCCCACTTCGCACCGTCAAATTTTCTTTTTTTCCATCCCATCGAAAATTTTTTGAGTGTCGCGTCCTCCGTTTCCAACACTCTACTTGATACCCCCAAAATATCCTTCTCTGGAGCAAATCATCTTTCCAGGAGAGGGTAGAGGAATGTATTTATGATAGTTAATATCTCTAAACTACATTGACTGCATCCGTTCGATTATTTACCAACGCGCAAGTGCCTGCGCACAGCTTGTCCACCATGGACCAAGAAAGATTCCTGCAGCAGCTGCACATCGTCCTGAACCGTGAGTATCTCTATGTTGCAAACAGCTTTCATCGTTGCTCCAAGTGTGGAGAGGACAAAGGGGGTTGCCGGCTAACTTTATTGCCCTCACAGCCACCCAGGGGAATGTCAAAGAAGCAACGGCTACATTGCAGAAAGAATTTTACAATAATCCCGAAGCGCTCCTCCTCCTCATCCATATATTCACCTCCCACAACAACACCGATCTAAAGCAGCTTGCTGCCGTCGAGGCACGGTCGCTAGTTTCGAAGCACTGGCTCAAGATTCCCGGCGAACAGAAACCCCAGATTCGGGAACAGTTGCTTCGTTCTACTCTCGAAGAGCAGGCACCGCTCGTCCGACATTCTGGCGCTCGTGTCATCTCGGCAATTGCGAAGCTTGATCTTCAAGATGGCGAATGGGCCGATCTCCCTGGGTGGCTCCTTCAAGCGGCCACGAACTCCTCAAAGGAAGTGCGTGCCGTCGGGATGTACATCCTGTTTACAATCTTGGAGACTCTAGGCGATGGATTCCAAAGCAAATTCACCGAACTTCTCCAGCTGTTCGATAAGACCATTCGGGATCCAGAGAGTGCGGAGGTTCGCATCAACACCCTCCTTTCTCTTAGCAAGCTTGCCATGCACCTTGATGCAGACGAAGATAAACAAGCTGTCCGAGCGTTCCAGAACATTTTCCCAGCCATGGTTGCTGTGCTGAAGGATGCGACAGACGAGGAAGACGAAGATAGAGTTATGCAGGCATTTGAAGTTTTCCAAACGTTACTCGGATGTGAACCACAGCTTTTGAACCCTCATCTAAAGGATTTGGTCCTATTTATGAACCAGTTGGCGGCGAACACCAACCTGGCCGAGGAAACAAGAACTCAGGCTATTAGTTTCCTCATGCAATGTCTCAGATATAGAAAGCTCAAGATACAGGGTATGCAACTTGGTGAACAGCTGACCCTTACGTCGCTTCAAATTGCCACCGAACTCGGTGATTCCGATGACGATGTTGACGAAATTACTCCCGCTCGGTCTGCACTGGGCCTTTTGGATATGATGGCACAATTCCTTCCACCAAGCCAAGTGGTTGTTCCTCTTCTCAAGGCTCTAGGCCAGTACTTCAGCAACCAGAACCCTGATTACCGACGCGCTGGTATCATGGCCTTGGGCATGTGCGTGGAAGGAGCTCCTGATTTTATCAGCACGCAGATGAAAGAGATCTTCCCTGTGGTTTTACAAATGCTTTCAGATCCTGAGCCAAAAGTCCGCCAAGCCACGCTTCATGGAGTTGCTCGTATTGCCGATGACCTTACCGAAGATGTTAGCAAGCAACATGAACAATTGATGCCACTGCTACTACAGAACCTGGCTAGCGCTATGCAGGAATATAAGGGAGAAGAATCTGGTGTCACCATCAACATCACCAAAGCAAGCGTTGCTGCTATCGATGCAGTTGTTGATGCTTTAGAAGAAAAGGATATTGTCCGATATCAAGGAGAACTCGTCCCTGTATTGCACAAGCTCTTCCAACACCCAGACTTCAAGATCAAGGCTCTTTCTGCCAGCGCTCTTGGCTCGATTGCTTCTTCTGCCGGTGAGGCTTTCCTCCCATACTTCGACGTATCCATGCACATCATGCAGGAGTATGCGACCCTCAAGGACAGTGAAGAAGAGCTTGAGCTCCGCGCTAGTGTCACTGATGCAATGGGAGAAATGTCTGCTTCTGCTGGACCCGAACGGTACAAGAATTATGTCGAACCTTTGATGCACGCCAGCGAAGAAGCCTTGAGACTTGATCATTCAAGACTGAAGGAGAGTACATACATATTTTGGGGTGCCATGTCCAAGGTATATGGTGAAGATTTCACCCCATATCTTGGTGGCGTCGTCAAAGGCCTTTTGGATTGTCTAGAACAGGAAGACAGCGATCTAGAAGTCTCCCTTGGTGATGCAGCTCGAGATCTTATTGGACAGGAAGTCACCATTGCCGGCCATAGAGTCCGTGTTGCTGACGCCGATGACGATGACGACGTGATCGAAGGCATGGAGGGAGATGATGATGATGGCGACTGGGAAGACTTTAGCACCGTCACTCCAATCGCGCTTGAAAAGGAAATCGCTATTGAAGTCCTTGGAGATGTTATCACTCACACTGGTCAATCTTACATGCCTTACTTTGAGAAGACCATTGAACACATTCTACCCCTAGCTGATCATGCATACGAAGGTGTTCGTAAGAGCACAATATCAACTCTCCACCGTGCATACGCTGCTCTGTGGCAGGTATCCGAATCGTCAGGTCATAAGCAGAAATGGGAGCCTGGAAAGCCATTTGCTCAACCTCCACCTGAGATCAAGAAATTCGGAGAAATCCTTATGACTGCCACCATCAAGATGTGGGCTGAGGAAGATGATAGGTGCGGATCATTGCTCCCTTCTTTTTTTGCTATTCCAGTTTCTACGCCCATCTACTATGATGACACACATCGTATCCCAGCTCACTCAGACACATCCTATGTGATTGATGTGAAACCGATTTCTTCCAACGTAGCCTGATATTATCGTGGCATCTTTTATTATATTTGCTTTATACAATCTGTTATGTCTTTCAGTGACTGACACATGATCTACCGCTAGTGCCACCGTCGCTGATATTAACCGCAATGTGGCCGAAAATCTTCGGTACTGTGGACCGTACATTATCGCTGACCAGTCAACTCTTGACCGAGTTGTCACACTCGTCGACACTATCATCACGAAGCAACATCCTTGTCAACAGGACTTTGGTGCGGGTGAGGAAGATCAGGAGGCCCTTGAGGAGCTGTCAGAATTCGACTGGATTGTTATCGATACCGCCCTCGATGTCATTTCTGGCCTTGCAACTGCTCTCGGCCCAGACTTTGTTGGATTGTGGCCCATGTTCGAAAAGACAGTCCTCAAATACGCAACCGGCAGCGAATCTCTTGAGAGATCAACGGCTATAGGAGTTCTTGCAGATCTTATCACCGGATTAGGCGAAGCAGTCACTCCGTTCACAGGCACCTTCCTCCCCCTGTTTTTGCGTCGCCTTACGGATGAGGATCTGCAGACCCGAAGTAATACGACCTATGCTGTTGGACGGTTGGTTGAGAAATCCACTTCTCATCAGGAAATTATTCAAGCCTATCCTGCTATACTCGAGAAGCTAGAGCCTTGCTTAAGTATTCATGAATCCCGGCTTCCAGACAACGCTGTGGGATGTCTTGCGCGAATGATCCTAAAACATAAAGACCATGTCCCGCTTGCAGATGCCATTCCTGCCTTGATCGATGCTCTCCCCCTCACGACTGATTATGACGAGAATGACCCTATTTATCATATGATTTGTCAATTATGTACGTATATACCCCGAATGTCCGTTTTGACTATGAGCTTGATGCTAACGCAGTCGTAGACAAATGGCAAGATCCAATCATCCAAAGCCACACCGCACGCCTGATTCCAATCTTCCAAGCCGTCCTCCAGGGCGACCCAGGCCAGGTGGAAGACGAGCGTCGTGCAGAACTTATCGAACTTGTCTCGTGGCTCAACAAGATGCAACCTGGGGGACCAGCGAGCTTCATTGAGCAACTTGAGAAATAGAACGGTTCTCCTCAAACTTGAGAACCGAGAAATACCAAAATGGAATAGGCTTCGGTGGCATTTGAATGAATAATGACGGTGAATTGCATGTACAGGGGACCGGATTGGAAATAAAAAAGTGATGGTTTGATATGATCTTGTAAATGTCGATGCCTTTAATGACATATTTGAAACTAATGCTTTGATTTGCATGCTAGGCATGGTAAGCTTTGCTATGACATATATTTAACAATGAGTATTCTGTTCGCTTCGGCTCTTTCTCTCTCCATGTTATTCGTTCTCTTCACGGCCTCCTCTCTCATGCTGCTGAAGAAGTGATATATCCCGTGCTGGATGCAAAAGTGAAATAGATCCAACCTTTAAACCTCCTCTTAAACATCAATTTACCTTCCATTATGTTCTCGTCAAACCTCTCCATTATCAGATGGCTTCCGATATCACCCAATTATAGTCCTGCATTCCACATATACACCGCAGAGCGGTCTAAATGCTACCGAGGAAGCCTGAACCGCGGTAGATGAATTTATTTCCCCAGCCCTACTCCTAGTGGACGAAATTTCCTACAAACCTGACCAACATTTAATGGGTTCTATAAGAACCAACTGTCAGACCAATCCAGGCTGGATCCAGTACTGGGTTACCTGACCCGATGGCCAACTCTCGGCTGGCCGGTGAAGAAACTCCTTACATCTTCACCAGGCCCTTGTCCATATCATGTCAATTGAACAAGTGAACAACCATGCACAATAAAATTTGATCACCACCTGGAAAATTCTAGCATAAAGCCTCGCACACTTCACTAACATCTCAGTTACACATTAACTGTGCCTCAGCCTTCTAGGTAACGGATCTGATTCTATGCTCACTGAAAACCTTCCAACTAGTTACTACCTAGCTTCTCTTGCTTATAGGATATTTTCAACCCAACCCAACCCCACTCCTACACTCAATGTGTCTGGTGGGGAAATAAAAAAAAGAGAACAAAAAGAGAAATCTGCATTTATAGCCATCTGTTTTATATTTAAAACATATTATGCATTAACTTCTAGCCCTTTGCGAATTTCTGTATAAACTGATACCTCTATATCCATACACAAGCCTAGTGCCGTTCAGCAAAATATATAGCACATGCGGGATGGATAGTATATGCCCAATTTCCATCTGCATTGCATCAAATACTATAACACTAACAGACAGGAGTGTAAGTAGAGTCAATATCTTTTCACAACAGTATACTGGGTCGCGGTATAGTAACACCACAGTGCAAACCAGAAGTACTTATTTCTCTTTCTCAGATGGGCATGTTCTTCAGCTTCTCTTTTTTTTTTTTTTTTTTGTTTTAAATTTCTGGGACTGCAAATTACTCCTGGAGTGCCGGCTGTCTGAACTTTTGACTGGATTTAACAAATAAGGATCATCACAGTTCCTCATATCTCTATGCCCAATGGGTTGTTTCTACCTACTTTATAGCCCTATATACAGTAAGATGCCTATATATGTTACTCATATATGATCATGTTGCCATCTAAGAGCTGTTTACATATTCAAGAGCACAATTACCGCCAAATCATTCACAGTGCTTGATGATTTGAGCCAGCATGTCTGATTAGAATAGACATGATAGAGGAGCGGATGTGAGCAGTTTAGGTGCATAGAACATCTGTCTAGATTTCTCTTATAATTCACTCTTGAAGGCCTTTGGTTCGTGAGATAAAAGAACAGCTTTCTACAGATTCAATGTCGCAGTATTGTTTACAGCCTTTTTCATTCACTTCTAACATGGGAAGGAAAGTGAGCTTCACTTCAAATCAGGGCTAAAATGCGGACCTAGAAACCCTGTAAACCATCATCCAGATCAGTAGAATGGAAACTGGTAATGCTCTTGCTTGGTTCCTCTTGGAACTGGGACAGTTACGATAGTCTGAAGAGAGGGAGAGTCACTTGAGATAGATCTTTCTGTGTATGTGCTAACCACACGAGGAGTGTGAGGCTTATGTCCGGATCTGGGAAGCATGCAAGCGCATCGGTCTAGACATGAGAGAGACTCTTGATATGATAAACATCTGGGCAACCAAGAAGAGGTTTTTGGAGGATGATCTTATCGAACTGATCAAGATTGCCAGGAACGAAGATTATTACTCCCTCGCGAGAAGAGTCTATTTTGACCACATAACTATGCCCTTGGTTGTCTCTCCAGAACGAGACATGTACCTCCTGATGCTGAGAGCGCTCCTGGAAACGTGTAGGAACACCTAGTTTGACTGCGTCTCCAACACCGATGACTTTGAGATCTGGCCAGCCACCTGGTATCTTTTGGAGTATCACGGGTATCAGGATGAGGGCCGCGTCCATGACTTGCCTGACGACGATCGTCTTCGGGAGGAAATCCATTCCAAGATTGTCCAAGAAACGACCAAGGAGCTGTTGCTGCGTGCTGAATGGGAGTCGCTCAATATCAATGGCGACGAGCGATTCCACATATTCACGATCAAGGGAGTCCCTCGTGCCCAGGCCAAACGGCTTAACACCACCACAGTCCCAACCTCCATCTGTCCAAAGTTGGAAGGTCCCCTGCGTGTCGAGGCCGGGAATGCTCGGGGCGTGGGCAGAGATTGGCTAAGGATAGAGAGTCTTGCAGTTGGTAACGGTGAAGCGTTGGATACTCATTTTGAGACATCGACGGGGGGTTAGAAAGCCATAGGATATTACAGCAGGGGGCTCAGAGCCAGAATGCAAGGTCTAGTTGGATAACTACTCGATAGAACTCTTTGCATTTTCGTTTGAAAACTGTACCTCCAGGCGGTGCCATTATTTTCCATCCCTGGGTCGATAAAGGGCCATTTTGGTTTCGTGTCGCCTCTTTCGTGGTGAGTTCAGCAATGAAAATGCGTTGTAATGGCTTACCAGTTCTGAAGTTCTGGCTTCTCAAGAAGATTTGACAAACTCGCAACTTTTCTTTCGTTGACATGGACAAATTCCGTCCGGGCGGTGAAGACGACAGAGTTAACTAACTAGTTAACTAACAAATCAGCTTATGGCGGGGTTAACTAGTTCGTGGTGACGACAACAACAGCTTGTCCTCCGGGATATTTAAGCGTCGATACGGAGTACTCCCTAAGGACTAACCCAGGCTCCTTTTTGATGCACTACCGCGTGGCTCGTCCACCTTCGTACTGAGTGCCGATAATCTCTGGAAAGGTAGCTCGTCTTGGAGTTACTTGGAGATCCTTGCTAACGGGCTGTTGGCAGAAACAAACCATATACCACGCAAAGCAAACTTCTCCAGATAAATATAGCTATTTCTACGCAGGCCATAAAAGAACGTGACCTTTTGTCTCGCCATTTTCTCAAGCAAAATGGTTGCGAAGTCCCAAATGTCCATCCTTGCCGACAACACCCTGCCTACTTCTGCGGGCTCATCGGCCTCATCGACGGTCTCAAAGCCTATCAAAGGAGCTACAAAGCCTTGTTTTGGATGTGGATGTGGTGATGAGCAGTGCGATTGTATCATCTGCACTGTGATGTAGCAGCCTCTGCCTACCAAGGAAACTGGCCCAGGTGAAAAATAGCATCTAATGGGATGCCACTGGAGAAGGGTTTGGCAAATTTTTGTTGACACTGAGCCTTCAGCGGCTTGTTCTGTGTTATCAGGTATGGATATATGACATAAATGAACAGCAAAGTTCTCCTCTTACATCCTGCTCCATTCACAATCCTTAATGTACGTGTTGATGTGGGAAGGCTAGCAGTGGTTTGTAACCTCTGTAATCTTAAAGAGCTTTCAGGAGTCTGTTATCCAAGTCTACTAAGGCCTCGACTGCTTTTTGTCCCCTGTCGCACCCCATAAGGTGTCGGAAATCTGTGTGGTGCGCACTATGCTTTCTGTCCAATGTAATGTTATCAGATTGAAAAAAGCAAGGCAGAGCGTTGACCACTTTTTCAGATAACAATGGCGGCAAACCCAAAATCCAGATCAAGCAGCAGATTACGGAGTGCTCCGTAGACAAAAAGTTTACCTCTACGGAGTACGGAGTAATTACCCTGTATATAGTTACATAGGCGTTCAGCAGCCGGGGCTGGCGGCTGGCTTAAGTGGATTCTCAGCCCGCCTGAAGCTCAGCCGGCCAAGCAGCTCGCCATGAGAGGCAAGAAATAGTTAACATTACAGACAGGCGCAAAGTGTGTGATGCAATACCGATGTCTGTGTGGACTTTGCTGGTACAACTCTGGGGCGTATCCCTAGAAAACCAGGCGATAATATGGATGATTAAGTCGTAATATCAGCGCGCCAAATACTACACGGCTTAGGCAATGAAGACAAGTTCGTCATTCCTTCAGAAAGCGATGAAGAAATACCTCAAAATGAACACAAGAATCTGTTATGGCAGTATGCTCAGGTGCCTGCCAATGCTGTGGCTTTGAACAGTTGCTCCTACAAAAAATCAAGAGTACTAAAACACACTTGGAATAGGGAGCTAATTTGCGTCCTAGAGCAATTAGGAAACGTCTTTACATCCTAGAGCAATTAGGAAACGTCTTTACACAATAAGACACACATCTATATATGCTAATAATGAGCAATTGTTACAAATTAGCTACAAAATAACCACCGGATCACCAGAGCTTCACAGAACATGATAGAAGAGTATATTATATATATGAGATATATCGCATAGGTCAATGACTTGGATTCTGAAGGGAGGCAGCCAATCAGTCTTCTATTCTTTGAAGATACTGAGAGATTAGCGCTACAGATCTATACAGGTTGAAGCTAGTTATATACTATCCTCTACGCAACAGTATCAACTTCTCAGCTAGCTATTCGCTAGGCGGGTGCTTGTTCTCTGGCATACATTCTACACTACATGGTAGGATGTTCAAACAAGTACTGTTGAAGGGCGTGCCACCGGTAGGGCTTAGTCTATCGTGTAGGTCTAAGGCTAGCCCCGGCACCCCTTCTTACACCACAGGATGTTGCAATTCAGGACAGGGAAAACCACCACAGACAGCAAATGAGAGAGAAAGAACAAATCCCCACCTTGAGGCCGCGCATTCTCACTGACAGTCTAGATCTGCCATTCAAAGCCAGGTTTCACCTCAGCTGGCTGGAAAGGGCGGCACAGTACATCTTGCAAGGCTCAATTCCCCCCAGACAGTGTGCAGTTTGAATCCCACCCTCAGTAGTTCAACTCTTCATTATTCAAACATAATGCATAATGAAATCTTAGGTGCAGCAAGGCTGGATATTTGCTGTAAATGAGGCATTATTGCCATAGGCAAGCCATTCCAGTCATACAATCATCCAGCACAATCACCTGCATGTGCTGTAGGCAACAGCAAGTTAGCAACCCACCAGTTCCTGTGGAAGGACAAGTGATGGCAGGTCACAATGCAGTAGAGATCAGTGATGAGCAACACTCTGTGAATAGAACCAGAGCTCCAGATAACAAATTCACCCGTGAGACTTATCAATGTTGAACACCAAAAGACAATGGGAAAAGGAAATTGATCAAGGACAGATAATCATCACCAGCCATAACCAGCAAAAGTATCCTATTTTGAATGCCATGCTATTGAAAAAGGCTCTCAGGGAGGCAAGAAAGCAGAAATGAAGGTTAGAGCTGGAATTTGCTCAGCTGCAGCACAGCCATTGCACATGAAACTGAGAGTGGACAGCCAAGAAGAGGGAACACAGAGACAGGTGAGAGGCAGCAGCTAGAAAAGAGAGGAAAATAGGCACAATGGAGGGAAGGTGGTCAAGTGGCAGGAGGAGGGTTGTTTATATAGTTTTGAAAGCAGCGTTATGCGCGTTAGTACCCGATTTGGGAGATGCTAAACTCTTATTAGGCAGCCCCCCAAATGATACAGTATACCCAGGTAGATAAATCAAAGTGGCCGCGGTTAATTCCCTTTGTTTCTGAGCGGGTTTCCTGCAAGCATGCCTGCCAACATTAAGGGACCTAGAAATCTCATGCAAATTCCAGAGGAATATGCCTTGTTGCACCACATGTATTGAACGAGGAAATGCAGTGTCAGGAAAGTTAGTGTTTGTTCATGGTTAGTTATAACATTGTTTACATAACCTTGTGGCATGACTGATGGTTTTGACAGGCAGACCAGATGAAGAGAGTTTTAAAACGCAGAGCGCTTTACTGTCACTTTAAAAGAGAAAATAACCAAGTATTGATAGAGTTGCTGCATGCCTGCATTGTACAACAGATTGAAAGATTGCTGGAAAAGAGGAGAGAGTATGAAGTGACACACAAAGATGCAAAGAGGCAATACCGCGACTGTGAGGTCCAGTTGCATGTTGATCTGGCTAAGTCAGGGCCTTAGCAACATAACTCTATTTCCAGATCGCCACTATTTATCGAGTGTTTTCGGCTGTAATCTGGGGTTTATGGAAAAGAAGCAAGTCAAGATAATAAAGAACTTCATTTAAGACATATGGAACTATTTCCCAAAACTTCGATGGGATGCATTCATTAGCATCCCAAGCTTGCGATACAGAGTAATTATAAGCTCCAGTCGACATATTGCCTTAAATCAAAGCCACTCACTGCCATATGTGTCCCAATTGGTGTATTCCATGGCGAACATGAGTAAAGGGAAACTTCCAGACTTCCATATAGTATACATCTATTGCAGACTTAACTCGGGTTAGCTCAGGCAATCAATAAGGTGTGACATTCGGTAAGTGGAATGGCAATGGTATTACTGAGGTTCAGATAGGTAGATGCATTTAAAATCAAGAAGCACAAATGTTTGCTTTCATATGGGGTTGAAACATATTGATAAAGCATCAATCATCATGGAAAGGGGGGACTGCTCCGTACCCGGCAGCCACTTGACATTCAAAAGAAATTCGAAACATACCTCATTGAGCATCCATGGATCACAGGAGGACCAGCTCAACTGGTCCGACCTTCCTATTTCCTGGCTTCGCAGTCATGGTCGTGATCGGGTTGGCGTTGGAGTGGGAAAAGAAAAAATGAAGTCCCGTTTGTTTTTGGTTTTCGAATTTGAATTAGGTTCCGAAACTGTACTAAACTCGCTGACTAATCCCCAGTAGGGTTTGCCCTAACCCCAAGGTGACGAACAGAGTATGGAGTGTATGGAAGCTTGGAGTACGTGGCTCGGAAAAAAGATATGGATATGTGGAGCGTGTAGATTGCTCTCATGCATATGGAGTACGTAATCAGGTAGATCGAATAGAGAATATCTTGAGTCTGCAATGACGCTCGCGGCGACGGATTGGATCTCTCTTCACCCAGGAGGCGACATCCGTGTGACCCAAGCGAGCGCATACCGAAAGGATCGGGAAAATATGAGCCTGGGCCGGTACACGGTTGATATCGATGGGTCATGTTGACAGTGCTTGATACCCAGCAGTTTTGCGATGACTGAAATTGGCAATTTGCGCAATCGTTCGTTACCTTCATTTTGCCCACCAAAAGCGACTTAAACCGTTGGGCTTGCGTGGCGCAAACGGCTGGGTTAGAGCGGCCCATAACGGCCTAAAAAAAAAAAAAAAAAAAAAAAAAAATGAGAGAGCCGGAATATCTCAGAGATAGGTTCAGCTTTCTTCGACTTCATCCAGGAGCTTCCACATTACTTGTTCGCCATCTGCTTGGCTTTCTGATGTCTGTGTTTTAGTATTGTGAGGTCCTGACTCCGGGGTCTGGACCGGCTCATCATTCGGCGATACGTTACGTCCCTCTGCTTCCAGCTCTCTGAGATATATCTCCACGCGCTCCTTCGTCTGCTCCATTTCTCGGATCTCCTCCTTCGCCTGCTCTAGTTGCTCTTCCATCATCGTAATAAGTGACTCTCGGGATTGGTGAGGCCGATACAAATTCAGTAAATGGTGTGCGTTAATAAACAGATTCCTAATATCTTCAATCTTTGGCTCGTATTGTTCGGGGTTAATCGACAGGATGCCCACCAATTCTAGGAAGTTAAGTAAGAGGGATTTGCTGATTTTCAAAAGATAATAAGCGTGATCTGGTGATGGACCGGCCGTTTCATTTGTAAGACTAGACGGATAGAGTTGTTCAATTCCTTGTTCTTCAAGCGATGGTAGTTGAGTGGACAGCTATTAGCCGAAGGCAGTTAGCGACGCAAAACTTCTTTAACGCAGGAGCCCATACCGATTGCGCCTCGCCAAAGAGGGAGTATGAGCCTTCTTTCGGGAGCTCTGGTGGCACAAGATAACGAAGCTCCGGGGCAAGTTTGAGAGCATGCAGAGCTTCAGGGCTCCATTTGCGGCTCAAAGCTTGCGGTTCGGCCTCTTTCTTTGCTTTCTCGAGCCTTTCTAGATTTTCGGGGGTAAAGTTCTTCCAAAACGGAGGTGGAGGAGGAAATGCAGCCGTGATCCCTTTTTGCTGGCCCCCTTCTTCCATTTTGACCCGACCAAGAGCTGTCGTGGGGAGCTGTGTCGGGAGCTGTTGCTGCTGCTACTGCTGGTGGTCGTGGGTCGCGTCGCTCGACTGAGGGCCGATGACGACCTCGGCCTTAGTCAGCACTTTCAACACCCCGTCCAGAAACGCCCGGCCGAAGCTCAGAGACACGATTCTGCTCTGACCCGCTTGTCCTCTCTACGATCAGGCAAAGGTTTCTCAAGTTTGCCGCGTAGAGATGGACGTAGGGCTATCCTCCGATCTCAATAAACCATATTATACCATGATCTAGCGCCTACCCTTGCCCCATCCGCTTCTCCAGAGCAATGGCTCAGAATGACCTTCCGCTGCACGGGAATCGAAAACCGTCAGGTATTTCTGCTAAACCGGGCTGCTTAGGCGCCGTCGCTCGCTTTTGGTACCGCTCGTATGCCGCAGATTACATTAGCTTAGCTATTATCACCGCAGGGTGGTTTATCGTGAGTACCCCTGCCTTCCATCTATGCTTTTGTTGCTCTCTTCTAAAACGGCTATCGTGTAGATCCAAATATTTGTAGAGCCATTCCACCGGATGTTCTCGTTGGAGAATGGCTCAATACAGTTTCCGTTCGCTGTCGTGGAGAGAGTCCCGGTCGGTAAGCGTAGTTCATAGCCGAGAATTGATGTCGCGTGCCTTTGCTCATTTCGTCATTAACATAGTGTGGGCTGTCATCTATGCTGGCATCCTTCCTTTGATGATAATCGGGATATGGGCAGCTGTTACGCGTTCCGGTTCTCACTTTACCCATGTGACGATACTGGGATTTTTAGCGACTCTTATACTCACTTCCTTTCTGACAGACGTCGTCAAAAATGCCGTGGGCCGTCCGAGGCCAGATTTGATCTCCCGGTGTAAACCTGAAAAGGGAACACCGGCTCACACCCTGGTCTCCTTCAACGTGTGCTTGGAAACGGATCATCATATTCTACATGAAGGTTGGAGGAGCTTCCCCAGTGGTCATAGCAGCTTTGCTTTTGGCGGGCTCGGGTACCTTTCGCTGTATGTTCACGCCTCAACTTCTACTCTTCGGGAACACCGGAACAATTTTACTGATAACATTGCTTTTCCTGTGATGAATAGATTTTTTGCGGGGCAACTGCACGTGTTTCGACCTCGCTCTGGTCTAGCCCGTTTCCTTTTCTCTGCGGCTCCTCTGCTGGGAGCGCTGATGATTGCGATGTCGCGATTGGCGGACTATCGTCATGACGTATATGATGTCACAGTCGGGTCTCTTTTGGGACTTTTTACGGCGTATTTTACCTATCGCAGATACTATCCATCGCTGAAGTCAATTGACTGCGATACTCCCTATTCCAGACCAAGCGGTGGCTACGTAGCTGTCAGTGGTGTTAATCGGGGTCTGGGAGATGAAGAACAACCATGCAACTCCCCACGACCAGAATATTCTGGAGCCGAATATCAGATGCAGTGAATCCATCCAAATCGGCCACATTACCCTAGCGCAGAACGAACCGGATGATATCGGAGAGGAAATTTCATCGTGTATAGCTATAAGCAGCCGAGCTTAACGGTCCACATTGATATAGATACAAACTAATCATATACTCTAGCAAGGTGTTGGTCGTTTAGATATTTTTGTTCCATACCTTGTCTGTAGACAGCGAGTCAATTTACATTGGTAGGGGGCACCCCCTGTCCTTGTTGAAGGTTCCTGTTGGTTTGGCTGCGGTTAATTTTGGGTTAGCATTGATTCAGCCTCAGTTAACTGGTCTAGTTATATAAATTCGTCATTGACAGGCCGTCGCAGCAAAACTGTGCAAGTCAACCACCAAAAACCATTAGATCCCGAAATAAAATGCCTTCCGCATCCCCTTGGGTACATACCCTCCAGCTACCATTCAACTCTTCAGTGATGCTGCAATATTTTGTCTTCTGTTTTTAAAGCCTCTGGAACTAGCTTACTCGCCATCGCCACCTTCATACTCAGCCCTGCGGTTCCTGCGATGGGCATCGTGCATAGAATTTCTAGAAGGGGTATATCCGCAGCAATAACCTTCGCAAGCCACGTACGAAACTCCATGGCCACAAGGCTGTCGATGCCATTGCTGCTCACACTCTTCCCCCCGTCAATGTTTTCCACAGAAATACTCAGCGGCTTGGAGAGCTTGGAGAGCTTGGAGCGAATTGCGTCGGTAATAATGGAAACGGCTTCAGCAATAGATGCTATGGATCCTAATTTTGATGCCACGCTTATGACCGAATCGGCGTCGTCGCTCCGCAGCGTCGCCGTAGCGGTGGAGCTGGTTGAAGCCAGTTGTAAGAAAAGGTGCGAATGCATCCACGAGGGTATAGGTATGGCGTTGGACGCGTACTGTGCTGCTGGTGTCAATCCTGAGGCTATTTGAAAGGGTCTGGTGGCAAAATTCTTCGGGTTGGAATGATATTCGACCATACGGTGGATATCTTCTTCACGAATAGCATCCATCAGGGAAGCCACAGGATTTACGCTGTGAAGTTGTTGGAGGTTCTCGGCTACATAACCTACGGAAAGCAGGTCACCCAGATCAAGTGATGTGGCTGGCAAACCCAGATATACCCGATGCGCGGCGAGAGCATCCTATTAGGTGTTTCCGGCCGCATAATTAGCCTGACCACGGTTTCCCATCACGCCGCCAATGGAAGATAGCATGATGAAAAAATCCATATCTCTCGGGAGACAGGCATGGAGGTTCCAAGGCCCCTGTAGGCAACGATATACCAGACTGTTCTACGCTAATCCATAGAACTGAGAAATAAAATGCTTGTTGAACTGGCAGACTCGTAGTCCGAAGTTAAGCGGTTATTGCTAGGTTTATGGTGTTCGAAGGCAGCTCCGCAGACTATTATTCCCCGGATATTCCACTAGATACGCGGGGACGAGAAAGGAGATTCAAATATTGGGAGGCATGACCAGCCATCTGGTCACCTAAATGTGCTCATTGACAGCAGGATGATACTGCTACTGTATGGATGCAACATACTTCTGTATTCAAACCATTCGGCTTCTTGAACTGACAGCTCTGTTGCATTGGACGCGAACTCCTTGTGAACTCCTTGCACATTGACTGTGCTTCAAACACTCTCGTTTTGATTGTAACCAATATTTCGGTAGTTTACTGAAGGATGCGGTTGTGCGAATTTTCCAGGCGGGGCAGTGATGTACAATAACCAGCACATACTATAGCCCATGCACGCTGGGTTGGTGGGATATTTTCAGGTCTTTTGTGCATTGGGATTAAAAAATGTCGACCAAACCAGCCGATCTGATTCGTTTTTCCCCCTGCTGGTAGTGACACACAACAATTGGGACCTTGAAATGCTAAGTTACCCCAACCGCTGGCATACACATTGGCCCTCATGTGGGACCGGGAACCAGGATGGGTATCGGTGACATTTCAACTCTGGGGTTGCGTGACGGAGTTTCACAGCAATTGAAGTTGCATGAAATCCTCGGAAATATACTGGAAATTGTTGTACAGCCCATGCTTCCCTAGTATGACAAACATGTGCTATTATTGGTGCGGATTGGGTTCTAGTTCATAACGTTCCATTTATTCCTCTCGCAAGTCCTAAATGAACGGCACATAATTTCTGGGAGCGTTGGAGAGATTTTCTCGCTTATGGACCTCAGTTTGTTGAACTCGTTCCGGTCAGCAAGTTCGTCCCCTTTACACTCCGTTGCTCTAATAAAGGGAACAAAGAATTGCAACAGAATCGGTGACAATGGGTGATATAGCGGTTGTTGTTAACGAAGTGGTGTATGCTTTTAGCACTCTTCCGAGCGGATCCGGCGGCACGGCGATGCGTAGGTTTGTCGGACCTACGTTGATGGCTACCGTTGAATTGACAAGCGGTGCCTCAATGGGAAGAATTTGTTGAAGACTACCCGTAAACACATTTCTGCCGATGGCGAGCGAGAGATCTGGGGTGGAAAAAGATCATAATCGCATCTACAGGCCGATAAATGAGTAAATTATACGGGAGAGAGGAGGGTCAAGACAAAATACTCACCAGCAGATGAAATATCGTCTCTGTTTGAAACCACCTGCGCGGCAATGTATGGAATTTGCACAGAAGCTCCCATACCTACCCCCGTAATAAATTGATAGCCAATCAGGGTGGCGGTGTATGAATTCGGCCCGACCGTATAGAGAAGGCTAGAGCCGATGGCGAAGGCTAGGGCGCCAAACCAGACAAACAGAACATATCAGCCAACCAAGCCAACCAAAAGGCCGACAATGAGGGATGTTGCCGTGTTGCTGGCCTGATAGGGCACTCCGTCAAGGCCAGACTTTTCGGGGCTAGAGCCTTTGACAGCTTGAAAATAACTGGGTAGATAAAAGACATGACTATACACGTGGTCTGTCAGTCCATTGCTTAGGAAATAATAGATAGATAAGCTCACATGTAGAATCCCATCGCAAGGAAGCAAGAAAAAAGAGATGCACTGAAAATAGTTCTCTGCTTAAACAACAATCTCGGCGGAAGCGTGGCTTTGTCTCCAAGGTGCCATTGAAGGACACAAAATATAGCCAGCACGAGGCTAGCTGCCACAATGCAGCCCCATACCCTAGCGTCAGACCAGGGATAGACATTCCCCGCCCATTCTCTCGCCAGAACAAAGGAGGTAATGCCACCAAGAAGGAGGACTGCACCCAACAGATCCAACTCTACAAGGCGGTTTGTGATGCTTAGGCCAGCAGATGGAGGAGCCATCTCCTTCAAGAAGATGAGGCCTACGACAAAAGCTGCGCCGCCACATGGAAGATTAACCCAAAAACTATGGAAAAATCAGCTTAGGATTTTCGAAGAACTCGTAGCGGATGGAAATACCACCACCGCCAGCCTAGGCGATTTGTAATGATTCCTCCCAGAGGAGGACCGATGATGTTAGACACGGCCATCATGCTTGACAGTAAAGCGATATAAGGGGCGCGTTTCCTCAGTGGAACTGTCTCAGCAACAATGTTCAATCCTCCGAGAAAAGTGCCGCAGCACCAATCCCCGCTATTCCCCGTCCAACAATTAGCAATATGGACGAAGTTGCAGTGGCACAGATCACTGAGCCAAGCTCAAATATGAAGATGCCACTCAAAAATGTCCACTTCATATGACTGTAAAGCTTCCCAAAGCTTGGCTGCAGAGCGGTTTGGGTTAATAGATACGATGATCCATACCAGCCAACATCTCCAAGGGATTCGAACTCCGCCTGCAATTTTCGGAATAGCGGTTGCTTAGACTATGTAAGCGTGGGGAACAGCTTCAGCGGCAAGGATGTATGTACCTAGGATAATGACGTCTATGGAGACCATAAGGGCGCATATGCATCGCGCCAATGTTACTACTGCTAGCTGGAACTGGTTAAAATGTAACCCGTCCTCGGAATCTGTTGTCGCGTTCTCTTCATCCCTCTGAATCGATCCCGTTCTCGCAACTTCCCGGTTTTGGGGGAATAAGCTGTGAAGGAGACAGCCTGGTTGGATGTGAGCCCCTAATAAGATTGGGAGCCTCATTCGCCGGAGGCATCAATTTCGGCAATTTTTAATTCTGAGGACCCGATCAGGCGGCATAAAGGGGGAATTCAAGGGGGTGGTCAACGTGCCGATGCACTTTAGGTACGCATGCGGAGGAGGTACGTGCAATCCACAAAAGGTACGGTCCTTACAGCGCAGGTCCTTGCTTTGGGGGGAGAAGGAGGGGGGGTTTGATGTAAAACGAACACAATTAAAGAGGAAGCAAATGCAGACCACAGGCATGGGACTTCGTTTGAATAACTCGGTGTGGCAGGATGGGTCATCGAGAGAGAGACATACCATCAGCTCCGAACTGGGTGAAACTAAAACACCCGAAACTCCCAGCATGGTTGAATTTCCAATATAGTGTGGGTTACACTGATGTTTGGTTAGACAGACCTAGGAAAAAGATAATCTGATCGCGTCAGAGGAGCTGAATACATACCAGATGGCCGCCCGGTGCAATAGTGCCAAACAAAAGGGGGCTATTCACTGTTTTCTGCAGCTTTTGTAGCTCTGAAACAAAAGGGTTGATAATGCAATTTGGCTGAACAGGATATCCGGCAGTTAGATAGATCTAAGGAACCAGGACCACACAATGAAAGTACTTTGTTTTCATGGCAGAGGATCCAATAACGAGGCAGGTACTCTTTTCATTCAGTAGAGCACATCCACACTGACACTAAGCTCTTCAGATTTTCAAACTTCAGACAGGTAAAGTTTCCGGACTAGGATTATGGATTGCGTTCTAATAAAAGGATCAGCTTCTCTAAGGACCGACTTACCGGACTTCGAGTTTGAATTCATCCAAGGGGCCATTCCTCATACTGAAGGTATGTGTAGGTCCTTTGAATACTAAGGCTTCTGCTCTCGTAGCTTACATTGAACTTGGCAATTGGTCTCTTTTCACGACCTCTTTTTCACAGTTGCCATTATACAATTATTTTAACCCTCTATCGCCGCAGTCGATTTTGCGGACCGAAGAGGAGGTCGTCAAGCTAATTCAGCATGAAGGCCCTTTTGATGGTGCTATTGGGTATTCGGTTGGCGCTGGGCTCATAGCGCAGCTCATGATCCGAGATTTTCGAGAAAACCCCTGGAAACTTCCACACGAACGAATTTTTCGCTGGGCGGCCTTTATCAACAGGGCCACGCCGCAGGAAATATTCCGCCTTTCAGATATGGAGGCGAGAGTGGGCATCGTAGACGACTCCGCTCCCGAGAGAGAGTTGAAGGGGATCTTCCTTCGGCCATCAAATATCCGAGTGCGAAAAGAGAACGAAAGACACCCTGGTTATGATCCCGAAGAGCTTCGGCGGAACATAATGGCCCTGGAGACGACACAACTTGCCGATGGCATACTCTTCATGACTGACGGGCGCATGGGAGGTGCACGATACGAGGCAGCCGTTCAAGGACGTTTAATCGATATTCCAACACTGCACGTATGATGCCCGACGGTTGACAACCGCCATGGGGGTTTAGAGTTGATGAAGCTGTGCGAGCCCTCCTCGATGAGAGAGTCTTTCCACAGTCACGGTCATGATTTCCCAAGAGGCCACTATGAAATGAAGATAGCAGAGTTGATCCGTGAGGTAGACAGGAGCTTGTCCGTCGATGTTCGGGCCCATGAGTGGTGGATCACGTGACTCTACTAGTTAAGTTAAGTTTGCTAGTTAACTACAGCACCGCCGCCCCGTTCGCGACTCTGTCGTCATGCAATCCACCGTGAAGCTACGCCGTGCAAATGCCATGTCCCTCTTCCATTTAAGCATGTCACCGTTAAAGAACCACGAGGAATGGGCCAAGGTCTTGTTTTGTTCGAGACTTGATGGTCCTGTAGGTACACATTGACATAATTACTTTGCAGAGGTGATCTCACTTTGGCGTCACTATTAACGCGCCAGGTAGTGTTATATATCCCTTCTACGCGCCCAACAACCCGCCTACGTCGAAAAACGCTCCGTAGGGACAGTCCCCCTTCGCAATTGACCGCCGTATATGTTGGATTTCTATATCATACCCTTCGATTGTGGATAATGGATACGACACGGGTCGCGTTATCATGGGTCCCAGCAGAAGCTCCATCCAGCCAACTCACCGCACAGCTGGAGCAATCCCAGGCCCAAACCACCGATCTAAACATCACCACCCCCAAAGAACATACCGCTTTGCTAGAGAACGATGCCACGACAAAACAGCCGGCACCTTCCGAAGCAGCTATTGAATTTCCGTCCCGTTCGTGCACGCCGCTGCCATCACGACCCTCTAATTCTAGTAAGGATGACGCTTCTTCCGTCGGGACTCCGGCAACTCCGCAGAGGAAAGATAACCCAGCACACGGCCTTTCCCTTAATTTACCCCCGAGACTCTTTTCTAGTCCTTTCAGTCGCGGCCCAGCCTCCCCAAAGCTCGATTCGGCCCATATTTACACTTCGCCTTCCTCCGTGTTGCCGCGACGATCGAGGGGGCTGGATTTCTCCCGGGCTTCGACAAATCTACACCACTCAACATTAGCCGAAGCATCCCCAGATTCTTCTCCAGTTGTGAGTGGTAGAGGTGTGACAATTCCCCAGCGCCGTGCAGGGAATAATGGTGGCTTTGCCTCCCCGAACAACTCCCACAACTACACCTGGTCAGCTTCCGGGCATGGTGACAGGAACATGATATCTAGCTCTGTGAGTAGCATAAATATGATGGACTCAGATTCCTCAAGTTGCAGCGATGAGGAGGATGATGGGTCCCTCCTTGCACTGGAACGGGGAGAACCCACCATCTCCACTCCCCAGCCTTCCAGGTCTACGCATAATCTATCGGGCGCACCTTTTCCGAATGTGGCTCAGAGCCCAGCGACAGACTGGATACATAATCTACCCAGTACGAAGCCCAGTCTTATGAGCTTCCAGCGGGCACGATATCGAGGTCGGACGAGACATAGCTCAACCAGCACAAGCGGCACTAGCTCTAGGCCTAGCCCAGGGCCAAGGTCCCCGCCTGTGATAAAGAGCATCGAAACGTTCCCGTCGGGGTATTTTTCTAAGGAAGCTATTATTGCTGATGTCAAGTCACGTCGGGAAAGCTTGAGTCTCGGGACAAACGACCTGCGCTTATCAGATATGAGCGATGATGGCGAAACCAAGCAGGGAGTAAGTAGCTCATCTAGTGGCTCTATTGCCGGAGGTTCCAATCCGGAGTTGGCCCGACGCGGAGTAATACGCCGAGCAGTAACCAGACGGGGGAACCTATTGGTAAGTCGTATTTCATCGTTTGGGAAATACGTAAGACTTACTTTTGCTAACTCAACATGCAATAGCCGAAAACCAAAAATTTTGCTCGAATAAAGGCAACTCTGATGGAAGAAGGCGCTCCAATTGAGAGCGAAGCAAAGCAAGAGGCCGAAGTTATTAGACAGGTGCGGGAGAGTGACACCTCAGTGCCTTCTCTATCACCCTCTTTAATTAATTCGGCGTTGCCATTGGATTCCTGTGAAAATCAGCCAGATACCACCATAACCCATAATCAACCGAAGGCTGATTTTAACCAACAAGCTTCTGAAAACTCTGGAGGGGTACAGTTTTGGAATTCATTTGACGACCGCTATCAAACGCCGCCCCCTTCTATCTACAAAACAAAGGATTCTGTCGGAGATACGGTGATGCAAACTCCACCGGGCCATCCAACACCTTCGTTTGTACAACCACGCCCATTCGGCCCCCAAGCCGTATTGTCTCAAGCGGCTACAGATCTTTCGCAAAGACTGAGCAAGCGGCGTCGAGTTGATGACCTCGACCTTGACCTCGCTTCCTTTAAGCGTCGTGCGGTCTCTCCAGGCACCAGTACTCAGAGCAGCCCAAGTCAATCTCAAGCGTTTTCATTTCCAGAGAGCAGTCAGTCAGGTCATCTGTCCAAAGCCAAAATTTGTCCAACGTCGACCCAGAGCACAAGTAGCGGACATTCACAGACTGTCAAGCGAGTCGGTTTGCAGGGTATGAGTGAAGCGAACGAGGGATTCATGAACATGACCATTGATTAGGTTGGAGTAGGAGGACTTGTTACTAACAGTAAGCGGAGTGCGACAATTTTTTCTCGCTGTATCTCGATTCCTACGGATTACTATTATTTGTGGGTTCATCTTTTGGAGTTATTGGCAATCTTAGGGGACTAAACTAAGGAGTTATTATCCCTACTATCACTATTACTATTTATCCGCAGAATCTTTTTCAATGGCGAATATTTCTCTGCCTTCCGATAGATTCCATACCCAACTACTATCAGCTATTGATGATCAGCAAGCTGCGGAGTACCACGCCGTAGTTTGGATTCCAACTGTCCCGCCGAATCAAAAGCGCGGCTTTCGCTGACAAGCTGATAGGTATGGTCCAGCAGACCTTCTTCAGACATCATCGCAGCTGTGTCGAAGCGATTTTCTCCGGGCAGCTCTCAAGACTCCCTTGGTTATGTACTTTGCCTGAGCTTGACCATGTGTTTTGAACTACGACGAGCGAACCATTTAAGGCTTCTTCAGGTGTGAACAGTTTTCGAAAGTGCCTTGAAGACAATTGTGTTCAATATGTACAGCTTGAAGCAATTATCTAAATATGGACAAGCAAAAGAGAGAGAAAATCATCAAGGCTTGAAATTGTCGAAGCCAATTTCGTAAAATGTTTTCCATGTTTTTGTTCATTTTCCACCTCCCAAGGGTTGAAGAAAAAGCCATATCGTTCCTGAACATTTAGCCTGGGCTTTTATTTCTCTGAGAGAGGTCGAATCTCACAGGATCCGTCGAGGAATTAAGCGTTTACTGGCTGACGCCGTTGTTGATGAGGCGGTTGGTGGTACCGCTGCCAGGGTTGCTGATAACTGGGAGAGCCATCCGCTTGATGGTGTCGCAGAGACCGCCACCAGAGCCACGGCCAAGGCCGATGAGATAGGCACCAAGACCGCAAACATGGGGAGAAGCCATGGAAGTTCCGGACAAGCTGCGAGAGCCACCACCGGGTCTGGCGGAGATGATGTCCTGGCCAGGAGCGTAGACATCGACTATTCAAACCGGAATTGTTAGCCAAAGCCTTGTTCCACTAGGTGTGGGAGAGGACAGGGATAGAAACATACCGAGCTGGCCCCAGTTGGAGAAGGAAGCCTTGCCATCACGGACGTGGGAAGCGGCAGCAGTGCAGACAGTTGGTTCAGAGGCGGGGGAGAAGCTGCGAGCATCTCGCTAGAAACGGTGTCGGTCAGCCTTTGCCATGCATGCGTGAATTGGAGTCAAGACTTACGTTATCGTTACCAGCGGCAACGGCAAGGAAGATTCCAGCTCGGACGATAGCAGCGGCAGCCTGGTTGCTAGCCTGAGAGTAGCCACCGCCCAAACTCATGTTGGCGACAGCCCGGCGGGGGTCGTTCTGGCTGGCGTGTTGCATGGCCCACTGCATTCCAGCGATGACAGCGGAGTTGCTTCCGCTTCCATTGCAGTCAAGGACCTTGACAGCGACTAGTCTCGCCCTCTTGGCGACACCAAAGCTGGTACCACCAGTGGTGCCAGCAACGTGAGTGCCGTGACCATTGCAGTCCTCGTTGCGTCGGTCAACGGTGTTGGTACCCCAGACGGCACGGCCACCGAAGTCTGTGTGGCGGATATCGATACCGGTATCGATGATGTAGGCAGTAACGCCCTGTCCTGCGGTAGAGTCATAGCTGTAGTCTCTGCCTCCGGGTTGGCGCGAGGAGACACGGGCAAGACCCCAGGATGGGACATTGCGCTGGGTCTGGATGGCAGAGGCCTTCATAATCTGGTCGCGTTCGATGTATGCAACCTAGATGGACATGTGTCAGCAACCAAAGATACCGGCTCCCGAGGCCTGGATGTCTACTCACATCATCACGGTTGGCAATCTCCTGGATTGTCTCCTCATCGAAGGTACCGGCGTAACCCATGAAGCCCTGGTTGAAGTTGTAGGTGTGGCGCATTCCACCGACGTTGGTAGAGCCGCGGCGGGCGAGGCGCTCGTGGTGAACGCTTGCAACCCATTCACGGTGAGCATCGAAGTCCTGGGTAGAGGTACCCTCCTTCATCACGACGATGTAGCCGTTGGGAATGTTCTCTGCACCGGGGGCGGAGAGGATTTCTGCTCCATTGACGGAGAGAGCCGCCAGGGCGAGTGGAAGAATCTTGCCGAGAAAAACCATTGTGAACAACCAAAAGACGGATCACTACTGATGTCCGGATGGATTTGGATGATTCTTTTTTTTTTCCGTCGTCGAGGGGAGGGAAGAGACGGCTTATATCGTTTTATGGCCATGGACAATCTTGATACAAGTTCACATGCGCTAGCCGCCCTCTCATCAAAAACAGCCCCCGAGGTAGCTCTTGGAACATTACCCGATTGGGAATTGTGCCATCTCGCTCCTCAGAACCAGGGTGGTATTATCGATCCGTGCAGATATCACGCCTTTCACGCTGGATCGAGGACCTGGGTAGCAAAGTCCAATCACCCGTGCACGCGGAGCGAGACCTGAGGCCATCCTAGTGACTCCACCTCAACCAAGTCCTGATTATTAAATGACCGATCGAGTCAACCACGCTGTTTGGTGGGTTGGAGCCAATATCAGCATAGCAATGGCAGCGGACCCCGGTCAGAGGGGCGAAAGAGATCACATGGTGCCCCGCCAGAGTTGAGATCTCATCAAAAGGGACAACCGCAATGAAGATCACTTCCAAAGTGCCATCGCTCAAACTAAGATCAAGGACCAGGGCCCCGGATTGTTTCGGGCCGTCATTGCTCGAAAGACCTGGAGAGTTCGCCGACCAGGTGAAGTCAACAATTTTGGATGTGGTTCAAGATTCTCCAGGAGCAAGAGTCGGATGTCGACTCGGCTCATCGTTCCAAAACACAAGGCGTCTTAGCAAAATATACGGAAGTTAATTATAGCGATGAACGGAGTACAAGCGTCTTGTCTGTGGCTTGCATTGACATCCCCTGAACCCCAGAACCCCGGATTCTTCGAAGGTGCATGAAGAGACTTGGGTAATATGGTTATTCGCGGGGAAGTGGCGAGAAACACAAACGACAAAATAAAAGTAAAAATAAAAATAAAAATAAAAATAAAAAGGACTTTGATAAAGAAGTTGCCCTGATGCCCTTCTCTTCAACGTCATGTGGGGGTGGGTTTCTTTGCTGCAGGCCACCTTAAACCCTGCAGATCAAAAGTTTGTTAAATGTTCCTGGAGATCGCGACGTTGATAGGCCGACAGTGCAAGCGAGCCGTTGAGCAAGCACTAGCGCCATTGGCAGAGACCAAACATGACCTCGGGATTGTGTGGGATGATATGAGCGGGTGGAGAGGCTGGAAGTTTGGCCCGAAACGTCGTATTTTGGACGGAGTCCCGGGTCTGCGTGGTGAATTGGCCTGTCGATCATCCGAGCAGGGATTCCGGGCATCAGGCGATCTTCACCACACTGGGAGCCGTGAGATTATTCCAGAAGACTCTGCTCGACAGGAGCGCTGTTCATCGATCAAGCGCGGGATATTTCATCCACGGCTGGGGAGAGCACTTCTTCGGCCGTGTTCCCATCAATTTGCTGGCTTATCATCACCGTCTGCGGTTTGAAAGATGGCTACTCACAATGGTCTAGATGGGTTTCCACAGAGCTGGCATCACCTTGTTTCAGAACAAACTGGTGTTTCAGGAACACCAATTCCAGATAATTTCCCTCTGTATTTTCTGCCCAGCAGAAGATGGCTTTCAAACAAAACAACACGGACAAGCATACAGGCGGAAACATGGGCTGTGAATTGTTGCAGATGTTCCCTGTCTGCCGAGTACCTTTCGAACAATATCTACGACGGGCTTCGAGAAATTTCGCCTTTCGGAGGATAAATATTTGGACGCGTGGAATGTTCCGGGCATCATAATCTGCTGTTAATTTCTCAATAAAGCAACCCGCCTCCTTCTACCCTGCCTACTGATCAATATAGGGTCGTCCAAAAGCTGGTCTTTGACGATGAACGTCGTACTGATAACGGATTGGGACCTTGCCCCCGCCTGAGTCTCATTTCAGGTCTTCATACGGAGTATCGGCTCTCCACTTTCCTAAAGTTTGCTGTCAAAGCTGCTAGTTGCCGGGAGTTACATCGTTCGTCGTAGGAGCAGTTGAGAGAACGCAACTACTCGCGCCACGCGCGCAGCATAACGCTATCAATGCAGGATTTGTATCTGCAGAGCTGTGGAGTTCGTCAGGCCCGGCAAAGTCCGAAAACACAAAAAAAATGAAAATGAAAAAGAAAAAAGGACCGTAGCCATGGGGTGATGTTGTGATGTAACCGTAGGAGCTCATTCATCTTCAACACGGCTCTTCCCTTTGGATCTGCCGCCATCAACCCACGCAGCCGAGTATGGATGTCGGACCACGGAGGCGCTGGCAGGCTGCAGATCATCGACACTCTGGGGTTGCCAAGCAGAGATAGGTCTGGGGTTCAGATACCTAGCCGCACGTGGAGACCGTCATATCCCCACTGTAGTTCGGCTGATCTTGATCGAAAAAGCAAACCCAAGGACCTCGCTTCTCTTAAAGTTGTCCAGTTCAATCAAACGATATACTCCGTGTCCTCCATTAAGATGTCCCACTTCGCCGAACACCCCCATTGCAACCACCCTTGAAGCAGCCGCCGCAGGCCATCCTTCATTCCGGGGACGAAATCCAATGGCTCCCAATTACCGATGCTCTCGGCCCAATATCGTCATTAAATTGATAGTAGCAGTCGGGGCAATGCACATAATCAAGTAAGAAGGGTGGACACACTTGGCAGTGGGCTCCCCTCAACGGTTCTTCGCGGGGGATAAAACCGGGTGCTACGCGAGCTGAAAAACGCTTTCAGCTCTCATGGCAACCTGGTGATTAATATGCTCATGACGGTTGCACTATGGCGTCAATTATTGACATGACGCTATCCCCTGTCAATGAAGTTGATATTACACAGCCGTTATCCTGACCGTTCTGCATGACAAAACTATACGTGAAATTGAGAAGCATGACCCTTGCAACGACGGATCCGGGTATTCGAAGCGGCAGGCTCTCGTCCTCGCGTAGCATGATATATTGGGCGGTTTGCGGGAATCTTAGGCCCAGCCGACGAGCATCACACCGCTTACAGGTAAAACACGCCCACCTGGGCTTATCAAAAGGTGACAGAAGACAAGACATTGGGGAGGACTATTAAGTCCTAAAATACCTAATGATATATTATATAAATTGATGCTCCCGTACGGAGTAGTTTTGAAGCACTTGGTGCGCAGAAGAGGCAGCTGTTGAGGTGTGGCTCAGCATATTGCCGTTTATAGTCCGGATCGTCCAGATCGTCCAGATCGTCCCTCTGCGCTATGAAGGTACTTTTAGCGATTTCGGCACTTTTGGGCTCAGCCCTCGCCGCGGCCATCCCTTCCTTGGGATCGGAGTATAATGGATACAAGGTCTTCCGAATTCCGACAGTGGACCAGAACCTCGCCCAAGTTGTTAGGATCATCAAGGAATTGGAGCTTGACACCTGGGAATTTCCAAAGACGGCGGGATCTGCTGCAGATGTCGTGGTTTCACCAAGCCAGCTCTCTGCCTTCGAAGAGGCCACTGCCGGATTGACGGTCGAGGTGATGCATGAAGATCTTGGAGCTTCAATCGACGCTGAATCAGCTGTAGTCAGCACATATGAAGGTACGTTGGACCCTGATTGAAATCGATCGGCGGAGAAGATGCCGGAGAATTGTCGATCTCGCTGACATCCTCCTAGCAGGAAACCTCACCGATGCCTGGTTCAATAGCTATCACAGTTACAATGACCATCTCCAGTTCCTTAGGGATCTGCAAGCTCAGTACCCCGACAACTCGGAGCTGATCACCGCTGGGAACTCTTATGAGAGGCGTCCGCTCCAGGGTATCCACATCTGGGGCAGCCGTGGAAAGGGGAAACCTGGCGTGGTTTGGCATGGAACAATCCACGCGCGTGAATGGATCACCACTATGGTAATGATCTCCCGTCCCGAAGATCCGTTCCCTGCAATGATAGGCAACGCACGATCCTTCAGGTATTCACAGCTTGCATCTAGGTCGTCGAATACATGGCATCGAGTCTGTTATCAGAACGATCCGACGCGACAGTGAAGAGTATTCTTGATAAATATGACTTCTTCATTTTCCCGATCACAAATCCCGACGGTACACCCCCTCGACGCTATTCTATCCGTGAGCAACCACTGATGCGGCCGAATTAGGTTTCGTTTACAGCCAAAGCAGGAGCCGATTGTGGCGCAAGAATCGCCAGCCCAGCAGAAACAACAATATTGGAACAGACTTGAACCGCAATTATCCATACCAATGGGAGGGAAGGGGATCATCGTCGAACCCCAGCGCCGAGACATTCAGAGGCATGTTACTCGTACCTGTTTCAAGATTACTGCATAGGAGCTCCATGCGTGACGAATTGAGACTAACCGCCGCTACCGTTAAAAAGGCTTGAGACCAGGCGACTCACCCGAGGTCCAGGCACATACCCGCTTTATGCAGAGTGTTGCACGGTCCCAAGGAGTCAAGATGTATGTGGATTGGCACTCGTACTCCCAGCTTTTCCTGACCCGTAAGTACCCCTCCGTCCCAAACAGTAGAGAGTTGAAGATGCCTGACAACCTCCTCCCGGTTAGCCTACGGATATCACTGCAGCAGGCTTCCACAAAACCACCAGAAGCACATCAGCCTTGCGACAGCCTTTGCTCAGGCGCTGAGAGCGGTTCATGGCACTTCTTTTAGAGTTGGGCCGACATGCAATACAATCTACCAGGTCAATGGAGACAGCGTCGACTGGGCGGTCGAGGTCGGCGGGTTCGAACTCGGATTCGCTGCAGAGCTGCGAGACACAGGTAGACATGGATTTGTCCTTCCAGCGTCGCAGATCAAGCCCAGCGGTGAGGAAACCTGGGCAGGCATCAAGGCTCTGATGGCGAGGATGTGAGCAGGGCGAGATCGGTGTACGGCGGATGCCTCGGCGCCTTTCTCTGTATCCTGTATCCTTATTGCTTGAAGCAACGCTCATGTCAAGTACAGAGCTAGATAGCATTTCAAGGGAAATAATAAATTCGAGTAGTTTAGTAGCGTGGTTCGCGCGAAGGCGGTTTTGTTAGTTCCCTCGTAGTAAGTAGTTAACTATTTGTTGATGCGGGTGTGTCTTGGCAACCATCATCGCCCTCTCCCCGCAACCAACAACTGGCGACAGGCGACCGTCCGCAACTCGACTCCATCGGACAGCAAAACATCACACTCGTTCCGACTGTGAGTGACTGTCTACCGCCGGTAGCTGCTTGTATTATATATTCACCTCATTCCCCTTCTGCCCCCCTTTTCGCCGTCGGTTTTGACCATGCCTTCGAACATCGAGATCGCTTCCTCGTTCGTGGAGGGCGCCCCTCCTGGTGAGGTACGTCAGGCGCCGGATGCTCATGGATTCACGGCCTCTCTGACATCTCTCGCATGCTAACTTCGTATAGCTCAATGATGTTGTTGCAGGTATGTACGAGGTCTTTCAATACTGATGTCGAACGCCTGGAGGCTTTGGGCTGGAACTAGTCCGGTTCAATTGGATAACCGCGAAGCTTCATAGATATAAAAGCTCTCACGTCCGACGGCCCCGATATTATTAATTCCCTTGAGCCTGCTTTCCGGTCATATAACGAGACGCAGCTGACGACAACGAAGCTGGCGGGCAGCAGTCAGGAGGTGCGGGCATTGCTGTGTCAATTGAGATCCATTACCCATCCGATGTGCTGAGAACTTGGAATTTGAAAAAAAAAATTACAGGTTATCGTGAGCTCTTATAACAGATTGGAAGACGGTCGGTATTATGACGTTGAAAGCCAGACGGCATTCGAATTCGACCACGTTTCTCAGGCGAGTTTTCCTCTCCCCTTGCTCCATTTGCATGCTCCTGTTCTGACTCTGGCCACTGAAATACAGATAGCTTCTGCTCCAAAATCTCATCCGCTCGAGTCGCAAAATTCAGATCTCATGTATATTCCCCCCCCCCCCCCCCCCCCCCGGAAGTCCCCAGCCAACCAAAAAAACAAAAGACCCAGCCCCTAGCTCGTCTCACCCAAGTCATGTCGGCAGCACAGTTGACATCGCCTGCATCGCAGCAAATCCCTCCTGAAATCCCTGTCATCACATACCCGGGAACATTTTGTTAGTTGCTCCTACGGCGTCTACCCTACGGATAACGATTCGTCCGTGACCATACTCCTGGTTGCTAATAAATACTCGCCTAACAACTTCTGGAACGGCCGCTACCGGACAATCTACCACGTCCCCATTTCTTCGCCGACCACCATTACCGGAAAAATCCATGTAGATGTCCATTATTACGAGGATGGAAATGTGTCCCTTAATAACACAAAACCGGTCTCAATTCCAATACAGTCCACCTCGGCGGAGACGATCGTTAGACGGATCGCCGCGGCCGAGAGAGAGCATCAGCAAGAATTGAACGAAGCGTTTGGGAGACTTGCGGAGGGCGCGTTTAAGGGCTTACGCCGGCAACTACCGATAACAAGACAGAAGGTTGAATGGGAGAAGGTCGGTGGGTACAGGCTCGGCCAGGATATCGCTGGTGGGAGAGGGCAGTAAAACCATGCCTAGTGAACGAGGGAAGTCCACTGTATGTTCTGTCTGAGCCCATGATGCATAGAAGCGCTTAGAGACTCATATTGATTGTAAATGTGCTCCTCGGCTGTCGACAAGAAAATCACCTGCCCTGGGGTGATCCTGATTCGCCAGTTCAGCCAACCGGGGGTAGATGCGCGCAACCCTATGTTACCACGTAAAAAGACGTCAAGGGTCGCCAAGTTACCATGGACATATATTTATATATTCCATAACACATATACAGTCAGTTAGACATGGTGCTCTGATGATTTCAAATATCCATGCCTCAAGTAGGAGCCAGTCCCTTCGAGATTACATTATGATTCCGTAAGAATGCTTCGGTCCGACCAAAAGTTACATTCCTCTTCACACCATTTAATATCGCCCATCTGAGCCGCAACGCCAACATGCCCTCCTCCGGCTCGCTCATCGTTTCCATCCCCAAACACCATCACGCTCCTTGCACTCTTCATTCGGAATCGGTCCCACCTCGGTCTGTCAGCGTACTCGCCCTTGATATGGTTCGGATCACCTTTCGTGATGAACGACGTAATATACGCGTGGATAAATCCAGCTATCGTCTCCTGTGTCTTGGAGAACTGGCGTGCGCCGCGACCGTAAACTTCATATTCACCCTGGTCACCGTGGCTGGCGCCCCCTTTGACAGTTTTGTTTAACGCCCAGTGGTATAAATATACAGGTTCCCTCTGGCCCTCGGAAGCCAGGTGTGCCGTTTGTCTAACGGGACAGACATATGCGAATTGTCCGTAAGCGGCCGTTATACGTTTGTATTGCGGGCCGACGTTTATCTGGCGATGTTCAACGTAGGGAGATTCGGGGTCTTTTAGTGGATCTGGGTAAATCTTGTTGAGTAGTCTGAGGTCTGAAGGGGGCAAGGGTGGGATCAAGGCACGGAAGAAATCGTCGAATTCTTCTGAAGTTGCGATGTTAGAGGGCACAAATGGAGCACCTTCGTTTGTGTTGAACCCCGTGAGAATTGGGATTTTGTTCCATACCCCGGATTTCCAGTTTTTGATGGGTGCTTTGTCGATGATTTCTCCGTCGATGACGGGTTGAAAGGCCCATCGATCGGAGGGATTGTAGCGGTTGAATATCCTCTCCGAGGCACGAGCAATATCAAGTACCGGTTTGCTCCTGAGACAAGGCATCACCTTATCATCCGAAATGTTGGAGCATTTAGCTTCCAAGAGGAATTCTTCGAATTGCCTTTTATGTAGTGCGTTATTAGGGGGATAAACGGCCCGAGCGGTGGTTGCGCCGGAATCGATTATTGCTCTATGGAAGAGGCGCTTCGATCTAGTCTTGTGCATAACATGATGGCCGATCTAGGCGTGTTAGATGATCCCGATTTCCCCGCAGAAAGGACATAGTCGCACCGAATGAGCACCAGCGGAGAGTCCAAACAAAGTGACTTGACTAGGATCTCCACCAAAGGCACCAATGTTCTTCTGAACCCACTCAAACAACAGAATCTGGTCATGGAGACCGAGATTCAGCGCATTTTCCTTTTCTGTAATAGTTGAAGGCAGAAATCCAAGAGCCCCCAGTCTGCGGTCCAAATGTGTGATCAGCTCGTGGTCGTCACCTGAACATATACAGTCAACCCACCGGTAATTGAAATTTACTATAATAAACGGCTCTTCCGACCACGATATCATGTTTGCAGAACTATGGTATCTTCCTATAAAAAGAACTCATGAGCACACCTGGGCTGTTGAGGTCTCAAAATGATGTGGCGTACCGGCTCCGCCATTGAACGCTCCGCCGTGGAGGTAAACTGCAACAGGCAACTTGGTATTATGTGGCCTGTCTTTTGGGCGAAAAAGGTTTAAATTCAAGCAATCTTCGCCCCAATCGTCTGCGGTCCATCCGAGAGGGCCGGCTGGGCATCTAGCAAGCGACAGTAAGCAAAGAACTTGCGACACCAACGGACGTAGCTGCGGTCACAATGAAGCAGAGCCCTAGAATACCTTTTGCCATATTTCGAGGCATCGATGACCGCAACTGACGGCTTCACTGGTTGGGCACGCTTGAATCGCCTCTCGCCGGCTGGTGGTTGACCATATGGGACTCCAAGAAAGGCCTCGATCGGGCGAGGGAGCGAGCTGTCGGTCAAGACTGTACCGACGACGGTTCCCTGAGATATGTCTACCGACGGTGCAGCTCTCGCAAGGAGATACGACAAAGCCATGTGCAACCAAGAGGGAAGAATTTCGAGGTGCTTTTCTCTCAACCACGGCCAATGCCAGAAGCCTGTGGTCACGGACGGAATCCACAAGAATAAAACATAAATGCAGACAAAGGCGAAGACTGCAAGGAGCAAAATTGGTCTTCGCCGGCATCGAAGGAGACGCCAGGCGCCGACTGTGCCGCTTGAGGTTGAGCACAACCTGCGATGGGCTGAATTGGCCCCCTTTTCCTGCTTGTCCTCATTGTAGCGCGGGGACAATTTGTGCATTGTAGCACTAACTTAACCTGCTCAGCTGGGTAAATAGTTTCGCTGGGGGGAAAATACACTTTAGGACTCCTGCTTTATTTCTTTTGTCCAGTGCTCCAACCGCACAGCTCCTGTTGTCCGGAGAGGATTTCGTGGCAGAGTTCGATCTCTGATGGGCGCGTCTCAGCCTGGCGATCTCGGCTGATAAGTTAGTCAGTCCAATCGCAAGGCTAACCACGGAGGAATTGATGACGGAACTAGCACGCCACACAAGCCAATACCGCTGCAGATCATCAGAGTACATATTTTGCTTTGGCAAACCTTTTGATCTCGCAGCTCGCGAGACAACTGTGGAATCAACGAGGTAATGCGGAGGACGGCACTCTGCTCTCAAGTGCTAGGTCCAGAACACAAGAAGGCATTCTATATGGCTCTTCCCCGTGTCACAACGAAAGGGAGGGAACCCTTGCCGATGGTGACGGCACACGGCTGGCATCTGGGAAGCCAGACCAACTCTTTCATGGCAGATATTCTCGACTGACAAGAAATTGTGTCAACTATAAATTTGTTTCCTGGCGTCTCTTCTTTCATCCCGTCTCTCCAGCTAAGTTACTGATGAGATTCGTGCTCGGAATGCTGCCGCAATAGGATGCGAACGTATGCGACAAGCCGTATCCCCGCGATGTGGAATTCGTCCTTGAACCCTCTGTATAGATAATACTGCATATGAGCGAGTTGTATGTATGTGCTCCATACTTTACATACATGCGACCAGGCTTGCGAGCATCCTTCTCTTCGTTTTCTCGTTTGGATAAAAGCAGGGCAACTGCGGAGTTAGTTACGCCAAAGCTATGACATTCAAATAGGCACGCAAAGTGAACTCTTTTTGACAGACATGATCCCACCGGGGCAGAGAATCTGCGACTTTAACTGAGTTTGTTCAAACTAGCCTGGGGCAAACTGGCAAACGGAATAGCGACGTCCAGACGACAGTATCGTGGCTAACTGGAACTCAAGCATACGCCAATATAACCCGAGATGTTGCTCCGGAATATGTCTTTTTCTGGGGTGCAACGAATAACTCCCCAGTAACATTTCATTACGGATCGAGTGAGATATGGATTAGCCGCCGGTTCTCAATCAGTGTTCACTACGGGAATTGCTTAATCACGGTATGGACACCGAGTAAATGCATATCATCCGGGGCAACTCTGGCTTCTTAGTACAGTCTCCAAAGTGTCAAGCACCAGTGTTGCCTCGCTCATAAGTTCCAACCAGCACCTCCTTCACCAGCCATGTACGCTCAGCATGCCAGATTTACAAAGAAGGCTGCTCTCCATTGCGTATTTTTGTGTGTGAGTGTGTGTGTGTGTGTGTGTGTGTGTGTGTGAGTGAGAGAGAGAGAGAGAGAGAGAGAAAGAGCGCCAGGTAGGTACCGGCGCCTGAGACACTGGCAATCTATAGTTATCCCCAATTATTGTTTTCCGAGTCGGCCTCCCCTCATCCAGGAACCTGAGACGAAAAGGGTTTGCGGATCAAAGTCAAACGATTAGCACATATGGACTGTATACTCCATACGGCGAAAGACAACCTCATTCAGGATCAGCAGGAATGGCCAGTTCAAAGCGCATGCTGATGCTCTCTGGACGTCCATGGCTAGCGTTATTCATCTTATCCCTTCAACTCCAAGCAAGCTGCCCTTTGTCGCCCGGCTTGATCTCTTCACCGCGGTTGGATGTCTATTAGCCGTGTTGGCCGCATTTGCTGGACCGAGGTTAACTAGTTAACTAACTCGCGAACAGGTTTGGGCCAACCAGATTGCAAAGACGCAGCTCACCTCCGAATGACATCCTGTCAACAAGTCAACACGGTTTCTTTTCCTGCTGCGGCCCAGATTAAAAAGAGAGAGGGGGGGAAAAGAAAAAGAATAAGAATAAAGAAAGAAAGAAAGAAAGAGGAAGAAGCTTTTTGTCGCAAACTGAGAGACGATGCCACGCATCAATAACAAGAGGATCTAGCCACAGCTGCTCTGCAGCTTTCACAGAACCCCAGGCCATACCAGGTCTCCACCCATTCCAACGGCGCGACAAGCTTGCCCAAAGCATCCCCACATATGGATTGACGGTAACTTGCTCATCCTTTTGCTTTGCTTACTCTGATGAATTTCCAGTGGGGGATATACCTGCAAATTCGCCACCTGTCGCTAAAATCATGGCGGTGACCGCAAACGCCGCGCGCCATTCACTTGGTGGTCTGGGGCATGAATATGAAAGGATCCCCAACAGTGGAACAAGCTGATCTTCGGCGCCCGAAGATGTCAACTAGCTTGGCAACCTCGGTAGCGTTTAGCTGCTTGTCAATCCGTACCCGCTCTTTAACGCAATTACCAGCAGGTTACTGTTAAATGAGGAACACCCCTCAGCAACAACGACGCCAATGGATTGAATTTATAGCTTTTCTCTGTGTCAGCTTAGGCGTGTTCGTTTCACTTGAATTTTCAGCCCTATCTGTCTCAAGTGCTGTATCATGGAGAAGCAAAGAAGAATACCCGTGGTAATTGGCGTCGGTGATATAAAAAATGCCTCCAAAACGACCGAGGATGCTGCCGAGCCGCTGCAGCTTATCCTGCAAGCAGTTGAAATGGCAATAAAGGACTCTGAGGTTTCAAGCCAGGCAGTCAATCAACTCAGGTCGAGCATTGACAGTGTGGATGTTGTCAGGACATGGACTTGGCCATATCCAGATCTACCAGGTTCAATTGCTGAGAGGTTAGGGGTTCAACCAAAACACAAATTTTATAGCGACAATGGTGGCAACTCTCCCTGCAAGCTCTTCGATGAAGCTGCCCGTCGTGTTGCCCTGGGACAAAGCAACGTTGCGTTGGTTACAGGAGGCGAAGCGCTGGCCTCACGTATGTATTATGGTCAGGTATATTTCCTTTACCAGGACAGATCTGCTGAACTTAGGCTTTTTTTGAAGTCGAAGCTTTCGCGCGGGAAAAGAAAATGCCTCCACCCGGTTGGACACAGCCGGATGAAGCTGTCACTGGCGTGTTTTCCGTGAAGAATATGAAATTGAAGGAAAGTGAGTATACGAACGCCTTATGACTGGGTTTCAATACAAAACCACGCTGACCTTAATATGATCAGACCTGGGCTCTATCCATTCTATCGGGCTCCCAGTCCAGATATACCCACTTTACGAAAACGGATTTAGAGCTCGTCGCTCCCAGTCACTACAGGACAACCACCGGGAATCAGCTGAATTATATGGCGAATTTGCCAGAGTGGCAGAGAAAAATCCTCTGGCTTGGAGTTATGGCAAGCCGGCCGAGACGCCTCAGTCTATTGGAACTGTGACCAAACGCAACCGTCTTATCTGTTCTCCATGTAAGTGCGTTGTGATTTTCATACTCTTTGCATAACATCTAACTTGCAGCATAGATCCCCTTCTCATGAACGCGTTTAATACGGTCAATCTTGCCGCGGCCTGCCTTATAACGAGCACTGAATTTGCACGAAAGCTCGGTGTCCCTGAAATTCGGTGGATATATCCTTTGGCTGGTGCAGGAACGGCCGACAGCAGCAACTGTATGTACATATACCACCTCCCAGGTCACTCCTATGCAGACCACCTAATTCATTGGGAACGCAAAACGATAACACCCACCCGATATAGTTTGGGAACGCCCGGATTTCTATTCAAGCCCGTCGATTTCTAGGTCGCTAGACACGGCTCTGGATCTCTCAGGTTTGCAAAAGGAGGATATTGATATTTTTGATTTTTACTCGTATGTGACCCATGCGTGCGCTCTACTCGAAATATACATGGGTCAAATAACCAATCCAACAGCTGTTTTCCTATCGTTCCCAAACTCGCCTGTCAGCATTTGGGGTTGCCGATTGTCAACTCACCAAAACCTATTACACTCCTTGGAGGGTTAACATCCTTTGGAGGTGCTGGGAACAATTACTCTATGCATGTAGGTCATTTGATGCTTTAGAGATCCATGGCTTGATAATTTTCTTTTTACTAACAATTACATATGTAGGCTATCACGGCTATGGTTCACCAACTCAGACAGGCCTCTGGACGCCCTCATCATGGATTGGTCCTAGCTAATGGCGGAGTGCTAAGCTACCAACATGTCGTTGTTCTTTCTTCTCAGCCCCGAAAACATGGATCACCTTACCCGAGCGAGAAGGCCCTTCCAGATGTTTTGACTGACATGGACGTCCCAGTCGTTGACAGCCAGGCCGAGGGAGAGGCGGTCGTAGAAACCTACACTGTTGAATACAGCAGGGACGGCACTCCATTGCGGGCGTATGTGGTGGGACTTTTGAAGAGTAACAACCACCGGTTTATTGCCAATCACGGAGACGAAAATACATTGACGCAGCTTTGCAATATATCGGAAGAACCGATTGGAAGAACTGGCTATGTTAGAAGCGACTCGGACAAAAAAGAGAGGAACTTGTTCAGCTTTGAAAGAGTCAGGAAACTGTGAAGAAGAGTCGTTTCCAATCGGTCTATAAACATCATATGATAATGCTAAGATACTCCATATACATCGACCATCCTCCATATCTTGGTGTCAACTATATGTACCCTATGAAAAGCAAACCATCTGGGAGTCAGTTCATATATGGCCAGTATACCAAATGACGCAGCCGATCAACGCTGTTTTACAAAGTTTCTCGAGCTACCGGCGGTGATCTACCGTCAGCTCATACCAGACTCATGTGTAGCCGAACGTGGTCGTAGATCCCTGTTTCGAGACAATGCAATCTTTCAGTAGTGTAAGTGCTCCGGGACCGACTCTTGCGGCATCATTATTCAATTCTTCTAGGGCAAAGGTGCTTTGCGGAGCTTCTTGGGGGGGGGGCCTTATCGGACTAAAGGAAGGCTAAAGGTGAGTGGGAAACAAAGTGGGAGCATAAATTCATCTTCAGAACGGAAAAGACTCAGATCGAACACGGGGATCCAGTGATACGTCACGTCAAGTAGAATGCACACGATCAGCTCCGCTTCATATATTGGAATTGAAAGGCTCCAATTCCTTTAAAGCGCCAGACGATGCATTTGGTCAATTCCTTTAAGGAGTCTGAGCTGGTCGAAGAAGATCAGACGCATCAAAAGTCCGGTAAGGATTATTTGGGCTGAAATCTTTCCTAACACTTAATTAGGCTTATTGTCAGGTCTTGAACCCGACTTTTCAAACTAGTTGGAATGAACATGGACAGGAGGCCAATCGCCGGCCATTCGCTGATATATCAATTCCTTGGTCTGTGTGACTTCGCAAAGTCTCTGTTCGACAACAAAATTCCAATCGAAGGACGTCGCTTTGACTCCCCCAAGGTCATCACCGGGTCCCCCATCCGCATTTTGATCACACGCAACAAGCACGGCTGGTTGTACATTGGAAAGAGGATAAAGAGAAGCGGCTATCACAGGATTAAACCCCGCGGTATCAAAAGAAAGGCAGACAACTCCAGTTTACGCATGTGGCAGCTCGGGAGTGAAAGGTATACATCTTCATCTCAGATTCAGGTTCAGGTTCCGAACAAACGTGCCATGCCCCAAGGGAGCATAACAAAGCGTACTATTCACGGCTACAGACCGAGCCTGCCAAACTCGTAGGGCGAGTGACTCTATTGCTGTCTGAGTCTCTGGCTAATACACGGGAGCTGCGAGCAGGTAGACCACTCGCGGCTCATCCTCTAGAGCAATAGTACGAAGGTTTTAAGGCCCCAGTTTTGCAGCTCTCTGCGGATATAAAGGCCACGACAGTTGATCAGACAAGAAGCCGATGAAATGCCGGTGACCACTGATACCGCTCATCATGTGCAAGCTAGTGCCGGCTTTCATGATAAGAGTAAACTGCTATTGAACGGGGGTTCCTCCAGCTCAAGTTGTCGATTCCAGCCAAGGAACAAGAAAAAAAAAAAAAAAGTTGCTATTTTTGACCGAGGGACACTAGCCAACCAGAGAGCCTGGATATCGTTGACTTGAGAAAAATAAAGCGGGTATAGTACGGAGTATGTATGATATGGAGAAATCGGCTATCGGAACTGAGAGTGCTACCCTGGACAAACCGAGGAGCAAGCTGTGGCACGCCAAGCACCGTCTGGAGATATGACAACGGTGACAGTTGTTCAGCTCCATAATCTTCGCAAGCGTTCTCGCATCCATAAACCCAGCTGTGTAACACGAACGACCGGGTTACGAGCAGACGAAAAGGGTCTGTCAGCGAACCAGATGCACGATGCTGGACAAAACTCGTTCCGGGCCAGCCGCACTTGCAGCGAACTTTTCGAACTTCCAACGCCGGCCGGAGAAACGAAGATGCGTGTGTGTTAGTCACGTGATTGAGCTGCGGCTGGTGACGGCATTGATTACATAAGAGCCGAAGATGTGGGGTGGGGCGCGCGCGGAAGGGCGGCGTTTTAGACGGGCAAAAGGCAAAAGGCGAGAGTTGGCCGCCCGACCGGCACGAACCTCCAACCTGCACCCGGCCCGCGCTGTGCGCTGTGCCAGCAGAAAATATCCGAGCGCGAGGACTTCTATTGGTGTCCCGGGACGGCGGCCAGAGCGCACGACGGCACGCTTCCGCCCAGACATTGGGGGGGGGGGGGGGGGGGGGGGGGGGGTGCAGACGAGCTGTGCGCCGCGAGACAAAACCACTCCGGCCGGGGGGCATTACAAAGTAGCCACCCTTTCTCCCGCCGGTCAGCTTTCCCCCACGACCTCCGCAACTAGCCGCGCAACACCGCCAGCGATAAAAAGGCTCTCGGTGGAATCCACAGCCGCACACGAATTCCTGCTCTTGAAAGAAAAAAAAAAAGAAAAAGGGTAATTAATAAAGCCCTTGTCTCTGTCGCCCTCAGCCCCTTGCTGCCCGGTGTCTCTGTGTTCTCTTCTCGAGCCCGCCGCTCTGCTGCTGCTGCTGCTGCCCCGTGCCTGAGTCCTGCGCGGTTTCCTGCGGCTTGACGTCATCCCCGTTTGGCCGGGAAAACTGATATGAGCGACGAGAGTTCAACGGCGTCAACGGTAGAATAAGGACGAACCCAGAAGGACAAAGAGAATCCAAACGGCCATGCTACTGCAGCCGCTCGTCGCCCACCTCTCTCTGTTGAGCGTGGGCGTGGGCTTCACCGCCCTGACTGCTCTTCTGGTACGTTTGCTTTCTGCAGCACTCAGATGACACCGAGGAGATGCATGCATCTTTAGAAAATATATCCAAGCATCTTTGACTTACCAGCTTTCCGCTAGACCTTCGGCTACTGCGTGTACAACAAATTCTTCCACCCACTCCGAAAATACCCTGGGCCGTTCCTCGCATCCGTCACTCCCTGGGTGCAGCTGTTCCATGGCCTGAAGGGCGACCGTCATTTGTGGCTGTATAAATTGCATCTGAAATACGGCCCTCACGTGCGAGTTGCACCAAATTTCCTCTCCATCAACAGCGCCCAAGGTTTGCACGACATCTACGGTCATGGCAAAAAGGTTAAGAAGGGAGATTTTTACAATGCCTTCCCCGCAATCAAGGGTGTGTACAATACCCACAACGTGATCGATAAGCACGTCCACGGCAGAAAGCGACGTGTTCTGAGCCAGGCATTTTCCGACAATGCTCTGAAGGGCATGGAAGGTGTCATGTTGGTTAATATTCGCCAATTCTGTGCTATCATGGCCGGTGACGAACCATCTCTCGATGCCGGTGCTCAAAGGACACAGAAGGGTTTCGTTGTCCGGAATATGGCCGATTGGTTTGGATATCTGACGTACGACGTTATGGGTGAGCTCTGTTTCGGAAAAAGCTTCGGCATGTTGATCGAGCGCGGAAAACGGGAAGTTATCGGCCTTGTTGACCGAGCCGCTTACCGTCATTACGTGGTATGTCATATTTCACCCTCCATCCTTGGCCCTCTAGGTCTGGTTGCACGAATTGACTCTTTTTCTTTGTCTTTTTTTTTTTTTTAAATAGTGCGGCTTGTGGATGCCTCTGGATAACTGGCACCTGGACCAGATTTTCATTCGTAAACTTACCAACGATCGGTGGAATTTCATCCAAAAGTCTCGTGTTGAGGCAAATCAACGTGCGAAGGAGCGTACCCAGGCTGGACACGAGGCTAAGAAGGATTTCTTCTACTATCTCCTTAATGCCAAAGACCCTGAATCCGGTCGTGGACTCTCGACTCCCGAGCTCTGGGGAGAAAGCAACGTTTTGATGATTGCCGGTAGCGATACCACATCCACCAGTCTTGCTGCAACCATATTCTATCTTGTCCGAACTCCAGACGCCCTGGCGAAATTGAAGAAGGAGGTCAGAGACACCTTCGACGACGTGGAGGAGATTGTGACCGGACCGAAGCTCAACGAGCTGGTCTACCTGAGAGCGTGTATGGACGAAGCTATGCGACTTTGCCCTGCTGTGCCTGGAGCTATGCCCCGTGAAGTGCTTCCCGGTGGCATCGAGGTCGATGGACTTTACCTCCCGGGCGGCATTGACATCGGAACCCCGTGCTATGCTATCCACCGCAAGCCCGAATACTACCGCGAGCCTCACACCTATATCCCAGAGCGCTGGATCGAGGGTGCCTTGTGCCAGAGCGAGAACGGAATGTGGACATCCTCGAAAGCAAACGTAGACCTTGCGCGCAGAGCTTTCTGCCCGTTCAGCATTGGCCCGCGCGGCTGCATTGGCAAGGGTATGGCGCTGATGGAGATGCGGTTGACGCTCGCCCGAATGATGTTCCTGTTCGATATCGAGCTTGCTGATCGCGTTGGCGAGGATGCCACCGGTCATCTCCACATGGTTGACCACTTCACGAGTCAGAAAAATGGACCAAATATCATTATCAAAAAACGCCAGTTCGCATAGGGTGGAAAGCCTGTAGGACGGTACTCTGGCTGGTTTGGGAGGCGTGTTGTTGTCCTTTCGGAAATTATGACCTGAGATTCTGAATGCCTGCTGCTTTTCTCTGTATGATATCATTGTTAGTGTAGCTAATGGATGTTGCTTCAATTTTCCCGCCTCCTCTCCAGAAAGACGTTGTCCATTATCACCAAGAGGTGAGGCTGTGAAAGAACTCCGATCTCGGACTCGTTAGAGCTATGAACAAGGTTCCCAGCAAGCTTGTTGGCCCTAGCCTTCTGATTCCTGGAGCATAGTGAGTTTTTGTGGAAGTTTGGATGAAGCCGCCTTCAACGGAATACGGAGTAAGTAATTAGTTTCTCCGAAGTTAACTGCCACGTGGAAGAAGGAAAAGAAAAAAAGCCTCGACCAGCAGACAAATTGCATATTTGAAAAATGGGCTCGTCACGAGAGAGACTGCAACTGGCTGCCGACCATAAAAGCCTTCGAGCACCGGGCAAATCCACTTTGAAGCTTATTTTGCTGGTCATGATTTGGACAACAGAGGCTGATCCGTGTCACCCAGGTTTAAGTGACCAACCCCGAGCTTCAAAGCATTGCAAAGATAAGCTGAATGCAGTGGGGATTGGAGAGCGTGCCATCCTGGGGTTTCATGCAGCCAACCGGGTTCCAGATGGCGGAAGCATGTGCGCTCCCAACTTGCTTGGCCATGCTACCATTGAAGCAACCGGGAAGCTCACATTCGATTCCCATGGATTATGAGCACGGTAGTGTCGAATATAGCCCGTATTGCAAGTGAACTCCATTCCTTCGGGTATCACCATATTGATCCAGACCGTCGCAATGTGACGTGAGATGCCGGCTACAAGAAACGCTATGCTGACCGCCTCCTTATCAGCATTCTCCATGGCTACATTATTGGTCCTAAGAATATATTTCGAGCCTGTGCGGCCCCAAAAATCCTCCCGCCCTTGAAGTGACAGGGATTTCACAGTATTTGTGGGGTATAGCAGTCCCTGTGCTCGATACCAGCAGTGGCGGCTCTGATTCCATATTTCCATGTGAAAAGACCCGGCTGGTGAGACACCAGAGAGAATGGCGGTTAGGGCTGCGGGGAAAGATATAAAAGTGTTTAAAATGTGATAATAGCCATTACGATGGATGCCATTGAACAATGAATCCGGGCGTACGGAGTATGATGTTTAGGATATTATGGATTTTTGGCTGATTCAGTACGCTTGCAGTGTCAAAATTATCAAGCTCATGCCCCTGATGAATAATATGCCTCACTTCGTGCTCTTCTCCGAGATTGCAAGTGGTTCTACGGTAAGATTCCCACATTCGCATGTAAAGATCCACCTTCGGATGAAGGGACAAGGTGTAAGTCAACAAACACCTCTCCGGAGGTTAAGACTTGCGGCAGAAAATCATTCCTTCTCGTGCCTCCAGGTCACACCTCTCAGGAGTAAACATGAATGCAATTCATATCAAAAATATTCAACCAATTTATCCAATCATTAGAGTTATCCAAGCCATAGAGCTGAACACTATTAGCAAAATTCAGACCAGCTGGATTCTAAGCTATGAACCAAGTTGCCTATTTGGCCGGGATAATTGGGTTCATTTTGCCAAAAACGGAATCGGGGTCGTATCTGGCCTTGAGCTTCTGTAATCTCTCGCCATTGACTCCGTATATGCTAGGAACCACGATATCACCGGCTACGAGATGCGTTTAGTACCAGTACTGGTTTCGTGATCGAAGCATCACAAAAGAAGGGGGAAAATTGAATAAATCTGGCCATTAACTTACGTTCGGCATAATTAATATATTGAGGAACACCCTCGCCGGATGGAATCCCATTCTTCCTAGTTTCGTCGAGCTCCTCTTTGAACAACATCTGCAAATCTCGAGACCACTGCCGGTACCTCACATCGTTGGCTGAATTTTCCCATCTCAAGCTCAGAACGCCATTCAAGGTGGTCCCGCGATTGGCGAACGCGGTGTCGGTCAGCTTCGTTTGGATAATCTTTCGCATATCAAAGAATTCTAAAACCAGTACAGAACCGCCCATATCAGTCTCTTCTCGCAGTTTCTGAGAAACCATGCTAGCTATCTTTCTGGCAAAAACCGGGCTTAAGGGCGGGGCGAAGAATAAACCCTTAAAGGTTCTGCGACCGCCGTGTTGAGCTGCTGCATTCATCAGCGTGTTGACTTCAGAATATGGTATCATTTTAGCTTCGATGACTTCCGGCTTGAGGGCGAATAGACGCTCAAATCTCTTTTTGCCTTCCTCTTCTGTGCCATTGTGAAATACAATCACAATTAAGCTGATATCGGGAGCATTTGGCGGCCTGGTGATGGCACATACTGCACCCGAGTTTTCATCCGGATTTTGCAGTGTAGAATTCAATGCTTCGATAACGCCTTCCAATTTGTCGACAGTAAAAATCAGAGGACCTGCGTAAACTTGGTTTACCTGCTCGTAGCCCTGATATGTGAATTCAGCAGCGACGCCAAAGTTATGCCCTGCACCCCGGATTGCCCAAAAGAGATCCGGCTCCTCTGTAGCGGATGTCGTCACGATCCGCCCGTCTGCGAGGACCATCTTTGCGGAAATGAGATTGTCAATCACAAGTCCATATTTAGCACTCAGCCAGCCGTATCCGCCGCCCAGTGTCAAGCCTCCAATGCCAGTATGGTTCACGGTGCCACCAGGCATGGCGAGATTGTGGGCAGCTGCCGCAGTATCAACATCCACCCAAAGAGCTCCCCCCTGGGCCGTAATTGTTTTCTTTGTAGGGTCGACCGTGACCTTGCGCATGAGAGATAGGTCGATAACGAGGCCTCCATCGCTGGAACTGGTCCCCGAGACGGAATGACCGCCTCCTCTAATAGCCAAGTCGATATTGTTCTCTTGGGCGAAACGGACGGCTTTGGAAATATCCTCTGCACTGGTAGCGAGCATGACCAGGCCCTGGAGTCTCCCTGGTCAGCCATCAACCTCAGACAAACAGTCCTGAGATAAAACTGGCTATCCATTTCTTTCGAACTGCAAACTTACAGCTCGTTTCACCGCCGCGTCAGACCATCGCTTAATTGCATCTTCGTAGCCCGGGGATGAAGGGGTGAGGACTTCAGAACCCTCCAGCTTTGATCTCAGAGCTTCAGCCATCTCGACGGTAGCTTGGGTCTCACTTGATGCCATGCTGCAGAACGGCGGGCGAAAGGCGCGGGGATATTCCGTAGAGGCGGGCGAACGGTCGGGCGAAAATGGTTGACGTCAAGGCCGGCCGTTTTTGAGCGCAATCAATGACCAAAAAGCTTTGAGCAATCCGTGGTCGATGATGAATGAAGGAGGCCGAACGGAGAAACCCGAGTCGCGAAGGAAGTGGGTTTGTCGTATTTATAACTAGGCGTTGTGAACCCCCTCACTGCACCGGCTCGCAACTAACTTCTGGTTGTCCTCAACGCTCGGATCGATGATCCAACTGCGAGAGGGGGCAGCAAACCTGAATGCTGAGTGAGGGAAGTTCCCGATCCTCACCAAAAACCCGCTTCAACTAAATCCTCTTGGCCTGCACTGCGCGAACTGCCGGCTTATGCCTGACCGGGTTTGCCCTTTTGACACCGCACAGCCAAGAATGGTGACAGAATTTCCCGTCCACAATCATCGCCGCGATCTTTAGTCCCTTGAACCTTGCCTTCGGCTGTTCCTCCCCACTGGAACTGCCAATGGATCATCCTGGGAGAGAACCGTGGAGCTTAGAGCGCGTGTTCGTCATGATATAACCGTCTAGAGAACGGACGTACATATTAGATTGAGTTTCCGCGACGGTGCTGGCCTTAAAATATGGCAATTTTGTCAATTATAATTCGTCTATTTTATATATCAGCCTACTCGTCTCATCTCTATGTCCAGTTCGCCATGTCCAGGATGATCTTGAATATCGTCTTCACAGTACCGCACGGAGACCTGAGTGGTCTTCCTGATTGCGGTTTCATCCGCGAAACGCCCGCTATCCTCCGATGCACCCTTCCTGTCACCTTCAGCACCAGAATACACCCCGTAATCCCGTGCCAGCTGCTCATCACTGGACTCAATTTTTGTCCAATACCCAGCTACCTCCCTTGCGCTGGCAGGGTTCGCTCTTCTCTTGTTCGAGGCATGTCCTTGGCTCGCCATACTTTGGCCCGTCCCATATTTGTTCGTGAGCTGAGACGAAAGCCAAGGGAAGAAGCGTGATAATGGACGCCAAAGTGTAGGCATACAGGCGCAGATGATGCCAAGGTTGGTTTCAATTACCGTCCACATGGAAGAACCGATATTGGTCCAGGGAGTGTCTAGATGCGACGTTGCCACGTTGAGGGTGGTGAAGCGAAGAACGGAGGTTATACAGACGCTGGTTCACTGTTACTCTCCGGTGTACGGAGGAGGAAAAAGAAGAAAGGGGGGAAACTCACAATAGACCAACAGCAAATACACTGGAAACTGCAATCTTGGTTCTGGTAGGTGAGTGCAGTTTGAAAATCACTGGAATTGGGAGGGCAATGATGACGGCGTCGCTCAAGATATTAAATGCAGCATTGGCATACCAAAATGCAGTAAGATTAAGGCATTTCCCACCGCCAGGGGTCGTTTTGTTAAAGGCATAGTGCACCGGAGTGCATTGGAAAATGCTTGAGAAGACAGTACCCGTGGTAAACGCAATGATAACGCCGATACATGTCCAGCACGTTTTCCTAAACCACGGCTGGATGAAGACCTTGATGTAAAGGAGCAGGATGCTGATCTTGGTCAACCCTATATTAATTTTATAGAAAATTTGCGCATAGAAATAGAGCTAAAAGGGCAATCGGGGGTCAGCTGAATAGGCGCTGCATACTGGATTTTCATATGCGCAAAAATTATGTACCTTGAGACTTTTTGCCAGTAACGCTGGGTCAATTCTATTGATATCGTCTTTGTGTTTTCCAAAAGCCCATTGGCAAACTGCGAGTCTGTTAGAACATATCCCATACAGAAAGCAGCCAGGCAATAAATCACAGGTATTACTCACTGATTATCATCTGGATCGAAACAGTCTCTGAAAATATCTGCCAGCACATGCTAACCATTAGAATGAAGGCCCTCGACCGAGTTTCGTCAACCATCCAAGAAGGATGGGGGAGAGACAGGCCAAGAACAGTACCGATGAAGCCAGAATTGCCCAATCATCAGGCCCAAAACGTTTGGCAAAGACTCTGCGACTCCAGAATCTTGCGACAATGAAGAGCGGAGTCACGATTGAGAAAACCAGCGATGGGATAGCCAAACGATCCGAAATGTCTTCAATGTCTCCATAGTGACTGAAGAGCGGCATTATACCAATTCACGCAAGGACCAACTGGCATGTACCATGGTGGAGCGAAGAATCCGGAGTCAGCTTGCGGTGAACGAGCGAGCAGAACCTTCTCATTGTATATGGGGGAAACCCTGGGTGCCATGCAATCCATGGGGAGGACAGAAAAAAAAGGGATCAGCTATTTTCGAAATATCGTTTTTAACCTTGCTTGAGATCCAACAACGGGACGTCAAGATGCATCTCTTGTCCATTCGTATACCTGGGGTATAGCAGCATTTTCCGTGAAATATGGATGCAAGGGTGGACATCCCGCATTTCACGGGTAGAAAGCAAGGCACACAGAGAGATTCGCATGTCAAGAAACAAGGCCCTGTCGCTTTTCCCTGGACACCTTGATCGCAGAAGCATTTGCCAAACCGTGTAAGCGACAAATTGATGTCCCTAAACAATGGTCCATCTTTTGCGTCGCCCAGCGGAAAACCCCCTTGATGCCTCGCTAGCGAAAAGATTTGAAGAGGAAAAAAAAAAAAAAAAAAAAAAAAAAAAAAAAAAACCAACAAAGCCAAAAAGAATTGTCCGACAGGATCAAAGATAGGGCAAGATTTTTTGCTCGGCTACTAAAGGGAGATGAGCCAATGATCGCCGATGACAAGCAATGGAGATGAACTGTTCGATGGGCCAAGACGGGAGCGACAAGGGCCCGGTGTAACGCTTGTGATCCCGTATTGCCTGGCCACCAACCAGGGCTGGCGCTGGCCAGGTTCTTAGCAGCTTCCAAGTTCCCGAGTCCTTCCATTCCCCCCCAAAAGGGGAGCATTCTGGCAGTGTCTCACCCCCCGGGAAGCCTTCCCCAGAGCACAACTCTAGCGAAATGAGGAAGATACACGATGGCACCCAATTATCTGTAGGTGCGTGTATGGCTCATGATCTCGGAGTTAGAGGCTGCACATCCATATTAAGTAAGATGAAAAATATCTCTGTCACCTCCCGAAACGCCGTGGCGTCGATCCCTGCCCGCACAAGCGGCCGTGCGGAGTAGTGAGAGCGAGAAACCGACATGCCCTTCTGTTGGTACATGGATCAGAGGTAACCTCTGCGGCAGGACCAAGGGGCGCGATACCACAGTGGTTGAACTGTCAAGGATTAAAAACAGGACTCACTGACACTTCGGGGCGAGCAAGTGCCGAACAGCCTGGGCTTCCATTCAAGCCCTCGAATGTTAACGAGTTCCCAACAACTTGAACAAAGATAGTAGTAATGAATGAGATCAGCTCAATCAATGGTTTCCCGGGTTGAATGTGGGACTGCTGCATGCGTGTTCATGTTGATATCGCGTGGTGTGTCTGCGACCCATTTGCTTCCAACGCAGCCGGCCCTCTTGGTGGAAGCGGAAAATTAAAACCAAGCTGCAAGCTGACGGACATTAACTAGTTCGACTGGCTCGTACTCCGTGCTCGATTCCCGGCCCCGCTTGAAATCCACCAAGCATGCGGGATCCAGCGCCCTTTTCTCCCATCTGCAAGTTCCCAAGACCCCATGCAATGACTGCGGAGGGTTTTTCTTTTTAGGGGGAGGTGGCATTTAGAACAACGCCTCCGAATGGAAAACAGGCCAGTTAGCTCCCATCCCGCAAAGCCACAAGGGTCGAATACTCGCAAAGCAGACAGTCTAAGTGTCGGAATAGTTTTGGGAATTCCGGAAGATGAGAGCACTGTCCTGGGCGCTTTCCCTTCCCTGCTTCTTTTATCACCCATCGCCGATCCGCTTCACCTCCTCGTTCACTGTCCCCGCTCTCATTGTCTCGGTGCTTCCATTTGCCTCTGACAGCGCTCACTCTTTTGATGTTTCTTGACAATGGCTTCCGAAAGCTCAGAGGACAAAATCGGTCCAAAGCTGGCTAACAGGGAGAAGTCAGACGTAGAATCTGGCGATGGAGGGTCGTCAAGCCAACTTTCGGTGTCACCGCGCAAGGTACTGCGCAAGATTGACATGCATCTGATGGCTCCTCTCTGGGTTGTATTCGTCTTTGGCTTTCTAGATCGAATCAATTTGGGAAACGTTGCCGTCTTGGGGATTATGAAGGAGCTTGGACAAGTGGGAAACGATTTCAACATTGCGGTTCAAGTCTTCTTTGTTCCTTATATCCTGCTGGATATCCCGAGCAACATCGTCCTCAAGAAATTTACACCGTCAACGTGGATCAGTCTCTTGACTTTCTTGTGGGGTGCGTATAACGGTGTACCTGACTGGCCTCTTTTCAGCACGGAGAATGCAAGCTAACCAACGCTTTAGGAGTTGCATCGATGTGCCAGGGGTTCGTCAAAAACAATGGTGCCCTGATTGCCTGTCGCTTCTTTATCGGTGTCTTCGAAGCCGGTTTTGTCCCAGGTTGTGCCTATCTAATGGCCATGTACTATAAGCGTCATGAATTCCAGAAACGGTTCTCGCTCTTCTGGGTCGCCGGCCTGGTGGCTGGAGCCTTTGGCGGTCTCCTCGCATACGGACTAGACCACATGAGGGGTCTGGGAGGGTATAGTGGGTGGCGTTGGATATTCATCATGGAAGGCCTTATGTCGATCGTGCTCGCCGTTCCAGCAAAGTTCCTTATCGCTGACTGGCCGGAGCAAGCCAAATTCTTAACCGAGGAGGAAAAGCAGTACGTGCTCGCGCGCAATTCTGAGGACGTCGGTGGCGGAGCACGCATGGATCGGCTGGATGCTGAAGCATGGAAACGCATCATGAGCGATTGGAAGATCTATGTTGGAAGTATGATCTATATCGGAATCACGGTCTCGGGCTACGCCACTGCGCTCTTCATCCCTTCAATTGTGAATTCTCTCGGGTACTCTGGTATCGACAGCCAGGTTCACAGCATCCCGATCTGGGTCGTCGCAGCCGTCGTAACCCTAATAGTGTCATACCTCACCGACCGCCTAAGACACCGATTTGGATTCGTTGTGTTTGGTGTCATCGTCGCTAGCATCGGATATATTATCCTTCTATGCCAAGGACCTCCAGGAGGTGGTCTGTCACCTTCCGTCCGTTACATGGCGGTTTTCTTCGTTTGCACCGGAACATACATTGTTCAGCCCGTCGCCATCGTCTGGATGGCAAATAACCTGGGAGGACACTATAAACGGGCCATCGGCTTGGCAATTCAGGTTGGATTTGGAAATATTGGAGGAATTATTGCGAGTAATATCTTCGTCATGGAGGACCGGCCCAGATACTTTGTGGGATACGGTGTTTCTCTTGCTATGATGATTTTCTGCGGAGTCATGAGCATCGTGTTTGCGATTGGACTGGTGAGGGAAAACAAACTGAGAGAGCAAGGGAAACGTGATGATAGACTGCAGCTGGAGGAGCGGATTTTGGGGAATATGGGTGACGATGATCCCCGGTTCCGCTTCACTCTCTGAACAATGTGTATTAGTTCCCAACTGAAAAAGTTTTTGAGTCCAATCCCATCAAGCGCATCTCCGGCCAAGATGTAAACCAACTCCAAAGTTCACTGTATCGTTCGTCAACCGGAAGCCACTGATATCATCACGAAGGAGGATGTGCAAGGTTAGGTTAAAGTTCAACGGCCTTCAGCCTTGCAGAGTCAAAATGGATTCAAGTCGGTGACTTTGGCCGTTGCCGAGCACAGCTGCAACTCAACCCGATGCTCTAAGCGGCCGCCTGGTACCACGCAGCCGAGTACAGTGCCAATAACCATGCAGTCGCCTCAGGCAATCGCGCTCTCGATGTCTCGTCTACATTAAAAAAAAAAAAAAAAAAAAAAAAAAAAAAAGACACTCCTAAGAGCGCAAATTGAAGTCAAAGCGAAGGGTACCTGAATCTTCCCCGAGTAGCCGATATGGCAGACAAGCTGCGCAACTCCTTTCCCTAGCCTTGCTATCCTCTTCAGAAGGTTTATGCAGAGCGGAGAACTGGGTGTCGAGTCATAGCAAAAGGCTGTGCATTGCATTACAGATCGGAGACAGGACGGAGAAGAGTGCGCAAAAGGTGTCGGCGCGTGCCACATAAAGACTAAACGGGGCCCTTCGCCCGCCCTGACATCCAGATATCCGCCATCCCGATCTCTCTGCAAGGGAAAGATTAAGAAAGCCGACCACTTCAAGTGGCAACGAGGGAACATGGCAGGCAAGCTCAAGATCTACGGCAATATGGCCTCGCCATACTCGGATATCGTGCTGCTCACGGTCGCTGAGGGTGGCCTGAAGGACTATGACTATGTCAATGTTGACTTCCGGAAAGGTGCACATAAGGTATGTAACCGACATGGATGCCGTCCTCCTCCGTCGGACCGTCCCATAAAAGAAAGATAAGGGAAGAACAAAAGTGGAAGACAGCAACCAAAGTCCCTTTGGCGCAGCATCCTAGCTTTCTCCTCATGAACCCGATGGGAAAATTCCCTGTTCTCACAACCCCGGAAGGAGACCATCTTTACGAGTCTCGCCCAATGGCGAAATACATCGCCACACGCTACAACGTCACAGATCTGCTCCCCGATACCAAGGATGCCTTGGCTCTCGCGCGATTCGAACAAGCTGTGTGCCTCGAGATGTGTTACTTCAACGCTCGCGCGTAAGAGCTTCTGTAACAATCGTACGGCAACCGCTTCCTCTTCGACCAGCCGGTGGACGAGGCCGCTGTCGCGAAGGCGAAATCCCAACTGGAGTCGCACCTGGACCTGTGCGAGCAATCCCTCAAGGCTGGCAAGGAGTACATGGCGGGCGACAGCTTCGGTCTGGCGGATATCTTCTATATTCCTGCTGTTGCGGAGCTGATTGATGTTGGACATGGAGACCTCATTACCAAACGGGAGATGGTTAATGATTGGTGGCAGAGGTGTCTAGCACGCCCGGCAACGGGGGATTATGTGCAGAACATTCCCAAGCCTGTGGACATGAAACAACCACTGGACCGAGCAAATTGAAACCAGCTCGGCTTGATTGGTTGTCTGAATAGGAGTGATCAGTGAGACATATGAGATCGACGATTAGTTAGCGTCTAGGGAAGAGAGAGCTGGTTGTACTTTTAGATTTCTTAATGAGAAACTCTGCTCCTTTCTTTCTTTCTTTCTTTCTTTTTTTTTTAATCGAAGACAAATCGTTAACAGGCGTCGTGTAACCCGATCGATCCAAGGATGTAGTCATTCCGGACATGGCCGTCCCTAAGGATCCACTTGTATTTAAGAGCTCTTCTTTTGTCTCCGTAGTGTCGTTGCAAATAATCACCGCCCTGATACGGCTATTGCACGGTAAGGAGACATCGAGGCTCCTGGAGCATCTCCAAGGCCAAAGTCACATTATCAATGCGAAAAGTTTGCCGTGCCCCCTACTATTATCTCATAATTAGGTGCAATCCAATTAGTATTGTGTCTCAGTATCTATAGTCTGTTTCCATCTTTTTATACGCCCCGTATGGCACTATACTCTCCAAAACTTAAAGACGCCGATCACCAACGAGTTGCTCCCTCTTCCAGCTTAAAAAAGCCCGATTTTCGTTTCTCCGCTTCCCATTTATCAACCCAAAGCTTCATCTTTTCTCTCGTCTTCCGACTACCCACATTCACGGTCGGTATAACTTTTCCAAGCCTCAGGGCACAGCAGAACATCGTCAATTCCCGGAATGAACTATGTTCACTATAAGGCACCCCAAAACATGAGCTTTGCTTGTTACTACCGCGCTGCGGAACGAGATCATTGACTGTAAAACGAGCCTTCCACGACTCAGATCGGAGAACGGTTGAAACCAACGGATTATCGATCATTCGACCAGCCGGCGGCCGATAGTTCCACCCCGTAGGTCTAAAGCCGACAATATGAGTAAAGTGGGGCTTGAAGGAGGATAGATATTCGGAGAGCGTATCGACACGAATCTCCATTAAGCTATGCATATGAACTTGCGCCTCCAAGGGGTCGCTGGTGAGCAGGCTGGATAGCTCGGGGTCTTCAAGGCAGGCACATATACGTTGTTTTGCAGCCGTTGCGAAGATCTTGCAATTTAACGCTTTGGCTATGCCTAGACAGATCCGCTCCTTGCCAATACTGTAGGTCCCAATGACAACAAGTAACCGTGGCTTGGGATTCCCACCGGCTTTGGCATTGTTGCCGGAGTTATCCTTCTCATCGAGATCTTCTCCATTCGCCTTACCGCGTTTCCAAATATCGTGATGACCAGGTTTGTTTTCATTCAAGCTCATACACATCCGAGCACAGGCGTTGACAACATCCTCCTGGCTCGGAAAGGCATATTTAGGGTTGAGATACGTGGTATCTAAGTAGCAAACATCGATGCGTTGCTGCTTAGGTTGCCCTGTCACCGGGTCCACGGCATCAGGCCTTATCAATGGGTGCTGGATATGGGCGGGAGAGGCTCTGAAATCACCACAGTGGAGGACACGTTGATATCTCCGAGCTTTCCCTTGCCCAAAAACCTTCTCAAATAAAAAAAGAGAGCTACCCGGACAATGATTCGCAGGGATCATCGTAACCCTTACCCCACCCGTCTCAGGAACCTCGAAGGGCTTTTCAAATTCAAGATCAACGATGAATTTTGGGTTGACTTTCAACTGCTGGCGGACAAGGTTTCCGGTGACCTTACTGCAATAAATAGGGCCGTGAGACCAATTCGAATTCAGCCCAATGTAATGATCACTATGAAAATGGCTGAGAAAGTATGCATTGCAACCCTCGACAGCGCCATAACGGAAAGCATCCACGCAAATCGAGAATCCTGGGAGGATCTTGTAAAAAGGACATGTCCTTTCGTAAGCCTGTTTGCCCCTGGAAGCTACTTCGTTGGCGGCTGCTGCAGCCCATGCTGCATCCTCTGCGTTGCCAGACATGATCTTTGAGAAAGCGGAAGACGACGTTGTGACCGTCGAGTTCACCGTAAACGGGCTTCTCTGCCCAGGACGTGACGTAACCTTGAGCTCTGCTCTTGATAGAGATGCCTTTGACACTTTCTTCGTCACTTCACTCTTCATCGTCCTTGGCAGAGGGGCAGAGTCCCCATCGAGGCATTGGTTGACGTGTAAGGAAGCCTCCTTCAAATATAAATGAGTCTCGTTATTGTCGTCACAGGAGCATATGAAATGAAACTTACAGAATCCGTTAAACCCCGGAGACTAGTTTGACATATTGGGCAAACCGCCACCTCTTCGTCATCGGGACATTCTTCAATAGGGCCGAAAGCATTGGCCTCCGCTAATTCAGTAAATTCACTTGGCTCCTCGGTGCCACTGCATTCCGAACCCATTCCCCTGCTGTCTTCATCGGAATCCTCGGAGACCTCCTCACTTTGACGTGGTTCACTGACTTTCATGGACTCGTTTCCAGCTGAGAAGCGATATCCGACTTCCAAGTCCGGTTGATTTTCGATTTCTGACTGTCTTGAAGATTGGCCGAGAAATCCGGGTTCACTCTCGCTATCTGAGTCAATCAAAAAAGGTCCCGTAAACCTAAGTTTTCCCGCTGGAGTAGCGCCTGCAGAATCCTTCGAGGTAGCGTCTCCTTGCGGGACGGTTGTGTCCTGATCTATAGTACCATTCACTTCACCGGGATCCAATTCGAAGCCGTCATACCCCACTTTGCGCTTCTTGACAGCTTTACCGTTTTCATGGTACCTATCCTCTCCAGCGCCATATAAGATGGCGTTATCCGCAGCTCCGGTGCCTGCCCAGAAACCATCCGGAGACGCTGATCTTTCCCTGTCAGAAAACGCCTGCGTGTCCGTCGTAGCACCGTTATTGTCCCTTGCCCTAACGTCCTCAACAAACAGACTCTCAAACTCTTCCACTTCTGTATTCACAGAATCGTTGAGCGACAATGGTCGAGAGGTGCTACTCCGTCGCTGCGAGATGTACTGCGTGATCCGGTTCTGTGATGAAACCGGCTTGGGCGGCGTTTCCGCTTTGTTGAAGAACTGAAGAATACTGGTATTTCGCCTGACGGAAGGTTTTCTGGAGCCGATCCTGATCGATTGGCGAGCAGGTGGTTTGTTCGGACGGAAAAACGGTGAGGCGGAGGGTGGCATGGCTGGCACACTTTCTTCTGGAGGGAGGGGGCGGTAGAATACAAATCGTTGGGGGAAGGGGGTGTCGGTACCATTTCTTCTTGGAGACTATACGAGTTGAAATGCTAATGGAACATGCCTGTTTTTGCAGAGAGAATCCATTCCCGTCACGTCGAAGAATGGATCGCCGTCCGATCAAGAGACACGACAAAACACGCCGCGGGCAGTCACGAGGTCACGTGGTTTTAATTGCTTCCCTCAGCAACGGATGAGTTTGGAGACCCGGCAACGCAGTGACGGAGGATTCCGAAGTTCGCATTGTTACTATGTAGGTTTTAAAATGACTTGGCCAGTTTAAAAATAAGCTATCGATATGGCAGTAATCTTTTGAAATTTTAATGCCATCACTCCAAGCCCCACGGCTACGTATGTGTGGACGTATGTATATATTATATGCCAATGGATCTGTGGTACCGGCGGCCACTATGCCAGCGAAACATCACCTCATGCTGTAACATGTCATTAGCATAGACGTACGCAAGCACGTCTGTATTCTCATCTGTGAAGCGCTCCGAATTTTCAACTCTGAGATCGACGGTGTGTGCTTCTGTAATTCGTTTCGCGATAACGTCGTTTCGTTCCTTTTGGGCATAACTTCAACCTCCGGGGAGGGAAGCTTTTGCGCCATATTCCACCTAAAGAAAAAAGAAAAAAACAACGAAAAAAAAAAAAAAAATATATGCAATCGTGAAATCGAAACGATCATCTCGCTTTATTCGCCTGACTTGCAGCCTCTAAACATCACGAACAAAATGGTCAGCCATCAATCTCCCGAGTTCCGCATCGTCAGTACCAAAAAGGTGTTTTTGTAAAAACGCACCTCTCCTAGTTGCATCTTCCAGCAGTGCTCTGTCCACAGCCTCCTGCGGCAGGACGATATATCTCACCACACTGCCGCGTATAAAGATATTTTTCACGCTAGAAAGATGAGGGTATTTGTCCAGGTCAATGACCTCAATATCATCGAGCTTGATGTTCAAGTACTGATCGACACTCTTGAGGATGCCGCGGATGCGGATATCATTCTTGAGCTCGATGATAACGGTATGGTTCGTGAGGGTTTTGAAGAAGCTGTATTACAACCTTGATATGTCAGCTGTCTACTCAATGAGTTCGCTGTTGAGGGGAGGTGAAGAAAGGACAAAGTCTTAACCTGAAAAAGAGCATGGTGACTGATGTTTTTGCCGGTGTGCGCTCTCTCAAACGCCCAGGTACCGCGGGAGAGGAGGAGAAGGAATGGAGGGAAGGAGGGAGAGAATAATGAGTAAGCGACACGTAGTTTCCACCGGAATCTCAACAGTTATGTGAACGTCGCGCCCAGCAACTTGAGTGAAAGCGGGAGTTGATATTCGGGAGAGCTTCCAACAATGCGCGGACGGAAATTTGTCGGCCCGAAAGCTGCCTGCCCCAATCCGCCCAAGCCTCTAACACTCCAGCCAGGTGTAACTGGCATCCTCCATCCACTTTCTTTCGGTTCTACCAAGCAATCTACCAGATACGTATTAAGATAGAGGCAAGCAACAGACATTGGTGGATTACGTAGATAGGGATAGACGTTTGTTGTGCGAATTTAAGAAGATACAATGCCTTCCATGACAGATATATCTCTCCTTACAGAGTAGACATTTGCAGATCTCGCAGCTCCTTTCCTTCGTGCGCTTTCTTCTTTTTTTTTTTTTTTTTTTTTTTTTTTTCGTCGTTGGTGGAATTTACAGCAGAGAATGCCTTCGATAGTCGAGTGGGACTCTAAGTTAAAGCCAGAAGGGACACAACAATCTAAGCCTAGCTTACAGTGGGCATTATTAACGTACACGAGGCATCGCCAAAGGCAGCATGATGGACTTTCAAACATATTATCTTTGCTTAAATCAGATCATAGGACAAGAAAACTCAACAAAGGAAAAGGATCAAGAGTCTACGATGTCTGCTTTTTCTTAGGCTTCATAGCCCATCCACTCAAGCATCTCCACCCAGCACCGCACTTCCTCCCCTCATCAATAACCGCAGCCGTCTCATCAAGCAACTTATGATTATCGCGGCCCATCTCCATCTGCAATTTCAACATCCACTGCTCCCACATCCAGCCGCCAAACAGGCCGGAAGTACTGGCGATGTCCGCAGTACTTCCCATTAGCTCAGCAGTATCCGGTGAGGATGGTGTCTTTATCCCAGGGACCTGAGCATGTTCGTTATACGGCGCTCCCATGGGCAGGAACAGCCAAGCCCGTTTGAGGTCTCCGAAATTTGCCTTGCGGAGCCTCGACAAGAACGCCTTTGTCGGCGCAGGATCGTAACCGCGGGTCTTGAGGTTGAATCCGAACTCGACGGATGTTGCAGACCCATATGTACCGGCACGAACGATTTCAGAGTCCATCAGGAAGAACTCGAGGTATCCACCCGGTTTCAAGCAGCGGAGACATTCTTTCAGGCACATGTCGACTTCATCATCGCGCGCGCCGACCGGCCGAGAAGACTTTAATAACATGTGCAGGGACCGGGCCGAAATGAGGTCGAATTGGTTATCCTTGAACGGAAGTTTCCAGAGGCAAGGAACAGGTATATGTTGGTAATTAGGAGGTGCCTCCACTGGACTCACTGCTTGATCCTTTGTCACGGCGGTGAAGACCTCGACGTTGGGATATTCGTTCGCAAGATGCCATCCCCACTCGCATGCCGACTGACCTCCAAGGTCGAGAGCTTTAACTCGACGCTTTCCAGGAGTTCCCGGCTGGCCCGGTGGAGCAGCTTCTGCCATTCGCTTTGCCGCCGGGCTAGGTACCAGGGGACCACCGTTGAGAAACTTCAGTGCCTCGATAGCCCAGGCTGAAGCGCGAAGTTGTACCAAGGCATCCTGCTCCTTCTCAACATTTGAAAACATGACTTGCTCCTGAAGAACTGATGTAAGTTTGGAATTACGTGGTGCCTGGGCGAAGGGCCCTCGGTACGGAGGGCGAACCGGGTTGTTCAATTCATATTTGCCCGCAACATGATCAACATGTTTCGCAGGCATACTTAGACGGGCAGCCTGCATGGCTTCAAACCGGAAGTTGCTATGGAGGAAAGCATCAGCGTTCTGTGACGTTTGCTGAACATGCTTAAAACCGAGATAAAACGTGGGTTCTTTTGTTGGCAAAGGTTTGCTCGGGGGCTCCGAAAGCAGTTTTGTGGAGCGTTCCGAGTATTTAGTCGAATCTATGTGATCGGCAGTTGGCTTGGTTTCACCCACTTTCCCACTTGCCGCACTTCCTAGCGATTCTTGAACGGCGCCATTAAGGCGTTTGTCCTCGATTCCTGTTAGATATGCCGACTGAGTAGCCAGCCAAAGGGTGGTGCGATCAAGGTTGGACATAGAATGAGCTTTTAAAGCTTTCGCGTAGGTCGCATCATAATCATTGTCGTTGTTTGCGTTGTTGTTGTTGTCGGGCCCGTCACGAACTCCTTCGCGTTGCGCTTCTTCGGCAAATTCTGCTGGGATTTTTCTTGCAGTTGGTGGGCCTGATACCAGTGCTTTCGCAGTGGGAGGGCCTTCCGTGCCATCATCCGGGCATTCGACAACTTGCTCGACGATTGTATTTCCTTGCGGATCCCACGGCAAGTCGTAAAATTTCTCAGCCATAGCCGACGTGGGCGTGTTTGCACTTGAAAAACACCATGTTTTCCGGGCTTGTCCCTTGAGGGAGGCAAAGAAACCACCGGGAGAGGGCACACTCAACGAGGTGAACGAGGATCCCGAATAGGCCGACGCAGACAAGGGATCGCCAGGATCCTTGTAACGCATGTGAGATAGCAGCTCGTGCATTTCTTTCGCTTCTCCCACTTCTGAGGGCGGTCTGCTTTGAAAACGGTCTGAATTCACCTCGAAGCGTTGGAGGGCAGCCAGCGCGGCAACAGGAAGCTGCAATCCTCTGTTGCTTTCCACGGACGGCGCGGCATCCGACTCACACACCGAAGACGAACCATCCTCGACGGCATGGGCTGGAATACGCGGGAAGTTCCCAAGGAAAGCACTCCAGTCTTCAGGTGCGTCCAGCTGGACATCAAGCCGTGGGCTGGCTGAAGCGCTCGCGGATCGGGAAGGGTGTCCAGACTCCAGATTGCCACGCACTCGTAACCTCTGTTCGCCCCAATTGACATCAGGTACATCAGCCAGATCAGGGGTTTGCGGGGTACTGAACGTTGAGGGTCTATCGGACACCTCGCTGGCACTTCCAGCCAGAGATGGCGGAGCAGCGATCTTAGGGACGTTTTGAGGCAGCTTGGCGAGGGCTAGAGAAGAAACGGGGATCTTGGGCGGCGGAGTAGGAGGAAGAGGTGAGGATTTGGCACCGACCTTGGACGATGGAATGTACAGCGTAGGGAACGTCCGTCGACGGCTATCCTTGGAGATGCTGCTTGCATCAGAGACCGTGAACGAGCTGTTTGACCCCGTTTCAGCCTGGCTCGACAAGGAGGGACAGCTTTCACGGTCCGATTCATCCGTTGCGTCATACAGGTCGTCGAAATGGTCCCGGTGCCGTGCCCGACAGTCCGTTGAACAGGAAGCCCTCCTCGAGGAGGAGATCGAAAAGCGATTCCCATCTCCGTGCTGTGCCAGCGGAGAGGATCCATGGGCACCAGCGCCACGAGGATGTATCTTAGCCTTGGCCCTGGAGGAGTTGTCGTAGCGTTGGCGGTGGCTCTGGCCATCCGTGATGATTCTATGCAAGCTGCGTCCGATATAGTTGCCTCGGGCCTCCTGCGAATCTTCCATTATAGTATTAAGCGATCCTTCGGCTCGAACCTGCCGAGAAAGCGAAGGCCGTGTTGAAGAATTGAATGTCAGCGCCATGGTTGAAGAAAAGATTATTCTCACGTTGCAGCAGCAGATGAACCAGATCTGTAGAGAGAAACGGCGCCAATGTTTGAGAGAGAGAGAAAAACCAGCTCTCGTCGTTGATTATAAGGTATATTAAGTATTAAAACTAGTTCGAGTAAAGCAAAAGAAGCAAGGAAGAAGACAAAGACGTCAAACCTGATCAACAGGCTCGCGAGAAAGTGAAGTGAAGGAGAAGATGAAGAATCAAAAAAAAAAAAAAGAGAGAGAGAGAGAGAGAGAGATGAGAGACGCAAAGAGTGAAATATGAAATGTGAACCTCCAACCGCCGCCGATGCTGGCTGGTCTGACAGGTGACCCCACCGGGCCCATCTGCACGACGCTGATTGGCGGAGTACCGGTTCGTCAGGCGGGCAACGCACGGGAGGACCCACTCCGGCCAATGAGAGAACCTGGCGCCGACGGCGCTTAGAAGAAACGCATCGTCATTGGATAGTGCTGCCCCACACTCCCATGCTGCAGAAGCCAATGAGACTACCCAATCCGGCAGGCGCCAGGCCCAAAAAGGGTGCTATTTATGGTAAGTGTGTGGGGTTTTCTTTTTGGGCTGCTGCTTCCCAATCTTCTGTTACTTCTGTATGCACTCCTGTACTCCATCGTGCAAGTGCAACCCTCTCGCCTTCCGAGAGCAGAAAGCCCACCGGCCTGATTGGGCAATTGTGGGCTGCTCCTGCTGGCAGGAAAAACGTCTTAGCCGTCCAATCCACGCACGCCCGCACGGGATGTCACGGTTGACCGGCCGACGCTTAGCTCACCGACGTTACACCCGGCACAGAGAGGGAAAATTGTATGTCATCGGCACATCGTGGTCATTCGGTCATGGAATACAGATTATATAGCATATGTAACATCAAAAAAAAAAAAAAGGTCAAAAGAGAAAAAAGCGAATCACACATGGCGGCAGAGAGCCTGTCGCCACAGATCATTAAAACGGTCAACCAAAAAAAAGAACAGAGAAGAAAAAGAAAAAAAAAAAAAAAAGGCCACAAAACGAAGCAGACAACATCCAGCCACGATCCGCTCTCATTCCCCATCGTGAAGGATGGGCGGGTGAAAGAGTCGTCCGTGGCTGGCGAGAGAAAGCGAACCAGACGAAAGCAGCAGATCAACGGCAACGAAGATATAATCACATAGCTCAAACAGCATACAATCGTTAGACAAACGTTCAACATTAAAAAAAAAAAAAAAAAAGGGAAAAAGCAAAAAACTACAAGCACGAATAGAAAAAAACTGAAGATCAACAGCCTTTCAACAGAGGGAACACAATGCCACCGTGAGGGTGAATCGAGCTCCTCTGTTAAAAGGCGAAGAACGCAGGTGGAGATTCGCGAAAATCTCCACCCGAACCTAGACAAGACGAAGAAATAGAAAAAAGAATAGGAAGAAGCACAAAAAAAGAAGAATAAAAGAAGCAAAACGGAGAAGGGGCAAAAAGGGTCAAAACGATAAATATCAAGGCAGAAGTGGTACAGCGTAGATCGTAGACGATTCTACAGCATAACAGGAACATAAGATCCAACCTCAGCGCTCATCGGCTGGGCCTGCATGAATGATGCATGATCAAAGTAGGATGATGAATCGAAAGGATTCAAAGCTGCGTTGGCAAACCCTTGATAGCCACCTCCCGTGCTCTCGTCCCACTCGAGTGGCGAGTTGGTGAACTCCTCAAACTCGAACGCGAGCTCTTGCGTCACGTCGTTGGGCTCTTCGACCGGCGAGGAGGTGTGCGAGTCGAAGGTGGTCTGGACGGCCGGCGAATCGGGCCCTTGGCCGTCGCTGGGGTCGAGGCTCGAGGTGTCGGATATCCTTCGCCGGCCGAGAAGTTCGGCCTCCTCCGAGGTGATGTCGTTGTCGAGGAGGACCCGTGCGTTGTCCACCACGATCTCTTCGCGCTGCTCCATCCAGTGCTTGAGCACATCCATCGAGGGCGTGGTGCCGCCTCCCTTCCCACCACGCTTCTCGCTGTCCTTGCCTCTTCCACCGCGCCCGCGTTGGCAGGGGTTGAAGTGCGTGCGTCGAAGGTGAGCTGCTGCGTTATAGTTGGCGCCATATCGCTTGCCGTTGCGACACGCCTTGCAGTTGGCAAGGAACTTCTTGTCTGGGGAGATGTCAACACACACCCAGACCCTCCGCACGACGGCATGTACACGTTCAACGTGTCTTCTCAGCTCATGCTCGCCGTGAAAGCCGTCAGGCTGTTCATTGCAGTATTTACAGTAGGTCTTCGGTCGTGAAGGCCGCTGGACAGATGCCTTGGGGATGGCCGCAACTTCTCGAGAAGTGCCGTCTTCTGACGCGATGATCATTTTATGCTCCAGAACATTATTTGGCTGCATCTTCGCAGGCTTTGGTGCGATCTTCTGTGTGCCTTGCACAATTTGCTCTCGAGTCCTCCGCCGAGCCCGAGTCTCGCTTGAGGCTACCGAGTTTGCACTTTGACTCGATAGAGAATGCTTCATCTCGGTGGATGAAGGTGAAGAAGAAGAAGAGCAAGAAGCAGAAGAAGCACAACGATTCAAAGGAGAAACAGCATGACGAAAGAAGTCAGACCCGGATTCAGGCAGTGACTGAGAAAACTGAACATGATGCATGTTACGAGAATGAAACTGGGAAATAGGAGAAGAAGAAGAGTTAAGGCAATAACTGGCGTCATTGTAATGACCAAATGACTGTGCATTGAAACTTGCTGACAACTGAGCATCTGGAAAATCCAGATTTTCGAGAAATGATCTGTTCGAGTCGAACCTGATCATATCCATTCCTCCACACAGCGAGTCTGATGTCAGACTCCGAGTCATCTGAAGTGACTCTGTCCCCACGGTCAACTGACCTTGATCTTGCGAGTCGAGAACCAATGCGTCCGCCGGGATGGTGTGATCCATGTCGATCTCGATGGGGCTACTGGACGATCCAGAAGCCTGGCCGCCGTGGGTGGGAGCAGCGAAACCGTCCAAACCGCTTTGCGAGAAGTCCGTTGAGACAGTCTGGGACTGCTGGAGGGGAGAAGGAGCCGCTTGGGCTGGGAAAAAGGCCAATCCCTCCGTCGACTGCGAGGGAACAGCTGACACTTGTTGGTTCCAAGATTTGCGAGAGCCGGATGCTGTGCCAGTCTTCCGAGATGAGTTCCCTGTCCGAGACCGTGTTGATGACTGTCGAGCAAGTTGAGAGCGAACAGAAGATGAAGAGCTAGAGGACGATCGGGTCACGGAGTAAGGCTCCGGGGTCTACAGCCACAGTTAATCTCCCAAAGGGGGTAAAGAGGAGTGGGAACGAAGACAGCTCGAAGGGAGCTATAACCAAGGACGTGGAAAGGTGGAAACCTACGGTAGCTCGTCGTTTCGTTGGGGGAGATCCAGGAGGCAAAGTGCGAGGAACGTCATCCCCAGTCCGTTTTCCCAAAAAGCGAGGCCCACCGATTCCATCCTGTGTGCTGAGTCTGGAGCCGCTGGCGGCGGCGGAGGCAGTCGGTCCACAGATGAAGTGGCTGAGTTGCTGGGTCCAGAGTTGCTGTCTCTTCGATTCCGAGAGATTCGAATGTTGCGTCCAAAAGAGATCTCTGGCCGATGATAGTAGCTGGTCGGAATTGACGTTGAGAGCCATGTTGAAGCTGTCTTCAAGGGAAGATAAAACCAAAATAGATGCTCCAGTTGTTGGTCTCAGGTCCGGTCGAGTTCTAGTCACAGTCGCAGTCCGATTTAACTCAAGGTAATCTGAGGCATACAGAAGAGTGATGTTGAAAGTAAAATGGGGACGTGCTCATACAGGAGCTTGAATGAGAACAATAAAATATATATATATATATATATAAAATATGAGAAGGTATGAGTGGTAATTTAAAATCTCAATGATTCGTGCAGTGTGATAAGTTGAGCGATAAGTTCAGTGATGGGGGGAAGAAAGAGAGAGAGAGAGAAAAAAAAAGGGGAGAGAGAGAAGTGGGAGTTGAGGGCTTTATTGAAAGACGCACAACGCGGCAGGACAAGACTAACCCGACAGGGAATTTCAGATGGGCACTGCTGACCACCAACATGGCCGTCGAGTTGCGAACCCACGGCCGGGTTTGAAACGCCAAACGGGCCAGGAGGTCCAGGATGAGTCGGACAGGTGAAGAGGATTCTCCGCCTGGTATCCAACCAATCGCGGAGACCACTCAACGAACCACACGGATGCTTTTTCTGCCAGGAGACCTTGTCGATGAGACGAATTAGAAGCCGAAGAAATACACCATCAGGGTGTGCCAGGTCTGATCCCGTTCTCGATGAGCGGGAAGACAGATCACAGACCAGGCCAAAGGCCGTCCTGAGCCCACGGCCAAGAGCGGGCAGAAGAAAGGCCGTCCGACGGCACAGGCTCGGGTGACGAGAAAGGCTGTGCAGCTGGAGGTTGGCCGCGGAGCTGGTCGCAGTCGACGGCCGTAGCGGCTGCACGCCGCTCGCCAATCGCCCGCCCGCCTCAAAGTGAGGCAGCCTCACAGATCGAGCCTCCAGCGAAATCGGGCGCTGGGCGAGCGCTTGGCTGCAGGACGTGGCCGCAAGTCGTGTGGACACCTGCAGCCGGCCGCCAGTAAGATCAGATCACCCTGCGACGAAAAACCAGCGTCGTTGGGCTTGGACTTGGGCGTGGTCTCGGCGGTGCATCTCGGCAAAAACGAAGGCAATCTCTCGTCCAAGGCTCACACATTCATCTCACCCACTCCAGAAATTCCGCTCTCACTTCAGGATGGATGAATGTACGAGGCCACTGGCTTCTTTGTTTTTCCTTTTTCCCTCCTCCAACGAATTCTTGATGGCCCCTCTGTGAGCCTCTGATGAGACTTCGGTCGAGTCTCGGTTCTCCAGGAAAGCCAAAAGGCACTTTATTCTCGTATTCATGCATGCAGCGTCGACCAGCCCCAATGAGGGGCTCATTCTCTCATGCACCTGAGATAACACTGCCTCTCAGTGATGCCACGTTGCTCCAATGGGCCCGCCACTCCGCAACACCCTCTCCCCGGTTGAAAGCAGGGAGAATAATTCCGGCTTCCCCTTCAAATTCTCCCCCCGCCCCATCGGCCGCGTGAGCAGCGGTGTGTGGCCGTATGAATAATCCACTCACGTGATTATCGTGCCAACGCCGAAGGTCCCAGACGGGAGGGTGACTGGCGCAGCAGTATCTTCGGACGCTATTCTGGGGGAAATGGAGTCGTCTGGAGCAGAACCACGAGATGCATGCTACTCTCTGTCTGTCCAACCTCCTTCATCCAATGCAGGGGCGCCTGCATGTGCTTTGTGACTGTTTCAGGAATCTCGATTGTCCATTGCTGGCACATATCTTCCGTCTTGGCCTCTTCACAGGACCACCGCGGCACAGAATTTGGAAAAGATGTTCTGAATGTGAACATCCTTTTAATTGGGCGATACGGAGGACTGGACAGTGAGACTTCAAGAGGAGGAGGCAAATGATCTCCCAAGTGGTAAACGGCTAAAAGAACACTTGCCATCCGATCGTCTTTTGTCTGCCCAAAGGTGGGCCATTCTTCGGTCAAAAAGCTCAAATTAAATGTCCTTGCTGGTGCAGGAACTTTCTCCCGAAACCATGGAATACCCAAACCAGGTTGCCAGGTCCATCTCCTACCCGTCATTCGTCATCATCTTGCCTCCAACAATTGTTGCACCACGAATGTGCAGATGCAAGCCCACACAGAGGCACTCCCGCGCGGATAATCTTATAAACCATACTGGGTCTCGAACCGAAGTGGTGGACACATCAACCGCTTCCGCATCAGCTTGAACTCAAGATCAGCGGGGTCACCAGTGGACCGTGCCACTTCCGGCCCTCTCGTGACCTTTCGAGCCAGCAATGCGCCGCTGGCTACTCTGTATTTTGAAATCAAATACATACTTCGCATGGAGACCTCAACCCATCCTTTTGGTGCCATTGTTGGCGTGAAATTCATACACTCATCCAATATCATATGCCCCGCTTCGTACGAACGTACAGCTGGGCGGACAGCCCAGAATATTCCAGAGACACGTATTTCCCAATCCCTTATCACCCTCCTGGCTATGTCCATGAGCAGTCGCAGAAGAGAAAGCTCGGTCCCAGAGCACCTTGCCGTAGACTTACTTTTGCCCAACTTCCAAATCCGCTTCCCTTCACCGCTCCGAGCCCATCCAGGGACAGACCAATGACGTAATAGCTGGTCTCTATTGCTTAGTCATCGATTGCTGAAATGCAGAGCTCCAAAACAGCTTGCATCGTACGTCGTCCACGACGAAACACACGAGATCGAACCTGAGATACCTATCGCTGAGGCCGAGCAAGCCTCAAATTCATCAAGTTATGCCGGACCAAACCCCCTCATATTCCTTTGACGACTCCACCCTCTACCTTTTCACCTCCCTCACAGCTGGCTCCTCACATATCATCACCGCTACTTCAAGATTAGAAACTATCCTGAAAGCCAACAAGATCGGCTTTCGAGCCATCGATGTCGCCACAGATGACAAAGCCCGAATGTTGTGGGGACGCCGGTCAAAGGGAAGGAAATTACCCGGGCTAGTGAGGTACGGGAACATTGTTGGTGTCAGTATCAACCCCCCTCCTCCCCTCCCCCTTCCCACCTGCAGGAGACGAACCCACCTTGATGAAACGAGCCATCCGGGATATATGAATCGTCCCATTTGGCAGTATGCTAAACTTGGTCAAAACGAACAGGACATCGTGCAAATCGAGGAATGGAACGAATACGGCGAACTCAAGGACCAACTTCGAGGGGATCCGACCTCAGCGGCGCTCGCGGCGGCGGACATCTCACCAGTTCCCTCCAGCACAAACACCCCCTCCAATAAACCACCATCAGCAACACTCGTTCCACCGTCCACCACCTCATCCTCTCCACATATCCAGATTGTGGGAACCCCTTCACGCACACCCTCGGCCCAGTCGAAGCAGGCAGAGCGCCTGACGCTGGCTCTCAAGCAGGCAAGCGAAGAAGCCGCCGCAAAGGCAAAGGAAAACACGCGCACCAAGTTGAATGCGGTGTCTCCATCGTCTACACAAGGCGCGGAACAGGCAGCGGCGGAGATGACTACTTCTACTACTACTACTACAGGTGAGAAGAAGCCAGCTGTCAAAACGGAAGCAGAAGGTTTAAAGCCAGAAGAGGGATCACAGTCAACATTGAAGTCTGAAGAGAAGAGGGAGGGGGGAGGGCCCTCTCCTTCCCCGCTTCAGGATGATGCAGAGGAGAAAGAGAAACAAGATGCCAAAGACACAGATAGTGGCGAGAAAGAGGCAAGCAATGATGACAACAAGTAGGCCCTCGTGACAGCACGCAGTTGAAAAAAGGGAAGTGTGGAATGGAAGTATGTTGTATGTGCACCATGGACATATTCCTCAAACTATTATGTGCACAGGCGTACTCCGTATTATTCCTTTAATTAATAATGAATATCAAATGATAACACTGGCATTGCTGGAATGCCCATCATGACCATCATATATCGGTATCCTTTTTTTCTCCCTGCCTGAAGAAACAACTCGTTCTCATAAATCATAAAGCGAGGCAGGAGGGGGGAAACAAAGAAAAAAGTAAAAAAAAAAAAAAAAAAAAAAAAAAAAAAAGAAAAGGAAAAAAAAGAAAAGAAAAGAAAAAGAAAAAGAAAAAGTATCTATATATCTTTTCTATAAGGCTATGTTATACACTGCTTCGGAACGCACATCAAATATCCGTCCATGTTCATGCGCTTCTCCTCTTCTCCACGGCCTCTCGAAGCTTTGCAATAACCTCTGCAGGATCCTTGGCTCCAAAGACCGCCGATCCAGCTACGATCACGTTGGCGCCAGCGTCAGCAGCTTGGTCGATGGTTCCCACGCCCAAACCTCCATCGACCTCAATGTTCATGTCCGGATATTTCTTTCTCAGGGCCTCGACCTTGGGGAGTTCAGAAGCCATGAATTTCTGTCCGCCAAAGCCCGGGTTGACTGTCATTATCAGGACCATCTAAAGACACTAAGCGTTAGTCAAAGAGTTTCGCACAGAACACAATCCTCCATTCAAGGTGGGGAAAACCACTTACATCCGGCCTCTCGATCTCCACGGGATTCTCCAAGATATCCCACAGGACGTCCACCGAAGTCGCCGGCTTGAGTGCAATTCCCGCTTGCATTCCCGTCTCGTGGATATACCGGATCAGTTCCTTCGGGCTGGTCCTCGCCGTGGTCTCTTTATCAGCTGGATCCTTCGCAGCAGTGGAAGTCATCGCCGCCTCCCAATGGAAACAATAAAGATCGCAGCCAGCTTGTTTAAATTCTTTTACCCATTTTTGAGGCTATTTTAGTCGAGGTAAGGTTTGCTACCTGTGGACCCTTTACAACACCCGCTCCGCGTCATGGATCGGCTTGTGGTGTTGGGAGAAGACGACCAATGTGCGCAGAACGGAGAGTTGCAGGGTCCAGGTTAGGAGAAACGGTTAGCTTCTCCATTCTAGGCCAATTAAACGAAGAAAAAAAGAAAAAAAGCAAGTCAGCAGACTGCACGAAAGTATAGGCTTATCATTCAATGCTTTCCCTAATTAACCCAAAGGAAACACAAAACCAAAAAGGGGGAGGGGGTTCAGTTGGCAAATCCATTGGCCAAACGAACAGTGGGATCGATAATGCCTCGCGCAAAACAGTTTACGGCCCTTGCTTTTCTTTCCCAACAACTCCGGCAAGATGTGGTCGCTGAGCTGACCTACCTCTGCAATCATCATATGGCAGTCAAACGTCCCCTTTCCACCGATGCTCGCTGGTTTCTGCACATGGGCCCGAATCTTCGACACCACCGGGGCACCAAAGGTTATATTGGGCACAAAATGACCATCCATAATGTCGACATGGATCCAATCGCTATCCGCCTTCATGAGATTCGAGCATTCCGCACCAAGATTGGCGAAGTCGGCAGAGAGGATGGAGGGTGCAATAATTGCTGGAGGCGCCATTGTTGTGACAGCAATATAGAAACAAAGGAGCAGTGGGAGTCAACTAGCCTTTTTTTTTAATGCTCTGGGGTTTTCGAAGCGCTCCGTCAGGCCGTGCGGGCGGACAAAGGACAACCAGGCTCTTCGATTCGGGCTAAGAAGCTGCGAAGTCAATTCGCAATCGGCCCGGCTGACGTATACAAACCAAAGTGAGTATATAACCACACGGGAGAAGCTCAATAGAAAAAGAACAAGAACGGCGGGTTGTTGAGCGTCTTCCAGAGGGCTGCTTTCGAAGTCATCAACCCCGCGTCGATGGCCATGAGCGACGCGGGGCCCATTGCTTGATGAGTAATATAACTATATCACGTGATAAAGCGTCTCCGAGGCCCTTTTTGTGCGAGGCCAAGCGCCAGGAGTCATTGGAGAGAGCGAAAGCGAGCCATTCTCGACCGTCGAGAACCCAGGCTGTCGTGCCACGATCTCACATGCTGAAATGCACGGGCAGCCAGCGGTAAGATGCTATGTATGGCCAACAATAGCCTAGTGAGCCCGACCCGTTAGGAGCCTTAAATGGGAAGTGAACCACGATCCTGAAACTGGAACCCGACGCAAGCAAAGCGCTCCATCACACCTAGACACTATTGAGGAAAAGTGGCATCGCCGCCGGTAATGAGCTATGCGCCAGCCAGGGGCAGCGCTCGTCTCGAGAAAAGCTGAAAAGGGAGGATGTGCTGCGGGTTAAAATGTCAGCGTCCAGACGTACCGAATACCCACATGACGATACGCGTTACGTGACTTGCTCCGGACAAGCGAAATCGGTCAGGTACCGGAATGGTAACTAAAAAATACATGACGGCTGACTAGGCATTACGCGGCATTCCCTGCCCTATGGTAAGGCTACTGCCACCAGTGCAATCTGTCAGAAAGTCAATAACTACCAAGCATTCTGGCGCTGCCTTGGCGAAGTCTGACCGGGAGATTGGACCAAAAATTCCTGTTGGGGGTGTTGTTTTGTGTGTGTGTAAAAGGTTGCATCCGGTGAAATATCAGCTTAGAGGGGCAGGGAGAGGTGAGATTGAGAGCGCTGAAGAGGAACCTATCTTACTGTAACGCTGGTGAGCACCAAGCAGCAAAGTCGTACAGGCTATTGATGGAGGTGGAGGCATCATCCCGTGATCGGTTGCATGGGTGCACAAACCTCTTTAGATTGTTCTCATCTCAATCTACTCACACTACTCCGTACTCTGTGTCCCGTATATTCAAAGCCTGGACGAGAAATTGATTCCCCAGGTCCCAGTCAAAAACAAAGACCATTACGTTGACAGTACTCCGTGCATAGCCATGTAGCACAGAGAGTATCACTCACTCTCGCTCAAGACCGGATAACACCACACCGTCAAGCCGCCGAGGATTGGAGTACGCAGAGGCCCACTCCAGGGTAACAGACAATTGGCCAAGGACAATGATGTGGCTAGTGTGAGTCGACGACGGGCATTAGCAGCCACAATGTCTAAATCAGAGCCAATCAATTCGATGGCAATGTGGGTCTCCTTTGTCGGGCCAACGCAATCTAGACGTGGGTCTCGGGGCGCCACTGTCCAATCACAGGCCGTGTGGCTGTTGACTATTGTATGGATTGGCTGTATTGCTCCTCCGCGCCCGAAAGCAACAATCTTGGGACGGAAGATTCGGTAATACTGGTATTGATGTACTCCGTATGTACGGAGAGTATTGTGTTTCCAAGACCCTCCCATCCAAGCCCTTGAGTTTCCAGAACTGCAAAAATCGTTCACAGTGGTTCTCTACGCCATGCGCCGCTCCTTTTTGTCTTGTTGCGTGTCAAAAATTAGATAGTTCAGGCGTCGTTAGTCTGGGGGCTTGATAGCTGTGGCTGGTCGTCAGTTATGGCTGGTGGCAGGCTAGGCTCAGACTTCTTAGCATTCCCCACAATGGACTCTCAGCGTCATCTTCTCCACCAATGCTGACACCCCTCGATTGGATCGCCTGCTGAGATCAAGACGGAGCTGGAACTCTTAAAAAAGTGCGCAATGTCGGAATGCATGTGTGTTTATGTGTGTGTGGACGAGCTCCAGAGGTGTGTCTGGTTGCGTGAAATCAAAAGTGTTGGGAAATTGTAATCAAGGTCCATTGTCATGGCCTTGAGGAGAGTTTACGAGCCGTGTATGAGGTGAATTATCAGCCAACGTGCAGTGGGGAGAGAGAGAGATACACAGAACGAGCGTTTGGCATGCGCTCCGTATTCCCTGCTGTAAATGACATACCGACAGCTAGACGCAATACGTGTATGTATGGCCCGTACCAAGTATATTTAGCATATTACAAGCTTTCAAGCGCAAAAAGGCAAGTAATGAAGAACCAGACCACGCAGAAACACATCTGCCCATCCCCAGACGACTTTGCTTTCCCTTCCCTTCTCCTCTTTCTCTCCCCATCTTTGGACCTCGTCCTCATAATCGTCACCAAGCCCAGTTTCATTGTGAGTTGCCTCTTTATACTTCGAACCTCTCCATCTGTCTCTAACTGTTCATGGGACATAGATAACATCCGTCTCTCGTTCTCTATCTCCCGTGTTCCACGCTGTCCTCGCACAATGGCAAGCCAGTCCTACTACCAGCAGCCTCCTCCTCAAGGGTAAGTCCAGTCACTGTAGCTGTTAATCAAGATCCCTTTTACTGACACCCTTGCTCTCCCATAGGTACCCACCTCAGGGCTATCCACCACCACAGGGCTATCCTCCTCAGGGACCTCCTCCTCAGGTACTGTCCCTTCATGCCCCAAGAAGATGAAACAAAGAAACTTTAACCACAGTGCTGATTGCTGGCACCTGACAGATGCAATATCCCCAGCAGCCACCACCCCCGCAAACTGTTATCGTGCAGGAGAAGAAAGATCGTGGATGCCTCTATGCCTGGTAAGCATATTTCACGCCAAATCTCTGACCAGATCCATTGGAATAAATATTTACCTAACACTTGGCGATTACAGTCTCGCAACACTCTGCTGCTGTTTCCTATGTGAAGAGACCTGCGAATGTTGTGTTGAATGCCTTGATTGCTGCTTCTAAGCGCTCCTCTTCCCGAGTCGCAAAGTGGGAAATCTCTTGCTGCGAATAACTAAAACAAAAACCAGCTCCGAAAATAAAAATAAGGGCAAAAAAAAAATTCTTGGACATATCATTTTTCCCACTTTGCATTATCCCCTTCCCTTATCAGCTGGCATCTGCCGTATGTTTATGTTTTTATGTTATAACCACGCTGCACATTTCCTTGTCTCCCGTATTTGTTGCCTCTAATCTCCTTCCAGCCAGTCTTGTTTACTTTTGCGAGGATCATACAGCCACCCTGCATAGATAACATTCTTGCTATGTCGTTCATGTTGATACTCCCATGCTTGGTTATTGCTTGCTAGGTTGTACATGGCTTCGATAGTTGTTCTTAAGATAGGTACATATCGAGTTTGAGCTCTCACCTTTTCCCTCCTTTTTACTCTAATGACCTTCCCAGTTCCTGACTTGGCCGCTCATTTCGAAATGTCTGTTCAAAAGTATGGTCCCGAATTCGAACCTCCGTTTCGCAGGAACAAACGCAAGTGGATTTTGTTCAGGCTGGTTTCGATTCAAAAGCGCGCGCCAATTACTGTCGAGGCGACTAAGCTCTTTTCTATTCGGGGAGCTTTGGATGGATACGGCATCATGCTGATGTCTGTCAGTCCTGGGGATGCGAGGGAACCAGCCATGGACGCTTAACCTCGTACGTAAATTGAAATCAGACGGATTGTTCCTTATCCTGCGACGAAATCAATCGTGTAGCAACACCCCCCAAGTCCGGAATAGGGATACTCCTACCCCCTTGTAGCCGGAGAGGTGATCGCGCGGCTCGTCCGGGATTCTCTCGGGCTCCATATCGTTATGATTTGGATGAGATATTGCCCAGCGGTCAGGGTCAAAATCGAAATACGAGGCGAAGCCAAAACCAGAAGCGCGGCTGTCCGCACGTCTTGACTGCTTGCCACATGTGCAGGTATTGTTACGGATGTGTCTGCCTTTGACGTTATCGTCGTCCTTCGCTATTTTGTGCCATAGCAAATGGCCGGGGGTGTTGTTGGTGATGAGCCTCGTCGGCGAGGGGCTTGACGCTGTGCGCCTCCCGGCTTGGCCTGTTCCGATGTCGACTAGCCTGCACGAATTGTGTTGATTCAATCGAGGCCGGGAGCATATGAGCCGCATCTCTTTTTGTTCGCCTTGCGCCTAGTTCTCCTTGCGGGGGATCTACCCTGGTGACAAGGGTCCGCGAAGATGGGTACCTCACTAATTGCAGACAGCTAGGATGACTCTATCTAGCATCCCCGGACCTCCGCGGGATGTAAGGCCGGCAGATGAGATTGTGGCAATGTTTTAGCCTGACTTGAACTTGTTTGGGGAAAAATCCAATCTATGTAGATGATAGTGCTTGTATTTTGCCTGTTGTGTTAAATTAGAAAAGTTTTCATGAAAGAGAACGAACAACACAATTTGAAAGGTCATAATCTTCTCAATCAGTGGTATGTGGGATGTCATGAATGATATATGCAGGACATATACTCCGTATTATCTTGGGATAAGAGCAAAAGAAAATAGACAGGATTAGGTGACAGATATTTTCAATAGTTGTTTAAGAAGAGGAAAACAAAATGCTTGAATGTTGCATAATGGAAAACGAAAAATTATAATGGAGGAGAATGGGCAAAGTGGGAACACCAAATTTGAAGCGAGATAGAAAGCCGACCAACAGTGAACTCAGAGGGGTATCGCGATCATTCTCTTTCCTTTTTTTCTTTTCTTTTCTTTTCCTCCCTTTTTTTTTTTTTTTTTTTTTTTTTTTGGTTCTTTTTTGAGGGGGTGGGGGGGGGTTGGGGGCTCAGTTCTGGAAAAACACCATTGTGCCCATACCACCGCCTCTCTGCCCACCTTTCTCTCCCGTCGCCAACTCCCACTGTCCGTCCTGCGCCATCCACATAATCCCCTCTCTCTCCGCCCATTCCCTCAATCCAATATCTTCTCTAATCTCGGCATGTCCGTTCTCACAATGCTTGCTCACATGCTCCATCCTGGCCTCCCAGCACCCAGCCCCCTTGAACTCCGCAGAGCAATACGTGCACTGACTGTATTGTGGACTCGTGCGTTGCTGGACCCAGCAGCGTCGGCAGACCGCCTTCAAAGAGGCCTCAAAAGCGTCGCTGGTGTGCTTGCTGGGCCGAGGCGCGACAGCCTTGCTAGAGGAGGTTGTGGAGCCGGGGACACGGCCGGGGGCGTGCATGCGGCGTAGGTGCTGGATGAAAAGGTCCTTGCGGTTGAAGCGCTTCGGGGGTCGCGTCGCGGTGTTAACCGAGCATGGATTGAAAGAGGTAGAGTCCGGTAATGCGGAGGAGTTCTCGCTGGATGATGAGACTTTGCAGTTGTCGACATCGCAGCGGTAGAAGCCGAGTTGCAGGTGCTGGCTCACGACATGTCGCTTCCATTCGTTTTTTGAGACAAAAGAAACCTTGCAACCGTATGGTGCGAAGACACAAGGGTACTGACGCCCGGCTTTCTTTCGCGACGCGGAGGATGAGGGTTTGCTGGCAAGGCGTTTTCCTCCATGCTTCGTACCACGCCTGGCAGAGGACTGTCTGAGTTTGGCATGTTTTGTGACTTGATTATTCTTTCTCCTCGGAGACTCCCGACGAGCTTCTCTGCGAAGCGTTGGATGGGAATCCTGTGGTTCTGCACGTCTTATTCGCTTTCGTGGCGGCTCAACGACCACCTCGTTCGGCTCGTTCACTTCGGGGGGCTGGTCTAGGAAAGGGTCGATATCTTGCTGTGCTTCGAATTGCGGACTGCCATACGCGAAATGAGTATCATGGCCTAGATACGGGGGCATGTACTGTGTCTGACTATGCTCGTAGTGCATAGGCTCATCAAACGACGCGATGGGAGCGTCTTCCGGAACTGGGCTGTTGATCTGCTGATTCAGATCCGGATAGTGCTGCAAGTGGTTGGGGTTGACGGAATATTCACTGCTGCAGTATGACTCCTCCATAGGGTGAATAAACGAAGCGGGACTGAGAAGGTTGTTGAACTGAAGACTGTCGAGCAAGGGTGACGGAGCTGCGCTGTGTGGGTGGTTTGGGGCTCTCATCCACGAATGGTCGCTCATCAGTGAACCCGTAGCTGATCCGTCTCCTCCCTGTGAACCGGAAGGAGATGCGTATCTGATGGTGCGAGTTTGAGAGGGCAGCGGCGGCGTAGTATTCCCCATGGGAAGGTAATGAGCGCCGTGTAGGTCGTTGTCAAGTGAAGGGTACGAGTGGCTGTCTGTGATGAATTTCTCCAAGCTTGATATGCGCTGCTCCACTCTTGCAGGTCTTGTCAGATCCGCAGTGCTTGCTAGGTCTGATGCTCCGGCTCCGCAAAGATAATCTGTCGAGTCGGTCAGGATGTCTTCCGGACTCATGATGGCGAGGTCGAATTCGTCAAAATGTTGCTGTTCAGGGACAGGAACCTGCGGCAGGTCACTAAAGAGTGAATACGCCAGGGAATTCATCTTGCACCGGGCTAATTAGTGGGATCTTTCTGAAGGGCGATTAAGTACTGCAAGGCAGACAACCGGGCGGTCGATGGCGCAGTCACTGGACGGCAAGCTATGTTAATGCCGTGCGGCGAAGCAACGGGAGCATAAGGAATCGTGGACAACGTATGTTCAAAAGAAGGAAAGCGTGAGTTCAACAATTAATCTTGAGTTAAATGGGCGCTCAAGTATGATAGACAACAAAATGAAATACAAGAAGAGAGAGGATGGGTCTCTCTTTGACGGCGATCAGAGAGTAATATATACTTATATCTAGAAAGAAACGAAACGGGTGGAAGCTCTCCACGAGTAATGCAAGCAAGCATTGAGCGATCCACCGGGGTACATAGTGAAGGAGGCGCGGTCACCCGTGCCGATGAGTATGGACTCGGTACTCCGTAATAAATGCTTTGTTATGGAGGCAGAAAAAAGCAAAAAAAGGCCATACATATGCCTGACCCAATACACGGGTCAACGGCCCACTGGGGGAAGACAGCATACGTTTTTCCTGATACGGGTAAGCCTGCAGTATTCGTGATGAAATGAAATCTGCGGTTTGCAAAGTCTGAGCATGGGATTGGATGTGGAGGCGTTCGCCCCCTTCTTCTCGTCTCGACGATGATACTCCGTGCGAAAAAAGAAAAGAGAAGAGAGGGAGAGAAGAGGGCAGATGATGATTGGAGAGCCATCGAGCAGAGCCTCACGTCCCTCAAGCCCGGGAAATATTCCTGTGCAGGGCTCACAGGGGACATCGCGGCAGCGTCATCCCTGCTCTCATTCGCAACTCTGGGCTCGAAAGGGGCCAATGATGCAGGACGGCCAGGGTGCAAAAAGCAAATCAGCGAAACACCAGTTTTCACCTATTCTTTTTTTTTTTTTTCTTTTTTCCTTTTTTGACTGTCACGAGATGGGAGAACAGTGCAGTGCACCACCCCTTGCAGTCCGCCCTCAACCTTCGTTGCGGACAGGAACGCACCAGATTTGGTTGCCCTTTATTTAGATACGAGCAGCGCACCACTCAAGCTAATGGGCCTTTTTTGGCTTCGGGCCCGTCGCTAAATTTCTCGTCGTCGTTGGTGGAGACGGCAGACCAATAAGATAGAAGCGATATTTTTTGGAGCGCTGTTCGATGATCGCCCTCTGTTTCGTAGCATTGTTTTGTCGGTCAAGCGCACGGCGCAGCGGCAACAGCGAGTGCCAGGGTGATAACGATGAGCTCGCATCGGCCTCTGCAGATGCACAGACGAAATGGCTGCCTCTTCTGAGCAGGGTGGAATCCAAATGCCAAGGGGCAAGGGCTTAGAGGTTTCAAAGCACGGTGATCTGGGACGACCTTGTTCTGCCAAATTCTGCCCACCCCGGGGTCATGCAGCCAGCGTGGCGACGACCCTAGCAGCCAAAGAGCGATGAAGCATCCGATGTCCACTCGATTCCCATTGGCCCTCGGTTGTGCCAGGGGATCGTCCACTCGAGGGAACCCCATTTGACAGCGGAAGAGGGTGGCAACCACCAGTCTGCGTCCTTCCGCCGCCTAAGAAGCCTGGAGATTGGGATGATCACCCTGCACATGGGTGGTTCGTACCGAGAAGGTACCATGTCGCCGGAAAAATGATGGTCGAGATACGGTGCGGTGACTTTCGTGCAGGTAAAGGCGAACCTGCCGCAGCGCTTTTCCCCCAATTGGCATTCCAATAACCTCACTGGTCGGAACAGCCCCCTTGTCCTTGTCAGTCAAAACCCTGGTGGGCTGGTTTACATAAGTTGCATATACCAATGGGCTCATGTCTCCGTTGTGATTGCAAGTCAGGATCTCTCGCTTCGAGAGGGACCTTGAATGAAAGGGTACAGAGCAACGAAAAAAGAAAAAAGGAACCAATCTCCCATCCATGAAGTATCGTGGGCCGATGACTAACTAATCCTTGGATCTTGTGTGACTACAAAGCACGACCGATAAAAAAAGATATCGAGTTACAAACAACATGGTGAAGGTTTGAGTGGCATGTTCACTGCCCCCAGAGGGAGGGGAAATAAAAAAAAAGGCTTTGCACAAAATAATTGCAGTCAATCAAGCAACAAGCAGTAGGGCGGAAGGCCTGACATGCATATGGAGGTGGTTACAAGTTGACGATAATGATGATCGTCTCTGGTCTTGGATTAGGCTTCAATAGTTCCTTTTTTTTTTTAAGGGAAAAGGCGTCCCACCACGCCTGGGGGGAGTTTCGCATCTCAAGCACACCCAAACACACGGAAACATGCAGAAACATGCGGAAAAATGCCGAAACACGCAAAAAATATTCGAAGCTGCCTCTTCATAGCCATAACCCTGGGGGCCTGATTCTGTAACCTTTCTTGCATCCAAAAAGTTCCTCCACACGCGCACCAAGGCACACAAGGCATTCCCCAAAGCGCTGTGACATGAACAGCAACAGATTCGACTTTTGCTCTCTGTACGGAGCACGGCGTACAAGATCAAGAAAATGGGGCGGAAGAAGGCAGCGGACAGCACCGCCCCACCCAGCAACGGCTTAACGTCCACAGACGCGCCTCCAGCCGATCCTCGCGGGCAGCCTGGGCGGTGCAATGACTTTCGGGAGCGGGCTCAGCGAAAGTTTTGGCTTTTGGTTAAGTTAACTCTTCCCAACCTTGAAGCTTAAGTTTGAATGCCGCTGGGTCACGACAGGCGGCTTTTCTCAAATTTGAGTCGAGGCATGAAGAATCAGAGAGAGAGTGTGTGTGTGCCAACAAACCCTTCTAACCTGGGGAAGCTTGTCGGTATACTGTGGCTAAGAGAGTTAACTTGGGTGGTGGTGAGAAGAAGAAAAGCCAACGCCTGGCGAATGAGAAGGAGGTCGACTGGTGGCATATCCTGCAACGTTTCAACTTTCCACTTGCACATGGCAAACTCACTCGGACATCTCTGCACTGGGTTATTGTTACTTGTTCTGTGGAAGCCCGTAGGTTGAAAGTGGCTTGCGCCCGACATGTAGAATTGTTTTTTTTGATGCAGGATCTGGCAAAGACATGGTAAACCACAGCGCTCAACCACACAATGCAAGGGCCTTGTTTGGGGTGAAAGGCAGACAGGCAGCATGCTCCAAAGTTACAGATGCCTACCAACATTGGAACTACCGAAAAACCCATCTGTGCGTTGGGTGCTCTCGGGGGGGGCGACACTCAAAGTTCGTCCTTGGGCCAATCGCTCTCTTTTCCTACACTTGGGATGGCTACTTCACCGGGATGGCTTCGACCGGCCATACTTCCGCTGAACGAATCAGAAATATTCCTGCGTCATTCGATTCGAGCTAAAAATAAGGCATCTGGGGGGGGGTTGGGGGGTGTCTTTGTTCGTGATCATGATGTAATTCTGGTGGAAACATGAGATGAAGAAAGGCTGTGTTGCGGATGAGCACAAAACGTGAGAGTTGTTTCAAAGTGATGCTGATATTAGCTGCTTGGGGGGGTTTATCACCCATCACACCTCGCCGCCTTTTTTTTTTTTTGAGTTCTCCTCCACCCTCTCATTCCGCAGGCCGAAGAATGGCTCGTTACGGGATACGGAGAACTTGCTTGGAGATATCGGCGTCTTCGCCCGAAAACGTGATTCATAGCATCCCCGTTTCGAAGGCGAACCGTCCATCATGCATCCTGTCACAGGAAGCATCGGGGACGCTTGTCCGTGAACTTCGCAGCGTCAATATTCTCCCGTTTGAGAGGCCCGTGTGTGGATGACTCTCACCTTGCTGCGCTTCGATCATACGTTATCGGAGCATCCCTGGCCAAGCTCCGATGGCCCCCATGGCAAGTTTCAAAACTCACGGCCTTTGCGCAAAACAAACCCTTGGCTCTCCAAGTTCTAATTTAGTTCCTGAATTAATATTTTTTTTTTTTTTTTTTTTTTTTTTTTCCATTTCCCGATACTCCCGCCGAACCAGGTGATTAGAAGCTGACACTGAATGCAAATCTGCAGGCATCGGCTCGAATGACCGGGACAGGACCCCGTCAGTCGTCCAGGTAGTTTAAAAAAAAAAAAAAAAAAAAAGAAGAAAAAAAAGGAAAAAGGGAGAAGAAGGAAAGAAAGAAAGTAGCTAGACATGAGTTAACTGCTGGTGATGCCGCTAACCAACAGATGACGGCCGGGAGTCCCGCAGAATTCATGTTCTGAATGGAAAATGGAGGTTGCTTGTGACAGATAGGGGTTTCCATCCTCCCAGACATACACATGGCTGTCGAACATCTCACTGCAGAGCATAGAGTAGCGAAACAAAAATTGAATCAACCAACACACCACAGATAAAACAGGCAAAAGAGCACATTGGAACTTCCGAAGCCTTGCGAAAAAAAAAAAAGGGCTGTCGCTGATTCAAACAGACATGCGTTATCTCAAAACCCCCCGATTCATCCTTAAGATTTCCCAGGTCCCCAACTCTCCAATACCTCCAGTGACTTTGGACGCAGCTCATGTATCACTCAAATTCCCGTTGGAGCTGACTTGGCTTCCTCCCACTCGAAACCCAAAATCCCAACCTGGACGATCGCAAACACTCAGACATTCATTCAAGCACGCTACCCATGCAGGACCAACATAGTACGGTCTGGGATTCAGGGTGCAAAGTCCTCCATACGGAGCAACGAAGTACGGAGTATTACTCCACAGAAGCAAATCGTCGCTGGGACCCAATCCGTCGCGAGTCGTCGCAGAAAAGGACCCAGGCTATGAACCTTCGTTCATCCCTATGGCAGGGCACGCGAACAGGTGGTGAGTCGAGATCGTCGCTCCCCCCTCCACCTGAATCGCCAAAACCACAATTAAGTTAAACACCAAAGCCGGAATGAAGCCCAAAAACGGACGATCCCTTCCACTCGTCTTCCTGAACGCATGACGGACGACTCCGTTTTCAGTACGAAGCGCCAAAAAAAGAAAAGAGGGGAGACAGAAAAATTCAAAATTGCCCTCCGTCGGGACCTGGGACTCATTACTGAATATTAACATTTGCAAGCTATAAATTTAATTTTAAACTTTTTGCAATCGGCGACTCCGTGAACGGATCCACGTCTGCGATACCCCTTTTACTGACAGGAAGTGCGAGCCCTTACTTAGAGAACTCCAGAGCACTCCGTACAGGGTACCTGATGCAAAACGGCGCGCTATCGCCAACTTGCTTCCCTGTCATTCGACGACGAAAAATGACAGACCCTCCCAAAAGAAAAGCAACTGAAGATAAGCCGTTCCCCCGGTGCTCTTTTTTTTTCTT